TTCCATATTCGTTTGGGTCTGTACTTTGCAAATAGAACAACATTTTATTCTCATTAAAATATGACTATTGCTGCATATGCGTATGAAACAAATGAAGCAAGAAGAGCACATGAACTAGTAAACGAAAACTCAACTTTAACCATTGAAGGCAATGATTTAGTCATTGACGATGGAAAAACTAAAAAAGTCATTGATTTCGATACTTTTAACACTTATGACCCATTCATTACAACAAGCAAGGTTCCTATCATAAATGATGGAACGGTGCAATATATAAATTCTACAGTAGATGCCTCATTAGTGAAAGTACTGAATGTTCTCATTGAATTGTTAAAGAGCTTTCGATTTGACGACAACATTAAATGCCTAAAGAATTTAGTCATGAATGAGAAACAAATTCTTGGCGTTGCTGGTAGCAGTAATGATGTACACCTTATGACATTAGAATATTATAACGAACATAAAGATGAACTGAAAGGAGAGAAGGGTGACACCGGACCTCAAGGACCTCAAGGACCTCAAGGACCACAAGGAATACAAGGAATACAAGGAATACAAGGACCTCAAGGCGAGAACGGTTTGGATGGAAAGGATGGAAAAACTGCTAAATCATGGATATGGGACCTTATAAATACTGGTTTAACAGCTGCTTCATATGGAGTTCTTCAATACCAAATCGGAAAGATATGGGCAGTACTTGGTGAAGAAGTTTTAAATGACGTTAAAAATGCTTTGAACTTCATTTCAAATGGTTCGGATACTATTAAAACTTTATCTGGTTGGATGCAAGAAACAAGGAGTCAAATAGATACTGTAAGACGTATAGCAAACAATGCACGTACGGGATTGGATACTTTACGACAAGCACAAAATACACTAAAGGAAGCAAATGATATTCTTGGCTCAGTATCAGACATGCATGAAGATTGGCTTAAAGGTATTGACAAATCTTTAAAAAATCACAGTCAGTCTATTGCTGACTACAAGAAAAGTATAGATTTTTTACATAGTGCTATGGACGTACATGATGGAAGCATAAGGAACTTACTTAATGCTAACAATAACTTACCAGGAACTATTAAAGCATTTATAAAGTCCTTTGTAAAACCCGGTGCTCTAACATTTAGGTCTTTGAGAGCAAGAGCATTGAAGTCAAGAGATGCAGAAACTCCAACAGAACTACAGAAGGAACTGAAACAACAGAAACTCCAAAAGAACCACCAAAACCAACAGCTAATGAAATATTGTTCGAATATTTTCCAAGGTACTCTGTTCTCATTGCATACATTCAAGAAATACTTAAGAAAGCAGACTTGACTTTAGGAGATGATGAAAGTTCTGTATATCTTTCGTTCCAGTTTCAAATAGCAGAACTTTTGAGACAGATATGCTTAATGTATGACAACATCTCTGATTTCACAAGATATGATGACGACCATGACCCGAACACGGTGAAGAAGAAGTTTTACAAACATCCATTAAGACAGGAAAGGTTTTAACTCAAAGTCTCATTATTGACCAAAGATGGCGAAGTGGACGTTCTTCAAGAGCTGAAGAAAAATACTTCTTCGGAGGTGGTGGTAGGCATGAACTTGAAATAAATGAGATAGAAGAGAAATTAGCCGAAAAAGCAGATAAAGAACATAAACACAATATCTCCGATATAAATGAACTTCAAGCTACATTAAATAGTAAAACAGATAAAAATGAACTTGACGCAATGAACAAAGTTTTGAAATCTCATAAACACAATATCTCCGATATAAATGAACTTCAAGCTACATTAAATAGTAAAGCGGACAAGAACCATGTTCATTATATAACTTCAGACGAACAGATTATAACGGACTACCATGGATATTTAACACGAAGTGATGAAGCGAAGACAAAAAATGTTAATGAAAGAAGATATAAATACATTCGTGCTAAAGGTTATGACATAAGCTGTACTGTACAGTATGATGTAGCTAAAGCACCAGAAGCATTTGGTTATACCGGTGAAATTTATGCCTCTACTTTCAATGTTAACGGTGTATTAGTTGAACCAAGATTTATGTTAAGAGTTAAGGCAAAAATAACGTTTGAAGATGCTATTAAAAGTAAAGCTGACAAAGTTGAACTCGAAGCAACGAACAAAGTTTTGAAATCTCATAAACACAATATCTCCGATATAAATGAACTTCAGGCTACGTTAGATAAAAAAGCAGACAAAGAACCATACACATAAATCCTTCACTACTGTTAGAGCAGACGACATAATATTGAACTATTGATTGGTTCAAGTGCACCTTAGAGAATCCAAGTACAAGCGTAAAAGATACACTAACTCCTTAAATAACAAATGTATGAACATTGAAGTCATGCCAGAAACTTTGAAGCACATGAACTACCAGCAATGTTAGATAAGAAAGCAGACAAAACTTATGTGGATGCAGAACTAACAAAGAAATTTTCGAAACCAGATACAATGACATTTACAACAGAAATTATAAATGGTGAACCAGCAACTCCATTTGAATTTGTTAGAGGTCTTCAACCAGATACTTTTGAATTTTTCTTGGATAATTCTATTGAACTAACATTACATTATAAAAGTGGAACAAATGCAACATTTCATCCGGGAGATACATTCCAAATGGTATTTAATGACATAAGTTCTTTAGAATATGTTTATAGAGTTATGAGCATATATGATTTAATATATCCTATAGGAGCTGTTTATACGTCTATGAATCCAATAAATCCAAACACTTTATTTGGTGGTAGATGGTATGAAATAGTTGACAGTTTTCCATTCTACACTAATACGCAGTCAATGAAGATGGGAGGTTCAAAGAAAATAGGTATTGAAAACCTTCCTTCACATATGCATAGGTTCAGTGGAAGAACATCTGTGGAAGGAAACCATTCACATTCAATAACAAAAAGAGGTTATACAAATCTTGCAGCGGGTTCGGATAGACAGGGAATGCATAGATATGATATCAACTGACCCCAAAGATGTTAGCACAGGTATTTTCTGTGGAACTGCAGGAAATCATACACATGTTGTAGCTGGTATTACAGACCCAGCAGGTAATGGAAAAGATTATATGCCTCCTTATATAACAATGCACGCTTGGATACGAGTTGGTTAAAATCTTTAACTTTACATAAATGAGCTTGAAAGAAGTATTCGAACAACATCCATGGAGGTCATTTAAGAAGTTCAATGAAGCTGCAAAGAGTTGGGATTTACTAACAGAGCTGAAGTGAAAAGGTTCTTTGACAAAAATGTTGTACATCAAACAAAAATAAACCCTTACGACTACTTTTTACCAATTTACTCCAACACTCCTGACGCATACCAATTTGACACTCTCATTCAAAGCAGAAAAGGAGGACATAAACCATTCCTCATCTTCATAAATGTTAACACTCGTAAAGCATTGCATATCCAATGAAAAATAAAGGAACTCGTGAAGTGTTAAGAGTTTTACAAAAGTTTGTAGCAGAACATAACCCAAGTACTTTAACATCAGACCAAGACAGTGCATACCTCAGCAATGAAATCACAGAATTTCTCATTAAGCATAACATAACTCACTACACTACTGAAGACCATAACCATAACATACTCGGCATCATAACCGCTTCATAAGACGCTCAGAGATTTAAATCAAGAGCGAGACTTTACCGAAGAAACAATGAAACATTTCATCGAAGTTTACAATTCCTCAACACATTCTACAACAGGACATACACCAAATTCAATGACACAACAACAAGAAGAAAAGTATATACAAAAGAAACGAAGCCAAACACAAAATATCAGAAATTCAACACAATTTACCCTCATTCCTGGTACAAAAGTTCGTGTAGTTCTTGACGACAAACCGTTGACAAAGAAACGTTTAAGGTTAAGTCGAAATTATTATATCGTAGACTCTACGCAAGGTAATGGATATCTTATAAAAGCTGCCGACGACTCCATAGCATTTTACCCTCGACATAAATTAGTCGAAAGTAGTAATGGCAAACTTGCTGAAACCATTGACGAAGCAAAGCGAGGAGTGGTTATTGAAATACTTGACTACAACATAAACGATGACACTTATAAAGTAAGATATGAAGGAGGCGTTGAAGATGTTATACCATCTAAGAACTTGAGAGAATCTAAACCAACTCATCTGGGACCATTAGAGCGGGAGTACTGGAAAGATAAAAACATGCCAGAAAGAATAAGAAAATTCTTCTAAACTTTTTCGTTGGATGTAAATCAGACAAAAATAATGTTTAGGTGAAGAGGTGAGATTTCACCTGTTTTCTCACCTGTTTTTTCACCTCTTGAATTTTCATGAATTTTCACAAAAGACCAAAAAATATAATTTAGGTGAAGAGGTGAGATCTCACCTCTTTTTTCACCTAATTTTTCACCTCTTGAATTTTCATGAATTTTCACAAAAGACCAAAAATAATGTTTAGGTGAAGAGGTGAGATTTCACCTGTTTTCTCACCTGTTTTTTCACCTCTTGAATTTTCATGAATTTTCACAAAAGACCAAAAATAATGTTAGTTTTATTTTTATTTATTTTTTATTTTGTATAAAAGATATGATTTCAACAATCGGCACAACAACAATTCAAGCCGCGAACGGCGGGACTCTGTCCACAACAACAGCACCAAACTCGTTAGTCATGAATCCTACGTCAATGTTAGTAGAGATGGAAAGCTTCATTCCTTCTTCATTTACTTTCGAAACAAAAATCCAGAAGATAAAGCAGGAACTTTTAACAAGTAATTTAGACTGTAGTGCGAAAGATGAAACAAATGAACAGTATCTTTATGAAATGCAGGACATTATTGACCATTTACCCAAATTGCCTGAAATTCAGCATCAAAAACTAACTATTCCTGAATTCGACGAAATTGAAGTCAAAGCAACTGACTCAGTAGAAATAAAGAAGTTCATACGTAAAGTAAATTATGAATTCCTTGGTTTTCATTGCAACCATAAAGTTATGGACAAAGATTGCGATATGGTATATAAAAACATTTCTGACATATATAAATCTGAAGAATTTAAGACCTACGACAACTTTGTTTCGTTAGTTGCTGAATGTGTATGGCAGATAAGAGATAAAGATAGAAGAGGCAAAGTATGGAACGAACAAATAAGACCCGCTATGTTTGAGATGAAGAGAGCAATTGACGCCTTAGTTGTTTTAGCAGGTAAGGTTTCAATGTATAATGCAAAAATGAACCCACAATGTTCAAAATGTAAAGCAGCAATAAGGAAATATAACTACTCCGTCAAAGAGATAGAAAGAATGAGAAACGACTATGCAGACTTAAAGAAAGAAGCAGAAAAGCCAGCAGAAGATAAAATGGACATGTTAGCATTTCTGAACAAAAACTATCCAACAGTAGAAGATTTCCTTCTATCTGACGTCAAGAAGAAATATAAAGAGACTTTCGGCATTGTTAAAACTTTTGATATCCTCAGCGAAGAAATAGAAGCTACAAAACTGTTTAGGATTTCAAATATACATCGTACAATTCATGTAAAACGCTTGTGAAAAAAAGAGGTGAAAAATTAGGTGAAAAAAGAGGTGAAATCTCACCTCTTCACCTAAATTATATTTTTGGTCATTTACACTCATTTACGAAGAAGTTATGACAAAGTCAAGACCCTTTGGGTCTCGCCGCTTAGCGGCTGAGGGTGAAAAATTAGGTGAAAAAAGAGGTGAAATCTCACCTCTTCACCTAAATTATATTTTTGGTCATTTACACTCATTTACGAAGAAGTTATGACAAAGTCAAGACCCTTTGGGTCTCGCCGCTTAGCGGCTGAGGGTGAAAAATTAGGTGAAAAAAGAGGTGAAATCTCACCTCTTCACCTAAATTATATTTTTGGTCAAAGCTTCCACGAGAGAAAAGATTCCTCATTTGCTAAGGATTCCAAAAATGAAAAAATCGTTGATTTCGGCTGAGAAAAAAACGGCAAAAACCCTTCTTCCACGGGAACAAAGAAATAAAGAAGAAATAAAGTAAATTTTTTATTTATTCCCGTGGAAGATAGAGCACTTTTATGACACTTTTTATTCACGACAAACAAGACAAACAAAGAAAATAAGAAAATACGGCGCTGTCGCGGTTCGAACCACAGACTCTGACCCTCCATAACACCACCTTAGACCACTGTGCTACGTAGCCTGTCGACATAAGATTTTATAAATTGCATATTTGACGTAAATTTATTTCCATCTAGCTTCCCACCGCATAAGATATTCATACGTGTTTGTAAGACATTCATTAAAATTCTTTTCTATTACATCTAATCTTGCGTTATTTTTTTCAATAGCTTGTCTGTATTCTTCATCATCTCCAGCAGTGTTTGGGTCTTCACGTTTAAAATATTCATTGTTAACCAATTTTTTATCTACAAATTTTATTAGTGTTTGATTCACTTCGTTATGATAACGGTCATATTCTTTCAATACGTAAGTGAAGACAAAATGCGTCGTACCTTCAATCTTAAAGCTTAAAGAACTTTCAACACAGTTTTGAGGGTCTGTCAGTGCGTCAATGAGATAGTATTCGAAGTCAGTCAATAATCTTTTTAAAGTCATTTCATACAGGATAAAATTTAATGTTGTGAAGAAATAGTGTTTATCTCAAAAAAAATAAAGTTAGTTTTTATTTATTTATTTTTTTATCCTGTATGTAAAGACAGATATGTCAACATTAGAGAACACAACAACTGCCATCGTTCATGAAGCCATAAATGAAGAATACGAATACATACAGTATAACAAACAGTTACGTCTCATTCGTTCAGTCAAAGATGATATGTATCAAATGCAAAGTATAATGAACGCTCTTCGTTCTACAAAGCAAGCATATCATTGGTTTGAAAACCAACAGGCAAAAGAACTTTTAGAAGAATTTCCTCATATGATTGCTTCCCTCGGAAAACCGAGGGAAGAGATTCCGTACGAAAATCGCAAGAATTTGGCACCTGGTTTGAAAGGTTATTATGTTCATAGACTTTTAGTAAATGCTGTAGCAATGTGGGCTTCTACCTCGTTATGCTTGTTATATTTTCATGATGTTAGATGAACTATATAAAGCAGAACGTGGAGAGATGGAAAAGAAACTTCAAGCAAAAGATGAAGTCATTGAATCCAAAGACAAAAGCATACAGAAAAGAATACCACGTTCAGTACCAAAAGGAAAGGAAAAGAGTTATAAGTATATGATATATACTGAAGAGTTGGAGAAAGAAGAAGATAAAGATATGGTTATGTTGCATTTAGTCAGAAGAAACAACAAGAGCTTTTATGACCTTGCTAAGATTTACAAATCTGACAGAAACTGGTTCTATCGTGAAAACTTACCGATTTCAATGACACCGAATGAGCAAATAAAAGAAATTGTCAAAAATACTCTTCCTCAAACACACTATGACATCAAAGGTTGCACAATACTTACCTTCAAAGAAGACTTACCATTACTGAAGGAAAAAATAACAGAATATTTCGACAACTTCAAAGAGGAAGAATGAAGTCACGACAACATTAACGAAGAAGTCACGACAACATTAACGAAGAGAGAATGAGGTGAAAAAACAGGTGAAATCTCACCTCTTCACCAAAAATATTTTTGGTTAAATAGCTTCAGGGTCAATTTCTTCAACCATTTCACTTCCTTCGTCAATGTCAATAGAAGCTTCTTCAACCTTTGGTAAGAACTTTTGTATAACATCTTTGTTCGTTATTGTCTTCAGAGATGAAGGATAATATTTCACATTTATTTCACCCTTCTTATATTCTTTCTGTTCGGAAAGATTTAAAGCAATACTGAAGAAGTCAACGTTAGAGTTCTTTATGACAGTATAGTGTGTATCTTTGACATTCACGAAGAAACCCTTTTGTTTCAAAACTACTGCTAACTCTTGTGAAGTATAACGTTTGCGGTCAATGACATAGCTAATGGTCTGACATACTGACCAAACTTAGATTCTTTCACAAACTTCTTGTTAAAGATAACATTAACATTTGAAGCATTATTGAACTCATTCTTGATGGCAGTAGCGAGAGCATTGTATGAAAAGAACTTGCAATCTTGCATGTGTTTCATTAAAATAAAAATATTAAATTATTTTGAAAAATAACTTAAAAAAATGTAATCTAATTTTTCAAAAAATATTTTTTATCCGATAGAAAAGATGACAGAAAAATTAACTTTTTACATAGCGCCAGACCCTTCTTGCCCACATCTTTTTAAGCCACAATATATAGTCATAGAACTAAATAGAGAAAGCGAAATTCTACAAATAGAAGAAAGCGAAATTCTACAAACAGAAGAAACATATAGAGACCTAGATAACGAAAATGGATATGCACTATTCTGGTTAGATTGTCCTTATAAATGTATGAAAAAAAGGCTTTATATGAAGAATATAGAAAATATTGTCATGAAAACAATATAAGACCAAGCTCTAGAGAAAAATTCTATGCTGGTATAAAACATCTTTTCGAAGTTCGGAATGGCAAATATAGAAAGAAATAATTTTTCTAAGTTTATTTTTTCAAAAAATATTTTTTTATTTCCTACTAAAGATGTATCGGAAGTTGTCTAAGTTAGAACACTCGGAAATAAAACAACTTCTTACAGAAGCTAATATAGATGTTGCAAAGCATTACGCAACAAACAAAAAAGCACTCGCTGACTTCATTAAAGACTATAATGGTGCAATAAGTTATGATAGAATTCATGAGTTCATAAAGCCGCAACGCGGCGAGGACGAAGTCCATGCAAGAGCATTTCCTTTAAATGACATTGCTATTGACTTATATCATAGACGTTCAGTACCTCATGAAGTAAGAAGAGAAATGTTTGACATAACAAATGCGAACGTTGGTCATACTCGTAAAGCTCTTTCGCATGAAGTAAGAAGAGAAATGTTTGACATAACAAATGCAAACGTTGGTGAAACAAGAAGAAGAGACGACACACTGAAACAACAGAGAAGAGAGATGTTTAAAAGTGCTATAGAACAAGTTCGCAAAGCTAACGATGTCATTCGTTCCATTGACGACAAACCAAAAGAAGGTGAGAGATGGTTAAAGAAAGATGAAGAGAATAGGAAGAGAAATGTGAAGTCAGGCAATAGACTCATTGACTTTAACATCGAAGCTTTAGATGAACCAAACAGAGACTATTACACAAACATTTCGGTAAGGTTTTCATGAGACTCTTAGAGAAAATTAAAATAAACTCCAACAGAGATGGATGGTATGTTATAAACTTGGTGGAAAGTATGAATGTTCTACGTTAAACCTCAATAATATTGGAACATTACTACATCAGCTCTTGAAGGAGAACTTTATATCAGAGATAGAAGCAAATGCTGCAGGTATTGTTGAAATGCACTATGACTTCTTCTTGACAAACATAAAGAATCTTACTGAAATAAAGATGTATGATTTAACAGAATATGAAGGCTTAACGATGTCAGATGTAAAGAAAGGCAAACCAAAAAAGAGACCATATAGAGATGAAAGCACACTGACAAATGACCAGAAAGCCATTTTGGAAGCTCTTAAGCAAACAGGAAACCCAGCACTTATAGAAAGCTTTTGGAAAGATAATGGTGAAAAGAAGTTTTATAAGAAGAGAAGCGGTCAGTTCTGGAAGTATCTTTGCACATTACCTATAAATCTTGAACGCTACCAAATCTTCAATGAACTGAACAAAAGAACTGCAACACTTATGACAGAGGACAATTGTTTCGTTTATGCTTGCATTCAGGCTGGAGTAAATGAAGAAACTATTGACCACATGAGAGAAGTCATTCGTGTTAGAGACTTTCCTCAAAGTAAAGTACAAGAAATTTCTGACGCAACAGGTATAGCATTTAATGTTACCATTGGTTATTTCAATGACTCAAGACATAATGAAATAAAGAGATATATACCAAAAGAATGCGAAACTGTTAGAACTATTGACTTACTTCTTGTTGAAGACCACTACATGCTAAATGAAAGACTTCCAATGACAACATACTTCATTCGAAACTATAAAGAAATTCTCAAAGCTTGTGGTGGAATGAACATTGAGAAACAGATGAAGATTTATACAAAGAGAGAAGATAAATATGTAGTTCGTTATGATAGAACAACACCGTTATGGGATGTTATGAAAACATTGTGGGAGTGCAAATATTTCGAACCTATTTCTTATGGAGAACTTTTCACATATACTACTGACTTATATAAACAGAACCTTGCACCATTTAAAGATTTGACATATGCTCCAAAGTATTGTGTACAACTGAAGAAGAAAGCAGAGTCAAAAGAAGTAAATAAAGCTAAATGTAAATTCATACCTGAGCACGTTTTCTTTGCTGACTTTGAGTGTAGTACGGATGGCTTTCATAAAGCTTTTAACATCTGTTATGACAGTGAAGATGGTTCAGTTAGTGAAAGCATTTGGGGTCAAAACTGTGCAACAGAATTTTTGGAAAGACTTCCTGACAAGAGTTTAATATATTTCCATAACCTCAGTTATGACATAAACTTCATCTTAAGACACATGACAGAAGTGAAAGGAACTCCCATCATTAAAGGTTCACGAACAATGCAAATAACTGGTTATATAAAGGACGGGCAATTATTATAAAAGACTCTTACAGTGTTATAAATAAGAAGCTTAAACTATTTCCTGCTATGTTTAACTTACAAACAGGACCGAAAGAAGTATTTCCATATAACTACTACAGCAGTGTTTTGTTAGCAAATGACAACAGAACTGGTGTCATTTCTGAAGCATGTAAGTTTATCCATGATGCAGATACATTTATGAAGAACATAGATTCCATCAAAGGTTGCAGAATAGATGAAAACCACTTCGACTTAGAAAAATATAGCACGTTTTACTGCAAACAAGATGTAAGAATTTTAAGAGAAGGTTTTGTAAAGTTCCGCAATGACTTATTGAAAGAGTTTGATTTAAACGTTTATGACTACGTTAGTATTTGTTCTATTGCTAACAAATTGTTTGAGAACAGAGTATACTTCCCGAATGGAAATCTTTATGACCTCTCAAATAAACCAAGAGAATTTATTTCGAGATGCATTCAAGGTGGAAGATGTATGTTGTCAGATAACATGAAACAAAAGAGCAAAAAGAAACTCATTGCTGACTTCGACACTGTTTCATTATATCCTTCAGCTATAGCAAGACTTTATACTTTAGAAGGTATTCCAAAAGTATTGAAGGAAGATGTTAAGCACAGAGTATCTCATGAGACATTTATTCGATGATGACCAAAAGGAACCCATTGGTGAAAAGTTTATGTCTGGCTTCTTTGTTCTCATTAAGATAACAGAGATTGGTATACCCAGACACTTTCATTTAATAGTTTGCGACCCTGAACTAAATCCAGAACTTAACGTTCCAAGAAGTTCAAACACTTGCTGTCTCATGTATGTTGACCATATAACATTACAAGACCTCATAAAATATCAAGGTGTCAAATGTGAAGTGTTGCAAGGATACTATTACGATGGAAACAGAGATATGAGAATAAGAGATGAAGTAAAGAAGTTGTTTGAGTTAAGGTTAAAGTATAAGAAAGAAGAAAACCCCTTACAAGAAATTATAAAACTCATTCTGAACAGCATTTATGGCAAAACTATTCTATCTCCTATTGAGTCAAAAATAACCATAGTAAATGACAAAGATGCTATAAGATATGCTATAAGAAATTACAACCATATAGTGAAGTTCGAAGGTTTGGATGGTTCAGATAAAACTATTTTCAAGCTAACGAAAAGCATTTGCAGACACTTTAACTTCTGTCCACTTGGTGTTAATATTCTGTCTATGTCAAAACGTATTATGAATGAAGTATTCTGTACTGCAGAGGACATGGGACTTCAAATCTTTTACCAGGATACCGACAGTATGCACTTATATAATGAAGACATCCCAAAGCTTGCAGCAGAGTTTAAGAAGAGATATGGTCGCGAACTTATAGGAAAGAACCTTGGTCAATTTCATAGCGACTTTGCAGAAATAACACCTGGAAAACAAAGTTTAGCTTATAAAAGTATTTTCTGTGGAAAGAAGACCTACATAGACTTACTCACTAACGATTTAAATGAAGTTGCATTTCACTGCAGAATGAAAGGCGTGAAGCAAGATGTTATTGCTTTAACCGCTAATGAAATGTTTCCTGAAGCTATACAATGCTATTACAATGAAGATAAGAACATTCACATACCTGTTGGAACATATGACAAAGACTCTGAGTTCAGTTTAATGAAACTTTACAAAGCACTTCATGATGGTCAAGAGATTGCATTCGACTTATGTAAGTCATGTCAACCTTGCTTTGCTGAAAAGTTCAACTTTTCAATAACGACTAAAACAAGCTTTATTCGTAAGTTGAAGTTCTGAGGTCATTTATTTTTGTCAGCAATGAGGTCATTCGTGATAAAAATAAAGCTAGCGTAGATTTTACAATACTGCGATGGTAGAGTTTAAGAGTTGTGCTTCAATGTAGAGACAGTCCTTATGGTCTGGAGGCAAGAACACTGGACATTTATGGTCATGAGTGGAGAACATGTCTATCCAAAACTCACGATTGAAGCCAGTTAATTTATAGTATTTAGGGTTAGGAAGTGGTGAAGTTCTTGTATGACCAATGAACTCATTTTCAACTCCTTTACTTAAGTTTGAATATAATATAGCTTGCTTTCTATCCCAAATGCCAGGTGTTACAATCTTTGAAAATTCATTTTTCCTCGGAAGCATTGCATCATAATTGAAAACATTCTTAAAATCATCACTTGGTTCAGAGATTTGAAACTTATACGTAATGGATTTTTTTCTCTTTAGCGACTTCATTGAATGGTGAGAATACAATGAATTGACAGTCATGAGTTCCATCTTCATTTTCATTAAATTCATAATGAAAGTCTATAAGTTGTGGCTGACTACCTTCTTCTTTCAGTTGTGCAAGAAACTCACGTAAAGGCTGTAAAGTTTGTACTTCAATGTTGAACTTTTTCTCGAACATCTCATTAAATGAAATCATACATTGCAACAATGTTGTATCGTCTTTAAAGTATTTGTATATGTGAATGTTTTGGGCGCTTAAAGACTGTTCGTCATTTTCTATCTCGACTTGAAGTATAAAGTCAACCTTTCTGAAAGCACGTGTTATATACATAGATGTTATGCCAATGTACTTCTCTTCATTTATGTTCACAATCCAGTCTGTTGGAAACTTAAACGTTACTCTGTTCCCCTTTATTTTGACGTCAGGGTTTTCACTACTGAACGCAACAGATAAAGGTATTTGTCTATACATTTAGTTCGGATAAAAATAAACCATTTACTCTTTCTTTGCTTCAGCTTCTTTAGCTTTTGCTTCAGCTTCTTCTCTAGCTTTTTTCCAGCAAACGTGGGTTCTTTTCTTCCAGCAGCTAATGCAGCAAGTTGTTTTTCACTAAGTTTTCTCTTTGGTCTCTCTGGCTTTTGTTCTTGTTTTTGTTCCTTCAGTTCGGATAAAATTTGCTCACGAATTTCTTTCTTCAATGCTTCAACATCTATGACCTTGGGTCTTGTCCGTAGGGCTTGTCTGAGTCATTTGACTGCAGATAAAAAACAAATTAAAACTTTAACCGATGTAAAATGAGCTTGTCAAAATCAGAGCGAGAGTCTATTATATTAAATGACGCAAGAGGAATACAACATCCTTTCTATTACGTAAGTCAGAGTAAAGATGGTAAAATATACGTAAGAAAAAGAAAGGTTCCATTAGCGAATGCAGAGAGCGACAACATTAAGGTGCATGGCAAGGGTGAAGTCCACGAAGCCATATAAAACCTTCTGTTCAAACTGAGCAAAAAGAACAAGAAGAAAAGAAGCCAGATGTACTTTCAATAACGAACCAAGAGCTTATTGCAAAGTTCGTGAATTTCATTGAAAAACAAACCGAGTCAAAGAACCCTGACCCGCCAGTGAAAGAAGTTGAGACAAAAGAGAATGTACAGTTCATTGAAAATGTCAAGAAACAACTTCCACCACGAATGCCAAGAAGAAGAGTGAGAATAATGAAGTAAATAGATATTTTTATCTGAAGTAAATACATGCAGAACGAACAGCTAAACGAATTTACTCCAGCAGAGCATATTCATCAGATTCGCTCATATTTCGATATCATAGACAATGCAGTTCAAATTGGTGACACTAATAGAAAATATTCTGACGCAAAGATTCCATCACAACCTGGAACTGCTAAAGATAACACATGGGTAACATTCAATCTCTCACCTCCTGGTGAAAATATGTTGGACCTTTACAATACATTCATTACGTATAAAATGGAAGGTCAATTTATTGTAGATAAAGAAATTGGTTCAGGTTCCAATAAAACAAACCCACCAGGATTTTGGATTGGTTTCGATGACGCTTTCTATGCAGTTGCTGGATATCAAATCCTTGCAAATGGTCGTATCGTATATTCTCAAGACAACGCAAGAGAAGAAGCATATATAACTTCAAACTCACAAACTACCGAACAAATAAAGAAAGTAGATGTTTTCTCAAAGACTCGACATGAAGATGTATGGAGTCATTCGGGAACATGCAGAACAGGACAAATTGTTAGTGGTCCAATTACAGCAGGAAAATCATTTGATTTTAAGCTTCGTTTAAGAATTCCTGTTAGAAGATTCCTTCCATTAGAAGCTATTCGATTTATTCCAGCTTTTGCAGGAAACATTCAGCTTAAAGTAAAGTTCAGTAGCGACGCCTTACAATGCACATCTATATCTGTAAATGATATCATTGCTTTCAATCCAACTCTTAAAGTTGCATTTGCTTCAGATTCAAATCCACCGACAAATAAATTTGTTCCATGGAATGAACCATTCACTATGATAACGAAGGCAGTAGAAGCTAGTGGAACAGTTACTATTACAACTGTAACCCAGCAACTATTTCGAACAAAGATGGATTTTAATGAATGTTTCATTCATCCAAAGTCATTCTCTTTAGACCCTAACATTTATACAGAACTTGTAGAACATTATACAAACGAGGCTTTATGTTTTCCTGTTAAAGTTATGGATTGGATTCCTATGGACGGTTCATTCTCAAAGAATACAGATAGTTCAAGTGCAACATTTACAGCAGCTTATACGCCTATTAATGTTAAAAGTATTTGGGCACTATTTAGAAAGAAAGACAACTATTATGTTAATTTTGAGAACCCTAAGTTTAAATATCTTCAGCTTTCCATGGGAGCTTATGGAAATATGCCTGCAGAACCTGAAAAATCATATGGACCTGTATTTTATGAAATGGTTGCGAACGCTTGCAATACAAACAATGATATGATAGGATTTAATGAAGATGTTATGAGGTCATTGGTGGATGATGGTAGTGTGGAACATAAATGGGATAGCTATGACAACACACATTTCTTATGTGGTTTTCCAACAGAAGTGGACTTTTGCTTCCAACAAGGTCAAACATCTACTGCTCCAATAACATACAAATTGTCTGTTAAAGGACCTATTGAACTAGCAACTGAAAACGTACCAAAGCCACTTATTGGATTTATGAGGGATTGTTGCTTTGCCATTCAGGTGCGTGCTAATGGCATCCCATAATAAGATTAGATGACTATAACTTAGCACGGACGACAGTGAGGAATAAAGGATGAACGTTTATTTTTAAAGCTTATAAATGAGTTCTTCATCAAGCTCTCGCGAACCTTCACCATCTATGAAACAAACTTTACCAAACGATTATGGAGCACCTATTGAATATTTCTTACGAGCTGCACAATGGCAAAGAGCAGTTTCACCAAGGTTAGGTGTTCCACCAGCTCCTGTCAAAAATAGCATTTGGTCAAGTCCTTATATAAGATATGGTCTCCCACTAGGTTTGCTAGCTACAGCAGGAGCAGTTATGATGTTGAAAAGAAATAAAGCAAATGTTATAAATAATACTGAAGTAGCTGAAGTTAAACAAACTCCAACACCATCACAAACAACACCTTCAATGACTCCTGAACCTATGAAAGTACAAACTCCTGTTCAAAAGTCAACTCCTAAACCGACTCCAACATTTAAACCAGAACCCACGCCTCAAATAAATCGTAAAACTCCTGCGTTTCCTTACTGAAAAAATAACGTTATTTTTATTTAATATTAAAATTTTTATTTGATTGAAATGACGACTAAAGTCACTGAAGCAATGAAACAAAAGTTTTTGGTAGAATACATTAAATCAGGAACTATTCCAGAAGGTTTTTACATTCATACTATGAAGGATGGTAGAGTTCAGTTTAGAAAGATAAAGCAACCATTAGATAGAGAAGGTATATTAAGGAAGATTAAACTTCATGAGGACAACATTGCTGAACTTAAGAAGAAGTTAGAAGAGTTGGAGAAAGGAAGAGAGTTATAAAGCAATGAATTCAAGTGGGTGAAAAAACAGGTGAAAAAAGAGGTGAGATCTCACCACTTCACCTAAATTTATTTTTGTGCTATGTTTTCATACGTGTGGGAGTGGTGATATTATTAATTTTTAAGTTTATTTTTTATTTTACTGAAAATTTTTATTTGGATGTAAATGACAGAACAAAAGCAACTCATTCGAATTCCACAGTATAACAAACATACATTTAAACATTTATTCTTCCTTCCTGAGCATAACATGTTCTTTCAAATACATCCGAGACCAGTTGACTTTTCATTGACTGTTTATAAAGATAGAAATAGTTATATCATTAAACCATACGATGACGAAGGTAAGTTATGTAAATTGTACGTTAAGAAGTTAGAGAAAGTTTATGGCTTCAAGTATGACTACAATAGGGTTAACACTGATGATGAAGATATTGAGGAAAATTTATGAGAACATTAGTGAAGTCGTTGTGTGAACGATAGTGAGAACGTTTATTTTTACATTAGTGAAGTCGTTAGCGAAAATGTTGGTGAGGTGAAGTGGTTGGCGGCTTTATAAATATTTAAGGTTAAGTTGGTGTTTGTGTTTGTGTTGTAAAATTTACGTTAACGGTTTTGTAAAGTGTCAAATTCACAAGTATTGGGTAAGGAGAAACGCAGTGCCGTCGTACCCAACATAACCATACTAACTTCAATATGCTTGGTTTAATGCTTATCCAGCTTAAATTCCATATGATAGATTGTAGAATGATTGTCTATCATAACAACTTTGTATTTCTAATATATATGTCAAGCTTAAATCTCAAATGATCTCTTCTAAAAAAAGAAAGAAATGAAAATCAAATAAAATTATTTTTTATCAAAGATAAAAAGAACAAACAAATAAATAAATTCATATACCCTTAAGTTCATGCCTTGCAAAAATTTTTTTATATGGTGAAACTTATTATTCATTTTGAGATACAAGAAATGAGAAATAGACAATATAGTTATAGATATAGATGGGTCTCCTGCTAGAGATTAATCCTATGTAGTTTTTATAAGAATATAAGATATTCAAATTTGATTTATCTCATTAAAGTTAAAAATAAAAACTAACATTAAAAATAGTGTTTTTATGATATAACTATGCTATATATATAAAAAATTGAAAAAAATAAATAAATAATTTAAAAATCGAAAATTGAAAAGTCAGTGGCTTAAACGATTCAGCTTCTTATTAGAAATCTAATTTTTAAGAAATGAGGGAAAACAAATCAATATTGACAAATTAATAAATCACATTTTAACGCTTAGATATTATTCAAATATATCCTTTTTAAAAGATTTGATATGGTATGACATTTTTACTGCCGAAGTTTCGAAAACACTTAAATCAAATAACAATAATGCAAATTTCAAATTCAGGGCAAAATATGGTGAATAACCAGGATCAGAGGTGGACATCGGCTTTATGATATGCAAAATAAGATAATAAAGCTTAATAGCGAAATGTAAAAAACATGAAGATTTTGGGGTTAAAATAAGTTGAAAATAATTTTTATGATATGAGTATTATACGTGCTATTTCAGAATGCGAAAATCTCAATTTTGTCAAAAATTACAACCGTTTTAAAATTGAATGGGAAAAAATTATAGTAAAGTTAATACTGATATTATATTAACCAAATATAGATATTAAAAATAAGAGGTTAAATTTAGCTTTGTGGAAAAATTCTGAATTTTTGAATTGAATTTTAAAAATGTTAAACTGATATAAAAAAATTAAGCGTGAATAGGTAAGAGAGGATGATATTTTCATTTAAATTTCCCATAATGAAACATTGTTACGAATAGGATAATTGAATAAGGAATTTTTTGTGATAAGAGAGTGATATCAGTTTTAATATCATAAGACGAAATGGTGGAAGTGAACTCAAAATAAGAGTAATTAGGTTATTTTGCCGACCAAATATATTTACAAGGCAAAATATCATATTACATGTCAACCTATTATCAGTATGTTTTGATAAAAAAAATTTTATCAAATATCATATTAAAATTAACATCTATATCTATATCAATATCTACACTATAAATTTTTTTATTCAATATCATAGATTTCAAAAATTTATTTCAATTTTAAATTAATTTATGGTTTTCATCAAAATTGTTTTTTATTAAAAAGCATGTTTCACAATTTTTACGGTTTCTTTCAAAAGTTATAAAATTTCAGATGAGTCGAAAGATCTACGATCTAATTGATATAAATTGGATTCAATCTGCAATTGAACAAATTAATCAAGGTCAAAAACTCAAAACAATACTTAGCAATGTCCAACTCACTGATGGACGCATTATACCATCAATATCTAAAAAAACATTCCACTTAGCAATTAAATCAAATGGAATTCCTGACACAAAATTTAAACCAGGGCGTAATTCCTTTAATGTCAGTATTAATAGTGAAACATTTGTTTTAGTTTTAGTTCTAGGCGATTGATAAGGTAGGATTAAGAGTTCGAGTACTATGATTTTCAATTTATTGGAGAAAATTGCTTGAAAAGAGAAATTTTAGTACCATTGTGCTAGCTGAGAAGTCCACAGACATAGGAAATGGAAACTATAATTAGACAAAAAGGTGTGACGAAATGTAATTTTTGTTACATAGAATTTTTTTCAATGCCAACCTTCTAAAATTTTTCATTTAATAGACTTATACACTGGTTTATTTAATTGTTTTCAGTTTATAATTAGCCACTAAAGAATTGAATTTATGCGATCGATAATTTTAAAGATCTTACTTTATAAGGATTCTTTTAATTAAAATCCTTAACTATTCAATGTGATTTGAATACATTAAGGGTGCACACGAGAGGATCATGTAAACTTCAGAATTTAGAACCTTATTTTTAGGCATTATCTTGGCTACCTATTTAGGCTCGAAAAGCAAAAAATATCAAAAAATACAACTTGACTCCATTATGACCCTTTCATGGAGGTAGTTTTTATCCGCTAGTATTTTCCCTTTGAATCTCTTTACAATTCGAAATCAAATTCAAAACTCAGTAGAAGAAAGGAAGAATCGACTTACTACGGTTGTAATACGAATAAATACATATATTTAATTATTTTTATTTACATAATAATTGTTTGAAGCTCATATTCCATCAAATTTTTAAATAAAAACATTAAAATGTTGAAAATGTTCATATATTTTAATAGGGTTTTGGCACTTTATTGAGGAATTACTACATACATAGTCGAACTGAACTTGATATTTTGAAATTTAAATTATTTATCAAAATTAAAATTTAACTTGAAATTTATAATTATTTAGTCATATTTTGCATAATTCTAAGTAGATTTTGTAAAAAATCAAGAAAGAAAAATTTTAACGTGCTTTATTTTTTCTTTTTTATAATAATACATATTATTATATAATTAACATATTCATAATGTTTCACCCTTTCAAAAATATAATCCTCCTCCTCTCAAATAAACGTACATACGGGTGGCCTCTTTTTTCAAAAAATTAAAATTTGAAATTTTGGGCTCAAATATTAGAGATTTTTTCAACCTTCAACGATATATGTTGTCTATATCAGACCTCCTTTCTTTTTGATACTTAACATTGTTTCTAAATCTTAGCCGTTAAGGCTGTTCTGAAAATATTTTTTTTTCGAAAAAATTCGAAAAAAATTCTTAAAATTCAAAAATCCCTTAATTCCTGAGGATTTTGGGAAAAAGTTTTTACATGAACATGTGTATATTATATGAAGTATATTGATAAGGTAAAAATCAAATTTTATTGCATATTCATCGAGAAAATAAACTAACGAATCCCTCAAAATTGAGAGGGTAATCCTCCTCCTCTCAAATAAACGTACATACGGGTGCACCCTTAATTTTTCACCCAAAACAATAATATCATAACTAACAATCAAAAGTAGTAAAAATACTTGCGTAAATAATCCTCAGGATTGGTTATTTTTTGAATGATGCTTTTTTGAATTTTGCAAATTACCTCAGACTTTTCAGAGGATTGAGTGGCAACTCAATCCTCTGAAATAGTCTGTGGTAATTTTTAGTCTCTACACTAGTTCAATATAAGCTCCATTTTTAAACAGTTTTTAAAAATCGAGCATTGAAAAGTGTGATGAGACTTAGAAATTATTTCTGATTGATAACTGTTAAATCTTTTAACAATCATTTGTGCGAACGAAACCTTCCCAACGAATAAAAGACGATAAGCTTTTGAGAAATAATTCATTTTTAAAAATCCCTGGTCGGGAACAACCAATTAGATGAATAATAATATTGTAATAAACAGAAATTCATCAAAAGTGACAGCTCTCAATTTTTTGACATTTGTAAATTCTAAATTGAATGAGAAAAATGAAATAATACTAAGCATAATACAAAATTCTAGATTTAATTATAATTAGGAAAAAGTTAGTTTTGAGAGTACTTTTCATAGGCATATAGAATGAAATCTTCTGAAAAATAATATCACATAAACTCATATTATTTTCTAATATATAACTATTTTATATAAAAATCAAATTCAATGATCTTAAAAGCGAAGGATAAACCTCAAAATTTACGAATATAATGAGTGGGAATATAATGCTTATCTATCATAAAACCATATGAAATATCAATTTTTGCTTTACGCCTAATTTTTGACGACAATTAGCAAAAAATGTTAAATGTTAACACTCAGTCCATTTGAATATGAAAAATAAAATTGACTTTGATTAAATGTTTTTATTTATCATGCAATTCTTCTTGCGACCAAAGATTTGAATAAAAGTTCAAAAAATAAGATAGCTTAAAAAATAATATACGGTAGTGTTTACTAATAGATGAATAGTATATAAATTCTATTAAAATGGATTTGATCCAAAAAAATATATAAAATTTGATCATAAATAAAATCGTTTTAAATTACTTCTTCATTTAAATTATAACAATTATTTTTGGTTTTATATTTTTTTGGATCAAATCCATTTTAATAGAATTTATATACTATTCATCTATTAGTAAACACTACCGTATATTATTTTTTAAGCTATCTTATTTTTTGAACTTTTATTCAAATCTTTGGTCGCAAGAAGAATTGCATGATAAATAAAAACATTTAATCAAAGTCAATTTTATTTTTCATATTCAAATGGACTGAGTGTTAACATTTAACATTTTTTGCTAATTGTCGTCAAAAATTAGGCGTAAAGCAAAAATTGATATTTCATATGGTTTTATGATAGATAAGCATTATATTCCCACTCATTATATTCGTAAATTTTGAGGTTTATCCTTCGCTTTTAAGATCATTGAATTTGATTTTTATATAAAATAGTTATATATTAGAAAATAATATGAGTTTATGTGATATTATTTTTCAGAAGATTTTGTGTTCTTCTTCAAAATTTTATTTTTTTATTAAAAAGAATCTTTACACAATATACATTTACTTTAATTAATATTTAAAAACGTGCTCTATCAAAAGTTCCAAAAATTCAATATTTTAGCTTTTCTGAGGTGTCACTTTTGATGAATTTCTGTTTACAACAATATCTCTTTACCTCGTTAGCAAAAATTGAACGCGAAAGTATTTGTGAGGAATAATCACCGAATCATTTAGCATTTTTGATATATGACTAATATGGGATAAAATTTCAAATCAACCATTTTCTCCCTATTGAAATTGTTTTAATAACTTCTCAAAAGTTTACACTTTTCTAGCATCTAAAAAAGTCAATAATATTATGTAGCTCCAGGTTATTAATCTATTCTCTACATTCAACCAAATTTTCATTTTAAATTTATCGTTATAACATTTTTATTAAACATGCATTTGCATTTAGATGAAGATTTTATTAGAGAATCATTACTTTCCCGTGGTTATACAATGCATCAAAGTGTTGGTTCTGGCAACTTTGGAGCTTGTTATTTGGTTTTCAGTCACAAATACAAACAAGATTTTGTTTGCAAAGTAACCATAAACAAAATAGAAAATAAAATGTTCGAAGACTCTTACAAAAGAGAGGTTCAGGCGTTAATTAATTTCACTCATCCCAATATACTACGATCTTACGAAGTTTTTACGGATAAAGATTACATGTTTATGATATTAGAATATTGTGGAGGTGGAAATATTATGGACCATGTTAAGGAGCATGGTCTAATGAAACCGTTTGATTTAATTAGGTACACTTCTCAAGTTATAGATTCTTTAGACTATATTCATTCCCTTGGATATGCTCATCGCGATATTAAACCACAAAACATTCTTATAGATAACAATGGACGCATTAAATTAGCAGATTTCGGTCTTATAGATAATTTTGATGATCCAAGTTCGGAAAAGAAAGTATGTGGTTCGCTTCAATTTATGGCCACTGAGCTATTGAGAGATGAAAACTATGACCCAAAGAAAGTAGACATTTGGGCATTAGGAGTTACTATTCATAAATACGCATTAGGTTATGTTCCATTTAATGGATTTACCGTCGACCAAATGTTAGAAGAAATAGATCAAGGATATAAGCAAACTAAGACAATTCCTCCACCACTTTCGATTATCGTCCAACTATGTCTTCAAAAAGAGCCTGCAAAACGTCCCACAATGGCTCAGCTTAAACAGATAATGTCACAAGCAATCAACCCTAACCTTGCAAAGAGATATTCAAGTTTAAGGAATAAGATCAAGCCATTCACACCTGGCCCAGCTATTGTAGTACCTCGTTTCAGGTACTTCTCAGTATAATATGTGAAGAAAATAGAATTAGTTATATGTCTTTTGTTTGTTATTTTGTGTTAATAAAATATAGTTCAAATTCAAATTAATACTATTACTGGAAAGCATTTCACCTAGCAATGCTCTATCACTGATCGTAATCTGATCATTGAATCAGAGACAGAGAAGATTTTATATTGAATAGTTGTAAACTGTGTGTAACGAGGAAGCATACATATTCTTTCTATGATGATGACAGTTGATGCAAAGCTGTAATCAGTTATAATCTTTATCTCCTCATCATGAATATTGAAATTTATATATCCGTACAATAAATAAACCTGATGTTAAAACTTATTTTAGATTAACAATTATATCTTAATGCAATGGCATTTATACGTTATACAGAATTAGTATATGTCACCTTCTCAACGATACTAGTATTACTTAAGAATTATAAAATAAGTTATGTTTTGACTGAAGATGAATAACTTAAAACGATTCTAACTTAATTTGTAGCCAAAGTGTTTGTGATCTGATATGATGAAATTTTATTTGGTGAATATTTGGTCGATAATTTGATTTGAATTCATTTATTGCACATTATTTAAAGCTTGTAATACATAAAAAACCAACTTAAGTGAATAGATATCATTCGTGCTCAATGACAACATCTGGTATCTCTCAAGAAGAAATAATAAATATTTTTTGCTTCATGGAAAAATATGTCAAATGAGAGACTCAAATGTAAATTCTTAATATAATCACGATTATGTGGTACTTTAATGTCAATTCCCAAAACAATTTAATCATAATTGAGAAACATATACGATAAGAATTTATAGTAAACTACGATTCTCAGAAGAATGATAGCAATAGACTCAAATCTATAAAATGATTCTCAAAGTAAAAATAAAGGTTAAAAGTGTAATCTGAATTCTATCGAAAACAACAAAAAGTCCTTCGGTAATGTATTTATTTCAACCGGTTGTTCGTCAAATAAACCTTGTTAAATGCATTAAATACACTTTTAGAATGATGAAAGGTAAAAATATTACCGTATAACATCTAGAAGTTTGATTTTGCAAATTGAGAGTAGATTGGTCCAAATCTCTCAGAAAAAATGTCAAAAATCATTATTAAATTTGTTCATAAAATTTATTTAAAAATGATTGATTCAGGGAATTCTCATATGCAGCGGTTACAGGTCACTTTGAAAACTATTTGAATTAAATTTATGAAGATGAGTGGAATCGTTAGTACTCTTGTAATGTATTATTAAAACATTGATTATGCCAAAATCATAAAATTCAATAAAATAAAAACAATACATTTTTATTATGGAAAACGCTGTTGACACAGAGTGTCAAATCGATCCTGAATTAAAAGTAGAATCATCAAGTTCAACATCCACATCTTCAGACACAAAATCCGAATCAGACGACAAAAAAGAAAATGAAAATCCCGATGCATGTCTAGACAATGATAAAAACGAAACTACTGATGAGCTCAGAGTTGGAAGATTTGTTACGGTTATAAATCTGTTGAACTCTTTGCTTGGAGCAAGTATTTTCTCATTACCCGGTAAATTCAAAGAAGTCGGAATTATTCCTTCTGTTATTCTTCTCGCTGTTGCTGCATATGTATCATATATCTGTACTGTTATTCTTGTTCGTATACAAAAAGAAGTTAATGGAGCAGGTATGGATGATATCGCCCTAAAAGTCTTTGGACATGTAGGACAAGTAATTGTTTCTGTCATTTCCTTGGCTTTCTGCATCTCTGGTGTTTTGGCCTATATCGTAATTGCCTGTGATGTAATTCAGCAGTGGTTCACCCTTAAGGGCATCTCTGTTAGCTACTTCGCACGCGTTGGAATCACCATTGTATACAGTATTTTGCCGATCTCCTTATCAATCCCAAGATCTCTCAAGTTCTTGTCATATTTCTCCTCTCTTACTATTATAATCATGCTCTTCTATGTTTTGGTCGTAATCATTAGAGCTCCAAAGATTATTCCACAGCAGAATTTCAAAGATTCTAACTTCAAGATTGCCAATTTTGGTATCGGCATATTCTCTGCTATCTCAATCTTCTTCCTCAACTTCACATTGCCCATTACAACATTGCCGATTATCGAGAAATACAATAAGGATCTTAGGAAGAGAAATATTGCTTTGATGTTCACATGTATTTGTTGTTTCCTTATTTTGGCTGTTCCTGGAGCGATCGGATACCTTATGGTATTCGATTCAAATACTTCTGAGTTAATCTTCTCGTATGAAAAGTTCCAGAAGGATATATTATTCAATATTGTCAAAGGTGGCTGTTTAGTTGCCGTTTCTTGCTCATATCCAGTCTTTTGCAAGCCAATTCTTGCAACATGGTCGCAATTCTTCTTCAAAGAGAATGATGCTTACAACCTTTCTATTGGAAAACTAACTATTGTTCATATAATCTCTCATACCATTCCTGTTCTTATTGCGGCCTTTTATCCAAAGGTTATGACATTACTTGATTTTGTCGGATCTTTCGGCTGCTTGATAGATATTACTGTTCCTGGTTTGCTATACTATATGTTCTACAAGCCATCAGTTGCCTCATTCTCATTCTGGGGATCTTGGTTCCTCGTTATTTTGGGAATTTTTGTAGCAATTGCAACTATTGTTCTAAATGTTAAGAGTATCGTTGGATGAGCATAGCTCTTATAGAGATAATAAAGTGTTTGCGGTTTATACAACCTCTTTCTCTATTATTTTTATAATTTAATCTAATTTCTCTATTGAATTCAAGAGTCATTCACTAGAATAGTTTTTCTTTGCATATACTTAAATACGAAAATAATCATGGTAATATTTTATTGATGAACAAATTAAAAATACAAATTTGAATCTAAATTAAAATGTTTCTCTTGTAGATCCATTAATGTATTATATTATCTAACAACATAACAATATAAAGGTGAAATATCACATTCTTTTTGTCGAGTAGTCCTCTATAATATTCAATATATCTTGATTATTCTTCTGTTTTGCAAAGTCTAAACAATCATGTAAATCATCTGTATTAATATACAATTTCGCTCCTTTTGAAAGTAATATCATGACAATATCTATATTTTCTAAGTTGATTGCATAATATAATGCTGATTTTCCTTCAAAATCTAATAAATTTATATCAGCATTAAATGAAATCAACAGTGAACAAATTGGAATTTTTTGGTGAATAATTGAATTCATTAATGGAGTTCTTCCATCAATGTCTGGTATGTTTGGATTGGCATTTTTCGATAATAAAAATTGAGCACAAATTATTGAATCAGAGCTAACTTCGTTTAATGGAGTTAATCCGTTCTTATCAGGATTATTTATATTTGCACCTGCGGCTAAAAGGCTTTCCATCATTTTAACATCTCTCCATTTTGCAGCATAATTCATCGCTGAGTTTTGATCATAGAAATAATTAATATTTCTTGTAATCTTCGAAAGAAAGGTAACGCAATTTGTATTTCCATTCATTGCAGCTAAAAGCAAAGGCGTATAGCCTTCGCTTGTTGGTTCATCACATGGCATTCCGACCTTAACTAAGTATTTCAATATTTTTAAATGTCCGTTTCTTGCAGCGAGAGAAGTAGCCAATTGTCCTCTGTAGTTTTTTCCACTCAAAGCACCATGATGAACCAAAAAATGAACGAGATCATATCTACCAAATGATGATGCAACATGAAGTGGTGAATTAAATCCTTCATCCAAAAAAGTACCACCTTTGAATCTTGTCCATTTTGCATCTACTTCTTTGATTAAACTTTTTACGGCTTTAAATGGAGAGATCTCATGAAGCCATTTAAATGAATTACTGTAAAATCCATCCCAATGTTTCAGGTATCCCTTATGATATAATAAGAAAGAAGTGCATAATGTGTTGCATTTTTCAATGCAAAATGGAAGCGTAACTTTCTCGCATCAATAATTCTCTAGAAGATATTTGCAAATCTTATGTCTATGGTAAGCAACTGCATAAGTGAAGCATTCACCAAATTCAGCGCCTTTATTAATGCATAGTTTCATAATTTCGAAATTTCCTCCTTCTACAACGGCCTGTAATAATTTTTTGTTTATTACGATCGAATCCATGATTGTCAAGAACTTAAAGATCTTAAAAGCAGAGAACCAAGCAGCAAAAGCATCTACAGTAAATGTAAGTGTGAATTTTGAGCCAAAATTATTGTCAATTTCAATAACTTTGCCGCTAAAATCCTTTTGGAAAAAATGATAAATAAAAACATCAATATCGTCAGAAACAATGCAATTAAAAATTGATGATGCATCGAATATTTCTATTATCTCTTGTGAGCTTCCTTTCATTGAATGCCATTTCTCGAAAAGCTGTTTCTGGTTTGGAGAAATTAATCCTTTTTCGTTCAACAAAAATGAAAAAGGACTGAGTTTATATACGTTATTTGTTGGTCCAAGCACTCTGCAGAGATCATAATATAGCTTGAAATTGAATCTTCTAACAGCTGCAGCTGCGATTATTAGGCAATATAATGTGTTTTTATTTTCGGGTAAATATTCTTTAATTTTAGAGAGCGTTTCATTGAACGAATCGTCATTCAGATTGAATATCAACTCCTCTAAAGTATACCAATCATAAAAACACCATGGAACCACAGATAGCTCAAAAGTGCACAGATTCAACACTTCTGCCATCTGTCACTTTTTTGGATTGTAAACGTATACATCTGTTTTTTTATTTGCATAATTATTGTCATAGGTAGCTTGTATTGTGTGTATAGCATTTAATAAATTAAATTTACGAAATTATCCATATTGAACGGTGATTTTAGAACCGTGTAAAAAAACTTCAAATGAATAGTTGTCATTGATGGCATAGACAATACTGTATTATATGTGATGTAGAAATGTGATATGGAGAAAATAACCCAAGACAATTCATGATAGAGTTAATGTTAATACGATTATCTCTTAGGAGATGATTCTTTATTCAAAAATAGAAGGATTAAAACAAGGTATGACTAGTATTCTCATGAATAATATACAACATCAATTATTAGTGATGTTAGATGAATAATAAATTGTGAGATGCAAGTATTATGGACAAGTGCCATAATCATCACAAAGAAATCTTATAAAACAATAGGTGCTAATACAGTGAAGATTTTTAAACGGTTAATTTTTTTCACAAAAAAATGAACGTTCCAATCGAAGCACCAATAGAAATCAAAAAGAAAATAGCTAAAAAACTTCAGAAATCCGGCGCCCTTAAGCGTATTGAAAGAAAGATTAAACTTGGCATGATGGTTGCCGTTGAAGAAATCAAATCCGAACCAACAGAAAAGACTCACTTAGAAAGACTTCCATTTAAGGATGCTACGATTAATGAAATCAAAGGATTGCAGGCAATATATGCATATTTAGCAAAGCGTAACATGACATATACATTATCAACATTGCTTGAAGAATCATGCGTTAAACGTCAAGCAAATAGCAATTATGATCTATTAGAAGTACTTGAATCTGCAAATCAGCGTAGTTTTGATGAAGATGAAATAGTTCCATCTGTTAAGAAGCTCTTACCTCAAAAACAGTCACCAAAAGCCCAAAACAAGAAGAATACAAAGATATTATCAAATGATTATAGCGATGATTACGATGAATTGTAAAATTATTTGTTTTTTCATAACCTATTGGAATTTTTTTAATGAGTATGTGTTAGAACAGGAGGAAAAATGGAAGTTATAATTAAAATTAGAGGTTTTTTTAAAACTTAAAAAAAAATTAAGTCAAATTTAGAATGGGTATCTTCTGAAAGCCTCGATGGCCTGGTATTTTGGGAATCCGAGGTTTCTGAAGCGTTCAGCTGTAGCTCTGTTTCTAGCCTCAGCGCGCTGCCAGAATTCTCTTGGGTCATCGCCAAGGAATGGAGCGCCATCCTTCTGGGACTGGTGGAAGAAGATAGCCTTTCTCTTTCTCATGACCTGTTCCTGTGTCATTGGGATAGCCATTTCGATCTCTTCCATGTTGTATTCCATCCAAGCACCACGGTAGAGCCAGAGTGTGACATCCTTCATCCATGGCTGGTTCTTCAGTCTGTGGAGGGACTCGTTGACGCCATCGAAGCAGACCTTGTGTGTGCCGTGTGGATCAGCGAAGTCGCCAGCAGCGAAGATGAGGTCTGGCTTGACAGACTCGATGAGATCCATGATGATCTTGTAGTCAGCCTCGCCGATTGGGAGCTTCTTCTCGCCACCGGATTCGTAGAATGGTAAGTTAAGGTGGTGGACTCTCTCATCTGGAACGCCGAGGAATCTTGTAGCACCGATTGACTCGTACTTTCTGATTCTTGTCTTAAGGCCGCGGACATCCATTGAATCCTTCTCTGTTGGCTTTCTTGTCTTGAGGAAGTGGATCATCTCGTCGAGCTTCTTGTCGTTTGTTAAGCCAAGAGCCTTGAAGACTTCGCAGTATCTGAGAGCTTCTGTGTCAGCAACAGCGTAGTTGCCGGATGTCTCGTAAGCGACGTGAACTTCGTTGCCCTGCTCAACAAGTCTGTCGAACATGCCACCCATTGAGATAACATCGTCATCTGGATGTGGTGAGAAGATGATGATCTTCTTCTTCTGACCGTTTGTTGGTGTGTTTGTGATTGTGGACTGGATCTTGGCGAAGACGCAGTTGTTGACCTCGTAAGCGGACTTATCAGCAATAATAGCGGCAAGGCCGTTGTTATTGTAGTCATCGTCTGTGAGAGCGAGGAGTGGCTTGTGGAGCTTCTCGGCAAGCCAAACAATGGCCTTAACCTTGAGGTCCTCTGTCCATTCGACATCGCTAACTGTCCATGGCTGTGTGATTCTTGTTAAGTAGACAGCAGCATCTGTATCCATGACGATGGTGGCGTTGTTATGGGTCTGTAAGTATGTAGCTGGGAGCTCTGTTGAGATCTCGCCTTCGATAGCACGCTTGATGACGGATGCCTTGTTATAGCCCCATGCCATGAGGATGATACGCTTGGCGCCGAGAACAGAGTGAACACCCATTGTGACAGCCTGCTTTGGAACGTTCTTGATGCCCTTGAAAGCTGGAGCTGCATCAGATCTTGTGAGATGGTTGAGTGTAAGGAGTCTTGTGCCGGAGTTGATGTTGGATCTTGGCTCGTTGAAGCCAATATGGCCAGTTCTGCCGATGCCAAGAAGCTGGAAATCTAAGCCACCAGCATCAAGGATCATTTGATCATATTGCTTGCAGAATTCTTCAACATGGGCTCTGTCAACGCGGCCGTCTGGGATATGGACGTTAGCCTCGTCGATATCGATGTGGTTGAAGAGATGATAGTGCATGAAATAGTAGTAGCTCTGATCATTCTCTCTCTCCATTGGATAGTACTCATCAAGGTTGAATGTGATGACATTCTTGAAGGATAAGCCTTCTTCCTTGTGCATGCGAACTAATTCTTGGTAAGCTTTGATTGGGGAGGATCCTGTAGCAAGACCTAAGACAGCCTTCTTGCCCTGAGCGTTTTTCTCGCGGATGATGGATGCAATTTCGCGAGCGATGGCCTTTGAGCCTTCTAATTGGTTATCGAAAACAACATTGTGGATCTTTTCATTACGGGCAATTTCAAATGTGCCTGGTCTCTGGTAGGCAAGTGGGTTGACTAAATTCTTGCCATAAAAGCCTTCAGCTGCATTATTAACATGCTCTCCGGCAACGCCAGAGGCTGTTGTCTTATCAGCTGACTGCGAGAAGCAAAGGTAGCTTAAAAAGACAAACATTATGTTTTTACTTCCCTTTCAATTTTTTGATCGCTGCTGATTCACAAATCGTTTTCATAGTTATTTAAGTGGTCGGATTATCTTTGATGATTTTGTTATATGGAATAATTATTAATTATAATTGATGAAGTGCCGCTAAATAATAATATTTCCGCGATCTTTAGAATTTTGTGAAAGATTTTGTGAAGATTACGCCTTATTTAGTGGAAAATGGTATAAATAACAAGTATAATAGATAACTGGCTATTTCTAACATGGATAAAATAAGCTAGTGTGAAGTGGATATATATTTCAACATTTCAAGCACTTCACTCTGGCAAACTAAAAAGAAAATCAATTATTTCACAAACTGTATTTTACATTAAATATATGAAGATCTAACTAAATTATGGGTGGTTGCACAATCAGACGACAATTCAAGAAGATAAGATCAATAAAAAAGATTTTGATAGCGCGGGTTATTAATTTGGAATTGAAAACATGCAAATACTTTAAAAATGGAATTGATTCAACGAGTTTATGTTTTGAATTACCCATTCAAAGTTTCAGAAATGTTTCGTCCATAGTATGACAGTCGGTTCCAGAATGAAAATAAGTCATTTATAGATTCAATAAATGGTTTGTAAATCAAAATATCCTCTTTTCAAAAATAAATTTCCAGAAATATTGAAATCGGTATTTTTTCAATATTAACACTGTATGTGTCGACATTTTGGACTTAAATGGGCAAATTAAGCCCACTATTGAAAACAATAAAAGCTTGCCGATGAATTCCAAAAATATTTCTTCAATTTTATAATATCTTATTGCTTTCGGCTTTAGAATTATTTGGTGAGGATAGTAAACACTTTTTCAAAGTCATTTCGATATTAAATAAATCAATTGAATATTCAAATTGAAAAATATGCCTATTTTGTTGAAAAACCTTGCTAATATAATCTTCACATATACCTTATATCAAAAATCATTCGGGAAAACTTCAAAAAAAATCTGAAATTTAAAAAATCATCATCAGATGATTGAATTTTGAGATCATTTTTGATTATTCGGAAAAAATTTGATATGTTTTCTGATTCAAAACAGTTTTTAGAGATGTTAAAGCATTTTATAGAAAAATTAAATCAAGAGTAATTTATTATATTTGAAAGTTTATAATATTTTAATATCAAAATTTATAAAGATACACTTTTTTGTATATAATTATTATTCATTTAATATTTGTATGTAATTATGAAGTTAGGCATCATGTTAACGAAAAATATCGTTGTTTATTTATATAATAAACTTAGACTGCATAACATTAATGATGGCTACAACTCCATATAAAATCTCATGACAAGAAACCAAAAGTTGATCATTTTGACAGAAACCAAGCTTTTTGTCCATTATGATACTTGAATATTGACAATAGAATTAATTCACAATTTACAAAATATAGATGATTTATATTAGATATAATTCTATTTTGCTGATATTAAAATTTTTTCATAACTTTTTAATCCATTTCTTGAATTGTTTAAATGGATTCATCATTAGTCATCAAATATTTTCGAGATTTACAGACAAATGATGACTTGATCATCAAAAATTCGTCAGATAAACTTACAGAACTCACCAAAACACTTGATTTCATTCCAATTTTAATCGATTTGTTATCCAATGACGACGATTTTATTCAAAAAGAAGCATGTACTTTATTAAATAGGACAATACAACTAACCAAATCAGAATTAGATCCAGAAAACGCGAAATTGTTTCTTCTCAAAATCATTCCAATATTTATTAGCTTTGATTCAGATTTATCATACTTAATTTTCCCTGCTATACATAATCTCGCGCTTGCTTTTGATAGTAACCAATTCTTTTTAGAATTAATCAATTCTCTCCATCAATCTAACGATAAATTACATCTGATGCTTCTTTGTCTCATTTCAACAGTTGATCCCACACCAATTACTTCCCTTGAAATAGAATTAATGCGAGATCTAATTTTAACAGAAGATACAAGAACTTTTCATATAGTAATGATGTTAATTTTATCAATAGTCGCATTTAGTAATATACAAAATGATGAAATGGAAGAAATTAACAAAATATTTCAAGAAAGTCTTTTATACTACATTAAAAGCAATAAGACTGAACATGTTCGTGAAATGTACTGGTTAATTTCTGAAGCATTCTCGAAAATGGTCAAAATAATGAATGTTGACGAAATTTTCAATGAATTACTAGAAGAATTGCAAAAATCAACCTCAAATAAGATGAAAATATCAATTCTATCTATCATTTACGTTCTCGTTGGCGAAAATTCAGATACAGAATTCGAACAAAATGTAATTGAAGATATAATGAGTTTAATCATTCAGGAACTCATTGCAATATATGATCCTGATCAACCATATTTAGATCAACTTATTGTAAGCTTTAGTAATCCTTTATTGCTATTTTTACAAAAATTACCAGAAAATATCCAAAATAATTGGATTTTGGAAAAAGTTAAAGCATTGATCGATCAAAACGATGAATCATGTTATGTTGTTGCAGTCTGTATATTACAATTAATAGCTGAAGAAAATTTAAATATTTTCGACGAAACTCAATTAGAAAACATATATTCTACGATGCTATTGTTACTATCTGAAGGAAATACTAATATTAGAATGGCTGTTTTAGATTTTTATCGATCAATTTTCGAAGATCTAATTTTTAGTGTCGAAACGTTTCCTTTTGAAGACACAATCTCTGTCTTATTCGAATTATATCAAAGCGAAGAGTTTCCAGACGCTTTGGATATAATTTACAGAGTAATTTTGAGAATGAAATCAACAGATGCCATTTTTGATGATTTATTCAATACAATTAAGGGCTTTCTTAATGAAGAACAGAATATCAATGCACAATCTTCATTAATTATGATACTAAGTGCTGCATTTAAGAATTCACCTGAAATTTTGAAAAATCAAAGCGATAACATTTGCTCATTCTTACAGGAAAACCTTTTATTTGATGGATCAGTTGATATGGATATATTGAATTGTTTCCTGGCTTGTTTATCAAATTGTATTTCATGTTATCCTAATTTTTATATAGAACATCATGAATTTGTTCATCAGACTGTTGCATATGCCATTCAATTCAAAAATATTCATTTCATAATTCACATTGAATGCATAATTCGTGCGATTTCGAATTATTCAACAGATTTTGTGACACAAAATGCAGAGCAGATACTTATTTCAGCTATAGAATTCCTCAAAATAGCCGGCCAAATGTTCCTCCCCGTACATTATGGCTTTTGCTTGGAATTAATTACGTATGATTTGACAATGAGCATTGAACTATTGAAGAATGAAGAAATAGCTAACAAAATCATTGAAGTGATCAAGGATTCCGTAAGTTACTCTATTCAAACTGATCAAAACTTGATTTCTTCTACTGTAGATTTAGTTTTTGTTTCTTTGAATGGTCTCTCGGAGAATGAACAAATTTGCAATTCAATATTGGAAATATTGAATCCTTATATTACATACGCAATGAATCAGATTTCCGATTCAAAATCAGTTTTAATTTTGAAATCAATAAAAGATAGGATCAGAATAAGGGCATTTGGCAATAATGATATAGCCATAATACAAAAGGTTCTAGATCGCATGATATTTCTGTCTGAAAGACCCTTTTTCAATCACAATCAAAGGGAAATTTTAGAATTAGCTTTCACATCGATATTCTTGATATCTGAATCATCAAATGTAGATGCCGTAACCCAGTTTGCTCAAAATAACATTGAAAAGTTTATGATTCTTTTCCAAAGTACGGAAAAAATCCCATTTTATGCATTTAAGTGCATAGAAACCTTTATATTAAAGCGCTATCTAAGTGATAGCAATTTGAATGATATAGTTGTGCTTTGCAATGAAAAAATTAATGATTTAGAATTAAATTTCTGTCATATATTAAATGTCATTGCATTAATATATCCGATGTTCATTCCATCGTTTTTGGAACGAGTTTGCACAATATTTATGTCACTTTCCCAATCAGAAGAAAAGAATCCTAATTTAGAAGATTTGGTTTCATTATTATGTGTCATATTCTGCAAGAGTGAAGGAAATCCATTCTCAGAAGAAATACACAGATTAATTCTTAGTTATTTACCATTCAAAAATGATTTTAGCTATAATGTTAATGCTATCTCGTATCTGCTCGTATTAGGACAAGAATTACCAGATAGTTTAGCTGAAATCTACACCAAATGCATGGCAGAGCATTTATGTCATCCATTTGCAGATTTTCCAAAATTACTCTATCCAAACAATTCTGTTCAGAGTCTTGCAATCGCATTTTGCAAGATGATCGATCCAAATAATTTTGATGCATCAATTCTCTATTTACTGAATAATAATTCCGAAAAATCAGAAATCCTTAAAAACACTTTGTTTGCTATCTTAATGCAATCAAATTCAGGCGAAGCATAATATATTTCTTATAAACTGTTTGTATGTTTATTGACTTTTTATCATTTTTGATTGAATTTTTATTTTTTCATTATTATATTGATTAATCGAGGTTAACGGCCCTTATCTAAACTTTTCCAATCTTTCAGAAGCGAAGCCATGAACTAATTTAAGCCACAATGGATCATCGGAAATAAAAAATGTTGGTATTAGACAAATTAAATCTTCTTTCTCAGGGAGTACATATTAGAAGCTATACTAAAAGCTTTGAAAAATTAGATTCGCTAAGAAGGATAAAAAATCTGATTAGAGAAAATAATAAAAATCTGATAATACAACAAAAAGTGACAAAGATTTTGTTTTCTTGTTTATTTTTCCTTCACTTCCAAGTAAATGAGCCTTGGTTCGGCAGTAACTTTGTTCTTTCCAACACCGGACAAAGTGGAGGAGTGTCTGGAGAAGATGTTAATATAATGCCCGCATGGAATGATGGTTTATCAGGCGAGGGGAATCTCATTTCATTCATTATTCCAGGCTGCAATATAAGAAATCAAGACTTATCCGCTAAATTCTACAGAAATCATTCGTATAACTTTATATTTAATTCACGAGATGTTGATTTTGCAAGTCCAAAAAGCCTCCTTGTAGGAACTGGACAAGTTGGCCACGCTGTATGCTCTCTAAATCAAGTAGAAAATCTTGGACCTGCATATAATTCAAATTTTTCAGTTATAATTCCTCAAAATCCAGCGAAATCGCAGTTCAGCAAGATATTTAAACAATTTAAATACGAGTTTGAGAAAGATGATATAAGAGTTGATTTAATTCCACTTTTTTACGATTCAATATCAACTTTAGATCGTATTTTCTACTACCAAGAGCCAATACAGGAAATAGACTATCACGTAGAAGATGCTGCAATACGTGGAAGAGATTATAAAGGAACAATTTACGTAATATCAGCACCTAACCTTCGAAATAACAGCATACACTTCTCATATATTTCAAACAAGGCAGAAGTGATCGAAGTTTCACCATCTACAAACAAAGGAGGTGCTCATTTCACAGCATATCCTTCATCAAGCACAATTATTAATGTTCCTACCGCTGGATCAATGTTCGTGTCTTCAAGAATGTTGTATCCATCTCTGCAATCACTTAATGCATGGGAAACCGTTAGTCCGAACTCTAATGGAGGAAATGACATTCATCCTTCAGTTGCCGCAGGAATTATATCGTTAATTATCGAAGCGAACAAAAATCTCGGGTACAGAGATGTCCAATGGATTTTAATTTTGACCGCAACAATAAATGATCCAAGATCTTTCCTTTGGACCAGGAATGCAGCCAATATATATTACCATCCTCTTAATGGTTTCGGAAGAATCAATGCAAACTTGTCCTGTCTCGTTGCGAAGACTTTTAAACAATTGCCAAGAATTTCTTCGGCAAAATCTTCAATTAATAGATCATTTAATACGACAAAAGTTCTAGAAAAACCACTTGAAGTCGAATTCCACATAGATTCCGATATTTTCTTCGAACATGCGTATTTTTCATTTTCAATTAAGCCGTTTGATATCACGATGATGCATATTTTCCTTAGAAGTCCCAATGGAACTACGATTCCGATCCTATTTCCAAGGCTTTCCGAGCAAGAAAACGCGAAAAAGATATTAATTCGAGGATTCTTCGGAGAAAATGCGAAAGGAACATGGAAAGCAATTTTCATCGACTCAACATACCAGCCTCATTGTGTAGAGAATCTCTCCCTTGAGATTTTCGGAGTAAAAGAATATCCGAAGTTTATTGACCGCATTGTCGGTGAAAAACTCCATGGAAAGAACGTCTCTTTTTCTTATAATACCACAGGGAACCTTCTAATTAGGGCTCCGGAGTTCACACAATGCGGCCAAAATATTTCGATGTCAATTGTATACAAAGGAATGATTTCCCATCATATTACTGAAGTTCCTGTAATGTTACTAAGCACAACCTCGCAAAGAGCGATCTGTATTGGCTCTTGTCCTTTAGATGGAACAGTTACTCATTTAATGATACCTTGTATTACACTTGACAGAGAAGTTCTTACTAAAATATTCGTAGAAATTCCAGAATTGAACGAATATGCCTCCAATTCCATTACAATTTTCAATAATCGAGACGATAGACAACTTAATTACCCTCCACCTTACTCAAAGTTCACTATTTCGAAGGAGACAACTGTAAGATTGAGTGTTGCGACTACTTCTTATACAGTTGACAGCGGAATTTCAGAATCAATGTTCATATCTCTTTATGACATTGAAAAACAGACAAAAATAGCATCCTGGATGACTAAGAACAGATGGAATATGGTGTTTCCACTTCCATCTGGCATCAAACCTTCAAATGGACTTTTCATTATCACTCCTCTTTACATTAGTGAGCCAGATGAGTGCTCTGCATACATAGTTCCTGTCCATTTGGTCAATAACAGCGATACCCTGCAGCCATTCATTGTAAATATATCAACATCTTGTAAAATTGACCCAGATATCTTCACACAGATCATTCCTCAGCCCGACCAACAAGGAAATATTTGGAGAAAAATAGTTGACGTGTTCGTTAAACTACTTCCAATAACAATTCTCTTACTTTTGGGTTTAATTCTAATTATTTTGACATGGAAGACAAAAACAAGGAGAGCTCCCGAAGATCTCGAAAGTTTATATATACGTTCTTAAATTGTTGTTTGTTTTTTGTATAAATTTTGTTAAATATATTATTTTGGAATATGTTAATAGATATTTGATTATACATTTCATGTTTATTTGATTGGTAGATAATATGTTCAGTGTTCAACTAAATAAACATGAAATATGTAATCAAATTTTGTATTTGATCCATTTTCATCAAATAAACACACAATTTTAAGTGTTTTTATCTGACGATAATACTGTTTTCAATAGACAACCCAAAAAATGTATCATATTCAAAGAATAATTTTGAGATAATATGAAAGAATGATTTGATTTAATGTTAAATCATCAAATGTTTCTATAACTTAAACAGAAAACTAATAATGACAAAAGAAAAACAGATTTAATTTCAATTTTTTAAAATAAATCGATTCTAACTATTATATTCCCAATGTGTTGTTTGATAATACGTTATATACTTTGGGTATTCTAAAATTATTATGTTGAAAGATATAGAATTGAAAATAATAAAAAATTTTTATTCACTTTCTATGACAGAAGTAATAAAAGAATAAAGTATATTAGTACATTCTCTAACCTCTTCGTTTTCTGATTCCAAACACGGCGAAATCGACTCCAAAATTGAAATTTCGTCAACAATCTGGAGAAACGCATCTTTTCCTTGTTCATTTAGTATCTTTTCTAGTGCAACATGATAGAAAGGAAGGATATAAGTTACATCTTGAGCCCATTGAAAGATATCAATAGCATCTTCCAGAAAACCACTGTCAATTATCATTTCCAGGGTCTCCTGAGAACAATTGATTCCAACAATACAAATAAAAACAACAATCTCTTGATAAACAGCTGATTTGACATTTGTCAAATTTTCTATAAGATAATTGATGAAACCAGCACTAACAACATCGGAAAATTCTTTTTGGACATCAATGTATTTGCTCATCATGTATAAAATCGATGGATAAATCTCATCTTTCAAAATTATTATATTTTCAAACACAGGAAGATCAAATTGATGTATTTCTGGTTTAAATGTGTGCATAAGTATCTCAAGACAATGATCGATCTTATCAAAATCAGGTTCTTTCAGCAAATCAAAAAATATATTTTTGAAAATAGGAAAAACATTGTTTTCTAAGCATAGTTCTTGGAATTGTTCAATAGAACAGAACATACGTATCATTACTGCGGCGAATTTAATGGAATCTTGTGGAGTTTTCGGATCAATAATTTTTTGAATCAAAATCTGAGCGAAATTGTATCCAATAAGGGTCTGGATGTTTCTTTCTATGAACAAATATATCGAACCCCAACTTGAATCTGGGAATTTTGCAATGAAATCAAAGATTTGATTAAAATTTAAAGAATTGGCCAAAAATTCACAGATATCGGGATGATCTATAGTCATATTGTTAAAAAGAAGCGATAGTCTGTTGATATTTTGTATTTCGCTGTTGAAAATCTGGACAAATAAATTCATAAAATTTTCATTTAGGAAAATTTCGATAAATCTCTCGTCTGAGTAACATAATGCGTTGATAAATTCGATGCATTGCATTTTTTCTGCTTCTTTATTGCTATCCAGGATTGTTTCCAGGATAGAAAATACATTTGTTTCTAAAACTTGCTCTACAAACTGTATTTTAACGCCATTGGCTATTGTGTCTCTTGAAACTTGTCCAAATATCTGTATTATGTTGGTTTCGTTTTCGGCAAGCCATTCACGTTGAATTTCTTCAAAAATTGTTAAAGAATCATCAACAATTTTGGTATTACTTTCTAAATTTGACTCCTTATTAAGAGATTTGGCGGTAATATCGTCATTTTCTACTTTATATTCGATGGTGGTCATAAAAATCTAATTCCAACATCAAATAAAAGTGACACAAGATTTTTGATTACAAAAAATATAGAACCAATTTTGATTTCATTTTTTATTATTTTTAATTCAAATTTTGGAAAAGTGAAATCCAGCGGTTTATCATTAATTCCGTTTGAAAATATGGTAAGACACCTCTGATTACAAGCCTTGGTCAAGTTGGACGTCAGGAGTGACCACAGCAACCTTCTGCAAGAGGTGTTTCAATGATTCCATCAAAAAAAAACCTTCAAATTGCTCCTTATTTGACTTGTGACCCAATGACATCCCATATCTCCTTCTTCGTTCAGTTGCCTCAAGAATTACTTACATTTTAGACTTCACCATAATTTCATGTGGTGAATGGTCGCGCCCTTGAAAGTATCATGATTTCTATTGGTAAGATGTAATCGATATGTCTTACCTTATTAGCAAACGTAACTAATCAGGGATCAATAGTTCACTCTGTTATAGATCGTTCTATAAAAGATCGAATTTAGACAGCTGTGATCAATTATTATCCCACCCTTTGGGAATTACTCTACTGAATCTAAATAACCCTTTTTATGGAATTTAGACAGCTGTGATGGTTATCATCCCACCCTTTGGGAATTACTCCGCTGAATCTAAATAACCCTTTTTATGGAATTTAGACAGCTGTGATGGTTATCATCCCACCCTTTTGAAATCTTCACTCTGTTTATGATAAACTTCTCTCATCTGAGAATGTAAACAGTACTAAGATTAAAAAATTGATTTTTTAATTAGTTTTTTTTATTCCTATGTGTAAAATTCTAAACTCAATCAAATTAGTGTTAACTATCTGATCTTCCAACAGTAATATTTTAGACTTTTATGCCAGCTTTTTCATCAATTATCATCTAAATTATTTGTAATAATCTCGATTGTTGATAATGAACTATTAATTTTTACTTTAAATCGAAGAAATTGATATCTATTAAGCAAAAATCATAATTTTTAGATAATCAAAAGGAAATCAATTAAATACAGTCAATCTATTAATAGATCATAGAAAAGTCAAATAAATCAATTATAAAAAAATCAAATAGTGTTACATATTTATATATATCTCTATTAAAAAAAATATTTCTATTTTCCTTGCTTGGCCTTCTTTTCCTCATGTTTCTTCTTCTTGAACTCCATCTTCTTTCGCTTCTTTATAGCTTCATTAAGCGATCCAACGTTTCCAAGCCTCTTATTCAGTCTGTTTCTGTCTTTAACCTTCTGAGTTAGAGGGTGCGCGAGACGCTTCACGTCTTTTGCGAGGTAATCTGGTATCTGTCTGAGAGCTGGGTTCACTTTTTCTGGAATTAAAGTTGTATCGTGTTTGAGAATCTGCAGATCTTTAGGATTCTCTTCGAAATGGGATTTGAGCTTCTCAGCGTTGAGGATTTCACGCTTAATGTATATTTTCTGGGCTTCTTTGATCTGATGACGGGTAATTGACTCGAGAACGGAGTTAACGCGGTATCTGAAGCCTTCCGCGCTCTTTGTATCGAAGTCGAGAGGTGCTAATGTCTGGTTATCTGCAGCAAGGGATTCTCCGATCTGATTAATGTTTTCGTTTACGCCTACGAAGGTAACAGCCATACCTTCACGGTTTCCACGGGCTGTTCTACCTACTCTGTGGACGTATTGATCGTATTTGAGAGGAATATCGAAGTTGACAACCGAATGCAAGTTTTGGAAGTCGACGCCACGAGCTGCAGAGAACTCTGCAAGCACGTCATCATCGCCTTCGTCAATTGCAACAAGAACATCAACTTTTCCGTGATTAAATGATTCGAGAATTGATATACGAGAAGCAACAGGTAATTGCGAGTTAAGAACGCTACTCTTGATATGCATACGTTCTAAGAATAAGCATAGTTTGAAGCCGCGATTGATACTGTTGACAAATAACAAAATTCTCTTTCCGAGTCTTCCGATTTGAATAAGAGTGTAAAGGACCATATATCTGTTATCCTCTGTTACGTTTATGAAGTAGTGCTGGAGGAGCGATTGCTGCTGCTCTTCAGTGACATCTACGAAAACTGGGTTATTCAAAACCAATTTTGTAAGTTCTTGGACGTTTTTCTCGAGTGTGGCTGACATTAAGAATGACTGGCGTGTTGGTGGTAACTTGCTGATGATTGCTTCGATATCAGCTCCGTGGTCAAAGCCAAGCTGTTGGTCTGCTTCATCTACGACCAAAAATTGTACGTTTTTGAAGAAGTCCATGCTCTCGAGCGCTGAGACACGTGCTGGAGTACCGATCAATACTGCTGGAGGGTTCGCTGCTAATGTGACTTTTTGTGTCGCTGCGGAAACATCTTCGCCGAGATGGGCAGAGGTGATTCTGCAGTAGTGGGCAAGCTCGTCGAACTGGCTTTTGACTTGCTTGCACAGCTCACGAGTTGGCACTAAAATTAATGCTTTGAAATTTAGAGGTAAAGGTGATCTTGATAAGCCGATGAGAATTGGAATGATGTAGGCGGCGGTTTTACCACTGCCTGTTCGTGCTTTAGCGAGAATATCTTTGCCTTGCAACGCTGGTGGAATTGCGGTCTGTTGAATGGGAGTTGGACGATCCCATAGCTTCTTGGCTGCATCATATACACGTTTTTCTGGGCCAATAAGTTTCTCCCACTCAGAGATTGGCTGGGTACCTTCTTCCATTCAATTTGACCTTGGTGTCTTGTAAACTATTCAATTGAAATTTCTTCAAAATTTTTTTTCTGTCAAAAAAATAAAGATGAAAAATCCTATCATCAAAATCTTAAAAAACAAGAGAGTTATATGAAAATAATTCATCAATGCCTTGTAATAGCAATAAGTTCACAGTAATGTTACCTTTTAATTCATAATTTCAGATGACAATTTATTTCTTCATTGTATCATATAATATAAGTCAATTGAATATGATTAGAAGCTTATATATGTAATGAATGCAATACTCTCGCTAAATAAATCTGTTTTTTGTATCTCAAATCTTTTGTATAAGGTATGAATATATATTAACAACTCAATTATAAGCAATATCTAACTTAAAACCAACATTTTTAATATAAATATGGATTTTATTATCTCAATAAATTGAAAATTAAAAATAATTTTTTTTTAATACAAACATACAATTTATTTATTAATTAAACAAGTGAGTTCTTTGAATTTGCAGTCGCTTTAGAATCGATAGAAACCTTAGATTGAGTTGATTGCTTAGATTTAGTAGAAACTTTAGAATTTGTCGAAACTTTTGAAGCTGTTGAAGCTCTAGATCTAGAAGAGTTATCAGATCTTGCAGAATTCATATTAATCTTCACAGAATTCTCAGATCTCCCAGACCGAGACGAAATCTTTGATGATGGATCAGTTCTTTGCGTATTATTTAGGATTGCTTCTGGTCTTTGAGAGCTGTTGATGTTACTATTCATTTCAGAGTTATTAGGAGTATTCTGGGTGTTTTCAATAAGAGGAATCGCCATTGTAGACATCTTTCTTTTCGTAATTTTGAAAAGTGACGGTTGTTTCTTAATTAACTTCACTTTTCCTCTTTGTGTCCTTACTCTTACTCCTCTCCAGAAGGATTGGATCTTTGTAGCTGCCTTGTGCATTCTCTTTACCTCCAAACGAGCAAGGAAACCTCTAACGACACGTTGAATAACGATTGCTTTTTGATTCTGAGATCTTTCTCTTCTTTTTTGAAGTTTCTTTTCGATTTTAGGGGCCATAACTTTCTTTCTCTCGTCAATAAGCTCTTGTAATTGCTTTGACATGAGTTTCTTTGTAGTTCTAAGTTCTACAGATCGTGTTGGAGCTGCTGCTTGCATTGGAGTTGGAATTGCGCCATTTTGAAGTGTTTTAATGGTATCTTGCGCTTGTGTTTTGTTCCTGAATTGATCAAACAAAGCTAGACGCGCTGAAAGAACTTTTATTGTATTTTCTTGTGTTCGAATTAATTCTCTTAAATCTTGGTTTTGTTTATTAATATCTTCTGATGAAAACCATCCACGCTGCGGATTAGATACTAATAGTGTATACGAAATCGTATCAAATTGAATTGGTGAAGTTTTCTTTGACATTACTTCGACAAACGATGGATTTGTTGTTTCTCTAAACGACATAACGTTTTTTGTGAACATTTCAAGTTGACTTTCACGTTCAGCTAATACTTGTTGGAATTGTTGTTGCCATTTTTCAAATTGGCAAAATGCATTTGCGTCAGGAGCGTTTATTATTTCATCTAATTGACTTTTAAGAGAGTCATACTCCGATTTGAGCTGTTCAGCACGCATTGTATGTTCAATTACTTCATCATAAACTGTATTATTAGTGGATCTTTGAAAAAGAGGGTGGCTAAATGCTTTGGGATTTAAAGTACCAAACATCATTCGCGATGAAGTGACTGGATCCATTTTAGGTGATGTCGGCGCGAGAATCTTCGGAGGCCTTTTCATTCACTTGAAAACGTTTTTAGCGTAGAAATGATTTCGTTGAACAAAATCGATTCCATTCAATGTAAAACACAATATTAAATAATTTTATATCATCAAAAATTATGAAATTAAATGTTGAAACATAATAACCGAGAAATTTTGGTATCTCATTATATGAAATCAACTATATACCTCATAGATATAATATTTATACATACTATAAGTTTAAATATAGAATAAATAAATTCCGGTAACTCTAAATAAAGATTTTACAACTAACAACAAGCACGACCTTGCTTTTCTTCGGTCAATATTGCATTTGGAGGCTGGTTTTTCTCTATCTGTAGTCTAAAATTAAAACAACTTAATAGTAAAGAATTGAATGAATCAGGGACGTTCTTTCCAGTAGCTGCACTACATTCCCAGTATTCAAATCCATTGTTCTCACAAAAATTATGTGCTTCCTCATAGCTGACTTCTCTCCTATCTTCAAGGTCGCATTTATTTCCAACGACAACTATTGGTATTTCATCTGTTAATTTAGATTTCCACTCTAATATTGAATTGAATGAGCTTTTTGATGCAATATCAAACATGATTATAGCTCCAAATGCGTTTCTGCCGTAAATTGGTGCCATAGAACGGAAGAATTACGATCCTGCAGTATCCCAGATTTGAATATTTTCTTTCTTGTTCTGAAATTTATAAGAATATTGTGAATAAGCTGCTCTTATTGTAGGCAAAGCGTTTTGTGAGAAAGTGTTCTCAGTAAGCCTTATTACGTATGCTGTTTTGCCAACACTTGCATCGCTTAACATGACTATTTTATTCTTTGCCTGCATTCAAAATCTGAAGATTTTATCAAGAAAAAAAAATTTTTGTCAAGAAAAATCAATACGGGATCTCAAACTATAAAAATTAGTGTTTTATTAATGTTCATACCAAGTTAAGTAAGAATTCTATTTGTTATCCAAAAGATGATCGAAAATTTTCGCTCCGAAATTTCCTCAAAATTTAACAATAGTTTATTGGAGTTCTTCTAACTTCTTAAGGAAGAGATCAACATCTTCCTTCGTTGTAAACTTGGAAAGTCCGATGCGAACTGTAGTTTTCGCAGCTTGTTTGGAAAGACCAATAGCTTTAAGGACATATGAAGGCTCGTCATCATTATGAATGCAGGCAGAGCCAGATGAGAAGGCAAATTCTGGTATTTTTGTCATTAATTTTGCACTTTCGATTGTATTCAAAGAAACATTAACGCAACCGAACCAACGATGCTCTAAGCTTCCGTTGAATGTTGCCTTTGGAAGTTTCCTCTGAATTTCCGAAATGAGATATTTTCCAAGAGATTCAACATAAGGAGAATCATATTTCATTTCTCTGTAAGCAATTTCAGCTGCTTTTCCAAGACCAACGATTAATGGAACAGCCAAAGTTCCAGATCTGATATTTCTCTCTTGGCCACCACCACTAACGATTGGTTCTACACGAACACGTGGCTTAGAGCCGATGAAAAGAGCTCCAATGCCCTTTGGACCGTGAATCTTGTGGCCAGTAAGAGATAACAAGTTAATACCCATTTTCTTGACATCAATTGGGATTTTTCCGAATGCTTGAGCTGCATCAGTGTGGAATAAAACATCATGAGCTTTGCACATCTGAGCAATATCAGCAAGTGGATTAATTGTTCCGATTTCGTTATTTACTGCCATGCAAGAGACCAATCCTGTATCAGGACGAATTGCTTTCTCAACATCTGCAGGATCAACAGTTCCATCCTTCTTTACAGGAAGTATTGTAGCTTCGAAACCTTCTGGTTCTAAATCTAAAGCGCTTTCGAGAATGCATTTGTGCTCAACATTTGAAACGATCAAATGCTTTTTGCCTTTCTGCTTCAAATATCTCATAGATCCTTTAATTGAGATATTTCCGCATTCTGTTGCACCACCAGTAAAGATGATTTCATTTGGCTCTGCATTAATTGCACGTGCAATATCTTTTCTTGCCTTTTCGACTGCACCGTGAGCTTCTTTGCCAAATCCATGTTGAGTTGAATGTGGATTTCCATGTTTGTGTGTTTCAAATGGCAACATTGCATCAAGAACACGTGGGTCAAGAATCGATGTTGCTTGGGCGTCTAAATAATGTCCGTGAAATGCTTTGTTGTAGAGATTTGTCAACATTTCTGATTTTATCGAAAAAATTGATCGAAATTTTTTGAACTCCAATTTATATCAGGAAAATAACATGTTTACTTTCTGACTACAGATATTTCGAAATATCAAGAGAAATGTGAAAACTGAAATCGATTTCTTATTGTTTTCCTTTATTTTTTCTTGGTCTCATTGGCAATATAGTTTATATGTCATTTAATACCGAAATCAAACACAATTGGTCGCTGTTCAGTTGATTTCATATAAAATTCAGATTCGATTTGTTCAAAAACACAAAAGATGAGTTAAATAAGATCATTTTTATTTATATTAATTTGAAAGATTTTTTTCCATTTAATTTATTTTGATGTCATTGTAACTGTTCCTGACTTGAGTCCCTTAGCAGAAGCCTCGAAGATGATATCACCAGCTTCCTCAGTTGTCTGAACGACAGCTGTGAGCATACCAGCGAAAGCATGAATGCGTGGACGCTGGAAGAAGTCGACAGAAGCAGCATTACCATTAGCGGCGCCCTTGAAGTTACCAGCTCCTTTAACGCGGAATGAAATTTCGCGATCATCATGTGGGCAAAGATTTCCATTAGCATCAACAACGCTAACGGTGATGTAAGCAACATCCTTGCCATCAGCCTTGAGACTTGTGTGCTTTGTTTCAACCTTGAGATGGTGAGGAGTACCAGCAGTGTTGATCTGGACAGATCCAACCTGGTTGCCATGTTCATCATAAGCAACAGCTCTGATGTTACCTGGCTGGTAGACAGCGTTCATCCACTGGTATCTGTATCTTGTCTGGAGTGATGTGTTGCCTCTCTTCATCTTGCCGAAGCTAGCACCATTGATGAATAATTCAACCTGTGGGTAGTCAGAGTAAACCATAACTGGAACGACCTGTCCTTCATAGCCTTCCCAGTTCCAGTGTGGAAGCATGTGGAGTGTGTGGTCCTTCTTGTTCCAGACTGTTCTGAACAAGTAGTATCTATCCTTTGGAATGTAAGCCAAGTCGATGATACCAAAGACAGATGAGTGTGATGGCCATCCGTTTGTATCATATGGTGTTGGTTCACCAAGATAATCTAAGCCTGTCCAAACGAACTGACCAAGTGTCCACTCGTAGTCATCAGCCATTTCGAAGTCATCTTCTGGGACGTTTGACCAGCCGCAGAATTCGTAATCGTAACCTGTTGACTGGTGATCTGGATAGATGGCTGTAGCACGCTTGATGGCTGGAAGTTTGTAGACACCTCTTGATGAAACAGTAGAGCCTGTTTCTGTACCAAGGATGTAGCCTTGTGGAAGGTGTTCATAAGCTTCTTGGTAGAGGAATGATCTGTAGTTGAAGCCTGGAATATCCAAAGCAGCTGCGAAGCCACTGTAGATGGAGCACTGAACCTGATCTGTACCACATGTAACTAATCTTGTTGAATCTTCACGGTGGCACCATGAAACTAATTTCTTGACAACAGCGAGAGCTTCATTAGAGCATGTGTTTGGAATTTCGTTACCAACTGACCAAAGGATAACAGATGGATGATTTCTGTAGTGGCGAACCATGTTAACGATATCTTTTTCAGCCCATTCATTGAAGAATCTGTGGTAGCCATTGTTGCACTTAGCCCAATCCCACTCATCGAAAGCTTCGACAATCATCATGAAGCCCATTTCATCGCAAGCCTTGACAAGTTCTGGAGCTGGCATGTTGTGAGATGTACGGATTGAGTCTGCACCCATGTCCTTGAGGATCTCAAGTTGATGGTGGATTGCCTTGTCATTAACTGCTGTACCTAATGGACCTTGGTCGTGGTGGTTGCAGACACCTTGGAATTTGCGACTTACACCATTGAGGAACATGCCCTTGTCCTTGATGAATTCGACTTTGCGGAAGCCAAATGTTGTTGGGTATGTATCAACTTCAACGTCGTTGGCAGAAATTGTTGTCTGGGCTGTGTAAACATTTGGTGTCTCTGGTGACCAAAGAGCTGGTGTGTTAACTGTGAAATCTTGGACATAGTCGTTTCCATCCTGTGTGTACTTATCATTTACCATGTATTCTTTGCCTGATGGATCAAAAATCTTTGTGACAACTTTGATTGTCTCGCCATTAACGCCAGCAAGTGTTGTACGGAGATTCATTGTTGAATAATCAGCTTCAGCGCGTGGTGTTGTGACATGAGTGCCCCAAACTGGAACATGGATCTTATTTGTGGTTATAAGATGAACATTACGGTAGATACCGGCACCTGGATACCAGCGAGAGGACTGAGGATGGTTCTGTAAGCGAACAGCGAGAACGTTATCTTTGCCATCCTTATTAACGTGATCTGTGATATCGCAGAAGAAAGAGTTGTAACCGTATGGCCAGTTGCAAACGAGTTCACCGTTAAGATAAACGTGAGCTTCACTCATTGCACCATCGAATAATAATGTATTGTTCTTTGTAGCATCAGCCTTGAAATAGTATCTATACCAGCCTGCACCAACATATGGAAGACCACCTGTACGGCCTGTTTTCATTGATGGTTCTGTTTCAAAGTTTTGAGAGACAACGACATCTTGCAAGTCATTGTGATGATCGAATGGACCAGCAATAGCCCAATCGTGAGGAACACGAACTGTTTCCCAAGCATGATCATCAAAGTCAATTTTATTTGCGTCTGCGCAGTCACCTCTTTGGAATTTCCATCCTTTTTCGAACTGTATTTCTGTACGATCTGATGATCTACTGAATGCTGCAAAAGCAGCAAGCATTAGATGCATTGTTTAATACCCAGATTTTCCTTACTTTTACCACCCCTCTAAAGCTGGGAACACCGCCTATCGTTAAACCACCAAGGGTATTTTTCGAACTGCCAGTGTAGTGTAGTGGAAACATTCGACATAATGATTCATTATGCCAAGGTTTGATTTCCATTTAGCCAATTTTTTTCTTTTTTGGATCATGAATTTTTTTTTGGGTCACTATAAGATTTGTTTCATGTTCTAAATCTGCTGCATATGTAATCTATTTTTATTTACCTATTTTTTAAAAATCTATTGGATTGCCAAATTTGAATATATTTAAAATCATAAAAATCCAAAAAAACTATAAATATATGTTTTATGCATAGTGCCGATACTCAAATATCAGATTACTTAGATCCATGAATAATATCCGAATTTTTTTTCTTAAAATTAAACTTCAAAACTTCTTGCAATCTTATTCTTCATCAATTGTAAATTTTTAAAACCATTTTTTAAAATAATTTTGCGTAAATTTTATTCTCATGTTGTTTTAATCGAAAATTGATACATTTTCAAAAAAATAATATTGACTTATGAAATTCATTTTTAAGGTGAAATAGTATTGTTTTTATTAAAGTATATGAATAATATATAAAAAATTAATGAATAATATAAGCAGATTTTTAGTTTACAAAACAAATATGAGCAATGCAATTTCAAACTTTTGCTGGCAATTTCGATATTGCTCAAGTTTGTAGTATTTGTGATACCTATAACATCGGCTTAATCAAAATTCGATTTTTCTTATGAGTTATTGAGAAAATTTGATTGCAATGAGAAGGATTTCGACGTTTTTGATAAACTAAGAGCTGAGCTTTAGGGGTTCAGTTCATTTATGGCTGTAGTTTGATGCGTAGATCTCTTTTTTATTGTAAATTCTTTCAGCATGGAGATCGAGAATGAATCTTTTGAGAACTTTATGAGTTTTTACACCCGTAAAGAGGTCCTTCGAGGAAAGATAGTCCAGACTACATGAAGATGTGGGTTAACCAAAAAAATCCGATGGTTTCCCCATATTCATGTAGATCTTCGAAAAAATGAGCACCAAAAAAGCCAAAAAAAATAGGCTTTTTATTGGATTTGTACACTAGATCAATAACCTATTTAGGATCTGACACTCTTTTTAGCCAGAGATATGAGGTCCTTTCTAGGAAAACGATCTATTCATCCATAAAAAAAATGAATTATCGTTTTCCCCAGAAATTACATGGGGAGTGGTAAAAGTAAGGAAAATCTGGGTAATGTATTTTTCGGCACTTTTTTAATTATGCCAATAGATAAATCCAATTTTATTCTGTTTTCTTATTTAATGGACCAATGTACACAAATTTCATAAAAAGATGGTGCTCAATTTTGAACCTTAGATCTGTCATAAATATTTAAGATCGACCAATCTTCAAATAATATAGATATATCATCAACATATTCAATTATCAAACCGATGGTTCGTTCCACAAAGAAAAAGTTTCATTTTGTTTACTGACAGCTGATAATGTTTCGCCATAACTTGTGCTTTTCGCACATCTTATCTAAAACATTATCACTTACTTCCTATATATATATTGATGGTACTGTAATGACGTTCACCAGTAATGATGACTTCAAAAATCTTTCTTATATCAAACAACAGGCATACACGAATTCCATTGATACAGTTGTTATTGATAAAGATGTCACAACAATTACAAATCTTGATGAACTTAACTTCATTGTTAACGTTGAAATCAAAAATAATTTACAAACCATTCCAAAATATGCTTTCTTTAGATGCTTGAATCTCAAAACAGTCAAGATGCCAGCAACAGTTAAAGAGATCGGTCTCTCAGCATTCGCTGAATCAGGCATCGAAACAATCGATTTATCCAATGTTGAAACAATCGGTGTTGAAGCATTTTATGAATGCTTATACCTCAAGAACGTCAACATTGGCAAGGCCAAGCTTCTTGCTACAAGTGCTTTCGCTAGATCCGGTGTAACTTCTCTTATTGTCCCAGCTACAGTTGGCTACATCCCAGACTTCCTCTGCCAGGATTGCATTGGTCTTAAGACAGTTACATGCAGTGGCCCACTCAGCACAGTCGGAATCATGGCATTCTCTGGCTGCTCTGCCCTTGAATCATTCTCCTTCTCAAAGATCACATGCATTGGCGCACAATCTTTCGAGAACACCAAGATCACATCTTTCAACTTTGAGAACGTCGGAGATATCCAGAACAGAGCTTTCCAGTTCACATGCCTCGAAGAAGTTGTCCTCACACAGCCAAGAACAATCTTCACAGAGGTCTTTGGTAACTGCCACCACCTCAAGAAGGCAACATTGAAGAACCAGAACTTGAAATTAGCCACCTATCTCTTCAACGGCTGCTCAAGCTTAGAAATCATTGATATCCAGGATGATCTCAACACAATTCCATTAATGTTCGCTATGGACTGCATCAGTCTCAAGACATTCAACGCCCAGAACATTTATGTTGTCAGTTTCCATGCATTCACAAACTGCCACTCCCTTGAATCATTCGATTTCTCCAAGTGCAACACAGTCCAAGGCTACGCTTTCCAGGGCTGCTACAAGTTGAAGGCCACACTTCCAACAAAGTCTGTCTTCCACTACATCGAACAATTCGGCTTTGCTTATTGCGAGAACATCGATGTTGAATCAGAGATCAACGTCTGGGAAGTCAAGGACTACGCTTTCTTGGGCTGCAAGTCCATCAAGAAAGTCCAGTACAACACAGGCACAGACCACACTGGTGTCTTCATGGGCTGCACAGGCCTTGAGAGCATTTCTTTCAAGGACACATGCCAGAACTTCGGCGATAGTTTCTGCTTCGGCTGCACAAGTTTGACATCAATCAAATTCGGTGCAAATGCAAACACAATCAGAACAAACTCATTCGCCAGAATTGGTGCTGCTGATGTTGATTTTGTCAATATCCAGTGGATTGGCGATTACGCTTTCATGGATTCGAACATCAAGTCAATCAAGATCACTCATGCCGGACCAGGCATTGGCAAGTTCGCATTTGCAAACTGCAAGAACTTAGAGACAGTTCAGATTGATGACTTGTGGAACACAGAGGACATCACACAGTTTGAGAACTCAACAAACATCAAGACATTCAATGCCAAGAGAAATGGAAACTTGGTTATCAACCAAAACGGTATCATCTTGTCAAATGATACAACAACATTATTAGCTGTCATTGGCTCATATTCTAAGAATACAATTACTCTCCCATATTCTGTCAAGAAGTTCTACAAAGGTGCTTTGAACATGAACGACAAAATCACTGAATTAGTTTTTGAAACAGTTCCAAAGTATGGAGCTCAAGTTTCTCAGTCATATTTCATTCAGTCACTTAAATATGAAATTAAGTACTACTCTGATCCAGCATCTGATTACACTGACAACTCCCTCAACGAATTCCCTGAAGGAATGTTCGCAAACTGCTACGCACTCACAACTGTCAATATCGTCACCGATATCAAGTCAATTGGAAACAACTGCTTCAGCAATTGCGTCAAACTTACAACAGTCACACTTCCAAATGGATGCACTGTTTTGGGACAAGGCGCTTTCATGAATTGTGTTTCATTGAAGTCAATCAATATTGACAAGGTTGTCACAATTGAAGAAAATTGCTTCTCTGGATGCGTTTTACTCCAGGATGTCAAGTTAGGAAACCCATTACAGACAATTGGTGATGCTGCTTTCAAGGGAACAGCATTGACAATAGTCAAACTTCCAGCAGGTGTTACATCTTTAGGTGTTTCTGCATTTGAAGACACAAAGAACTTGTCATATGTCGTTCTCAACGGCCTTTTGACATCTCTTCCAAGCTTCTTGTTCAAGAACTCCAACATTTCATCCCTCAACATTCCAGCAAACATCGTTGATGTTGCATCCGATTGCTTCATTGGCGCAAGATACCTCAATTTGACTGTTGCCGACAACCACAATCACTTGAGAGCAAGTGAAAGCTGCTTGTACAACTATTTGACAAGCGAGTTGATCACAACATACGGACAGATCAATGCAACATTCTTCTTGCCATCATTCATCAAGATATTGAATGCTGAAACAGTCAACCCAATCTTTATGAGGAATAAGTACCAGAATTCTGTTAACAGATATGGCTCTCCAGTCATCGTTTTGCATAAAGATGTTTTGCATGTTGATCCAAACGCTTTCAAGTATGATAAATTATTATACACAGTTTGCTACTTCAGTGAAGTTTACCATCCAAAGGAAGCAGTTCCTAACAAGTACTTACAGAATGTCTATATACAGGATAACCACCATTATCCAGATTTCTTATTCGGACAAGATCAAATCAAGCGCGGTTGTGATTTGACAATCCCAGATGAACTCAATTGGACCGAAACCAACTCCTCTTCAGGAGGTGGCGGCGGCGGTGGTGGTGATGATGACAAGCACAAGATCACCAAGGCCGAAGTCGCTTTCGCCGTTACAGGCTCAATAATGCTTATCACAATTATCGCCCTTGCAATCGTCATTTTCGTCATGTCCAGGAAGCCAGGAATCAAGTATGAGAGATTACTCAGCAGTAATATAATTTCTGAAAATAATAATATGGGTCTTGAAACTTAAACTCTTAAAATAAACAGTAAGATTTTTCATCCAATTTTTATTGATATTTATGTATCATTTATTTGCAATTCATGCAAAATCAATCACTCCAAATATTTGAGAAAAGTGAGGATGGAGGGGGGAGCCATGGCAATATTCTTTAAGGGGGATAAAATAATCTGTAATGTTCACAAATTTAATTTCCATATGATGTTGAAAGTCAATGTTTGCATGAAGCATTTGCCATTCAATTGTAATAGTCTAACTTTTCAAATTCTTTGTGGAAAAAAAATTATCATTGAATATTCATGGAATTTTTATTTTCGTTACAAATTTTAAATTCTTGACCACAATTAAATCTTTACAAAATATATTCTACGTATTTTGTAAAGCTATCAATCTCCATCAAGAATTCCAAAATAGTGGAAAAATTTAAAACCGTTTCACTCATTCAATTTTTGCATTATTCATTTTCATAAATGTCTTCACCTAATATCAATTATGAGGAGCTAACGAAGAAATATAAAGCTTATCAAGATATAATATCACAGTTCTTTCGTCTTAAAACCACAAAAGAAGAAGAACTCCAAGCGATTTATCAAAATTTCAAAACAAATTTTCTTAATCCAAAAATTTATACAGCAATCAATATGTATTATCTTATTAACAACACTTTCCCGTATAATAACAGATATTTACGGTCATACTTAAGAATAATGAAAATGGTTTATGAAGATTTCAAAATAAATCCAGAGCCATATGTTTCATCTGTTTTGTTTTACTTCTTCAATGAAGAATATGGACTTCCAGTGAGTCTCTTTAATCAAAAATTATTCAAATCCTATCAGGAGAAAAATTACACAATAGACATCCATCAGGAAAATACAATATACAGAGCTATAATGGATGACGACAAAAAGACACTAATCATGTTCACTCAAAGAGATGATTTTGATAAAGACATAAAGTTGTATAGTAATTTATATCCAAATGATGGTTATTCATTACTTGAAATTTGCTGCTATCATCGTTCTGTAAATTGTTTCAAATACTTAATTACAGAATACGGTTCAAAAATCACTCCTAAATGTCTTCAACTTTCATTTTTAAGCGGAAATCCAGATATTTTGAATGAATGCTTGAAAAATCAAAATCCAGATCAAGCATGTATGACAAATGCAATAGTTGCACAGAACATTGATTTTGTTCAGTTTTTGGTGAATGAATATGGCTTAGAAATTAAATTATGGGACTGTGCATTATTCGGAAATATTCAAGCATTTTTGGTATATCTCGATACAACAAAAGATATCAATAATTGCTTTATTAATTCCCCTCTTTTTGTCATGCCTTCTCTTGTTGAATATTTCATTTCTCTTGGAGTTGATGTAAATATCAAAGATGACAAGGGAACCACCGCTCTTTACAATTCTGCAATGATATCTAACAAACATATAGCCGAAATTCTTCTCTCTCATGGTGCTGATATCAATGCATTGGACAGTGATGAAAATACAGTACTTCATGTGGCCGCATGGAGGAATTCTGTTGAGATAGCAGAACTCTTTATTTCCAAAGGAATTAATGTGAATTCCAAGAATGAAGACCAAATGACACCACTTCATTATGCTGCAGCATCCTGCAATTGTAAAGATATAGCAGAATTACTTCTTTTTCATGGTGCTGATATCAATGCAAGGGATCAAAGGGGAAATACAGTACTTCATGTGGCCGCATGGTGGAATTCTGTTGAGATAGCAGAACTCTTTATTTCCAAAGGAATTAATGTGAATTCCAAGAATAAAGACCAAATGACACCACTTCATTATGCCGCACGTTCTGCAGATACAAATTTAGAATTAGCAAAACTACTACCTTTACACAATGCAGATATTGATGCCAGAGACAAAGAAGAGAAAACACCTCTACTTTATTCAGCAACATCAAGTTCAACAGAACTAACAAAAATATTGATATCGAATAGAGCTGATTACAAAGCTATTGACGAAAATGGAAATTCAGCACTTCATTTGGCATCGAGAACTTATTATACAGAGCAAGCAAATTTGTTCATTTCTCTTGGCTTAGATGTTAATGCCACAAATAATAAAAATGAAATGCCTCTTGATTTGGCTATAGAAAATAACCACATAGAAATGGTAGAGTTTCTTATCAAGCATGGAGCTGATGTTAACGCAAGAGTTAATAAAGGTGGAATAAATGTTGATAAATATGAGGAATTGGTTTACATGCGCTTCGACCTCAATTATGATAGAAAAACTCTAACAGATCCTGTTCTTCATAATGCAATAAAAAGGGCTTCAAAAGAAATAGTAGATTTACTTATTTCGCATGGTGCTGATATCAATGGAAGAAATAATGAAGGAGAAGTCTCTCTTCATGCTGCAGCATCCTGCAATCGTAAAGATATAGCAGAATTACTTCTTTTTCATGGTGCTTATATTGATGAAAGACAAGGTGAAGGAGACTCTCCCCTGATTACTGCTGTGCGATGTAATCGAATAGAAATGGTAGAATTTCTTCTCTTGCATCATGCCGATATAAATGCATGCAATAATTTTGGAAAATCTGCTCTTCAATATGCAGCAGATTTTGGTCGAAATGAAATAGCAGAATTTCTTACTTTGCATAATGCTGATATCAATGCAAGGGATCAAAGTGGAAATACCGCTCTAATTTATGCATTTCGGAATAGTCATTTGGCAATCGCTCAATTTTTAATTCAACATGGTGCAGATATCCACGCGAAAGATAAAGATAATATGACTGTCCTGCAGTATGCTGCAGAAGTTAAATCCAGTGACGAATGCCTGGAATATCTTATATCACATGGTTTAGATATCAACGAAAAGAGTAATGATGGAAGTACTGCTCTTCACTACGCATCAAGGCGTTCGAATTTTAATGCGGTTAAGATACTTATTTCACATGATGCCGATGTCAATGCAAAGAACAATGATGGTTGGAATGCATTCCCATATGCCGTAATTGCTAATAACAAAGAATTAATTGAGTATTTTATTTTACATGGTGCGGAAGTTGATTTAAAGGACTCATTTGGAAGAACAGCTCTTATGTTTGCTGTTATTAACAAATATGTTGAACTGGTCGAAATTCTAATATCTCATGGCGCAGACGTTAATGCAAAGACGAATTATATGGATTCAATCCTTCATCATGCAGTAAGTTCAAAAAGTCCAGAAATTGTGCGTATAATTCTTTCTCATGGAGCAGATGTTAATGCTTTAAACAGAAAAAATAAAACAGCTCTTGGCTATGCTGTTGAGTTGAATCTTCCAGAAATTATTAAAATCCTTGATCCAACCAAATAATTTATGACTAAACACTAATTATAATTATTTCTTAATGTTATTTGGGGGTGAACCCAAGTTTTACTTGAAGAAATTCCAGAGCTATTAGCGAAGCATTTAAAAACAATATATTCTTCGATTGATGCCCTTTGAAATTTTGTTCGAGATGTCAAAAACAGACTCACTATTGTAAATCAAGGAATTGACAGAAGATCACCAAAATTATTACGTGGCCTTTTCAAATCCAAGGATGCATCAAAACCTGCTGATTTGAAACAGGCAACTTACGAAACAAATTCTCTGATGGAACTGTACGGAATTCTCCCTAAGGAAGAAGCCAAAGAAACAAAAGAAGAATCTAAAGCATAATAACGTATCAGTTTTCTTGGATATTTTTATGTCAATATTATTTTTCAATAAAAACATATACTGAATCAAATATAAATGAAGAGGTCACGAGCTGCCCTTTGGAATTTGAGCGAAACCAATATATGAGAATAAATAACTTCTGAATGTCAGCTACTTCCGATATTATCCTTTGCGATTTGCTCTTATGCAAAGTTTAATTAGATTTATTTATAGTCTTTCAATTTTAATTAAAAAGTCTTTACTCATGTTTCATGTATATAAGCTATTGCATTCTATGCTTGCCTTTGAGCAGTATTTGAATTTAAAGTTCATATCTTTTCACATTTAAGCTTGTTGTTAAGCATATGTGAAAAGAATGATAAATGTTATTACAAATGAGACTCAATGTGCTATAATCTTTACTAAAAAATATCAAATAGATAACATGTTATACGGTTCACACCCTTAATTAATTAAAAATTTTCCATTATTTTTTTTTCACACATGGGAAGATGTAATACTAAGAGGCCGACAAAAGGTAAAAAAACAGGTACACCTCAAAAAGAAAAACCCAAAAAGGAAGCTGTTGAACAACAAGATAAAGTAGTTCAAAAAGAAGAAACAATTGAGCAAAATAAACCAAATATCCCAGCTTCGCCTAAAAAGGAAAATGTTCAACAAGATAAGGAGAAAACTGAACAAAATGATCAAACAATTCAAAATGCACAGACAGAAGAAGCTGTAGGTCAAGATGACCAGGATACTACAATTGGAAATGGATTCGGCTTTGAATTCCGAAAAAGCAATTATATGCCGTTAGTTTTTAAGAGAGAAATCGAAATAATAAAAGATCAAAACGGATACTCAGCTGTTGCCAAATCAATAAATCTCCCTAGTATATTTTATATCGGAGACAAGCCATACAAATTTGTTCAGAAGAAAAATCCAACAAAATAACTTTTATCTACTAAAACAAAAAAAGTCTACTATCCTAAAATTTTTTGTTGGATTTTTTAAAAAATATGTGGAAAAAAGTGTTTGATTAACAAAACCAAAACAAAGTATAGTATTGATTAAACAAAGTTTATTCAAACAATAAAAAAAATAAATTAAAATAATCTTTCGCTTTTAATGAGTTCTGTATATCCGCTGTACTCAGCTAATGATTTATCTGGATGATTTAGTAGGTCGGAACGAGAAATAGCCCCTATATCTAGTACAAAATCGCGAATAATTCTGTTTGAACATTTGTCTTATTCCATTCATTGAATTGTCATCTGAGTCTATAAATTTTGCAAGAATCTGAAAATTATTATATTTTACGGCAAATTTAAGTTTGTCTACATCTGTAAGCTTAACTTTATTGTATGTATTAAGTGCCCATTCTAAAACTGCATCCTGCTGAAACCGAATGCATATTTCAACTAAATCTTGAATTTCTGCAGTTGTAGGTGTATAAAGCTTGACCAAATCAGCGATATGTTGTATATTACCTGTTAATGCTGCTGTTTTAATGCAGCCATCGAGTCTATGACCCATTTTATGCAATAAATTAAAACAATTCGGTGAATTCCTAAAAACGGAGTATTCTATAATGTTCATTGTATATTCTAATGGACATCCGAGTTCTAGGACGTAAAATTTGTGTCCAAGCTGTAATCCTGTTTCCAGCAACTTTTTTAGCTCTTCTTCGTTATCTTCAGCGATTATTTTTTGTAGATCATGATTCTTCTTCCATGATTCGATAATTTCGCATACACAAAGTGGAGAACTGAAGTTTTCAATTGTTTTCCATTCCATGATTGGAATTAAATCACTACAAAATGTAGAAAATAGTGCATGAGTCCCAGGTATCTTAATTTTGGAAAAAGTTTGCAATAAAAAATCTGTATTTAGGATTTTTTCTGAAAGTTCGCTCCTGATGAGATAAATGCAGCTATTAAACTCATCAGAGGTAACTTGTATGCTTTTAATGATCTTTCGTAATACTTTTAATGCAATATGGTTAAAATCTGTCAATAAATAAGGAAAGAAAACTGTGGTTAAAAAATCTTTGCAATTTGGATGAATTGTTATCATGTGCAAGATTTCTATAAGCATATATGAGATCGTGATTAGTTGCTGATCGCTTCTATATGTTTTTATCAAGTCAAAGTTGAATTTTTTCATAATTAGTGATGCATTTTGGCCATCATATGAACTCAGTGATCTTTGATACTCAGCGAGTTCTCGTATGTGGCTTCTTGCTGGTTTAATGATCTTGTTAGAAGTAAAAAAAATAAAAATTAAAAATCTTTCCGTGTAAGCATTCAATTATCCACATTTTAATTGGCGGATACGGAATAAATTTTAAATACAATCAGAGTTCAAAAGGTTTGGCTGAAACTAGGATAACAATTGATAGATTCTTAATGGATAGTGGTAATTGAATAGAATTTCATATCCAAATATATAAATTATTCAGATTTTAAAATGACAAAGCTACAGGATCGTCCATGTAAAGGTCATCTTTCATATTCATGTTTACACTTTTAAAAATTTATTAGTTAATTAAAATAAGATTATTATTCTTTTTAATACAAGATAAAAAATAAAAAAAATTAAAATTAATTAAACAAAATAAATAAAGATTACTGTTGAACTGTAATGAATGTTGCAACAGATCTTTCAATCCAATGGTCAGGTGATACATCAGGAGTTGGAATGAACAGAGACATGATGTAGTTTGGAAGTCCCAAAGCTCCACTTCCTCTGTTCTGCATTCTGTACATTGTGCACTCGAATGTCTGAGACATGTCGTACAAGTTCTTGTTCTGTGTTGGCATCAAGTAGACAATTGGTAATGTCGAAATAAGTTCTTTTTGTTCGCATTCGACCAATCTTCCATTTCCAATGTCCCACTTCGCTCCTTCCAAGAACAAACCTTGTATGTAGATACCTTCTTCTGGTTGTGTTGGGAATTTAGATTCATCTGTCTGATCTGTAATTGTTGTTGCCCATGTCAATGAATCGAATGGAACAACATGTTTTCTTGCGTAAACTTGCAAAACTGCTGTTAAGAACTCTTCAGGATGGAAAAATGTTCCAATCTTGAAAACTGTTGGTCTTCCTGTTCTTACCCAGTTGTCTAAGAATGAAACTCTGAACTTCAAGTCTTCCATGTAAGAGTTCAATGTTAAGATGGATTGGAACGAATGAACTAACCATGCTTCTGGAATCTTGTTTGCCAAAACACGGCGATTCAACAACTCCAATTCTTGGTCAATAACAATCAAACCTTTGAGACCACGCTGTAGTTTGGTTAATGACGATTTGATGGCCTTCAAGAGCTTGTTGTACAACAAGATTTCATGGTGTAAAACAGTGTTGATTGTATCAGAAAGATCGAAATTCTTCGTGAAATTGAAAACATTGAATGGTTTCGGAATTTCTGAAATTAGTTTCTCGACCAAATTAAGAGCGAACTGATCTTCACTGATTGATCCACTTGCAGCAACTAATGTCGGCTGTATTTCTATCAAGGAATTGAAGATGGAAAGCGCTTCATTACGAGCAGTAATTGTAGAAGCGTTGAGAGATAAACCGACATCAATACCTTCAGTGACAATTGGCCATGTTTGGAGAGTTTCTTCAACAGCGTTGAGAGAAACATTGTATTCTGGTGTTGTATATCTCTGTCCGAATGAGAAGTCTGGTTTCTCGATTTCAGGACTGAAGTATCTTCTCAAAAGAGTCAAAAGAAGACGTCTATCCCATTTATCAGTGACTCTTCCACCGTAGTTCAATTCACCAATGACGTAACCCAATGATTCGTAAGGAACAACACCTGGTTGTGCTTCTCCGAGGAACATTCTCAAGTGTCTTCTTGAAATGGTCAAATCACTTGGATTGAACTCGTAAGGAATGTTCCAACCGATTGATCCGAAAAGAAGTCTTTCAAGAACAACAGCGTGGAAGAAAGCGAGATGGAAAGTGAGTTTCCTTTCTGTTGCACTGTAATCAGACATGTATTCATCGCTGTTCATACCTGAATAGACTCTCAACATGTTTTCTCTGATTCCCTTTGGAATTTCGTAGATAAGTTTGGATCCTTGGTAAAGGATACCAATTGGGAAATCAGGAGAAGACATTGTAACTAAGCAAAGTCTGAATCTTGGATTGACTTTCGTTGGATCGAAATTGTCAATGATATGTTCCAATTTCGGCATCCAAGAAAGAGAAAGATGACAGTTTTGTAGCAAAACCCAGAAACCTTTCTCTGAAGCGTCTTCAATCAATCTTTCAGCTCCTGCGCCTCTTCCACGACCCAATGAATAGCTCTTGAGATATCTGTCAAGTTCCATTGATTGGGCGACTTGAATGATTTCATCTTGTGGATCAATACCAGGAGTAATGATGAAGATGAGAGGAGAAAGAGGAGAAGACTCTTTGAAGACTTTTCCGAGGTTAAGAGGTGGTGGTTCAATGAACTCTTTTCCGAGAGAGTTTGTGACGAAAATTCGAAGTCCTTCGCGAACTCTGTGCAAATGGAAAACTCTCAAAATAAGTAATTGCTGGAAATTGGACAATTTCTTCTTGAGAGGGAAGTTTTCGTTCTCTGGTGTTGATGACTTCAAATAAGCCTGCCATTCATCAGCTTTGTCCTTCAAACTGTCTACTAGTTGCTGGAAGAGAGGATTCAATGATGGCAAAACACCGAGAAGATGCCAAATATCTTCTGGCAACCAATCTGTTGGATTTGGATCTTTAGTTCCTGTTGGAGACAATAAGAAAGCAAGTTCTGAAGAATTGATTTTTCCTTCAGACATTAATATTCTTACTGCCATCAATGTTGAGAACAACATCTTGTGGATGGAGAACAAAGAGAAGGAAACAGACTGATAAAAAGCACGAGCAATTGAGATGTGGAACGAGGAAATGAGAGCTGTTGGATCTGTTGGATGTTCCGCATTAACAATTGCGTTCTTGAAGAGATTGACGAACCACTTCAATGAGAATTGATACATTGGATCTACAACGGAAAAGTCTGATGCACAGAAGTAAAGTAATGCAGCACGAGCAGCTACAGGAGAGAACTTTTCTCTGAACTGTGCAATTTGTTTCTCTGTTTTCTCTGAAGCAGCGATCTGTTGTTCGATGTTTTGTGATGTCTTCTGAGCTCTTTGGAGAGTTTCAATGGCTTTATCATCTTCGAGAATGTCTCCACCGACATTTGAAACAATCTGGAGAATTTCGGCTTCGACTTCTTTGAGTTTCATCATGTTCTGAGCGTTTGCTTCCATGATTTGGATACGTTTCTTATCCAAATCATCGCGTTCGACTTCGATCAAGTTGTTCATCAACAAATCGGACAAACCATCTTGTGTTGTTGTGAAGTTGATCAAAGTGACTTGAGAACAGACTTCTGGAGAATAATGTGGGTTCGGATATTTGGTAGATAAGAACAATCTGAATTTCTCTTCGTAAGCACCGTATTCACCACCCAAAGAGATCTTCTTTTGTCCGTCAACTGTGATGATTTCTTTGGAAAGAATTGGTTCAATAAGAGGATCTAATTTGAGGCCAACATTCTCAATGAGAACTGGGATACCAAACGCAACACAGTTTCTGAGAATTTGGAGGAAATCTGATTGATCGAATCTCAAAACAACCAAAGTTTCTCCCAAAACAGCTCTCAACCATTTGGTACCAGATAACTGTGGATCAATCAATAACGGGAATGAGTTCTTCGAGTTATTGATGATGATGGCGTTCTCAATTGAGTGTGTATCATTTGGCAATCCTTTGACAACCCAGTCACGAATTGTTGGCTCGTTTCCAAGTGATCTTTCGACCGAGAAATTAGCGGTGAACTTGATGTTTTCGTTACTTAAGAATCCTTTCCATTGTTCGACCAATCTCGATCTGAATGATGGTGAGTAAGAGCCAAGATGTGTCAAAGAAGCAGCTGCCAAAAGAGTGTCTCCCAAAAGGAATTCTGCACCGGATTTGAGGGATTGTGCTGTTTCTTCCCAACGTTTAGTTTCTCCTGATAATCCGGACATAATCTTCTGAGCTCTGAGTAATCTCAATTGTTTGTGGTTGACATTCTCTTGCAAAGTGTTTTGAATTGCTTGCTGTTCTTCAAGTGTCTTCTGTAAGCCTTGCAATTCATCCATAACTCTCTGCAAATGTGCTTTACTTTCAGCGAGAATTCTCTGGGATTCTGACAATTTCGCTGCAGCAGCATTTGCTTCGTTTTGGACAGGGATAATTGTCTGATAGACATTCCAGTAATCGTATGTGGCAATAACCCACTGATACAAGTTAGAAACGGCGGAATATCCCTTGACAATTTCTGCGATCTTTGCATCTCTGATTGATTTATCCGTTGGAACATATTTCTTCAGTTTATCAATGACAGATTTCGGAATTTCCTTGACATCGAGTTGTTTGACTTTCTTGATGAATTGTACATCATTCAACAATGACAATGTTTCTGGCCAGTAGTCATCAATCTTTACACCTGGTTGTGGACCATCAACTTTCTTTGGAGAGCGCTGGAAGATGATACAAATTGCATCAAATGTTTCTCTCAAAGCTGGAGAAATCTTCTTCAATGTCTTGATGTTTGTAAGTGAATCTTTATCAATGGAATCGACAGCCTTTTGAGCACCTTCAAGAATTGGTTGAGCTTCAGCAAGTTTTCCTTGTGCAATTGCGTTCTTTTCTGAAGCTTTTTGTTCTTCGATTTCAGCCAATTCTGATTGCTTTTCGACAGCTTGTTTCGTTGTTTCTACTTCGCCTTGTCTGACCTGCAATTGCTGCATCATCTCTTCGACTTGTTTCTTCTTGTCTTCGAGAACAGGAATATCATGATCCAACTGTACGGAAAGTTCTTTAATTGTTGCTTGTGTTGTTGAAATCTTCTCAACACCACCTACGTATTTCTGGACTTGTGATTTCGTTTCTACTTGTTGAGCAGCGAGTTTTGTAACGAAAGTATTCAACAAATCGAAATACCTTGATGGTGTGCAAGCAGTGAATCTCTTTGTCTCTTTAAGGAAGGCTTCTGCCTGTTCTTCAACGCTCTTGTGAATCTGAACGCAAACATTGACAACAGATTTGACTTGATCTGGTGTTCCAATTGATGATTTTGCGAATGCTGCTAGTGCAACAGACTCCAAAGCATTGCGAGACCATGGCATGTACCAGTCGATTGTTGTCTCGATTCTCAAAGCTGGGAAAGCCAACATTGATTCCTTGAATGTTGAGCCATAAGGAGAGAAAACCAAGATGATGTGGAGATGCTTCTTTACACGTGTCATGAAGAGTTGCCATGGATCTTCATCAGTTAACATCTCATTGCTCATGATTTCACCTTTGATTTGATCCATTTCTTCTCTTGGGAAAAGATTTGGAACTTCTCCTGTGATCAAAAGATTGGAAATATCTTCCAATTGATATGAACCGATGATCTGTGAGTCTGTTAAAATGAATCCTGTTGGAGTATCATTGATACCCATGTTCTTCATCAGTGTCTTCAAGTCTTCGCGCCATTCAACGAAACCATAAGTTCTTGTGATTTGAATTTCGAAGGCTTCCATCGAACTCATGTGCAAAGACAATCTTGCAAGTGATTTACGACCACTTGATTTAACACCAACAAGAATTGCGTATCCTCTTGGCATTGTTAGGATTCTGTTTAAGTTGGAGAGATGATCAATTGCTTCATCGAAAATAACAATATCCAATTGTTTCGAAGCATCTCTGTTGTGATCTTCAAGCATATCTCTGCAGACACTTAATACATCTGCAGGAGAAGCTTGTATTTCTTTGTATCTTCCTGCTCTGTCTGCAAACTCATTAAACATGAATCTTCCTGATGGACAAATCGTCTTGAATTCGACACCGAAATTCTTCTTCAAAGCATTGTGTAAAACTTCTGTAAACCACTTTCTATCTTCGTGAACATTGAATCTATCATTGTATTCTCTCATCATTTCGTTGCAGAAGAGTCTATCCCAGGCTTCTGAGTTGTTGATATCGCTCTGTTTTGCGAGCAACATTCCCTTGAGAACTCTGATGATGTTTCTCAAAGAGAAAATGTAATGGAGTTTAGATGGAATTGGAAGCAAGTTTTCGACGCATTGTTTGTGGATATCAATGCATGCATTAACTGTTGCTCCAAAGACATTTGTAACTGACTCTGTGAACCCTGTGAATTTGAGTTTCAACAATGATTTCAAGATGTTCTTCATTGAATCTTCTTTCGTCTTAGGGGCGTGAATTATGTTGAAATGCCTCATCAATCTCTCAGGGATATTGAACAAACCAGAGCCAGCAGGTCCCATGCAAGCAATGAGTGTTGTGTCAACAACGTTCTGGAACTCAACATTCGATGTGTTGTACCAGCCGCCGTAGTCACAAAGTTGTCTGATTAATTCCAATGGAGGTTGTGCGCCGTAAATTTCTGGTTTGACTGCACCAATGTTATCAAGGAAAATAACAAGTTGTTGGTTAGTCAATGGTCCGAAAACACCGTGGTGTTTGTGCATGAATGACCTCATGACTTTGAGAATGTTCGATGCTGTTGAGCAGTTAGCGATTGGCAAATGTCTGCAATCGTATTTCTGCGGCAAAACGTTTTCGAACAAATTCTTTACGACCATTGTCTTTGATGATTCTGGGCCATGGAATAAGACATGTTTCTGATGCTCGACGAGTAATCTTGCAAGGAATATCATTGTTGCTGATTCCTGTGTTGGAATAAATGTTGATTCGACAGGATGATTCTTTGATGCTTCCATTTCTGATTTAGGAATAAATTCGATGCCTAAATCTCCTTCAACCCAAATCTCCCATTCCATCTTATCGAAATTGATGTAGTAGTCGAAGCATGTTCCCTTTGGAGGGAATTGTGCTGTTGATTCGTTCTTGACCATTAAATCTTTGATGAAATTATCAAATAATGGTCTTGAATCTTCAACTAAAACAGCGCCAAAACTCCAAACCATTGAGAAAATAAGGACTTTCTCAAAGGCTGCTTTAGCTTGTTCTAATTCGAAATAAGGGAATGAGTTATCTCTGTTTCTCGTGTATCTTGAGAAGTAAAGGGAATAATCACATGGATCAACTGTCTTTGGATCTTCTCCGTCCATTGCTGGTATTTCTTCTGGCTTCCTCAAAATGTCGAAGAAGCAATTAATAATGTTGAACATGTTCTTTACATAGAACTCGGAGTTATGTCCTAAAGCGACTTTTCCATCGCATTCGATGAATTGCACCATCTTAGGAACATACTTTTCCATCATTTCTCTGCAGTAATCAATGATTTCTCCGTATTTCTCCTTGTATTCTGTTACCCATGAATCAGCCAATGCGCTCCAAGGAAGAGTAACAGGATCGAAATAGATCATACCGCAACGAGAAACTGTAGCTGGGGAAGCTTGTGAAAGATCATCGACTTCGAACATCATCTTGACATGAGCTCCTAATGAAATACGTTCGTTGTTTGAAAGACAAAGAACTTTGTTATCATCGAGCAAAGAGTTCATTGTTTCGATCCAAAGAGAGTCAACAGGTCCATCTACGATGATCCAGTTCCATTCTTTCGGTTCAGACATTGAGCAATCTCTGATGAATGATGAAAGAACACCATCGGACCATCCACTTGTTACTGGATCGAACAAACCGTATAATTCTGGAATGGAAATAGCCTTTGGATTCAATGTGAATGTCTTTGCTGGCTTTCCAATGCCTTCTGCGGCCAATTTGCCTAATGTCATCTGCAAAGCCTTCCATGCTGTTGATTTACCACCCATTGCACCACCAACAAACATGATACCGTGTCTAACTAATGTTGTTTCGTAGATTTCATTGCATTTAGTTAGATAAAGGTCAATTGGCTGTGTGTGCAATTCGATGTATGATTGTCTCATGTAATCTTTCATCTTTTCATCCAAAGACTTCTCTGAAACAACTTCTGGGAATACATCATGCATAATTCCTTCGAATAAAGGAATATCTGTGTTAACTAATCTTGGTCTTGTGCAATCTCTGATTGATTCGAACAGTAACTTCGCTTCTTGTGCTTCTAGATTGTTTCTCTTGGCTTTTCCTGCTGTTGAAAGAATGGCTTTCATAGCACGAAGGCCCCAATCGTAGTGATAAGCGTTTGACAACTGTTTGCGGCAGAGATCGAACAAAGCAACAAGTTTTACAGATAATTGGGAAGCTGTGTTGTAACCACCTGAGAATAACATGATTTCGGAAATGAAGACGAAATCAGGAACCATCATAGCGCATGGTCTGAACAAAGCTTTCAAGTTATCTGGAAGTTCTGTACGTCCTGCGTAACCTGGGTTCATTGTGATGCAAATAGCTGCATTTGCATTTAACTTTAGTGTTCTTGCATCGAGTTGGAATGTTTCTACCTGGTTTGCGATCGCTTCTTGGATAACACGAACTTGCTGAGCGATGACGGAAAGAACTTCGATGTTGATACGGTTGAATTCATCGAAGCAAGACCATGAACCACTTGAAGAAAGACCAGCAAAGAACTGTGACATTTGTTCAGGAGTAACTTCTTCGGAACAGTTGTAAACGACGCAAGGTCTTCCGAGAGCTTTCGCGCAATCTCTGACTGTTTCTGTTTTACCTGTACCTGCAGGACCACTTGGAGCACCACTCATATTCTGTTTGAATGCTGCCAAAAGTGTTTGGTAACATCTATCAGTCAAAGGAGTGATGACAAGACGTGCTGAGTTTCCTGCGTATTCATAGGAATACTCATACGAGTTGTTGATTGATCTGACCCAAACTGTTTCTTCTTCCCAGTAATATCTGAGCTGTTGAATCCACTTGAAATCATCTGGATCAGAGATATCTTGGTCGATCAGTTGTTGGATGATATCTCTGTTGTGGACTTCGAAAATCAACAAGCAAGAGATGCATTGTCTGACAGCACCACTCAATGGTTGTCTGATCAATGTTGTTAATCCTTCCAATTGTTCGATGAATCTTGTCATCAATGCCTTGAGATTTCCTGCTTTCCTTCCTTTGAGAGCTTGTGTAACTTGTGTTGTCCAAAGGATTTGGTTGACAGTCAAAATGACTTGTGCAGGATATTCTGTTAGCCACTGCTCTCTCTTCTTCTTCGAAGCTGCAGGGATGGCGTTTCTGATGTTCTCTTTGAGTGTGTCTTGCATCTCTTTCTCGAAGTTGTTGAGCCAGTCTTCAATTTCAGGTGTATCACCATTGACAGGAGCAACTAATTCAACTGATTCTAATCCATCATCGTTCATGTGAGTGATCTGCATGTCGCTGTCGACAGTGATTGTTTGGACGTATTCGAACAGTTTGTTCATTGACTTCTGGATCTGATCGAAGTCTTTTGTATGTGATAAGATGGAGATGAGTTCGTCGTTTGACAAGAAGAAGAATCTTGGGAATCCAAGACGCTTTGCTTCCAAGTAAGCATTCAATCCTTGTGTGATTGAATCAAGTAATTTGTTTGCGTCTTGTAAATTCTCGAGAATTCTATCTCTGTGCATAACAGTCAAGAACTCAGGATGGTTGTGTGTCAATGTCAACATCGCGTTCCACATCTTGTCGACGTTTTGCCAATCTCTTGCTTCTCTGTGCAATTTCTGCTGGATACTTGTTCCAGTGAAAATTGGCTGTAAATAGAGCCAACCACACTGGCATTCAACCCAAGCATCCAATGTATCATGGCAACTTCTAAGGAATGTGAGTCTTTCTGTTGCGCGTTTCTTGCAAGGAGCGATGAATGGAGATGTCAATAATGTCTGTGTTGTAACTAATTGATCATCAACAGTGGAAATAATGTCATCGACATCGACAAGAATATATGTTCCTGTATCTCTGAAAACAGCTGTGTTGAAGATCTTTGTTTGCAACTCTTGATCCATTGTATCGAGTGTTGATTCGATGTTGTATTCTTGAGCTGCAATTCCTGCAATTTCCGAAATTTGTTGATTCCATTTTTCCAAACCTAAATCCAAGAATTGTTGCAATGTCATTTCCATGGATGGTTGAACACGGAATCCAACGATTTCTGAGATCTTCTCCCAGTGTTTCGTCTTGATACCTGGATGGCGTAATCTCGAAATAAGTGGAATATGTTGTTTGAACTTTTCAATTTGTTCTGTCAAAGGCAACAAAACTTTTTCAACTAAAGCTTTTTGAGGTGCCAAATCTTTCTTTAATTTCGAGATCTTCTTCATTGCTTGGACAATGAATCCATTCATTGCATCAGACTTTGTCTGTGTGAATGGTGTATCCAGCCATGTTGTGTTGCTATTCTGCCAATCATTCGCAAGATTCCATAACGTGTAAAGTGGCATAAATTCTTCAATGAGTTTTGTCAATGTCTTGCAAGGAGCAGGTTCGAATTCGAACAATGCTTCATGTTTGTTATAAAGATCTTGCAAGTTCTTGAGCTCCATGAGCTTTGTTTGGATCTCATTGACTTGATCAACAGCTTCGAAAGTCATTTCTAAGTCTTGATACTTCGAAATGAAAGCAGGTAACATTTCTGTAACAGACAAAGTATTTGTTTCGAGCTGGCGTTGATTGTTCTTGAGTTCTCTGATCATTCTGCCTCTTTCTACTGTTATGTTTCTATCTGTTTCTTCGAATGTTATCGCCAATTTATGTGGCATTTGCAATGTTTTGTACTTTTCTTGGCATTCGTCATTAGAAATTTCGAATTTGTAGTCTTCAAGAAAAGCAAATCTTTTCATTGCTGTGTCCATTTTGGCCTGGCGATCTTTAGTTGTGGAATTAATCTTCTCCATGTACTCTCTAAGTGCTGCGAGTTCTTCTGGTGTCTTTGGTGTCTCCTTGAGATTGTCACTGATCTTGTTAAACTCGGCTTGCAAGTTCTTAATCTCGTTAATCGCGAAGTTCTTCATGTGTGTCAATAAAGCAGTGATTAACGATCTTGTCTTTTTAGTTGTTTCGTCTTTGAACTTCTGGCAGTTAACTTCGAATATGCCGAGCTTGTACTCCATGTGCATCTGGTTCTGGCAGATGTCTAAAACTCGGTTGAATTCGGTTAATTGGTCGCGATAAGCATCTAATGACTTTTTACCGTCTGGATCGAAGACTTGTGTAAATTGCTCTGGATCTAGGGCAATCACAGAGTCGATTGTAGTATAGCCTTCGATGAATTTAGTAAGTTGTTCGAATAATATTTTGAGAGTATTAGAAACATCGGTCTTGGAGGCTGCGATTGAAGTAATGCAATCAGCAAATGATACAGTAGTCATATCGACATCGAGAATTGGAAGATTGATTTCTGGTAAGCTATGAACTGATTTTTCTAATAATTGTAGAAGAGATAAGATTTTTTCGTGGAATTTGTCGATGGTTGGACTGAGATTGATTTTGTTTTCCTTGCTAAGTACAAGATCGATATGGAATTGTGGTGGAATTAAATTACTTCCCTCTCCTTGATAGCGATTGAAAAGAGAAGCGAAGTTCTTTAATGTATTGCTGATGAGGTCGAGTAATACCGTATGAAGCATTCTCTGCGTTAAAGTGACCATCTTCTGATAAATCATTTTTTCTTGTTGATGGTCTTGAGGCATTGTATTATCGTTCATTGTAGATGAAATAACGCTTTCCAATGTTTCTTGGATTGATGTCTTGAAGAGTTTGCATGTTGAATCTAATTCTGCTTCTTGGCGTTTGACAAATTCATCCAGAGTAAGAACTTCATCCCATCCATTTGTCAAGAAGTTCATTGACAATGATTGCTGGAATGTAGCGCTAATTGTTAGAAGACCTTGGAGAATAAATTGATTTGATTTCAAGAAATTCGAGCGGAATCTCTCAAATATTTCTTGGAAGTTGTAGTGTGGGACACAAACAAGTCCGTATTTAGTGTTTTCTTCTTTCTTTTCGAATAAATTGAGGAATTCATCTCTATTTGGAATTAATGGGTTATGTTCAAGATCGTATAGAAATTCGAGTTGATTGTTCATTGTCTTGAAGTTATCTGCTGTTTCAACGCAAAGAGAATTAACGAGATTATTGTATTCTTGAGGTGGATGAACTTTTGTTTTCTCTGTAATATTGTTGATATCGTAAGGAGATAGCTCTGGAAGATAATCCTTTGGCATCGCCTTTACACGTGAATCAAATCTAAATTGAAGTTCATGTTGGTGGCAAAGTCTTTGTGCTTCATTTAAGCGAATTTGGAATTTCTCTTCACTTTCAATTGCGAATCTGATGTTGAAACGTGTAACTTTCTTCCTCTTCTTTGTTTTATCCCATTCAATTTCAAAAACATCCTCTTTAGGATCATATCCAATGCATTTGCACTTCTCCCACTTGATGTCTCCATTAAGATCTTGATATTTGGAGAACGCTTCTGGATGTTTAAGGAGCTCTTCAATTGAATATTCTTCGTATGTTGTATCATCGAAAATTTCAAGTGGTAAGAAAGTTTCTGTGATTGGTGTTTCGCCTGTTTTAAGTGGTGGTAACGGACGGCTTTGAACTCTTTGCTTAGCTTTTATAATTTCATTTAAGTCCGTTGAAGTTTCACCTGGCTTAAAATCATGGACCTGAGTCTTCTTTGTTGTTTCTGGCTCTTCCATGACTGGCTTTGGTGGACGAACTTTGTATGGAGCTTTGATGCCCTTTTTTGGTTTAACAAAAGGAGATTTTTCGTTTTTAGTAGGTGATTTTTGCTCTACTTTTTCTATTGTTTCGTCAATTGAAATTGGTGCTAAAGCCCACTCACCAATTTTTGGAATTTTTACCCTATCTTCTGGATATTCAATTCCGCTTTTTCTACCTTGTTCCTTCTTTTCTGATAATGTCTTTTCATGATCAAGAAGTCTTGTTCGTGCGCGATAAACTCTATCAGTCATCACGCACTTTTACTTCAAAAAAATACGTTTTTTATATTGTTTCTTGCCCAGACAGAGATTTTTACTATTTAGTTGTTTGATATAATATCTATGTATTATAAACAATAATTCTTAAAAATATAAATCAATTTTGGCCAATTTTTTGAAAATTTTATTGTAATTTTGAAAATATGGTATTGAGAACTAGGATATGGATAGATTTCGAAGAAATAGCGAATTATATTAAGCAATTTTTGATGCTACCTGAAATTTATTTTGCTCTTACAATATATTCTTTCAACAAGTAATTTTTATTGAATGACTGTGAGTTATATCGTCTTATTTGTTATATATTTCATGATTTCGATAAGTGAAATGTCAAATCTCAAAAATGTCAAAATCTGTTCTTTGCTCAATCGAAAATGTTACAGAAGTTAGCTCCAAGGAAGGAGAAGTGCAAGGAACACTCTCATTGGTTGTTTCTGATAATAAATTCTATCTCTGTTTTGCAATTTTAGATGGAACACCAACACAATATATCACTTCAGTATTTGATTATAAGAAAGTACAAGATGGAGATAATTGGAATCGATTAGAACCATTTTGCTTTAATTGCACGCGAGTTTCAAATTTTACATTTTTTGAAAATCCTTACACAATTAAAATCAACGTTTTAAATGATTTAGTAGCTCGAAATTTCGTAATTTCTGATGCAGAAATTCTTTCGTTACCTATTTTCATTGAACAAATAATCTTAAATGGAATTGCAGTGCCAAGTTCAGGCAATAGGTACTCATTAGAGTTTTACCGAAATGGTCATCATGGTGCTTATCCACTCATTCCAGCCAATATACAATTAAATGTAATTACTTTTAATAATCTCGAAGAATTTTTGATGGATGTCTTAAACTTCTTTGAGAAACTAATGTTACATCTTGACACGTGTCATTCAATACCTTTGGATAATCAATTTCCTATAAATAACGCAGCAAAAGCATTTAATCAAAGAATTATCGAAAAAATCAACGATTATATATCCAAATTACCTGATTACGAACCAATAACTGTAGAGAACTTTAAATCAGCATTCGATGAAGCAGGAAAATTGAAAAATCCTCAAGAATTTAAACTCAGATTATTCCATAGCAAAAAAGACAAAGAATTATTGCCAGAACTCATTCCGTTTGCTCTTAAAATATATCCACTCGATAGTACTCAAGCGGAAAGAGAGAAAATTTCCGAAAATTTGACAAAAGAATTTTTACTTCTCCAAGAACAAGTAAGTTTGATACAGCAAGCTCAAGTTGATAACAATAGCAAGCTATTTTCTACATTTAGAGTCATAGATCATGATGTAAATCGCACAGATCGAACTTCGATCGCATTTCGGAAGGATAATTCACCAGCAGCTTTAATTCTCAACCAATTACTGAAAATGTATGCGTTGTATAACCCACCTATCTCTTATTTACAAGGAATGAACGACTTATTTGTTCCGATTTTAACTGCATTCATTCCAAACTACTCAGAAGACGGAATACCAATTGATAAAGATGGAAATGAGCTTGATTACAAGCCATTCCTGCCAATGATCTTCTGGTGTTTCGAATCTATGGTCATAAACACTCAACAAATCAAGTTTTTGGAAAATGTAACACTTCACTGCGGCCAAATATCCGAAATCGTTCAAGATATATTGAATCACATTTCCCCGATGGCTGCAATTTGGTTCCGCCGTTATAACATGCAAGGTTTGCTCTGGTGTTATTCGGATTTTGTTTTATTGTTCAAGAGAACATTTGAAGACATTTGGACAACGTGGTTCCAATTCAACGCGTGCGAACAACCTGACCAGTTCTTGAACTACTTCGTCGCAGCCATTTTAATTGCTTCCTTCGATGGATACACTCAACTTGAAGAAATTTCAATAACTACGATGATGGATGCGTTTCCAAGGTTGCTGGCTTCTTTAGATCCGATTTATCTTGGAAAGATAGCGCTTTGGATACAAGAAAACTATAGACTTCAAGATAACAAAGTTATTAAAGAAAATAAGAAAGATATTTCTTTCGAATTCTTCCATCCAAGCTGGGAGTAACTCACTCATTGCTTTTTGTTTGTAAAATAAACATTATTTTTATAACTTTCCTTTAAAAAATGAATCAAATAAAAATACAAAATTATTTTCATAAATAAACATTGATGGTTGAGAAATTCATTGAAAAGTATCTATAGATCAATATTTTATTATTAACATCTTATTGATTCTTAAATATGATTTTTTATATCTTTTTCTATTTGAAGATAATCCGAAATTTAATGAAAAAATATGCACCGACAAAATTTTATGAGGAATAATATCCATGCTCTTGTAGAATAAAGAGAAATTAAATTTCATCTCGAAAAAAAAACAGCATAAGTTGTACCAATGGATGCCAAATATAAAAATATACTTAAAATATTATATAAATTGTATTCACCTTACCTTACAAGTTTTTCTATCACGAGAACATTTCATTCAAAAAATGAGTCGCATTGAAAAATTTTACTAAAATCTCATAATACTTGTATATTCGTTGAATATTGTCCGGATTTTCAATAAAAAACTTCTACCAACGGTTCGATTTAAAAGGTTTACACAAAATTTTTTCCCGATGAAAAAAAAAATTCACATACAAAAACTTGGACGTTATTTTTTTATTATTGAATGGGTGTAAGATCGGGACCTCCGAACGGATCAGAAGAATCCAAGAAAGAGTGGGGAAACTATGAATACCCAGGTGATGTTAAACATATGAAGTGCCATAATTGCTTTTGCGCGATTATTTTCCTTATTTTATTTGGATGCATGATTGCTTTGCTTGTTATTGGTATAGTGAAGGGTAAGATTTGGACATTAACACATTCTTGGGATACTCACGGATTTTACTGTGGATATGATAACACGCAATTAGATGTTAAAGATCTTCCAGAAAATTATACAAAGCCAAACCTTGTTGACTATCCATATCTTTTCTTCGATGCTCTCAATGTCTCTCGGCAGATTTGTGTCAAGAAATGTCCAACATCTGGCTCACTTCAAGATATTCTTCAATATAATGCTACACAAACAGGTCATGATAAGCTCCAGTATCTTGATAACTCAACATATAACACAGGCTACTATCCAGATGCTAACGAAACATATCAATATACCACAAAAGAGTACTTCAACAGATGTATCCCAGATGTTGATCTTGAAAAGGATATTATCAATGGTACTCAGTTCGTTAATGGTTTACAGCAGGCAATTGATGCCATTCCAGCCCTTTCTAGCGCTTTGAATTCAGTTTATTCACTTAGATGGCAAATTCTTGTTTGCGCTCTTGGTTCCCTTGTTATCGGCCTTATTTGGATCATGCTCCTCCGCTGCTTGACAGGCTGCATTGTCTATTTCGTTGTTATCCTCGTCCCAGTCTCTTTGATCGGTATTGGTGTCTGGCTTTTCGTCAACGGAAGTGTCATGGGTACAATTAAGGAGGTCGTCAGCACAAAGAAGCTCTCCGGTGCTCAGATTACCGCTGTTGTCATATGGTGCATCGCATTCATCATTATTCTCATCATTATCTTCCTTTGGAGCAAACTAAAGTCCGCTGTAGCCATCATTAAGGTCGCCGCTATGGCTCTTGGCTATAACTTCTTAGTTATTTTCGTTCCGATTATTACGATGATCTTCTGCTTCTTATTCTGGGCAGCCCTTTTGGTTTCATCGGTAACTCTTTACACTTCCGCTAGTTTCAAGTACGAAATCGACAACGATGGCAATGATAAAGGAATCGGCCAAGTCAAGTTTGATTTGAACAAGGTTCTTCAGTACATGCTTATTTACAACTTTGTCTACCTTATTTTCATTTCCGTCCATATGTATTTCGTCAATTATTACGCATCTTCAGTTTCCATTGTCAAATGGTACTTCTCAGGCCAAGGCGGCAAGACATGCTGTGGATGCTCATGCTTCTTCGGCTTCTGGCTTGCATGGACAAAGGCATTAGGTACAATTACCATTTCCAGCCTCATTATGACACCTCTCTACCTCTTTATCATCTTCATGGAGTATCTTGACAGGAAGTCCAAGATGGAAAACGCTCCAATTTTCATCCAATTCCTTATCAAATGCTTGAAATGCTGCTTATGGTGCTTCACGAAGATCGTACAGTACTTGAACAAGGTGTTGTTCACTATCCAGCAGATTTTCAACACAAACTTTGGTCCATCTGCCAAACTTGTCGTTGATGTTGTGATATCTGACGCACTTTTGACAGTTATGCTTAATGGTATCTCATTCTTCATCCTCTTCCTTTCCAAGGTTGTTGTTTCCGTAATTACTACATTGTTATTCATGATTTGGGCTTATTACGGAAAGAATTCTTCAATTGCAGGCTCTCTTCTTGCTGCTTTTGTTGTTTTCTTCCTTTCTTACATCGTATCATCATTCCTACTCTCTGCTTACGACAACATCATTGATATTGTCTTTGTTTGTTACCAATCTGAGAAATCTATCGATGGATACTCAGCTGGTGAAGCTTCCAACATGGTCAACCAGACAATTGATGATATGAAGAGCGCACACCAGTCTGAAAATACTAATAATAAGGTGTCCGCTAAGAAAATGGAAGATGTCAAGGATGATAAGACAGAAATTGCTGTTAAGTATGGTAAGTAAAATTTTCAATGTTTATTTTTTTATTTCTAATTACTGTTTACTTCTTTTTTTCTAAGTCATTCCCAAATTATGATTTATCTCATATTTTACTTTTATACACTATGTAGCAATTAACAAATCTTAAAACAAAGCTCTGAGCTCTTATGGGCTTAATTCTTGTCAGCAAATGTTCGGAAAAAAGAATAAATTTAAAGAAATATGAATACGGATAGACCAATGTATATTGTAAACATATTTAGGTTGAATGAAATCAAAACAATATGTTTTTTCAATAAGGAAATTAATTTATTGATTTCACTATTTTCTTTTTTTGACCCATTCAATAATGGAGTGCTTTGTACAGCCAAGGTTCTAGTTTTCTCTGTCTTCTTATCAAATTTTATTACTCAAGAATTCAATTTAAAAAAAAATATTTCTCAATGAAAAAAAGAAACATACAATACTTTATTTAATATGAGAATCGATTAGAGTTTCATAAGGATTTGCTAAAAACTTATCTTGCAATATAATCAATGCGAAAAAGATGTATTTCAAATCCATCATGAAATAGATAACATTTGCGAAAAGGGCAAGCATTAGAAAGATCATATCCATCATATTTTCTTGGATTATATAATAAATGTAAATAGGGAAAATAATTATTGTTCCAAACAATATTATATAGTCGAGGAAGAAACCTGGTGCGTTGATTTCTCCTTGTTTGATGTAATTCAGTTTGTTTAACATAGTCGAGAAAATATAGAAGCTAATATTGTAAATAATCAATGAAGCATAGTGAATAGTACTAAGACTGTTTGGATTTGATATTAGGAGTGTAATATGGCTAATTGTGAGAAAAATTACGGAAACAAATTCGAATTTCAGATATTTTGAAGCGAGTAATTTTGCTTTAGGAGCTGCATTGTAAATCATATGTTTGTAATATCTTTGAACCATGAAGTGAATCCTAACGTGCGAAATAATTTGAAAAATATCAAAAAGAATAACAATCCAATAGTAATCAGATAGTAATATAGCTGATTTTGTGGGTATAATTCCTTCCGGAAGATCTCCATCAACTAATAGACAGCCAGTTGAAATTAATACACCTGTTAAAGGAGATAAAAGGCCAACCCAAAATACATTCGATGGGAATGAGCATGCTGCCTTTGTAATCCCATATAGCATTCGAAAAACTCGCTTAATATAAGTCTTTTTATCCATTTTATTGAATAGAAATTATAAAAAATGAATAAAAAAACTATGCTGAGCGATCAAAAACATGGATATCAAATTCAGAAAGCAAATTTAAATATAATTATATCATTTAGATACGAAATCAAAAATATTGTTAAATTATTTATGACATGTAAAATTTCTTAAGAATTTACGCGTCATTTTCAATAACATGACATGTAAAGCTCACAATTTTTGTTATATTTCTGAAAAAAAATAAAACTTTTTTTTTCTCCAAAACTTCTTTAGATGAATTAAATATTCATCTTTTGGAAAAATATGTTTATTCAAGACCAGTATCCTTGATATTGAAGAATCCATTAGCGCCCTCTTCTTCGAAATCGTTCTTGAATGGATCGTCTGTATCTCCCATGACAGAAGTTGTCCAAAGTGGGTTGTCGTTTGTGACTGGAGCAGTTGAGCTGTTCGGGACCCGGAAGACTGTTTCTTCTGCCATTTCGACGCATGAATCACTGGACTCCTCGTGCTTAGCGTGAGTTGTGAAGAACCAAACGAGAACTGCAATGAGAACAATCAAAATAACGCCACCGACAGCAGCACCGATAATTAGTGGAAGCTGGGACTTTGCATTTGGAGTTGGATCTCCACCCAAAGCTGCGAGTGGGATATTAGCTTCAACTTCAATGACAATCATTGTGTTTGTCTGGGTTTCTTCTTCTTTGTATGTAATATAGTAACCACCCTTATTATCTGTCTCGTTTACTTCAATAATTGTAGTTGTGGTGACATTTGTTTCGTACCATGTAGAAATTACTGAAATAGTACTTGGGCCTTCAAATGATGCTGGTGGAACGTACCAACCTGAGAAGGCGGATCTTGTTGGAATTGGAGATGTGATTGGTGTGATGAATGGTGTGGAATGGGGTGTTGAATGTGGAGTAGAATGTGGTGTGGAATGTCCTGTTGAATGTGGTGTTGAATGGGGTGTTTTAACGTTAGTTGCCTTTACAGTAAATGTTGTGACCTGACCTATCCATGGATTTTTACCACTTTCCTTTGTCTTAGCAGTTGAATATTTGGGAGGAATAGGTGAACTTGTTGTTGCTCTTGGTAAGCGAGTAATTGGTGTGGCGACATATGTGTACGATGTGGGATCAACGATCTCAAATGTTTCTTTTTCGGGAACTGTAGTAGGATTACTTGATCTTGCATGTTCAGCTTTAGTTTCTGGATTATCTGCATTAGGATTCAAAGTTCCGCAATTAGTAAGTTCACCATCAGACTGAATTGAAGTCTGGCCATAGTTAACACTTGGGCCAGCCGCAGAAACAATATTATCAATATTTGAATAAGTGCCAAAGTTATCATTCATTGACTGGAGTTGGCAGTTACCAGCTACCAAAATAGCATGACCTGCGCCGTGTCCCCTTGAATATGCTTTGTCACCAGCAGAGTTTCCTCCATAGCAGTTGCCTTGTGAAACAAATTGTGCTTGTGGCCCCGCAGAATTTTCGACATAATCTGCAACAGCTGCCACACCACCACCACCACGAACACTGAGTGATGGAATGTTAGAAATTTCCATTATTTTCCGTTTACTTTGATCAGTTACAGATTCTTGATTGTTAAATTGGGTTTGGTAGTTTAATGTATTTGAAAGGATTTTAGAGTTGACAATCTTAAGAAGTTTTGTATTGCAAGAGTAGACACCTGCTCCATTGTAAGCAGCTTTATTGCTCTGTATTGTGCAAACTTGTAAATAGGCTTGAGCTGCCATTGAGAAAGAAAGGCCACCACCGAATTCTGATCCTGTATTTGATGTAAATTGGCAGTCATAGCACATCATTGTGTTACTGTTATCATTGTCATTTTCTCCTTGGTAATAAACACCACCACCATAACGATAAGCAGTATTATTGTGTACATTGCAGTCTTTTAGTAAAATTGCAGAAGCAATTGAGCAGAGACCACCACCAACGGTTGCGACGTTATTTCCAAGTTCTAGCTTACCTGTATTGCCACCTTCACAAAGCAGTGTGCAATATGAAATAAAAATACCACCACCAGAGCCAGTTGCTGGACCTGTGCCAAATGCGTAGTTATTTGTAATGGCAATATTGCCTGATATCGTAATTGAAGATGAATAAAATTCATTTTGGCGCTTCGTGGCAGCAGCATTGCCTTCCGATATCGTACGATCTACATCAATATAATTTTGAAGCTGAGAATCATTTTCATCGTCGATTTTAATAAATGTTGGAGTATCAGCTCCAGCATTTTCTAAAAAGGATGCAATGTCGATATTTCCATCAGCATCAAATGGTATGTTGAAAGATTGTGCAAAGGAAAAGAAAAATAAAAACATTAAAAAAATTGAAAAAATTTATGTCAAGCCGCCATGTAAATCAGATTTTTTACAGAAATAAACTAATTAAATTTCCTAATGCTTAGTTATAATTTACAACGACTAAAAATATATTGGAAAAGTGACAAATTTTCGACTTCTGAGCTGAAAAATGTCAGAATTACTTGTGGAAATTTTTGATTCAAAATCTATGGGCATATCAAACCATGAAAGACCAGAACCAGTAATGAGGGGATACATTTAATAACAATATATAAACATGGTCTATGAACTCTATATAAGCTAAAAAACACGAAATTTAAACACTTTGAAACAAAAATTTATTGATAAATTAAAGTATTTAGCAGTGCACAAACGAATACATTTTGTATTCCTTATAATGAATCAAAATATTCATGATTCAGTGAAACTGAATATTAACAAAATGACAAAGAAAAATTGATGGTCCAAAGTGACAATTATTTTATCTTATCAAAAATGTCACTTTTATTAAAATTTTATATAAGAGCAGCGATTTTATTCAGATAAAATATGAAAAAGACTTAAAATGGGATCATAAAAATTACAAAAAATATCCTGATTGGACTACAACCGATCGCCTCTGAAAAATAAAATTTCAGAGAAAAATGCTCAGTTTCGAAGCGTGTTTCCCTCCAAAAAGGGCACGCCAAGAAAAAGGCATTCGTTCTCGAATCATTGGTGAATTGGAAGGGAAAAAATTGCTCTATTCAGTTAACAGTTCAAAGCAAACATCGATCGAGCTTGTCAAACCCGACGGTGACTCGATAACTGCCTTGTCATTCAATGAATATATTGATGTAGTTAATGCTGATTTATCTCCTGATAATGAAATGATTCATATCACGCGTAGAGTTACATCAAATAAAGGCTTTGGCTTTATTTCAAAGGTTTATCATATTCACTCACAAGCCAAATCACGAGATTTTTATAGTGATAAACCAATTTATGCATTTTTCCTTCCAGATTCAAAAAATACCAATTATTCGTTAATTCACATAGTTGGGAACAAAATTTCACATATCAGAGCTATATTAACAAAAAATTCAATCGACATAGAAGTATATAGAGGAGGTATTAACATACCAAATGTTGTTTCATGGACATATCATCGAAGTATTTCTTTACTTATAGTTCTTCATGAAATCAAGCAGCAATCTATAGTTCTTTCAGAATTTAACCTCCATCAAGTACAAAACGGGTCAACTGTTCCCATTCCAATCCAAGTAAACCCAAAATCTCAATTACCTCATGAAGTTTCTCTTAATCCTCTCTCAGCATTACATATTCCATTCTTCAGATGCAAAACCAATCGAATATTTTCTACTCGTCATTCCTCGAAAATTTGCGTCATTCAGCAATTATTTACAAGTGTTGACGAACCATTGTCGTTTAGCGTTTGCATGTATCCACATAACTTCAATACCATTATTACCGTTCCAAATACCCCGTCAGACCTTCCGATTGTTTACATGCAGTTTGGTTCTTTAATTTTTTGTTTCGTGGTCAATTGTTTTATCTGTTTTATCGACATTTCTCAAAACCCTCCATTCATTTCTCTACAAATGAACCCTTATTCCGCTGGTCCTGTCAGTGATTGTGCATCTCATCTTCCTCTCAGGCACCATTTGGTAGATATATCCACCGGAGATGTTTTCCAGGTAAAACTTACGTTGGCCGGCTACTCAACTTTTGTTCGTTCAATTGATTCATCAAAAATTGATTTATTTGCCATAATTTGTGCAAAACTACAAGATCCTGTATCAATGGCGCCAGTATTTGCCTTACTAGAATTATGCGGAGACCCGTTTATCGTTATTCACTTCGCTCAAAAATTATTCAGATATTTGAGTTTCGAAAATCGGTATAGTAAAGTTGTTCCTCCAAAGAGACAGTCATTGACACATGGCCGTCGTCAACAGTTTCTCATTCGGCAACAATCAATGCCAGAAGCACGCGAAGTCAAACTTCCAGAATCAATCACTCATAAACTTGCATCAATGGAAGCGGAATTCCCAGCTGCTTCATTTGTTCCAAGGAAGCGAACATTTTGGACACATATCAAAAAAGTTATGACAGAAGACAGGTCACGTACACTTGATGATGCATGTAAGAAGGCTATTGTCAAGATGGAATCACAGAATTCAGCATCATTGATTATCCGAAGTTCACTTGATAAATGGATTTCAGAGTACAAACCAGACCCATTCTGGCAGTTCCTTATTTCGTTTGCATTTGTTAATGAAACAGTTATGCATGACTTCCCAACTATTCCCGTTCTTCGCGAAGAATCAGAGTCACTTTTAAACAACATCGGGAGTGAAGAGATGCGACGTACATTCCGTGCACATAAAGTTTTTCGTATGGCCGTTGCTAGCCACGAAAGATATAATGAACTTCGTTATTGGAAGAACCGAGTTCCACGTGGTGACTCCGAAGGAACAGACACAAGTCTTTCTACTATTGTTTTTGCAGCAAGACATCAATCAACAGACTTACTGTCTGCAGAAGTTAATCCTGTCACGATGTCTGGAGAATTTTCTGATCTCGTTCAATAATAAAATATTGTTTGTTATCTATCATACAATTAACTTTAATTTTTTATGACATGCACTATCATGTGAATTATAGTCATTTTTTATCATATTGATAATTGAAATTTACAAATTTGCAAAGTTTAACCCCGCCTTTTAGGGAAAAAACTTCACAAAGCATTCAACAATCTGATATATATGTTTAGATCAATTTTTAACTTTTTCATTCAATTTTCCGATACATAGAACACTATATGATAATTTTGTCTATTCATGCAAAATATTAAATAAAACCATTAAATTTGTTTTAAAATGTCATTATCGTAAAGTTTTCTGAAAACCTGTAAAATTTTCTTCTAAAATCCAATTGTAAATCATTTATGAATTAAATATAGCATAAATGATTCTATTTAAAAAAATCGTACCATTCAATTCAATAAATATTTTTCAGAAAGCTTTCAAATGATTTTATATATTATATTCATGCAATTATTTGATTTTAAATTTTATTCACATAAAAACAAAAAATTGAATGAATAACAAAAATCGCATTCAAAAATTCAATAATGATATTTGGTTCTTGTAATATCTAATAGGGTTCTATAATTTCACAAAAAATTATGGAAAGTGAAAAATAAAAAAAATTCATTTCATGAATGAATTTAAAGGCCTTAGTCCAAAAATCTTTAAGAAGTTCGATGTTTTGGAGAGGGTCGGTCATGGAAGTTTCGGAGAAGTGTATAAAGTCACTCATCATCGAACTAATCAAACATTCGCAATTAAAAAAGAAGCCACTGGAATATCACAGCCTCAACTCGAAAATGAAACCAAAATTATCAAGGCAATTGAAAGATATGCATGTTTCCCTAAAATTTACCTGACTTTTAATGATCTTGATGGTCAATATATTGTCATGGATTATTTTCCAAATTCTTTAGAAAATTTGTTTCAAATTTGTGATTGCCATTTCTCGTTGAAAACAACGCTTATGATTGCAGATCAAATGATTTCAGCATTACAAATTTTACATCTCCGTTCTTTTATTCACAGAGATCTAAAGCCTGAAAATATGATGATAGGAAACTCAAGATCTCCTCATACTCTTGCTCTTATTGATTTTGGGCTTTCAACATCATTTTGCGATATTATTACAAAAATTCATATTCCATTAAGAGAAGGAAAATCACTAGTAGGAACCACTCGTTCTGCTTCTATCAATGTACACAACGGTATTGAATATTCTAGAAGGGATGATATGGAATCCCTTGCATATATCCTCATTTATTTTATGAAAGGGTCTTTACCATGGCAAAATGTTCCTCTAATAAATGGACAAAGTCTTTCCACAGCTGTATCTGAAATTAAACAATCCACGCCAATAGAAGAATTGTGTTATGATCTTCCTGAAGAATTTGGGATGTTTTTGCAGGAAGTACGAGCTTTACAATTCGAAGAAGAGCCAAATTACGTTAAATACCGAGAAATGGTCAGAAATCTTTTTATCAAAAGTGGATTTGTTTATAATTACAAGTTTGATTGGGAAGGACATGAAAATGATAAAGCTCCAGAGAAGGAAGTCCACATGCTTCCGCTTAAAAATCATTACCGTTCTACTAAATCCCGAGATTCTTCACTCTCCAACTCTTATTGGGATTTAAGCCATAATGGCGGGAAAAAGAAACATCATCATAACCCGTTCAGACCTCAAACACTTCTTCAAATGTCAGCATTGAATCTCCTTACTTTGAAGTAGTTTTCGTTATCATTTAATTTATCTTTTGTTTGTATATTATCGATTATGTTTATAAAAATTCATATTCACGTCTTTATCTAATTAAATTTTTGATTTTTCTCTCTATCTATAGCTTATATTCGGTATCTCATGCTTCCTTTCTGAACCAAACATATTTTCGTATTGAAAATTCATTATTTTAGTATATTACAAACAAACAAAAATAATTATAAGAAAAAAATACATTTTGAATTACAAAGCTTCATCACTCCCAACATCATCCTCTGAATGTAGATGGTGGCAAGCTGGACACATCCACTCCCATTTGATTGAACAATCACAACAAAAAGGTAAGCAACAACAGCAGCAAAAAGCAAGTAATCCGGCTGATACTTTACCACATGTTGAAGGTTTTGGAAATTTTTGCCATCCACGCCCTGTGAAATTGCATACAGGGCAATGTTTAGATGGAGTCGATTGAGCATTACTAACAAATGCGAATCGTTGTGACATTGGTCTTTTTTGATGATCAGGGTTAATAAGTGTTTCGCTTGATTGGGAATTTATTTTTGGAAATTGAAAAAATTTGATAAACGATCCTTTTGTCACATTTTATTCGGTACTATCTTTTGAATAACATTTATTCTAATTATATCGGTATTTCTATGACACGCATCATCTTGTTTATATTGTAAAGCAGCAAATTTTAAGAAATAACACTAATTCTGAAAAAAAATTATATCAACTTTCAAATCCAAGATTATCAACTATATGAATAATTCAGGTATAACTTTATTAACTGTAAGAGCCCTATAAAGCATGATGATTAGAAAAATGAGAATTATCTTTATCTCATGGTTTCAAGCTGATAAAAAAAACAGTTGTCTTTATTTATAAATCTATTGTCTATTCTCTTTGAATTGTTTCTCATCATATACCTTGAAGCCGCACGCTTCGCGTACAAATGGCCTGAAATTCATATGATAATTCAATATTTTCAAGTGGTCAACAAGTATGTGAGCAGCATTAGGCCCAAAGAAAGCGCCATCTATTTCAATAACTGGACGAGGTGTATAAACTTTTCGGCAGCAAGGACAAAAGCCACTGACCATGCTTTCTCCAGGAGTACTTGATGAGCCTATTGGTAGTAATGGCTCCCTTTCGCAGTTAATTCTAGGACAAACTCCAAATGTGTGGCGGGAAAACTTCTCCGACAATTGGGATATACCACCTGGTGTTATAACGAATCTCGCATGGATCATACCATATACGAAAGGTAGAACACGTAGAACGTTATTTTGCAGAGATTTAGTAACGGATGCCAAGCTATTCTGGCCAGTAATTATATTTGTACATATTGTGAAGTAATGTGTGTAATCAGATTTTGATATTCCGGAAATAATATTTTTAAGATTTGGAGGTGGGTTTGTATCTAAGCCCCATAAATTGAATTTATCTTTGATAAAATCATCCGGGACATCGCAGAACCAAGAATTTTTCGGATCGTCTAAAAACTCCTTCTTCCAGGAGGATATTTCACTATCCTGTAAATTCATTGTAGATAAAATTATGGGTCCGATAGTTACATCCCCTTAGAAACATCACTCGTTGATTTTGTTATTTATTATTCTAATCATATCATCTAAGTTTGGTATGACTATTAATGCCATAAGAACATTTTGAAATCGAAATTCAATATTTCGTTTATTTGGAATTATGAGATATATAGTATACCATTATTGATATTTTTAACTTCTTAAGTATATTCATGATCTACGAAGGATTAAATCAAATCCAGAAAGAATTCGATTTTGAATTTTAGCGAGATAGATGTTTTTATAGTGTGATATTTGCAATTTAGACATATGAGAGATTAACTATAAGAAAATTATATCCCTAAATTGTTGATCCGATAATAGTTTACACTTTTTCCGAATTTATAAAAAAGATCTTTGATGTTGGCAAAAAGTCTGCTTATTGATGAGTCTTCTGGAATTATTAATGATGGTGTAGTCAGAGACTTTGCCGCCCAAGGAATCAGAACAACAGATCCGAGAATTAGATATTATTTATGGCAATTTTTACTTCACTTGCTTCCAAATGATCGTTCGAAGTGGGAATCAACAATAAAAACACGATTTGAACAGTATTTCAAGTGGGTTAAGATATATTTTCCTGATACATTTGACTGGCTCGAAAAAGATTTTAGTAGCGAAAAGACTGTTAAAGATTTTGGTCTCAAAAATGATAGTATTATGACACAAATATACGGCGACGTGATTAGAATGCCAAATAAAGCTTTTATTGATTGCGGTATCGCAAAAAATGAAGAAGAAGTTTCTATGTACGCAAAAAGAATACAGCGAATACTATACTTATTTTCAAATCTCAATTCTGCTTACTCATATACTCAAGGATTTAACGAAATTGTTTTACCATTATATGAAATAGTTCTTAAAGCAAATCGCGTTCTAGGAGGTGACGATGACTTATCAGAGAGTATAACATTCTTTTTATTCCAAAATCTCGTAACAGGGACCGGACTCGGTGATTTATTCACAATGGAACAAGATTTCGAATCAGTGAATGGCAGATTCAAAGTTATTAACAAAATGATATACTTCTACGATAAAGATTTGTATACTTTATTCAATAATCTCGAAATTGATCCATTACAATTTGCTTTCCCTTGGGTAACGCTTTTATTCACACAGATATACACAGGAGAAAGTTTATTCCATATTTGGGATAAGTTTTTACTCAAAAAAGTGAATGTTCTTGAATATGCTATGGCAATGGCTTCTGCTCACTTAATTGAGGTGAAGTCATGTTTAATTGGTCATAATTTCAATGAAATATTAGAATTTCTTCAAAATATTCCTCCATTAGACGTAACAACGATTGCTGTGCTAGCTGAAGACGTTTGGACACAATATTGCAATGGAATCAAGTCTAAGTAAATCCTAATTTGTGTCCAAAAACTATTTATTCAAAAATTTTATTAATATATCTTTTTTTTTTAATTTTCTATTAAGATTTCTGTAAGGAACTATTTGTTTTCTATTATATTATAAAAATCAAATTTTGTGTTTTTCTAAATTAATTTTTTTTTAGAAAAGTTATTAATTCAATCCAAAACAAGATGGGCCCAAAAAAATTCAAACTTATTGTTAGTTACTTCATTTCTGATTGAAAATTTTATTCAAAATTTTTAAACTGTTGGTTATGGATAACTATAACGAATTACATATTTGATCAATGTGTATGCAACATTATAGCAATAAAATTCAAAATCAGTTTAGAATTTTGATCTGAAAAAAAGGTGACCAAACTATTTTTTGAAAGTCCGCCATAACTTTAATAGTACTATTTCAGCGTGTACAATGAATACAAAAATTCTAAGAGTGCCACATAAAATAGTACTTTAGACTTGAGTTAATGCTACCAAGCAAATGTTAAAAAGATGACTTTAGTGTTTTGATAATCAAAGATTAAAATCATTATTGTCTAAATCAATAATCATAACGACAGAAGTTAATGTTTTTTCATCAGTGCTTTAAATCCACTTTTAAAAGTATACCTCAAAAATCAAAATATCAAAAAAAATTGGCCGATAGGTTTGGCTTTAATTTTTGTCTGCTTTTATGATTTGATATGGATGTTATAATTTTAAAAGTTGAGCCAAATTCACCAATAGATTTTTGAGATTTGCAAATACTCAATAATTTTCAGCGTGTTATCTTTTATTAAAAGAACTATTTGGTTTCAGTATCATAGAAATTGATATTTACTTTCTATTTGAACCTTCATTTAGCTAATGATTTAGTAATACAGATTTCATCTAATCCTTATAAGAGAATTTTGAATTTGTTATAATAAAAAAACAAACAGATATAGCTTACACTTCTATAATAAAGATACCTTTTATAGAAATCAGTATGAAATGTGTTTTTTGACACGTAAAGCTCTCAATTCATTATAACATGTTTGTCGATTTTTATATATTTTTCGCTTTCATTATCTATGATATTAAAAATTATGTCATCAGAATGTGAAATAATTAAACAAATGCCCTGCGGGAAGTATTTTATACTAAAATTTATAAAAAAAATCACTGTACGTTTAGCCTACTGGTTATGTCGTGGGGTTCAAAGGCAATATGTTCAAATCAGTAAACACCCGTTTTTTTTATATTTTTTTTTAACAAGGTGAATATAACTTTTGATCGAAATCAATGAGTTACATGAATTATCATTTATCTAACTACAATTAAATTGTGAAAATATACTATCCAATATTAGCGTTTAATAAAATCAAAGATTATTGACTTATATTTTGAAAGTAATCTAAGCAGAATTTAGATATCCAAATTCTAAATATCTTCATGCTTAGATGCTAGATAATATATTCTTATTTGAAAAATTTATAATGTTATTATTTTCTTATTTGATATTTACTACAAGCAGAAAAGCATTTATATTGTAAATTAACAGATTATGATAATTATACTCGTTTTTATATGTTCTTAATGAAGAATATCAAACGTATTTCTATGAGTTTTAAAAAATGAAAAGTTTTAATATGGCTAATATATTTATTATCATTAATAGAATAAAAAAGTTTTTTTCGCATATCACTCGATGATTTACCTTCGAGTTTTGATAAATTTCGAAAAAATTTAAGGAATGCTCTTTGAATTTCTTTACCTATAAGCATATTATCTGCCGTATTATTTTTCGCTAATTGTAGAATTTTATTTAATTTTAATAATTAACCTTCTAAGCTTATTGAGAGATCACATTGTATATTTGATACGTAGTACATATGCTAAATCTGTAAATTAGATTGTAAGATATTGAACAAACGTTCTTAAACATTTTAGATTTTAGGGAATTACTGAATTAAACTATATTTCTTATATGATATCTTCATGTTTGGATGCTTTGGGTATAATTTATTGGGCTTTTTCTATCCAAATGTTTGGCAATGGTAACCCAATTTCTAACAAATTTATGATGGAAAAATTTATGACTTTTATAGAGCCGAAAAAAAAGCATAGAATGAATAAGACTATTAAAGATAAGCTGTAATTTGATTGTGAATTTTAAGAAAAGAATTTGGATTAAAATTTGAAATTCTTTTTTGGCGTCAAAAATTTTCTCACTGGGTTTTCGTCTATCAATCCCAGCTCATTATATACGCAACCAATCAAAAATCTGATATGGGAGTCCAAGGCTAACTTTTTGTTGTCTACCTAATAAAAGAGGAAGCAGCATTAGTGAGAATAATCGCAAATATTCAATTTAAATTATCTTTTTATTCTTAATTTAAAGTGACAAAAAGAATAAAAAACCTATTCTAAGGCATGTTGTTATGTAAATGAGACTAGACATCATATTTTATGTTATGAAAAAAAAATATTTAGAATTTTAGAACAAAATAAATAGAAAAAATAGCATAACTTATGGATGTGCGTATATTAAATTTAATAAATTAAGAACTGATAGAGAATTCCCTAGTTTCATTTGTTCTGGTCGTGATCTTGATGATAAAATCGTTGTTCATCCAAAAGATTTTCAGAGTATCCGATCACAATTAAAATATTTACGATTTGAAAAGAGTGGTATTCACCTCTGGGGTGTTTTCTCTGCTTGTTATTTTGCTCCTGGCGAGCCAATCGTGGAATATACAGGTGAACTTGTTAGATTATCTGTTACAGAAGCAAGACAGAAATATTACGAAACAGAGGGTAATCATGGCTCATATATTTTCAGACTTGATGACGATTTATATATTGATGCTACTCATAAGGGAGGAATTGCTCGTTTCCTTAACCATAGCTGCGATCCGAACTGTAAAACATGTGTTGTTGAAGCAGGAGGACAGCGCCATATTGTAATTTTCGCAAAAAAGAAAATCGAGCCATTCGAAGAGTTGACTTATGATTATAATCTTCCGTACGAATCCAAAGAAAAAGCTATTGTTTGCTTATGTGGATCGCCAAAATGCAGAGGTTACCTTAATTATACAGATAAAAAAGATATAGAAAACGAACCAGATGATATACCATACCCTGTTAACGAATCATAATAAAATGTTATAAACTATAGTGTATTTATATAATTATTTCAAATATTTTTCAAATTCAATTTGATTCATGGCTTAATCTTTTAGATATGAACAGAAAATAGGAATGGGATGATAGGCTATGCCAAATACTAACAGTTATAACTCTTCTTTGTTAATTACAATAATCACAATCCTGTTTTAGTGATGATTGTTGTCAAAAAAAAGTTTTATGAAATGCAATTCAAATTAGAGCCTTCTGACGATATTAAAGGCGAACAATTAGATGATGATAAGGAACTAGAGACCTCTTTCCTTAAAGAGATTGATATTATGCGGTCAGATATCGATTTTGACACGTTTAATAATCAAATTATTAAAATTCAATCTTACATTTCTGTAAATCCAGAGCTTGTGAAATTACTAACCAACATGGATGACTTCGAACTGTTTTTCGAGAACAGAATAATCGATTTAATACAAAATGGATTAAATTCTATCGAAACAATCAAATTATTCAACAATATTGTAGTACAGATTAACAGAGAGATTTTCGTACAAGAAGACTTTTTTGATTTACTTTTATCTCAGTTATTTGCAAATGAAACAGAAATTTCGCTCAAGCACTCAATTTTAATGCTTATATCAAATCTTGTAGTTGATAATAGAAATATTGCAATAGGATTGTATAATCAAAATCTTCACAACGAAATAATTAATTTTGTTACCTCAACAGAAGGCACTCCATACTACGATCAATGTCTTATTTATTTGAGTACAATATTTGAATCATTCTATTATTACGATATTGAAGACAACACGATATATTTAAATTTTTTCCAATATATAATTGAAAAGCATCAAATTCATTTACAAGGAATACTTTCATTTATATGGTCATTCATAAAAGAATCTAGGTTTGAAGAAACAGATGATTATTCGTTTTTTAAAACACGAAATTTTTTAATTCAACTAAATGACTGCTTAAATAACATTGACAATCTAGAAATTATCTTAAATATACTTATATTCTTTATTGAAGAGGATGATGCTCAAAGTTTCTTCGAAGAAATGAAGAATATTAATGAAAACAATCCCACAATTGCTTTTTCAATGATTGACAGTATATTGAATGTTTTATTCAACAGGGAAATGAAATCAATTGATACAAAATGGCCAAATTCGCTTTTTATAAGATTAATAACCAAATGTATTAACTTTGAAGATATGTCAGGCTTCTGTCTTTTGTTTACAGAAGATATGTGCCAATATATTGATTATTGCTCCCAAGCTCTTGATTTTCATATTAAATATGAAATTGTTGATTTATATCAAACAATTCTTAATATTCATGAGAACAATCCAACAATTTTTCTTCATATATTCAAGTATTCCCACTTTCAACAAATGATTGAACTGATTGATGGTGATAACTCTGAATTGTGTCAAAAAATCATCAATTTCTTCTTTCATTTCACATGTATTGCAGAAAGAAATAACTACATGTTCAATGCTGACCCAGAAGTTGTTCCATTTCTATTAAAAAATGTAGATGAGCACGAATATATTAACTATGTTGAGATTTTAGAACTTTTTAATACGACAGATTTCGCAAGTTTAATGGAATCTGCTCTAGAACTGATTGATGATGAAAAATACACAGAATTTTGCGACATTTTTTATCAAAAAATTGAAAACTTCAACAATAGAGAACAAACATCAATTCCTTTACCGGATTATATTTTTTCAAAGCCAGTAGATCTTGATTACTTTGATTCTGTTTTTGATTGAAGAAGATTTATAACAAAACTTGTCATTTGATTATGATTTTACTCATTAGTATTATTTGTTTGAATTTTATATTATAAATGTTTCTTTACTATTATATTCAGTTGCAATATGAAGGGCGGTTTTTCCATATTTATTTTTTTCATTGATATTTGCACCGTGTGAAATGAGAACTTCGGCAATTTTTGAATAGTTTTCATTTGCTGCATGATGAAGTGCTGTTTCTTCATCTTCATCTTTTTTCATTGATATTTGCACCATGTGAAATGAGAACTTCAGTTGTTTCTTTACTTTTATATTCTGTTGCAAGATGAAGGGCGGTTTGTCCATATTTATCTTTTTCATTAATATTTGCACCATGCGAAATGAGATGTTCGGCTATTTCTTTACTATTATTCCGTGCTGCAAGATGAAGAGTGGTTTTTCCATATTTATCTTTTTCATTAATATTTGCATCATGCGAAATGAGAACTTCAGCTGTTTCTTTACTATTATTTTCTGCTGCTTTATGAAGAGCAGTTTGTCCATATTTATTTTTTTCATTGATATTTGCATCATGTGAAATAAGAAATTCAACTGTTTCTTTACTATTATGTCGTGCTGCAATATGGAGAGCGGTTTTTCCATATTCTTTTCCATTGATATTTGCACCATGTGAAAGGAAGTATTCCAAAAGGGATGGAATATTAAAAATCAGTGAATAAAAAACGCAGTTGTTAAAATCATTAGTTTGATCGAAATAAACTAAAAATGCTTCAAGATTATTATATTTTGCACAATAATCTAAAACAATCTTGATATTGTACTCATTCATCAAGAATGTAACAAAATCAATATTGTGTGAAATAATTGCATATTCCATGCATTTATAATCTGGTTTTTGATATTTCAAACATTCACTCATTATCTCTGCATTTCCTCCTAAAAATGAAAATCTGAGACATGCTTCAGTTATTTCTGACTTAAATTTTGTTCTTAATAACTTGAAACAATCCACAGCTCCATGATAACAACATAATTCAAGTAATGAATATCCCCAGGATGAACTTGGATATAAATTGCTTTGAAGTCTTTGATATTTACTAAATTCATCTATTTCTGTGAATGAAATGAATCTTTCTAAGTCATTATACATAATAGCTCTGTATATTGTATTCTCTGTATGAATATCGAGATTTTTCAAATTATATTTTTTGAAGTCATCAGATTTGTATAATTCAATTTTATATTCTTTATAAAACATGAATCTTGAAAGTACCACAACATTTTTAACCTCGTTGACATGATATCCATCAAATATAAGTTTGGCAAGAGATAAATATGATTTTGCATAGCGATTATTATACGGAATGATATTTAAAATGTCTTTTATCATGCTTTTGGGGGAATATTTATTTGTATCAATCAATTCTGTTTTGATAATTTTGTAAATAGAGTTTAAATCTTCTTCTTTTTCCGTTTTCAGCTGATACAACACAATATATGAATCAATGTAGTATTTATAAATACTACGCAGTTCGCTGTATTTGTTTGGATGAACGTCTTGTTCGGACATTAGTAATTTTTAAAAAGAAAAATTTGTCTTTGTATTATTTTGACGAGTTTTGGAACTCCTTAATGCAGTTGAGTAAGGAAACAATTAAATGTAACTTTGGAGAAAAAGTGCAAAATTTTGTCACTTTTTTCTAAAATCCATGGATAATTTGCAATTTGCTGTTGATTTCTGTGAACCAATTGTCAGAGACGAGATATTTAATGATCCTCGACTTCAAGATCAACAGATTTTCAAAGAATTAATGATCGAAAGAAACTGCTCAGATTTATGTGGTTGGCCAAAGTGTGATCATCATATTAAATTAACAGAAGCTGTTCCAAAGGATCCAGTATTCTGCAGTACAGCATGTCGCAACAAATTCTTCAAGCATTTCGCTACAGAAGAGGAAGAAGATGGAGATCCAGTTCCTGCACCAATTCCTCTTGGCCCTATTGTCGAAAAGTTTACAGATATGAGGCCACCGAAGAAGCTTACGAAGTTCTCTTCTGATGAAATTGAAGGAAAATACGTCCGTGTTGGACCTTACAGAGATTTACTTAATGAAATCGAAACATGGGTTGGTGGACTACCTGTAACACCAGATCGCGGCATGAATGACAAACAAGAACGATTATTTGAACTTGTTAATTCAACTTTACAATCTATCGATACAGGACTCAAGAAAACGAATGCAGTCATATACTTCTTCGTTAATTTACGCGTTAATGACTTAGCAATGCTTTTAGACGCAGATCAAAATTTCAAAGACGCATTTTCTTTCGCAATGTTTGAAACAATGACTGGCCAAGATATGTCGCATAATATAGAAAAGATTGACTTCAGTTATAATACTTACAAAGATATTTTAACAATTTTAGACGTTATTCCGCCTCAGCCCGAGAAATATTAAAGAATAATACTGTTTTAATTCATTGTCTACCAGTTTATATACATATAGAGTATAAAAATTATAAATTTCAATTAATTTATTTATATCAAACATTTTTTATTAAAATTGTGAAATAGTAAAGGGAAGAAACATTCATTTTATACTATATTTTTAAATTTTTTGGAATGAATGAATAAAAAGAAGAAATTAATATAATTTTGAGCATAAACGTTATTTCCTTCTTCATTTTCGTTGTTATTTGAAGCGGAATATCCACACTTGTATTTGGAAGAATCGACGAAATCTGATTTCGAAATATTTGTTTTCAAATGAAATATTTGTGTTCCTAAATACTGGAGAATCTCTCATTGATGTATTGCTATCTGTTGTTGAATTTTCAAAAATAATTGTCAATCTTGTGCATCAAAAATCGTAGAAATCGCATTTTCGCGAATACAACAATAACTCATGAAAGTATTAGAATGCATAGAATGGATCAGAGAACTTGTATAAAGACCTTTATTTCTGATATAATTACATGCAGTAACTTTGAATATTGATGATTTATATGAATCAGATGATGATTGCTGATTAAAATAAGAGAATGTTTGATTGTTTTCAATGACATTGACACATGTTAGGTAGGAATCAGAGGTAATTGCTCCTGCAAGGTAACCTCCGTTATTGAATGAGAAGTCGAAACCGGGGATTATGTCTTCTAATGTCTGATTCACTTCTTCTTGCAATGTAAGCATGTGTTTGAGCTTTTTAGCGGAATTCATTATTAATTCAACTAACTTTAGACAAAACTCAATTGGAAGAATACTGCATGAACTTATGTAATAAATGGTTCATTGATAACAATTTTTGATGTTATATTTCTATAATATTAGATGATGTCTGAAAAATTCTTAACATGTTCAAATGAGCTGCATAAAACTTATGAAATCACTTACGAAACAGAAACTAGTTTAAATATGAATTTATATTCTACTACTATATCATTTAATAGTCATCAATAAAAAGAAAAATCGAATATGATTTTGAACATAATCGTTACTTTCTTTATTTTTTCCTTCTTTGATTTCATCGTTTTTTGGACTGGAATTATTGAATGTAGATAATATCAAATAAGGGCAATCGTTTTCAAACGAAATAAATGTATTCTTAAATATTGGTGAATTACTTGTATATGTAGTGTTATCTGTTGTTGAATTTTCAAATGTTATTGTGCATTCATATACATTAAAAATGTAATTCATATTGTTTTCACGAATACAACAATAACTCGTGAAAGCATTAGAATACCAAAAAGTAATCAGATAACCACTTGGACTTTTATTTCTTATATAATTACATGAAGTAACTTTAAATATTAATGATCTATATGATAAAGATGTTTCATGGAAATTAAGTCCACCGGATGTTTGATTGTTTTCAATGACATTGACACAAGTTATGTATGAATCAGAGGTAATTGATGTTGTTCTATAACCTCCATTATGTTTTTTGACTCTATTTTGTGTAATATTGCATTCATTCATGATTATAAAGCCATTAACCATGAAAGTTGTAAGCAAGCAGTCTTGTTCTGAACTGCCGCAGTTGGAAACTAAAGTTTCATTAGCATGATTTTTGTAATTTGGTATTTCTGAAACTTGTATGGAAAACGAAGGTCCAGCATTTGAATTTGTTGAGTTAATGAATGAATTTTTTGTTTGAACAAATTCACCTTTGTCGTAAAAGTAGAGAGAACCTCCTTCTTGTGACCCGGAGGAACAAGATTCGAATTTATTTGTTGTCGCATATGTTTTAGCGTCATTACTTGATGTTGAAATTCGAACAGCACCGTTTGGACTTAATTCAAGAAAAAAACAACTTGAAACAAAGTAGTTTAAGTTGTTCGATCTTGAAAATTCAGTGCTGCTGTTATAATGCTGTTCGTCATAGCTTGATCCTGGGAATGCAAATTCCCAGGAGATATTGACTTCACTACGGCCAAATTGATTCTATCGTTTTAAAGACAAAAAATGATTTTTGGGTATTATTAGGGTCATATGTACTAATGTTTTGTTGTCACAATATCCCCTTATTTTTCGTGGTGTAAGCATGTTGTTTTTTCCCCATTGGGGACGACTGAAAAGTGACAAGATAAGTTCGAGATGTCAGAGATTTTTAGTAAACTGTCAAAAAATAATCAAAAGATACGGACACTCCCTTCTAACCAAAATTTTGGCCTTAAACTCCAGCTGCAGGCTATACATATTATGCATATGTAGAATACATAGTTTGGAGAAAATCGGCAAATACAATCTAGAGTTATATCATCATCCAGAATTATCGAGAAAAATCTCTTAAATACCACGATAGTACAATCCAGTACAAGTAGCATATCAGTGCTATATCATAAAACGAATTATATATCAATATAATGCCGTATATTTGATTCAATTTACAATATTGGTATAAAATTGAAGCTTACTTTATCATGCACTTAGTACTAACAAGTTCAAGGATCTCATATGTCTACTACAATTTTAACATTGCATGTTGAAACTTGTAATATGAAAATAAATAGACTAAAAATTTTTTATACTACTCTTTTCATCGACGTGTTTTACTGATTTAGCTCATATTTGTGAACTTCGATTTTTTTAGTGTCTTGCTTTTACTACTTTTGGTTATTGTGAACAATATGAATCTAAAGTTATCCGTTTCTTACAATCTATTGCATTAAATAAAAATTAAATTATTTATCCTTTGTCAAAACATCTTTAAACATATAGCTTTTAGAATTGATTAGACACAAAAAACTAGTACATATACTCATTTCAGTATATATGTTTGTGTAAATGAAATCAATCTGTAGTATTGTCTATAGTTTATCAATACCGATATAATATGTTGTGGTTGAAATATATTACATAGATAAGTGATATGGGATACTAAATCTTGAGAAACTCAATTCAGGATTTAAAGATTAATAATGAATAACTCATACACAACAATTATAGATAGAGGAAAGCCATTAACAATCATCAAAATTATGAAATACAAGAATAATATCCTGATATATTGATTGGAAATATTTATTTTAGAGATCATCAAATTATTATATATTCTTTTTCAAGAAAAGCATATAAGGAGTATAAACATAAATCATATAGTACTATAATCACAATGTTAAAGAGAGAATCTTGAAGATTGAGAAAATTTTTGACGCCTTCTTTTTTTTTGAAAATTAGCCGATGATATGCTTAAGCTAAAAATTACTAGAAGCGGTGTGATATAATTTATATAAAAAAACTCATAATTGCCATTATTATTGGTACATATAAAGTCAAATTATAATTTGCAGTTATGCTTTAATCAAAATCTATATTGAAACGCTTTGTCACATCCATTAAAAAGGCTGTCGCATATAAATCCAAACATTTGCTTGGTATGTACTTTTCCATTTTAACGTCCTGATTGATATAAGCATGTTTTACACTTTAAAATAGTAATTATGACAACCTGTACACCATAGAAGTAGGCTATAACAAGAAAAATTAGATTGACATCGAATAATTTCAAGATTTAGAAACAATTTGTAGCTTTCTCAATTATCTAGAGTTAAAATTCATTTATAATGAGGTCATATATTTTAATTATCTTGTAATAAGGGTTTCGTTTTGCGAAAAAAACGTACAATACGCAATTTCGCTAAAAAACATTTAGCTAGCAATTTCGACCTTTGACTCCACTCAAGACGTCACTTTTTTAATTTTGCGGTATCATATTTTTGGAAAATCTTTATGAATATTATATAAAAAGTCTCTTTAATATCTATATTTCATATTTTTATCGATTTTTAAGGTTTTGGCGAAAAGTATTCAATTATTTTTGCTATTTGGTCGGGTAAATGTCAGATTTGCGACATTTTCTGATATGATATTCAGATTCTACGTTTATATAGTAATTTATGCTTTACATGTATTTTATATAAATTTTTATTGAATTCAAATATTCAATAGTTTTTTTATGCTAGATTAGTTGTATTTATTTAAATATATTATATTGGCAACCTTTCTTTACCCTGTCCTAATAAACGCATTTTGTAAAAAAATATAGTGCATCAGTTTCGAACTAGCGTCCCGGGTACCCAATAATAAGGGGTAATAACCATTCGACCATTTGCCACGTAAAGCATCGCCGGATTTTTTTTATTTAATCACTCCCAAAACACTGTTTTGGCTTATTGGAAGCATATCAGACATAATCGCCATAATCAAAAAATCTATATACCCAATAAGTAATAAATTTGTCGATATAGATTTTCCATAAAATTAGTTTTTAGTCTGATCTTAAAATAAATTTAATTTTTTATAAAAAAAAATCACATTTAAAAGTACCTTTTTAGTAGCTCGAAATCCTGTTGGTGGATTTCGGGCGTACTTCAAAATTAGCTTTTCTTCTACATATGCAAGCTATATTTTAAATATGGGGCAAATCGGATCGGCGAAAGGAGTTTAGTTACCTTTTCTGAAAATCAAATTGGCTCTATTTCGTTTCTGTTTTACATATGAATCGTATATGCAAAAGTATTATTCAAACGAAACAAGTATCATGTTGATTCAATTGTCATTGATTCCATCATGCAACGACGAATTTTATTCAAAGGAGAAAAAAAAATTAATCGAAAAACGGAACAAGATTATGTATTGAGGAATTTAATAAAAATCACCACTCAATTTTTTTCATTTAAAAAGTGTCAAAAATGGGAGAGGTAGATTTGAATGTAGAAATACAAGAAATGGTTAAAAACAATGCAGAATATTTTCGCCGACTTCATTTAGAGCGAAAAGCTTTAGCCATTGCTAAAGTTCCATCATATTGGGAAAATGAAAAAATTCCTCCAAACATTATCGGCCCAGCAGCCAATTTTTTCAACAACCCTCCTCTTATAATCAACTATGTCATTAACAATTCTCGACCAAAATCAATTGCTCGTTCAAATCCAAATACACAGTTGTTTGTTTTCGACAAGAATTTATCAGATGAGCTCTATTCTCGACCATTAGATGAAATTTTAGCGCAATCAGCACCACTCGTTTCAATTCTTTCTTTAGCAGATGTTCACGCTTTTAAAGATATCAGATTAACTTATTCTTTACCAACATTTCAATACGTTCCTTTCACAATATCTTTCGAAAGTTTAATGTGCAAATTTAAAATAATTGAACCGCTTTATTTTACCTTATTTTTATTTGATGATACAACATTTGAACAAATATCAGAAACTTACATATATCCATGCAACAATGACACTTGCTTTTTGGATACAATACCTGTTCCAAGCCCAGTCTTTAATATTCCTGTAGATAAAACAAGTTCTGTTAAAATTATCGTTTGCCTTACAAGATTGCTTCATAAAGATGGTGGTGAGGACTTTGATAATTACTACCTCAATCCTTCAGGCGTTTCAACTGATAAACTTCACGAAATTTGTTTGAATATCAATCATAAGAACATTTTCTCGATTTTTGGCTTTTCTGAGATCTCCCTTCCACAAGTTATTGCTGGTAATACACTTGAACTTACGAAATTCATCAAAACATCAACAGTTAGCGTTTCATTTTTAGAAAATTATTTCAGATATCCACTTGAAAACGAACAAACCTTCCCAATAAGCGTCAAACTGAAAATTACAAAGGTTCCTTACCAGCAAAAGGGCATGTATCCGTACGAATATTACACAAACCACGTAAATATCAGTTTACATAACTCTTTCTTCACTTTTCCACCGGGAATGCGCGGTAGAAACCTTTATTGTATAGTACAGGTTGTCCATAACGGTTCAGTTTTCTCAGAATATAAAAGTTTTTGCCAATATCACGTTGAAAACCCACAGTTCTTCGATTCCTTTAAGTTACAGTTACCTCCTGACCTCAACAATGACTCAGAACTCGTTTTCAAGTTCTTCCATGCCGTAGTTAAAGGAGAAGTTAAAGATAGATCTCAAGATTCAGGAACAGCATCGATAAAACTGTTCAATAATGGTCTATTCTTGGGAGATGGACGTCATACAGTTGGTATTTCTTACGATGGAACCCCGGTTAAGCCTACAGAAACAAATTGTTTCACATTTTCAACAGTTTTGAATTCTATCGTATATACAAACTCAAAGACATGCCAATCCATCTTCAGCGGTAACTACAATGAGATCGTTCTCCCCGGATTGAACGAAATTCTCCCTATTGTCTATGTTATTACGGACAACCTCCTTGAAAACATCAAAGAAGGCAAGAAGGGAGCATTCAAGATGTTCCTGAAGCTCCTAAAGCTCTTTCCAAAGGAGAGATCTACGAATTTTATGCTTTACTATGTCCGAAATCTCGCTTTGAGAGGAATGACGGACTTCTCGTCGATGTTTATAAAGACCTGGATCAAATATACGGAGCATTCTTTCTCTACAAAACGATCAGATCTTCATTATTCGTGGATACTCTTTGAACTCCTCGTTAAATCGCTTGCCATTGACAAGCCACATACGAAGCTCCTCTTAGAACTCCTCTACAAGCTTACTTCGTATTTCCCTCAATTCAGAGATGCACAACAGAACGTTGGCCTTGACTTGAACAAGTCTTTTTCGATATTTGAGCGCGATATCTTTGAGTTTGTCGATAAAAATATCGTAATTACGATAGTTTCGCATCATCTCAAATCATTAGACGTTTCGCAGCCATACGATGCCTCTCTTTTCAAGAATTTCTTCCAGAACTTCTTCACTCCGAGGACATTTACCCTTTTCTGCCTTCCTTTGAAAAATGGCGATACATTATTGAACCAAGTCATCCTTCCTCACCTCAGAGCTCTTGATCCCTCGAAGCCCATTATCGAGGAGGTCTTCAAGCACATATTCTCCATGCTCCTTACCTTCGAACCCGAGGAACAATTACTATTAACAACAGGAATGGTTCCTCTCCTTGAAATTGTCGGCAACATGACTAACATGACGCGCCACAAGATCATTTACTCACTCACCGTTTGTATCTTTATCGTGTACAACGTAGAAATCAAAGAATTTAACGATAAAGTTGCAAATTTTGCCGAATTAATTTTGAGGTGTTCGATAGTGAACACAGAAACAGCTGTTAGCGAGGATAACGATGAAGAAGACTCCATGAGACAATGGCGATCTCGAAAAGGCTCCATATTCAGTATTCCTGCCGATTTCGAATGGGATGCATTGTCATTTTGTTCTCAAGCAATTTGTATCAAATGGTGCAGCCAATTTTCCAATTTGAAGATCTTCAATTCCATATTAGTTCCTTTCTCAGACGTGATACTTGCTTTGTCATTGCAATCCCACTATTTCAGGTTGTTGGATGAATTCGCACAGAACCATTTCGATTTGATTTTCTCTCCTGAATCAAATCTGAAACACGTTGTAAGATGCATAATTTCAACGCCAACAAAGAAAGGAATTAACTACTTGTGTTCATTATATCAGTTGGAACAGAATAAGCTTGGAAACAACCATATAATGAACGCTTTGACTGCAAGAGCTTTGTATTTGTGTCCTCCTTTCAACGGCGTTGTTGATTTATTTACAGGAACTCCTTTCGAAGAAATCGTAAGGAATTTCAACAAATCAATCAATGTTTTGTCAACAACAATGAAGGATGCAACAGCAAGGATAGAAGCAAGAGAAACAATTGCTAATCTAATCGCTCATTCACCTGATGCAAGAGTTAAAGCTCTTTTATCTCTGTCAGATGAATTCGAAGCATTTGATTTGGATTACGAAGCAACAATGGCCGTGATACAAGCAATGGGATTAGTCGCTTATTACACGAAAGACGTGTTTAAGAACGCTATAGATGTTCTTGAGAAAATCACGCCTTCAATAAGAATGGAAGAGAGTAATTACATCAAAGAAAATATCAGAGGAATCGCAAATTCTGAATATTTCTGCGCTTTCGGTTTCATAAAATTGGCAAATTTGGCTCTTCATTTGTCAACGAAAGTCCAGAGGTTGCATTTGAAATTGTCCAACGCTCTCATACCTTTATATATTGAGAATGGTCTATACAAGGAATTGTCACAGATATTGACAAATTCAATCAAAGACAATTCAATAGAAACTCCAATTTACCAACTCAATATTTCTGACTTCTTTTACATAAAAAGTGACAACTTCGACCTAATTGTCCACCTCACAAATCCTTACCCTAGCGAAGCAGCATTAGCCATCATCAGAGAGATCTTCAAGATCCATATTTTAGAGATATACATAAGAGCCCTCAAACAAGAAAATCCAACAACATTTTATTTTTATCTTTCCTTCAAAGAGAAGGTTTACTTGAAGACTGCACATCCAATGCCATCATACAAGATATCTACACCTGTTAAATCCATCGAAAAAGTTACATTATCAGATTCAGAGTCACAGATCTTGAATTTGAAGATGAAATCAGCACAAATCGATGATTTGGTCAAACAGAAAGACTTCTTGAAGCTCCAGAAGTTGTTACAAGAAGTATTATATCCTGATCCAAGAAAATCTCTCAAAGTTGTTGATGAATTCGATAAATCCATACATAATGCTGTCATTGCTCACGGTATTTGGGGTGCTGATAACCCTGAAAGCATCGAAAAGCAATTTATGTACGAAGCAATCCTCAAAAACTCTGGAATTGATATTTAATTTATTTCTCTGTTTTTATTCTGTATATATTTATCATTTTCTTCTTTTTTCTTTTTGGAATTTATATGTAAATGTTGTATATTTTTAATTTCATCAAATATCTTTAACCAATGAATTACCTAAGGCCAGAGCATTGCAATTAATACAGATTTGTCTTTGATTTTTATAAAATATAATATTGAAAATTTAATTTTTAGAAACAAATGTAAATCTTTTAAGCAAATTTTATGTGACTTTATTAGTATATTTAGAATTTCGACGTTGATGAGTTCGTTTCCATGTCTTAGTCAAAATATCCTTCAAAAAAAAATTCATTTATGAGTTCAACATTACAAAAATTACTGGAAAAAGCGAAGAACATTCCTACAGATAACGTTAAAGAAGATGTGGAGTGTTTAGGAGATTTGCTTACACACGGAAAGATATATTTTGACTTTTGTTTTTCGAGATTTCAATTGGTTGCTGACAAACCAGAAGCACAAACAGTTATTCAGCGTATCATCGGGTCAGAAAATGATCCAAATTACTATCTACCGTTTGTTGGTCTTCTTTTGGGCAAAATTTCTCCATCAGAATCTGCAAAGTTCCTATTTAATTTACTTACAACAGACAAAGCACCCGCATTATGCGGATACATTCTTATTCAAACAAGTACAAATCTATATATTAAAGAATTATGTACTTTATTATTTAATTCGATTCCTGGTCCATCAAAAATATTAATGCGCGATGATTTACTCTTCAGATACTTAGGGTTAGGCGGAAATATGGATTTCGTTGTCAATTGCCTTGAAAAAATCCCAGCAAATAATTCTTACCAATTTTACCAGGAATTTCTCCTATTTTTCACTTGGCTAATTGGAAATGGATGCAAATCCGAGAAACTCTTATCATTAGCTATTGATATCGCTGTTACAAATCCAGATCCATTAACTTTAATCCAGGTTATTCATCAATCGGATTACAATGTGCCAAAAGCATTTGCAGATTGGATTGAACAAAATCTTGATAGCAATGCACCAAAATTCGAAGACAATCGTAAGATTTCATTACCAATTGACAAATTACCACCTTTACTTCGTATCCAGTTGATCAAACCAGCTACATCAGCACTCAATACGCCAAGATTTGTCCGCTCTGTTAAAATTAACCACGGTTGTGCTCCAGAAGTCATGAAACGCTTAATTTCAGAAAATGATCCTAAATTAGTTCACGATTTAGCAATTTCTAGTCCAAGATTAGTATTACTGAACCAAGAAATCCCTATTAAATACACTCTTCTTGCAATGGCTGCGATTAAAAATCCAAATTTAGTATATTTGTTTCTTGGTGAGTTTTGCAAGCTCGAACCAGAGAAACAATACCAAGATTTGATTTCTGCTGCATGTTATGGCCTCCAGATAATCTCAGAAAGAAATGCCAGAGCTGTTTCTTTAGTTTTTCCTAAAATTAGATCAATTTTAGACGCAAACATTAATCCTTCCATTAATAAATATCTGTTACTGGCATTATCCAATGCCGTAATCCAAGATGGCCTCCACAGTGGCTTTATTTGGAGAGATTACAAATGCATCTTAACTCCGACGGAAACAGAGTACGAAGACCCATTATTAGTTCACAATGCCATCACTACATTAATAACCAGTAAGGATCCGGACTATTGCGAGGCCGCGGAATACCATTTATTACAACTCTCCAAACAAAACAGGCCTTTGGTCGAACTCGCGATACTCCAGATACCACCAGAAAAATTATCTAAGTATCCGCAGCTACTCAATCTTCGTCCGAAACTTTGGGAAGCAGCAGATCCGAAAACGGACATGTTACAAGTCAAAGTTCTTAACGAGATGAAGAAACCGAAGACATTATTCAGAAGGCTTATGATAGCTACAGCAATCGGAGCTTTTCCTGATGCTTTCCATGACAGGAAAAATATTCTGAAATTTGCCGAGGATATTTTCAATGCAGGCAAGGATATTTATGGTGGCAAGCTAGCGTATATACAAGAACCTGAACTTGAAGAACATTTACAGTCAAAAGACGAAGATATAAGATTTGCAGCCGTTTATGCTATTACTATGCTCATTGCCAATGGATTATTAATACCGTATAGATATGAAAAGAAACTTATGACAGCCACGTCCGATCAATCCTCTCTTGTACGTATTATTGCCTTATTTGGTATTTCTTTCTGCAGAATTTCAACTCCAGAAGTAAATATCAAGAGAGTACTTAAAGACAAGAAATATGGCACAGAAGATATGATTGGTTTAGGTTATTGTATCACATCTTCAACAACTCAGCTTGTTAACTTCCTCAGAAGCGAATACAAGCTTGTTTCAAAGATTCCATACTTGTGGGCCCACGTTTCTGAAGCATGTAAGTTCCTTTTGTTTAAGGATGATATTTGCGAAGGAGATCCAATCGGTTTAGCTCAATACATCCATTTAACAATCAAAGATCCAGATACAGATCGTTTGGTCCAGCAGCTTCTCGAGCAAACAGAGAAAACTCCTGAAATTTTTGGAGCAGCACTTTTGGGAACGATTCCATTCCTTCCATTCAGCCACTGCCCACTTATATTGGATGAGCGTCAGAGAAAGATATTTGAAGCTATTCCAGATGGCGAAGATTACGAATTATTGAAAGCAATTATCAAACATCCAAGATTAGCCCAAAAAGAACCACAAAAAGCTGAAACAACAACTTCTACAGTGGATAGAATCAGAAATCAATATAAGACACTTCCATCGTCAGAATTTATGTCACTTTTATCGGCACTTTCAAACCCTCAAAAATTAGAATTAATTTCAGAGAAAAAAGAATATTCTTTATACGTTGCCGCCAAGCTTAACAACCTTGAAGAAGCAGGAAAGCTGATTGGCTGCATGGACTGGGATGATTTCTCCCTAAAAGCAGCTTCCGCAGCGTTTAAAGACTCAATTTTGGAAATTTTACCTGTAATTTTCAATGAAACCTTGGATATCGAAAGAATGTCAATGTTCTTAGCATTCGTTATCTTCGAGGAAAGGATTGGTAAAGAAAAAGCTGTAGCAATGTTACCTTGGATGTTATCTCAAATTCATCCATCAGATGATCTCGTCAAACAGTTCCAGAATGCTAATATATCAACTAAGGATATCGCCCATGCTCTTATTTTGACAAATCCTGAAATATCTGAATCGAATTTCTTTGAACTTTTTGACAAATAAATTATTAGATGTTTATTTGAAATAAATTAACAAAAAAAGTTTATGTTTTTTAATAATATGTAACAAATTAAGGATAGTTTTTATGAATTAACAAAACAAAAAGAATATAAAACTAATATTGTCTGTAATTGTTCGATTTCTAACATTTGTAGATAGTAAAGCAAATTTCGAGTATTTGTGTTGAGTGACAACAAGAAATTTTGAGTAAATAAGGAAATATTACTTAATATTCCGGGAAAATCGAGTAAAGTCAGCTTATATATAAAGCAAAGCATGTGATCATGCTACACAAATATATTTCGAAGTTATTAAGTATCGAGTTCTTTCCATCTTGGTAGATTTGAAACGTTTTTGAATTTTTTAGTTAAATCCGAAACTTTCTTGCCATTTTTAGAAAATATAGAGTATTCTCTATATATTGTTTTCCATTGTTGACCAAATTTTTTAACTGCATTAAATAAAACGTCAAGTTCCTCTTCTGTCCAGGTTCCTGGTGTCATTTGTGCCTTTTTAGGTTTTTTGGAAAAATATTTCTTGTTTAATTTCATAGGTTCTTGAGGATTATAAATATCATGCGAAACGTATTCTGAATATGAATTCAGAATATTTCTGTATTGGAAGGATACAACTGGAAGAGTCCTAATAAAAGCTTTAATCTCTTCATCAGTTGGTTCAGTACTCATTTGATGTTTTTGGGGAAAAAAAGTGACGTTGTTTCTACCTTGTTATCATAAAATAAGAGAAATGAGTAAATTTAAAGCACCATATGATAACTACATGAGGTGTGAGAACTGAATAGGTTTTTTTAACAGCTGTAATACATATAATAATATGATAAATTCATATGAAACAAAATATTATCAAATTTTGAATTAGATTAGAAATGAAATATATCGTAATATAATATAACTCGTTTATTTACTAACACTAATTTATTGAGCGGGTTCGATATTGCTCATTAATTTGCAAGTACAAAATCTTTCATCGTTGGCAGATCCGCAGGAACATGAAAATGATTCAACGCCACAAGATTTAATAACGTGCCCACTATGGCATGTATTAGCGCAGTTTTTGCAGATATATCCCGAGAGTTTGCAAGTTTCGCAGATGTAAGCTTTTTGGCTCATTTCATCGCTTCCTGATAATAGGAATGTGCATAATGGAATTGGTGTTGGTGGATTTGTAGGTGGTCGAATTTTACAAGGAAAATCTTGTGAAGGATCACCACAGTCACAATAGCCATGACTATTTCCGTGTTTACAAACACCTCTATGACCGCAGTGGCACATGTAGTAACAGGCTTCGCAAGAAATTCTAGGACCAACTAAGTGGCACTGTTCGCAGTTGAACATTTCCATTTGTATACTATCTTTTCCGGAATGGAGGAAATTGCATTGTCTTGGGCATTGTGCTGGTATATTCATATCATTTTCGACAGGGTGCTCCAAAAAGCAATGTGATTTATCAAATCCGTAGCCACACCAGCAATATCCAACATGATATCCTAAATCTACAAGTTCATGGTTTCGATGGCAAAAATTTGCACAATTTTCGCACATTGTTTCATTTGGACCGAAATGGCATGTTTTGCATCTGAATAAATGTTGGGTAACGGGGATTTTACCACATGTTCTTATTGTACACTCGGGTCGATCAGATCTTTTGCTGTCAGTCATTATTTTTTTTTTCCTAGTCAAATTTAATCAAAGCAGTTTACTGATAATCAATACCTATTCACCTCATCAAACGACGGCAAGTAATTGCAATAAAGAAATCTTTTGATTGACAGCATAACTCTTCTAATTCCAAAGCAAGTAATGAACTTAGTGAACATTTTGCAATTTTGTTCCAGAATGAATCAAAAATATAGCCCGAGTTCAACGCCACAAATACAGTGACCATAATCTTACAATGGGATCCGTTTTTTTCAGAATTTTCTGATGTCAGTTCATATTTCATATACAAGATAATATCTCTTTGCAAAGAATATTCAACTATAGAATCTATGCCAAAGAAATTATCAGAAGAATTACATTAATTCCCAAAAAATATTAAATAAAAAAACTTTCACAAAGCTTTAGCACATACTCAAGCTTCAATTTCACGTAAATTCCTACAGTATTTAAAATTTATATTGTTTAACGATATATTTATTAAAAATTTCAAAATTATTTTTTATTTTTTTATGACTAATGTATTGAATTATTGATTATTGATATTACTGAACTTAGACAATGACAGTTACAACAAACTCTCTTTAATATTTATGAAAAAATTAAGATCATTTAATAATATCTTTTCTTAAGGTTCCTAAGTCGTTTTATGTTTTGACCTATTGTAGAGTTATATGTGTTCATTCAGATTTCTTGAGGTTTCTAGACTTGAAGAAATTGTTACTTTAAAAATATTAATTTCATTGAAATTTAATAGTTGATAGAAATAGATTAAAAATTAGAGCAAATTCTATTCCAAAAAATATCCGAAAATCTTGAAATAATCTAAAATTTTGTAATTTTAATAGTGATTTTCAGATTTTTCAATTTTTTTGGAGCATTTTAGATCAAGAAAAGATCCAAGCGAGCACACAAAAGGACTACTCATTTAAAGTGATGGTAACAGTTGAATCAAATTGAACTTTTGGAGTTGATAAAAATATTTCTAATGTGAAGCATCGTTATTATCATCGTTGAAGTATTTCGTCATAAGGTAATTAGGCTTTAACGCAACTCTATGATGGTCAAAAATAAATGAAGAGAGAAATTGTTCGTTTTAGCATAGAAAACTATCATGACTAATTGGCATAGGGGAAATCATCGGATATATGTAAAGAATACAATAATACAGCGGGAGTGTAAGTTGGTAAAATTTTGGATTTAATATTGTAGAATTCGAGATTTTGCTCTAAAATATCACTGATAAGATCCTAATTAATACATAAAAAGAATAATAATTGGGAAATGGAATGCACTTGTGCGAATGCAAGAAAATTTGAAAGAAAAATTAGCGATACTTAGGATTTTCGTAGCTGTTTAGAATGTTAATACATTTGATGATATCATTTTTTTTTAAAAGTTAAAATTGTTTGTTCAAAAATTTGAATGAAATTAATCATAAACTAATCAATAAAATTTGTAATAAATTATAACAAATTTAAATGAAATACAGAAAATTTATAAATTGAATTAAATTGAAAGCGAATTTTTCATGTTAGCTTATTTATATTATATCAATATTTTTGAATAAATCTCAATTTTTTTTTGAAACCGTAATAAAATCTTCGGTTAAGAAGATCTATTAAATTCATTGTTTTGGATATTTTTTTCGACAAATAGCTTAAATCGATTACAAAAGTGAAATTTACAAAAAATTGAATACGAAGCATGGTTTTAGTTGAGAATCGGAATCGGAGTTGATAAAATATTCAATTATTAAGCCAGTAAAATAAAATCTTGTGGAATTGTGAGTGAGGTTCTTTCAATATCTGGTCTCAATTATTTTAAGGCGATATTATCCTTTAGAGATCCAGAAGAATACATTTGTTTCTCAAATTAATAAAATCTTTTGCATTTGAATTCAAATTATTATGAATTTGTGAGCTATCTTTCAAAATTTAACCAGTAAATAAACAAATTCGAACAACGTGACGATCCTGCTGCATTATGTTTAATAAGCCAATTATTATCTTTATATTCAAAACCGCTCACCTAATTCAAAACACGAATTTCAAAGAATCACAAAAAATAAAGCTTTATTCTTCAGGTATTAATTTCATATTGATGGCTATTATATCAAAATTTTAATAGCAAATTGCATTAAATATTCATAATTTTATTTCCTTTCAAAATCGTCTACATCATTTTCAGAAGGCCCCTTATATTATTTTCTCGAATCATAATATTTACTGCTAGGACAATCGATGTATTTGGGTAATTCTGAATTATTCTCAATTTTCCTAAAACAATCAAATCTAGAAAACTATAAAAATCAAATTTGGCCAATATATCATAATTACCAATTAATGGGAGTTCCTAAAACACGAAAAAATCTACAAAATAACATATTGTATTTAAATTAGTTTATTTCCAGTCTCTAAGTATATATTTGAAGGAACCGACTTCTATAACTAATTGTTACACAATACATGAGAGAATATACCTTAATCCATTTGCGTATCGCTTTCCAATGGCTGAATACAAAGCATATGCCCAATTTTCTCATTTAAGTTCACTTTTTAAGAAATATCTCACATCTACTAATATCAGTAAATGTAATTCGATGACTTTCATGACTTTCTTTGATTTTTCAATCAAAACAATGTTTCTGCTTTTTCTGTTGGAAAGTTATTTTTCAAAAATATTAATGTATTCTTATTATTTACTATAACACAAGATAAAATAACATGATAATAAAGACAAATTTTTTATATTTTGAAAATTATATTTTCAAATCCAAAACTTCCTTCTTAATTTTATTTTCCTGCCTCTTTATTGATTTTAATATACATTCGAAATGATTACTGGTTTACCGAATGATAGAAAATTGAATTAGCAAATTGAATACCCTTTCAATCTCAGAAGCATGCCTCACAATTTATCACTTTCAATTTTAAGCTCTTGTAAAATGTTTGCTGTTAAAACAATGTTGTTCCACTCATGATCTAGACCCCAAAACACTAAAAGATAGCAATAATAATTCACTAAATTTTTCAAGAATTGTGAACTTAGAATTTTTTTTTGTGATAACTTATCAATAATTAAAAGCCAGAGAATGGAGCTCGCTTCTGCTCAATCTCCAATTGATAACTTAAGCGACTCCAAAGGAAATGGTAAGTTACAGGATAAACAATCACCTTTTAAAAACGCTACAATCAATTTCATCAACATGTGCCAATCTTCAAATTCAACACGATATAACATTAAAAGGACATCTGACAAATTAGGTTTTCGGCAACGTCGTTTCTACGACGTTGTTAATACCCTTGAAACAATTGGCTGTTGCCCCAAGGTTGATGCCGATACATTTATTTGGTTAGGGTTTGACCAAGTAAGAACTGCAATTGATAGAATGGCTAAAGAACGTGGAGTTTACATGGAGAATTTTTCACTAGAAGAAATCTTCCCCACAGATGGACCTATTTCCATCCAACGTATTACTGAGGAGTTTTTGCTTCTTTTTATTGCTCTTGAGTCTACAACGATAAATATCCTCGAAGCTTCAGCATTCCTGTCAAGGGATACTGAACGCGAAAAAACTACTCGTTGTAAGCTATATCAAGTTGCTGCTATTTTGGAAATAGCAGGAGTGGTAAAGAAGACAGATAAGCAAAGCGAGTTTAGCCTTGTTCCAGATAATTTCATTTCTGCGACCGAGAAAATAACAGGAAAGTCACGTGATCCAACTTCCCTTGGATTTCTCCTCAATCGTTCCACACCATTTATGGAGGTTGAAGTTTGCCCTATTATCAAATCTCGTCGCTCTGAATACATCAGTATTCAGGAATCTTCTGAAATTAGTGAACCACAGACAACACCAGAAGAATATTAGACTATTTTTTGTTCGGATTTTTTCTTATCATTGTAATTTTAAAGTTTATTATTTTAAATTTACTCATTTTTTAGCATTAATACATCTCACTATCCCTTAATATAACACTACATTCTGTATGATTAGTAACTCTCATTATGACATTAATAGAAAGATTTAGGCAGTTATTCATCGAGGAAATATAATTTCGCTCCAGTAATTTTCACTTATGTTAGGCAAAATATCGATTACAATTGAGAATATCCCATTTCGAGGAATATTATTCAATTTTTCATTAAATTTTTCAAAGGTAAAAACTTTTACAATCATATTTCATATGTACTGGGGTCATAGTAACCGAAAATATCATTAGGCCTCATAGTTACCATCAAATTTATATAAAGTAGTCACTTTTTTACATACGTTATCAAAGAATGAATAGCGATAAACCGTATAATGAACTTAGATTCTTAGCCAAGATGATATCAAAGAATCCAGATAATGATAAGCGCGAATTTTCAGTTATATTTTCACTCGTTAATGATGAAGTTAAAGTTTGGGAAAATAAAACAGATGGTTTTGACGGAGGTTTTGTTTACAAAGCTCCACATATTCGCCCAAAGGCTCCACCACATTATAATGACATGTATATCGGTGCTAATGTTGAAATTAATCATGTCGTATATAAATTATACGGCGCTCCAGAAAACACATACGAGATTATGGAAGCATACTCAGATGATTTCCCAAGATCAGATCTAACCGTCATTATTCCCAAACTTAAGCCAATAAAGAGCAAACTTCAAGAAGACATGATGCAAAAGCTGATTCCAGATACAGATAGAATTAAACTTACAGATGCAGAAAATATCCTTCAACATTGCGGAGTTGAACTTTGCGAACAAGAAATTATTTCTATCATACGCAGATATAGATTTTTCATGACCAAAACATTTTCTGTTCAAGAATTTATTAACTCTATTTAAAGAATTCCTTTGTTTTTTTTTATTCTTCAATCACTTTATCTCGAATTTTTTTTATTAATCTGAACTTTATATCTTTAATTTAATGTTTCAGTAGTTAATGGACCAAATGAATAGAAAAATTAATCTAATTATCTCAATACAAGTTTATTTATTTGGTGTAGAGAATTAATGTCGATTTACTTATGAATTTAGAAATCGAACATATCACCAAGATCAAGTGGTGCAGCGGCTTCTTCCTGGACTGGTTCTTCTTGAGCTGCTGGAGCGGCGCCACCAGCTGGAGCGGAAGCTGCAGCGGCCTTAGCGGCAGCAGCAAGAGCCTCTGGATCGGAAAGCAACTTCTGGAGGTCCTCGATTTGCTTCATATTGTGCTCGATTGCGATAGCAATAGCAGCAATATCCTTGAAAGCACCGCCGATAAGGTGTGGAGCAGAAGCAGCGCATGGATAGCCAACAGCGAGTGAGAGGCCAGCAACTTTGCGGAGACCAGAGTTGAACTTCTCAGCAAGGACCTGATCGGTGATGGAAAGAATGCATGGATCATACATGTTTCCGTTATCGAAGAGGGCTTCGATCTTGAGTGTGTACTTGAATGGCATGATGCCGAGAATGTTGAGGATGTTGGCTTCAGAAGCACCGACTCTCTGGCCAGCCCAAATGAGTTGCTTCTCACCAGTGATTTCGATTGTGCCCTTGAAAATCTTACACTGGATGTTGAGAGCGTGGAGCATTTTGATATCATTTGGTGACATGGATGTGCGCTGTGGATAAAGTGTGACATCGCATGGGGCGATAGCACCAACCTTAGCAGCTGAACCAAGGCAGTTAGCATCAATGACGTCCTTGATGCCCTTGAAGTTGCCGTTTGTGAAGATAAGGCCAGCACCATTATAAAGATGCTTTTTGAGCTGCTGAAGGCTTGGCATTTCTTCCTTGAGTTCTTGAACAGCACGGCGCATGAGTGAGTTCTTACCAACGAGGACTTCAGCACCGAGTTCGGCGACACCAGCACGGATGTTAAGGAGCTGGGAGGCTGTAACATTCATTGATGTGACAATGCAAACCTTGTGGTACTTGCGGAAGAGGCCGTGGAGCTTGGAGACGTAGTCAAGCTTCTTTTGTGGGATGGTCTTCTCGTGATGCGTTCTAGAAAAAGGATAACTTCTGGCCCAACAATTGTGAGAATTATTTTTAAATTGAGAAAAAAATTAAAAAATCTTGCAAAAATAATGTTTCATAATATTAACACTATTTCATAACAGGGCACAAATACTATCAATTTTTTGTGAATATTATATTTGACATAAATGAGTCCGCGGTAATTCAAAAATTCAAAGAAAATCAGAAACCTTGGCAGAATCATTGTAGAACGCATGGTTCAATAGTAATTCCGCCTTAAATTAATACTATATGCAATAGTTATTAGAATAGAATAGAGGTTCACATCAATCATTTGATTTTCCATGAATTTCAATCTGAAATATAATAAATATCAATAATTTAACTATAAAATCAGAATAAATGTATCAATAAACTGATTGACAATAAGTTTTAAACTTGATATAAGCAGAATAACCTTCAAGGAAATTAAATTTCAAAAAGTGTCAGGTGCACGTTTATTAATGACTTTGATTAGCAAATGGCAGGAAAAGGCAAAGAGTTTAACGTTAGAACTTATCCAGAAGGAAATGGAATATAATAAAATCGCAGAGAGTACAGATAATGTAATTCAACAACTCGAAAATGACATAAATTCTGCTCAAAAAGAAATAAAGAATAAAGAAAATCAAATACAAGAAAAGAAGGATGAAATACTGGCATTGGAATCTTCGATTCAAATGCTTTCTACCAATTATGATAAAATTTCACAAAAAATACAAAATGAAGATCAACAATTTAATGCTGTTAGCGAAGCATTACATCGCAATTTCCAATCAAATGAAGCAATAGATGAATATCTTAAAAGTAAAGATGAAGAAATTGTTTCAAAAATTCCTTTCGAAAAATTATCTCAAATGAATTACATCGTTGGGCTATTAGCCAAAATTATTAGTTTACAAAAGAATTGTCAAAAGAAACAAAAAGAAATCGACGAAAGAAAACAGTTCTATCAGAAATTAGAAATATTAAACGCTCTTCAAAAGAAACAGAGTGTCTTAAAGAACCAATGGGATGCAATAAGCGCAGAAATCGAAAAGAGTGCCAAAGAAAAAGAACAATACGAGAAACTCAAAGAACAATTTGCTTTACTCCAGAAACAAGGAAAAATGGAGCACAACGAGCGCGAAGAACAAGGGAAAAACCAAAAGCAAGCTTTGATCGAAGAAAGAGATTCTCTTCTTACCAAACAGAGAGATCTTGAAAACCAATTAAATGATATAAAATCAAAGTTCCCGAAATTAGTAAGTGATTCTCAAGCCGAAGTTGACCAGATATACGAACATATTACCCAGCAAGAAAAACAAATTGCTGAACTTAAAGAAAAAATCCAAATTGCTAAGAATGCTATTGATTCAAGAAAGAATATAGAAACAATGACAGACACAATTCCACAGACAACGCGACCCGTTGCATCACAAACTCAAAAGAATCAGCCAATTCTTGGAATTGAAACAGAATCTTTCGAGAAAGCATTAGATTTGAATTTAGACTTTGGCACAGACGATAAATCAGAAATATTTAGCGTTCTTGATGGCTTACTAGAACGTGCTAAAGAAATTTCATTGAAATGATTTTAATCTTTATTTGTTTGTATAAAATATTGTATTTCTAACAAAAACACGTCATTTTTAAATGGAAATCTTACTAGAAAGCCGAATTTATTAGTGAAATAAAATAATTTGCACTCATTTTCATGGTCTAAGTCTCCATAACCTACACTCATGCAGAAAATTGATAGGTCTCTGCCAGAAAATTTGAGTCCGAGGTATAATTTGGGGGAATTAAATTAATATTCACTAAGCAAAAATAATTTAGAAAAATTTAGAAAATCGAAACCTGTAAAATAGTTTTTTATTAGCTTAGTATCGAAATAAACAAGGTTTAGTTATAACTTTTAAAAAATCAAATAAATTAAACTATTATTTATATTATTTATTTCGCAAAGTAAGGCGTGAAGCGCTTATTAAAGTTCTCATATCCATAAACAAGTGGTGCCCAGAGGATGAAGACAAAGGCGGAAGATGCAATCAGGAATGCGGTTAAGAAACCCGATACCTGTTCCGAAAACTCAGAATCGAGGGAGAGAGCAAGACCACAAATACCGAATAACAGGGGAACCTCGAAATCTGGGAGTCCTCTCTCTGATGTCTTGAAAATGAATACACACAATGAAATAAAGAAGCCGCAGTACATGAGGGATGACTGTTTCCTGATACGCATTGCGAAAAGCATATTTAGAACTTGAATCAAAGCTAATACGGAAATTGACCACCAAACAGGGACATTTCCGAAAATTGCAACAGTTCTGCCAAGCTGTGTCCATAATACTTTCCACGGACAAGCCATAATTGGCCAGGAAAGGAAGTTGACGAAATTAGATCTTCTTAAGTGGAGTCTGAAGGATTTATGAATAATTTCGAGTGCGAAAAGAGGTACTTGCAAGTGGTTGATGTGGAGAGGAGCGTCGTGAGCAGAAAGAGACTGTTGATATTTCAAAGATAAGCCAATTGACTGTGAAGACTCGCGAGGAAGCAAAATGACATGTGTTATGAATGACAAATACAATATAATTAAAGCAAAGAAGGTTGTAGTAAAAATTGGAGATAATTTCTTAAATGTGAAATAATTGAAGAAACAAACGAAAATTAGAATGGCAATGCAATTCCAATCTGATGCTAATGATAATCCAACAAAGACTGTCTGTGCAATGTAGCAGATTTGATAAGAAGTTGACTGATATTCGAAATGTCTCATAAAAGCTGTAGCAAAAATGGCCAAAGCAACAAACAACTGGATGAATCCATCTGTAGAAATGTTTCTAGCAAGGCCAATTAATGTGAAATCGAACATTGTGAATAAACCAGCGGCGAATGAAGAAATTGTACTTCCTCCTAATAATCTGACAATGAAAAATGAAAGAGGAATAACTGTTGCTGAGAAGAATGCTGATGGACTACGAAGAGCAACGTATTCCATTGTTGGGAAAGTAAAATTGGGTTCTGAATATGGTGGTTTGTAAACTTGCTTGTATTGAGAGAATGATGAAATTCCAGCAAGCATAATTTCGCTCATTGGTGGCTGAGAAGGCATAAAGAATGATCCATTAAGGTATGAATTTATGTAAGTAACTTGTCTTTCTTCATTTAGTGTGAAATGACGAGGATATTGGATAATCCAGAATCTCGAGAAAATGCCTGCCATGACTAAAACGAAAAGGCAGAAAGCATCATAACCATTCCAATCTAAGAAATCCTTTTCTTCCTCTTCAACTTGGACTTCTTCGATCTTTGACTCATTTTTAGTCCGAGTTTCATTCGTTGAATGTTCTTGGTTTTGAACATCTATCTTAACAGGTTCTGTATTTCTCAGCATTTAATTTTTTTTGGAATGTTTAACATTTGTAAGGGATAATGTAAGAAATAGAGATATACTTCAAGAGAGAAAAATATATACAATCATGAAGAAAACATAACCAGATAACTAATACATTATAAAAACAAAAATTACCGAATTTCGAATTTGAAATTTCAAAATTTTTAAAGAGAAACAATACTTTTTGGCTAATAAATTAGTTATGAAAAACTATAGACATATTTAGAATTAATAAAATTAAGAAAAATAAAATAAATTTAATTAAATGAATGAACAACTTCTTTGATTTCTTCAGCGAATGCTTGAAAAGCATCCTGATCTCCAGACTGCATTTCGAGTGCAATTGTTGCCCAGCCAACTTCTCTGAAGATCATTGTAATCATGATATACAAATCGTCGTGTTGGCAATTAACGATGAGATTGTTATCGTTAGGGAATAAGAACATGCAATTCAAATCAACAAGCTTTGCCTGTATAGCAGCCATGAGGACTTCTGGATCAGTACTTACTGGTTCGAATTCAATAACTGTGTTTGTAATAACACCAACATCGACATTTGCCCATGATTTATCAACGAATGAGTAGAAATCTGGTGATCCTGGTGAAGGAACTTTTGGTCTTCTGAAGAAAGCGTCGTTTGTATGAAGAGATCCGACTGGAGCCATCATACGAGGAGTCATCATGAAGCGTTCCTCGTCTGGTAATGGTTCTGATGGTATTCCATCCCATGGAAGGCTCTTAACATCAAGCTGCGATGTAAGTAAGTAGTAAAACATTTTCGCATCTGTGGCTCCTGGTGAAACAAGCTCTTGCATGATGGCTTCATCGGATGGATAACCGATATTCCTGAGAACTGGGAAGTACTGCTTGTCGACTTCCGCTTCTGAGATGGGATCTTGTGTATTCGGAAGAGGTAATGGTATTGGAACAACGTAAGTTTCAGGACAGAAGAGGCGGAATGCTTCTGATTCTTTGATCTCTTTCATTGTAATGCGAGAGTTGACGTCGACGGTTAACATCTTAGCAATAAGTGTACGAATGCAGAATGGCTGAAATTCGGGCATGATATAGTGTCCGGATTTGACTTTGCTGAGAAGATTGCGAATCGATGGGTCATCAAATGGAAGACGGCCGGCAAGCAAAGCATATAAGATAACGCCGCAACTCCAGATATCCGCTTTACGACCATCATATGCAAGACCACGGATAACTTCGGGAGCCGCATAGTGTGGTGAGCCACATGACGTTTCTGCAATTTTATCTGGCATCCATCTGGCAAATCCAAAATCTGCGATCTTAATGTGATCGGATTTGTCAAGAAGAATGTTTTCTGGTTTAAGATCACGATGGCAGATCATATGCTGGTGAAGATAATCGATACCATAGATAATCTGCCTAAACATTTTCATGGCAACCTCGGGAGAGAACCTTCCTCTTGAAACAAGGTAGTCGAAAAGCTCACCATGCTCGGCGTATTCCAAGACTATATACATATGGTGAGGTGATTCGAGAACTTCGATCAGCTTGAGCAAGTGAGGGTGATCTAGGAGCCTCATCAAGGCAACTTCTCTACGAATCTTTCTTTGCAAATCTGGCTTAACCTCAAAGGCTGACTTTTTAATAATTTTAATAGCAACAAGCTTTCCGTCTGTTGTATCCTCGGCAAGCTTTACTTTGGCTGTAGTTCCGGAACCTAGTGTACGAATAACGTTATATTTTCCAATCTTTGTCTGCGATTCCATTTTAGATTTATGAGATTTTAATTTTGAAGCGGATTTAATCGTCAATTCATCTCAATTTTGTCAAAAATTTATAAAGAAATTTTACACCATTTGAGGCTTGAATTTATGAAATATAGGCTTTCCATCTTATGGAGATTAAAATTCATAGGTTAAAATCTGCGCGGTAAAAATAAACGATGAAATTCAATTTAAATTTACAAAATTTGCGATTGTTTTATCTACAAAAGTGACAGTAAATTGAGAATTTTTTTCCGATTAAGTCAGAATTCATAAGATTTGCAAGAATAAATGGAATGGTTCTGCCTATTTTATCCTATATGAATCTCTTTTCTCTCCAGAGCGATCATTGATTGGAGTAGGGGTAATTTTAGCTAAAAGTGACACACCCATGAAGTGTGTGATTACCGATCGGTAATTTCGACAGTTTAGAATTTAAAATTTTTTATGGAACTGTTGCGAGTTTCATAAAGAATTTAAGGAATATAAGCAAAGATTTGAATCAAAATCTTAGACCTAAGCCGATCGCTTCGCTCGCGGCTTCCGCGAATTACAGATCAGCAAAGATTTGAATCAAAATCTTCGAACTAAGCCGCTCGCTTAGCTCGCGGCTTTCTTTATTATTTTAAATTTGCATATTTCCATCAAAAGTTCATAAGGTAAAAAATTTCGTTTATATTATTGCAAAATAAAATCTTCATTATCAAAATAATATTAAATGATAATATAATATAATTTATAAACAACTATTATTTAATAAAGTTTAATTGCCAAGGTTCATCTAATTTTTTGATTTTTAATGTTTTATGAATTTTATTTATCATGTATATATCTAATGAAGATTATATATGTAGAAGATAAGTACCTTAATATGTACGTAAAAATTAATGAAATTTATTTTGAATGTAGAACCGAGCAATTTTCAAATTTTGTGCTTTTTTTGAATTTTCTCGATACCAGATAAGTTGTGTTGGCTAAATAATATATGGATACAATGTGTCTTATAGATGAATATATGCACAAAGTTTAAGAGGCCATTTTCTTTCAGAAACCGAGATTTGTGAATTTTTTCAAATTTTGTGCTTTTTTTGAATTTTCTCGATACCAGATAAGTTGTGTTGGCTAAATAATATATGGATACAATGTGTCTTATAGATGAATATATGCACAAAGTTTAAGAGGCCATTTTCTTTCAGAAACCGAGATTTGTGAATTTTTCAAATTTTGTGCTTTTTTTGAATTTTCTCGATACCAGATAAGTTGTGTTGGCTAAATAATATATGGATACAATGTGTCTTATAGATGAATATATGCACAAAGTTTAAGAGGCCATTTTCTTTCAGAAACCGAGATTTGTGAATTTTTTCAAATTTTGTGCTTTTTTGAATTTTCTCGATACCAGATAAGTTGTGTTGGCTAAATAATATATGGATACAATGTGTCTTAATAGATGAATATATGCACAAAGTTTAAGAGGCCATTTTCTTTCAGAAACCGAGATTTGTGAATTTTTTCAAATTTTGTGCTTTTTTTGAATTTTCTCGATACCAGATAAGTTGTGTTGGCTAAATAATATATGGATACAATGTGTCTTATAGATGAATATATGCACAAAGTTTAAGAGGCCATTTTCTTTCAGAAACCGAGATTTGTGAATTTTTTCAAATTTTGTGCTTTTTTTGAATTTTCTCGATACCAGATAAGTTGTGTTGGCTAAATAATATATGGATACAATGTGTCTTATAGATGAATATATGCACAAAGTTTAAGAGGCCATTTTCTTTCAGAAACCGAGATTTGTGAATTTTTTCAAATTTTGTGCTTTTTTTGAATTTTCTCGATACCAGATAAGTTGTGTTGGCTAAATAATATATGGATACAATGTGTCTTATAGATGAATATATGCACAAAGTTTAAGAGGCCATTTTCTTTCAGAAACCGAGATTTGTGAATTTTTTCAAATTTTGTGCTTTTTTTGAATTTTCTCGATACCAGATAAGTTGTGTTGGCTAAATAATATATGGATACAATGTGTCTTATAGATGAATATATGCACAAAGTTTAAGAGGCCATTTTCTTTCAGAAACCGAGATTTGTGAATTTTTTCAAATTTTGTGCTTTTTTTGATATTGAAATTTCATTTCATTTTTTTGATGCATATCGATGCACCATGCAAACTTAAAGAAAGGCTATCTTATATAGATGCTGTAATGCATGAAAATTCGGTTCACTTCATTTTTGACACTTTACATATCGGATGTATTATCTAAGAATTATATTATAAAATAATAATTTTGTGTTTTATAAGTTTATTTGTATAAATTGATTCAAAAAAAATGGAAAGACAAGAAGTGGATCTGCCAAATGAAAATCAGATTTATAGTTTTAGAGAGTTACATACATGAAATATGAAAATTGAACTTTGTATAAGGAATTGTTGGCTATGATGTACTGATCATGAATCAGTACATCATAGCCAACAATTCCTTCGCAAACAGCGGGAAACTTTGTCTGAATAGTTTAACATTCAGACAAAGTTTCCCGCTGTCAGAGAGGGAATGGAAGGGTAAGAGGTATATATTCATAATGTATACCTCTTACCCTTCCATTCCCTCGAGAAAGTTCAAAAACTTGGGTGCAATCAGTTCTGATTGCACCCAAGTTTTGAACTTTGTATAAGGAATTGTTGGCTATGATGTACTGATCATGAATCAGTACATCATAGCCAACAATTCCTTCCCAAACAACCCGAAATTTGTCTGATTCCACACTAATTTTATTAATTTATCTAAACTTTTATCCTCGTCTACAATTTAATCATCAATAATTATCTCTTGTTCTATTTCACTATTATATATATATATATTTATATGATTTGATTTAAAAAAAATAAATAAATAAATTAATAAATCATTTACTCAAATATATCAAAAGTTTTATTTTTATATATAAAGATAACTACTTTTAAAAAAAATACCCTATATATTTTTGCCATGTAAACTTGTCACTTTTGTCAGAAGTGAAGTGAACCGAATTTTCATGCACAACAGATGCTATGAAAGCTGTCATTGATAACGAATGCCATGCAGGTTGTCCATATCAATTAAAAAAAATCCAAATTTAGGGGGAACAAAATTAAAATTCAGGTGCAGTACAGATAAATGTGAAGCATGTATCTCATTTCTAAAGGATGATGAAGAATATATCCTAACAGAATATAATGGAACACATAATCACAATCAAATCAAAGATGAGACAAAGAAATACCACACATTATCACAATGCTATCGTCGGGTACTTATTAATTTTATAAAACAGGGGGGTGATCCGAAAATGGCTCAAATTGAATGCGACAAAAAACTTGATCTGGATGATCCACTTAACAGGCCATCTTTTTTGAATGCATCTTCAGATCAAATGAAAACAATTCAGGAAAAAGGAAATAAAAAGATCAAAGGTATTCAAAAGGACGATGATAATCAATTCAAGTCAACTCAATTATTTAAGGGTATCAAAGAACAAGAGTCACCAAAAAATTTAATTTATTTCGATGTCGATAATTACAACAAACCAAAGAAATTAATCTTTTATTATGCTTCTTTCAAATTTCTGGACATAATCAAAATTGTGAAAGAGCATTTTATTGATGCAACCCATTCATTACTTGAATTTAAAATGTTGTTTTACATGATATCAGCCAAATTTCCAAATACACATGCATTCCCAATTTTTCAATTTGTCGTTTATCCAAACACTTCAGAAAATATTGCATTCTGTCTCAAGGCATTTTTTAACTGGGCAAAAGTAAAACCAAAATATTTTATGTCAGATTGTGCACAAGAAATCGAAAATGCGATTATCAACTCTTTTCCAGAAGTTATCCTTCATTGGTGTGCAGTTCATGTAATGAGGGCGTTCAGAAAAAATTTGAAAGATTATGCATTTGAGAGTTCAGACAAATTGATATTAGATACAAAAATGAACTATCTTGCATACGGCAGAAATGGCAAGAAAGAATGGATTGAACCAACGTTCAAAAAAATTCTGGAAATAGCCGAAAAATTCCCAGAATTTTCAAAATACATACAAAATCAATGGATATCAAACCAAGAAAGATGAACAGCCGCTGAAAGAGATGAAAATTTCGCTCTCACAAATAACATTTCAGAATCGATTAACAAAAAAATTAAATATTACTACTTTGGCGGAACAATTTTCATGAGATTTGATCGATTTGTGATGAAATTAATCGATTTTATCGTTCCTTCATTTTATTACAGAATTTCTCAAGATATAAGGCTCAGAGACAAAATTCCAAATCCGTTGCCATCTGAAAAAAAGCCAAAAAAGTCTACAATCAGACTGGATACAGAAAAATGTATAATGCTCACTGATAAAATTAAATCGTTAATAGTTAACTCATCAGCAAACTTAAATACGCTTCAATTGGGTTTAGATGACCTACTTGATAAAGTTGTCAAGGCAGCAAAGGTTCAAAAACGAATGACCCAGTATTTTTCGAAATTAAGTATCCCAATGGAAATCAAGCTTAGTATTCTCACGCAAATTACAGAATTTGGATGCAATACCCCTCAATTCATTGTTGAGAATGCCAAGTCTTTTCAAGATAAAATTATTACAGATTTCCACCTTCAAATTTATACAACATTATAAAAATTTATGAATAAAAACTTGATATAAAATAACATTTTTATTTTTACTAAGAAAAAAAAGGTTTTTGATAATAAATTTATTTTATTTCGAAAAAGTAGCAATAATCGTAAAAGGGTATTGATAGCCTTGCTAAAGTAACTAATTTTAGCTGTCAAATACTTTTGTATTTTGAAGTAAATTAGTATAAATTTGTTTTTACTCTTATTTCGAAAAAGTAACAATAATCGTAAAAGGGTATTGATGGACTTGCTAAAGTAACTAATTTTAGCTGTCAAATACTTTTGTATTTTGAAGTAAATTAGTATAAATTTGATATTATTTTAACTCCCTTTGAAAACCTCAATTTTCCATACAGAGGGAACGGGAATAGCATCCAATATTCCCTGAGAATGGTTGCGCATTCTCAGTTCCCTCTATATTTCGAACGAAGCTCTCATCGGTCTTTTTTTTAATACTAAACGTTTTTTCCCCTGTCACTTTTAGCTAAAATTTGGGTTTGCCATTTTCAATACATCTTCTAATAATACAAATTATCTTCTGCATTATAAGACATAAATTACAAGATACGTCTTAAAAAGTCCATTATAAGATAACAATTTCAAGATTATTGTATCGAAGTCATTTTCGGTGAGTAAATTATTATTACAAAAGGTAAACTATCAGTTTTGGCTAATATAAACTATCTTTGTCCGATTCAGAAATTTGCCAATTTTGATGATATAATTTCACTTAATGAATATCGAATTTATATAGTTTAAAGCGTTTTCTTTTCATTTGATCGTGGAGTAGTGTCGTATTGAATTAAATATTTCGAACTCATAATAATTTCTAACCAGTTACTGAAATATTTTGATAAACAATTATTTATGAAATAAGTTTTTAAAATGTGAACACCAAATGAAAATTTATAAAATAAAAAAAAATTAAACCATACGTTTGAGCTTTGCCTCAACATTTGAGTAGAATTGCATAGCCTTTTGAACATATCCCTCAACATAATCATGTGTAATATTAGGATCTCCTCTCTTGAAACTGTTAATTGTATTCTGGATTTGATTATCAGCAGCAGCACCTTGTCCGAGCATCTGCAATGTCTTCTCTGCCTCAGCTCTCCACTTTGGATTGTTGAGAAGCTGTCTGCACATATCAGTAACCTTTACTTTGAGCTGCATTGCGATTTCCCAAACAGGGAATGGGTCTTCCTGAGGGATATCGTATGAAGGAGGCTGCGAAGGTTGTGAGTTCCATGGATTGGTGTCGCGGACGACCTTTGGACCGCCAGAATTCCATGGATCATCCGAAATCGAATCGTCAGGGAGGTCTCCTGGGGGCTGTTCGCCACCCTGAGAGCTTGTTGGTGTTCCTGATGGAATGGAAGCACCTGGATCAGCCCATGGGTCATCTTCCAGCATGGCCATCTCTTCTTCGAAGAAATGTTTGATGTAAAGTTCGTTGTTTGAGGTAAGTTGCATCAAAGGAAGTGGCTTGAAGCCTTCTGGATCGCCATCTGGTACTTTTTCAAGGTAGATATCGCGGTTTTGCTGCTCAGCGGCATCTTTTGATGTCAAACAAGCTCTTTTGAGGGAAGTAAGAGCATTTGCGATTGTAGGAGCGAAATCGATCTTTGCATCTTGGCGATTGACGTAGCGGCAGGCTGTTCTGTAGCATTGAATTCCAATTCCGAATTCTTTGTTGTTAAGATGGTAGCTGCCCTTCATGAAGTATGCGTAGCCTTGATAGTATGCAAGTGTTGTAGTGGCAATTGGCATGAAATAAGAACGCATTGGCTCTGCCATGACTCTGGCGATGTTATCGCACTCTCTGATCTCGTTAACAGCTGTAAGAGCTTGGCGAGCAATAAAGTTCTTATTCTTGCCACTAACTTGCATAATGGCAACTTGCCAAACGGCAATAATGTATTTATTGTATTGTTTGGCGTATTCGCTGACTTGTGGTGTCATGAACGGATGATCGCATTGGCTTGTTGCCTTATATAAGTTATCGCAGATAGCCATAGCGTCTTGGATGTAATTTTTAACTTCTTTCAATTGATCTGTGCTAGAAGCATCAATAGAAAGGATCTTTTGATGAATGTAGCTTAAATAGTTCCAAAGTGTGTTAATGACTTCAACCATACCTTCATCTGAAGGAAATGTATCAGAAGTTTTGAATGGGCTTGTATAGCAAGTTGAAACACGTGCATTTGCAATAACACCAAGCATTGGGAGATATTCTTGGAAAGCAGTTTCATCTGGAACGTCAGATTTAACACGATGAGATAATTCAACAACGTTTGGAGCGCTTCCACCAAAAGCAGCATTAATACCTGCATCGGTTTCATGCGATTTATTCTTTGTTGGAGGGAATGGGATCATCAAAAATTGGGTGTTCATTCCTTTATTTCCTAAAAATGACGTCACTTTTCCGGTGTCAAAATTGAAATAAAAGTGACTGTTAATTTTTTAGACATTAGCGGCGCGAAGCGTGACAAGCTTTAATAATATCACAAATTATAGTTTATTATAAAGGTTACTGAAAATAAAAATATATTTTCACTTCAACCAGATTTAATAAGATTAAATGAGAACCAAAATTTCAAATCGTTTATGATAATAGGAAGTTGATGTGAGAAAATTGATGAAAAATACTAGAAATTAACAATTATTTAAAAACATATTTACAATGTCAATGTTATCGTTGTAATTTCAATGAAATTCTGAATTAACTAATTTAATTGAGATAAATGACTTCACACAGCATAGGAATAATAAAGTTTATCAGCTATTTATTATTTGTAAAATCCACATCAAAGAAAAAGTGACATTTTTCGAATTGTCACTGATCTTTATTTACTTTTATGATTCAAGGCTTTCAGATTTTTAAGCAAGACGACAACATTACTAAGAATTATGATAATGACAACGATTGCAATGATTTTTGTTTGATTTTTGAAGATTTATTTCAATCAAATTCAGAAGATGAAGTACTTGATGCAGTAAATAAGATTTCATCACAATTTTCGACAATGAAGTATCCGATTCCTGATGAATTTTATGATTATGACGTCATTGATAATCTTTTTGAAAGATTTCATTTATTTGACAATGAAACAGTAAGAAGATCAATAATAAACCTTCTTAAATTACTAATTAACTGCAAAATGGATGAAGAGCCCTTCATGAAAGAACTAATTCCACAGTTATCTTCAATTTTAGATGAAAGAATAGAAAACCAAACAAATTTCATTGAACTGTTAAGCTGTTGCGTTTCAAAATCCAAATTTTGCCATGATTTTATTGAAAATAAGATGGATCATTGTTTATTTAGTTTTATTTTCAGTTTACTAGGCCAAAACAATCAACTAGATTCAAAGATATTGATATTCTTTTCAGAATTCATCAAATATCCATTAGATTCAGATATCGAAAATATTATTATCACAAACATTGAAAATTTACAAAATATAGAGCTAAAATATGATTTTATTATAACACTCTCTACCAAATGCAATCATTTCGTTGATATATTTGGCTATTCATCTATAACTGATTCAATTTTTTATTTTTTACGCAACAAACCGAACAAAAGGTCAATAAAAGCTATATTATTGGTAAAAGAATGCATCAATCCAGAAGTCTACAAAATTTTGCTTGATTTGACAACGAATGAAGAATTTTTAGGAATAATATTGTTTGTTTTATCTTCACTTGTCGATTTGTATCCTTCTATTTCATCTGATATCATTGAATTCTTTACTATTAATGATATTCCAAAAAATTCAACAATTATCTTAAGAGAAATGGTTAGATTGATATCAAAACTTGTAATATCAAACAAAGATCGTTGTCATCAATTGTTTTATGATAATATTGATAATTTTCATGAAATGTTGTATTTATCAGATAAATCAATAACTGATGACCTTATTTCAGCTCTTGTTACTCTTTCTGACGAAGAACTGAAAGAGTTTATTAATGATATAGACGTTGAATATATTAATGAAGCTTCAAACAATGGAAATGAAAAGGCTGATGTTCTTTTAGAGAGAATCAACAACATTAAAGAATAAACTATAAAATTTTAAATATTATAATGAAATATTACAATTATCAGATATTAATCTAGATAACACAGCTATTATAATTCATGGATAGTAAAGTTTGAAGTTTTATTTTATATCAAAACCAAGATAAATACTTTCAGACAATGAAAATAGAGAGAAATGTAAGAAATATCGATAGTGGTGTGTCTTGCGGCATGTGATAAGATTACATTCAGTAATTGAAGACTTTGGAAGTAATGAAATGTTGAAAAGTTCGGAGATAAATGTTTCGTTGTTGTTGTCAATATTAACACCACATTGAAGCTTAAAGCAGTTTGAAAATGCATGCGTTTCAACACGTACAACACTGCATGGAATGTTGATGTGCGAGAGAGATGTACAATTACTGAATACGTATCGTTCAATAACTTTAACTGATTTATCAGGAATTAGGATGTTAACAATGTTTTTGCAACAGTAGAATGCACCTGCTGAAATACGTTCGATACTAATTGGAACATAGAAGAATTTGCATTCTGAAGCAGGTGGGAAACAAACTAGTGATGTCTTGTTCTTGTTGAAAAGTGCATAGTTTTCAACAGTGAAATATAAACTTTCATTGCATTCAAATGTTTCCAACGATGTGCAGCCTTCAAAGATAAACAAACCAAGTTCTTGAAGAAAACAATTTGCTGGAATAATGAATTTAGATAAACTACGACAGTGATTGAATGCAAATGGAGAAATAGAAATTGTTTCTTTTGGAACAACAAACTCACTAATATTTGCGTATGCAAATGCATTTTCTTTTATCTCTTTGACACTATCTGGAAGAGTGATATTTCGAAGATGTGATGTCCAACTAAACGTACCTATATCAACTGATTCTAATGTGGAGTCATTTTCAAATGTTATTGTTTCAATAGCGGAACCACTAAATGCATCTCCCATTGTTTTAACTGATGCTGGAATTTCTATTTGAGTTAATAACATACATTGACCAAAACATAATCCACCAATATATGTGATGTTATTACTCAATTTGACTTTCTTAAGATTTTTACATCCAGAAAAAGTCATACCTCCTACTCACAAGTCTGAAGTTTCTTCAAATATAACTGTTTCTAACAACAAACATCCTATAAAACCAGCTTGACCAATGAGTTCTAAATTGCTTCCAAAACGTATTTCTTTTAAGGATTTGCAATTACAGAAAGCATATTCATAAATCGTTTTCAATGAATTAGGAAGTACAATATTACTCAAAAACTCACAATTATAGAAAGCATTTGAATCAATTTTTTGCAAGACAGAGTTTGGATTGAATATAATTGCATTGATTCTAGAACCAGAAAAAAGACTTTTTGAAATAATTTTGACTGTTTCTGGAATGTAATATGTTTCAAGGTCACTAAAACGCATCAAGATTGTTTCCTTATTAGAATTATAAAGTAATGATTGATTATCATATGAAAATTGAGATCCTTCTTCGAATGTTAATATTGTACTAGTTGGAAAGCAATAACTTCCTAAACTTTGTATACTTTTAGGAAGAGTTACATTTTTAAGATTATAACACTGAGTAAAAGCTCCAGATCCAATATCTGTAACACTATTTGGAATTAGGATTTGTGATACATTTGTATTACTGAAGCATAAAATTGGAATTACTGTTATTCCTGTTCCTATCGTTACTGAGTTGAGATAAATATAATTACTAAATGCTTGGCTCTCAATTTTTATTACTGAATCTGGAATTGAAATCGAAGTAATGTTCGTATTAGAAAAAGCTTGGTTGCAAATAGTTTTTAGTCCAAAATTCAATGTTATTGAAAAGATCAAACAATTTAAGAAAGCTTTATTACTGACAATTTCTACATGTTCAGGAATTGAGTATGAATTTGAAAGATTTGATGGGAAAAAATTATTGTGCTATTATCTTTGCTAAATAAAACATTGTCTATCGATGTATAATGCTCGTTTAATGGATCTACTATTAGTGTTTTCAGGGTTTTCACTCCAGAAAGAAAACTTCCATCAATATAAGATACATTTTTAGGAATATAAAAAGATGATAAGATAGTATATGCAAAGGCAGTATCTTCTATTTTTGCAATTTTGATTTTGAATTCAAAATTATAGTATTTAAATTATAACAATGAGAGAAACATCCAGGTTCAAGATGAAATACTTCATTTGGAATAGATATTGATGACATTGGACAAGAATAAAAAGCACAATATGAAATTACTTTCAAATTTTGAGGGAGAATGATATTAGATAATGAATAGCATCCAACAAAAGCATAACGGTCAATATTTGTAAGATATTGGCAATTTGTGAAATTAATTTCTGCGAGATTCCTGCATTCTTTGAAAAATATAGCTCCAATAATCTTAAGATTAGATCCTAGTGGAAATGTTACCGATTTGAGTGTTGCTTTGCTTCCTGAAAAAGCATATATTCCGGTTTTAGTATCACCATATATGATTTCACATGAGGGCTTGACAACGACATAAACACAACTATCTGTTGTATAAAGGATTCGATCATTTTCAATATAAGTTTCACCAACAACTATTTTTCATTGCAGTTTCTATAAAAAAACTAATTCTGTTCTTGTAAATAATTTCAATATATCATCACATACCACAAACATTACAAAATTATAAAGTTTAAAGAAACTTTATGAGACAAACGCCGATGTGTTCAATTTTGAGTAGTTTACATGAGTGTATTTGCGACTGTTATCGCGCATTCTATAATATATTTTAAAATAACACAAATCCATTGTTTAAAACAATATAAATGAATATGTATTTTAATTCTCCATAAAAAATAACATAAAAATACAATATAAAAAATAATTAAGTTCAATTTCTTGCGGACTTTGGAGGTGTTGAACCTCTAACAACAAAAGATTTTCCTCTTGGATTGGCTGCATAGTAAAGCTCCTTATCTGTTCCATAAACAAAGCATGGCTTATTAACACCATCCATAACAGCCGAAATTGGAGCTGCTCCAAGAATTTGAGCAGACTCTTTGTCAGGTAGTGCTCCGGAAACTTCTCTATAGCCACGTCCACAAGAAAGGCACTTTGTGCACTTTCTAGCTGCTGCAGCTTCTTCAAACTCAACTGAGAATGACTTAACAAGTGACTCAATTCTGTTGAGATCTTCTTTAGTTGCATATTGACCATCTCCATTATCTGACTTTTGTTGCTTGATCATGTCTGCAATCTGTCCCATGCTCTGTTTGAACTTCTCGAATAAGCGTTCAATAAGATCTTTAGTAGGTCTTTGCTCAATTTCGCCTTGCAAGCGTTTAACTTCATTAGAAAGATCATCAATAAGACCAAGTTTATCTGCAAGTTCTTGCATTTCTTTGAGCTTATCTTCAAGTGCTTTGATTCGCTTTTCGTGGTCATCCAAGGTCTTCTCATGAGATTTGATTGATTCATCGTGTTTGTCAATAGATGCCTTATTGTTATTGATTTGGGCTGTATTTTCGGTTGTTTGCTCTTGAAGTTTGGCAACTTTTTCTGCAAGTTCTTCAAATTCTGGTTTAGTAACGAAGTTTCCTGTTGCTTGTGGAGGCCTGACAGGGAATTCGCTTTCTTCTGTCTTAGGCTTTCTCTCAACAGGAGTAAGATCTCTTCTTGGCCTCCAGTTTGTTTGTTCTGTTGGTTCAGGTGATTTGACTGAATCTAATTTCTTCTTCAAAGCATCAATTTGATCCTTAAGGTCACGATAATTGTCAGCAACCTTACCATCAAGCTTTGAAAGAGCATCATTCGTTGCAAACTTGGATAAATCAAGATTGCTGTTTCCATCTGATTTAGATGAAGAAACAGGTTCTCCTTTCTGGAGGCTCATGGCTATAAGCTTGTTCTCAAGATCGTTTATTCTGTTTGTAAGATCAGATATAGCTTTTTCATTATCAGGATTTGCAATGAATTCTCTTGTTTCAACTTTGGCAGAGCCATCATCACCATTATTATTCTGGTTCTTAAGATTTTCAACTTCTTTCTTAAGATTGCCGAGATCATTATTTAAGTTAGACATTTTACCATCCATAGTTAAAACTTTTCCGTTCATCATGTCAACACGTGATTGTAAATCTCCAAGATCATCTTTAAGCTTGGACACTTGTGATCTTTGACCATCCATGAGTTCTTGTAAGTCATTAACTTGATTTGTAAGTTTATCAACATTTCCTTGCAATCCATCGAGTCTATCTTTAGCCTGATTCATGCCATTGAATGCTTCGTCAGCTTTTGCTTTTATAGAGTTGAGTTGTTCTTGTAAAGCAGCATTTTTATCTTTGAACATCTTTTCAAGTTCGGCAATTCGTGCATCTGTTTCTTTTTTGTTTGCATCGATGTTATTTTGAATGATTGTTAAGTCATTTTTATCGGCTTTGCTATTTTCGAGATTAATTATTCTTCCATCATGATCTTTCAACATTTTCATGAGTTCAAGAAGAATAGCTTGCAATGGATCAAGAGTTAAAGTCAGTGGTAAAAATCCACCTGCCTTAATCTTTTGCTCAAGTGCAATATCAGACATTGAATTTTAATGTACGTTTAAAGATTTTTTACTAACGAGATTCTTAATTTCTTTAGATATTCAGTATTTGAATAAAACACTCTAAGATAGAATGATTTATCGTAGAAATAATGCTTAACTTAAATAATCCTTTCAATCAAATTCTTATCAAACAATTTTATCAACTTAATTATTATGTGTTCTGCATTTCCTTCAGCTTAAAAGACGTTCTGCCAGTTAGAAACTATATTTTCAACACAACGAATGAATATGATTGATTAATTAGCATTATTTTCTATTTGGATTCATAAATATGCATTTCTAAGAGATAATTAAGCTTTCCATTAATATTGATTACGTTAGTTTCATATAAATAAAAATTGATTTCAAACAGCTAATATAATTTATATCTATAATATGTTTGCTCACTTCACACATCTACACTTACCGCAATGTTAATAGTTTCATGGGGATTGTTTGAGCAGTCACTTGATACTTTTTCGAAAATTGAAAAACCATTCACAAAATTCTTCTTACTCTTCTTCCATTGTCTAGCTATGCTTGCAGCAATGCCATTGAAATATAAGGATATAATGTATATACCATCTTTGATGTTTTTTCCACCCTTTAAAACGTCACTTTTCTGAGCAACTTCACACGAGTTTCCAGCGGCATTGATTAGGACTAACATCATTGGAAATTCTCTTCCTGGGATATTTGCTGCCTGAACAAACTCGTTTGCTATCTTTGGAGATCTTGCAAATAGCAGCAATGGCATATAAAGTCCAAACAATCCTGTACATCTTAAATCTGAGATTGGATTTGATGATTGAAATCCAATGATTTCCCAATGTTTCCCGGTCACCTCTGGGATTTCACTCTGGTGTGTTATAGCGAAATACAAGGCATTTAATAGTGCAACATGTGTTTCGTTTTTTGAATCAAAACTCATCTTAGAAAGAGAGTGAATTGTTCTCGCAGCAGAAATTGCTCCTGAATATTTATATTGAGGGAAGAAAGGACATGGAGTTGTGCATAAATCAGCCTCAATAAGGAGATCTGATTCTATTGCGTCAACATATTTTAAAAACGATTCAAATATTTGATTTTTGTAAAAATAAGTCCCTTCTTCATTCATTTTTATGTCACGTTTTTGATTATGTCAGGCTATGTAGAATTTTCAGTATTTGTAATGAATGCAAATATCCATGCCATAATCCCATTTTGCAATCCAAAATTTGAATTAAAGCGAATACAAATTTAGTTATTTCAAGAGCAAAATAGATTTAAATATCATAAACAATAAAGCATTAAGTATCTATAGCATAATATTAACTATCTAACCAAAACTACTCTTAATTGTGAACCAATTTTAATTTAAGGCAGTTTTTAAAGTTATCTCATTGGTGACTATATTCAAAAATATGACAAGTGCATAACCATAACTTGATGAAAAAAGTATACGTCAAATATCACAAATTTGCATAAATCATTCATACAGCTTCTGATATATCACCTTTAACAACTTTTATTGTATATCAATTTGCTAATGCTAAGGAAATAACTAATAATAAGGCTTTGGTGTGTGAAAATTGATTCAACGCAGTAGGAATTTGTTTATGCTCAAACCTTGTTTATGAGTAATTTTTTAAATTACCTCAGAGTGCATTTAAATGCGAAGGTTGTAATTCTTAGAGATTTTTTCAGAATGATACCAAAAAGTGACAATTTAAGATTTTGTTTTTCTTTTTCTCTTTCTGTTGGGCTTTTAGCGGAAAGTTCGGTAGTTACTTTTACAACACCTTATATACTAAAGATGGTTCAGTAAAAGTTTTACCTTATGATTCAGATCTAAAAGATTCATTTTATGAAAGAGATTCTGAGGTGCGTGGGTTATATAAAAGCATTACATTTAAAGATGTAGAATATCCAAACCTCGAAATATCTCAGAAACCACCTTCTTTTAGGAATTATGACGATTTCCTATTTGAATGGGAAAATTACTTCGATGTTGATCCGCCATACATATCGAATTACAACATAGATTCAGCACGACATCACATTTTTGAAATTAATATCATACCAATGCCAAATATTTCAAATTTACGAGTATTTAAAGTCTTTTCTACATGCGATTATATATTTGTACAGCATATTGATGAAATAGTTTCTGAAAACAATACTTCTTTCAAATTAAAGTTCGAAATTGTTAAGTTTTCGCCCGGGCAATATTGTGAATCAATTTTTATCGAAACATCAATGGGAATTATACCATATTCCGTAACATTTAATGTAATAGACCACTCTCCTCTGCATTTTGATACAATTCATATATATCAAACCCAAGAAACTGTTCAATCAATCACATTAAATACACCGGCAACACTTTACCAGTCAGTTTTATTCGATAATACAATATTTGAAAACCATATGGTAAGAATTAATCAATTTCGAGCTTATTTAGAACCCAAAAAATTAAATCTCGGTACTTATCTCACTTTTGTTTACATTTTCATTGAGGATGATTGTTTTATACAGCCAATCTTCCTTCATGTCATTGAAAATCGCATACAAGAAATAAATAAAAATATTTATGTTTCTCACGTTCAAGATTCAGTCATAGAAACAGAAATAGAGGTCTCGTTACTCAATCCTACAAATAATTTCTACAGAATTGGCAAAATTCAGTATTTTGGAGCCCCAGAAACTTCATATTTTTTAGCATTATCGAAAAGTTACCTTCACAAAACAGATCAAACTAAGATTTGCACTCTTACTGTCAGAAGCCAAGATTTTTTCAGCTCTAATGGCTATTTTTTCATAGAAACCGAGTCATACGATTCATATTCGGATTTTGCTGAAGAAAGCAATATTGACAGTGCGCCGAAAGAAATAGTAAAGCTCACTGTAAATGTTTTCACGCGATTAATCCCTTATAAAATCGATATTGTTCGAAATGAAATTTTACAAGTCAGTAAAGAGTCCGTAGGTTCATATTCCATCCGAAATTTACTAAACGTTCCTGTAGTAGTCACGTCAATCTATCTCAGCAACACTTTCCTCATGATCCATGGCTTCAAACCATTTATTTTGGAACCTCACAAAATTTCTGAGGAAATTTTCGTATCGTTGTCAAATACGAAAGAGTATAGTTTGATTCCCACAATGATAAAAGTGATTTCTAACGCTACGATTCAATCATCTGAAGTGAATTTCTTCTCTGAAAAAATTATTTTGCAAAGAATATGGAATATGAACAGAATACAGCATATGGGTGTCGACATGTATGATTACGGAAACGTATACTCATTCATTAAGAAGAATAATACGTTGATTATCGCAAATCCGAATTATCATCCGGTCAAAATCCTCGAAATCACAGTTTCTGAAGGTCTCGATATAGATTATCCAATGAAGTTTGACGGATACACTATTCCACCCCATGCAAAAGGCTTAGAAATTGAATATACTTTAACATTTTTAAATTCATCAGAAATGTGGAATGATGGAAAGATCAGGATCATCTGTGATACATGTATATTAGATGTACCAATCAGATGGTTCTGTAATCGAGGCGTTTTGAACGTATCTTTTACTTTTAATCACGATCTTGTTTTCGGAATGAAATTAGAGGCCGCTCTTGACATATCATCATCCTTCAAGAGAGATTTGTATATAGAAGAAGGCTACGTCGTTTATCCAACGAATGAATCAATTTTTACCAAATCAACAATCCCTGCTCAACAAACCAAGGCTGGAATTGGAAAGTATACAGTTAATTTGAGCACTTCTAATGAGGCACTGAAGCCTTTCTTCGAAGTAATTGATTCAAATTCTTCTTATTACGCACAAACAAGGGCGTGGTCCAACTTTTGGGTACCTCATTACAAATTCCATATCAAGTTTATTATTGTTCTTGAAGATGGAATGTATTACGAGCATTTACTTGAATATGAACTTCATCATACCGAAATTTCCCATCATTCCATAGATTTCGGACCTGTCCACAAAGATGAAGTGTTCGAAAAGAAGTTATATTTCAGTAATATGCTCGCAACTCCCGTAGAATACACATTTCATCCAAATGAACCGAGTAATTTGTTCTCATTAAGGTATCCAAGTTCATTTATTATCCATCCAGGTGAAACTATGGAGTTCCATTGCGTTTTTGAGACGTTTGAAGTCGGAAAAGTAAATTCATTCATTCCGATAACGACAAATGCAACTCCACCATACGCCATTCCTGTTAGTGCCAAGATAGAAGTTCCAAGAGTCCGCTATATGGACAAGAATGACAACATGATTGTAAATCTTCATTTTATTGGCGGTGAAGATAAGCATTTCATGTCATATAGCTGGATAAAATGCATCAAGGTAGTAAGTTTCGCCAATTTCTCAGTAGATTTAAGCGAAATGAGGATAACTCCGAACTCATTTATCTCATATAAGATAAATTCAACAAGATTGAGGCCAAAAGAGTTCGCAAACCTTTGTTTTGACCTTAAACTATGGTTATTTGAAGAAAGCGAGAGCATAGGAATCCAATTTTCCATAATTTCGGGAGATTTCATATATATTTTACCAATTTATTTCAATATCTCCGACCAAGCGAAACTAAACATCAATGAAGCGATCAATGGCACAATGAACATCGTGTCTGTGCTTGGCGTGATGGTTCCTTTGACTTCTATTGTCATCGGACTCATTTGTTATCTCTGGTTCCGAAGAGAAGTCAAATGGAAGGCAAGGAGATTCGATAGAGCGGTGAAGAAGTATTCGATTAATAACTACAGACCAATTGAAGTGCAGAATGACCAGGAATCACTTATTCCTATCAAGACAAAATGGGTTTACAACAGAGCTCCTGTAAATCGCGTTGCATCAATGAGATCTATCAGTACTATGGAGCATTTCTTAGGATAGATATTGTTTTTTGTATATTATTTGTTTGTTATTTTAATATATATTAGTTAGATTTGATTTTTCGTAAAGAATAATTTTTTCAAATATTAAAATTTGTTTCTACTAGAAGATCTAATATAATTATCATGTATATATTTAGAAATTTGTATGTTATCAAAATATATCTCAAAATTTGTTTTACTAAATCTTATACTTTTGATGTTAGGTACTTGTTTTGTCATATGATGATCCTTGTACGAACTTGAAATCCTTTTTAAATCTAAAAAATATGCTTTCATATTCAAAATGATGATTCTTTTTATTGATCTGTTCATTTTTGATTGCCTAAAACTATTATATTTAATGTATCTATAGATGTTTTACTGTTAAATTCACTGTTAACCTTAGCGGGTATTGATATGTTGACTGGTTGGAAGATATGAATTGAAAAATAGAAACTTGGATGAAGGATTTTTTAAAGGCATTCTATAGATGATCTATTGTAGGATTGATACAATCAGATGTCAAGGTTATTAAATCAATTGAATAATTTTATTCTCAGATTACGATACTGATATTGAAAAAATCACTTTCACTTCCATATTTTTTGATCTAAGATAAATTCAAGTCGCTTTAGATCATCAAAAAGTGAATAATTTTTCTTCAGAATTTATTTTATGACGGAAACAGCAGACTTTTATAAAGAGCTGTTTCAAAGTGGTAAAGTGGAAAATAAGAAACGAAGGGCCATATGGAAAGAAGTTCTTGATATTCCTTCGTCGTTTACACCAACAATTGCACCAACAACTGATCATCGTGATTTTAAGCAAGTTGAGAAAGATGTTAACAGAAGCTTCCTTCACTTACAAGATTCGGACTTCAAAACTCGTCGCAGACAACAATTATTAAACGTGATATTATCTGTACTCGAAAGGCATGCTCCTCTTCATTACTGTCAAGGTATACATCATATTGCATCAATAATTCTTACATTTGCACGAGAGCCTCTCGCAATGTTAATTTTTGAAAGATTAGCATTGGGCCCATTGCTACCATTTCTGCAAGAAAATTTAGAAGGATTAGCATCAATGATGAATTTTGTCATGCCTATAATCAAATTGGTCGATCCAGAGCTTTGGCAGCATTTCGATGAAAATGATTTTGACACTTCATATTATACAGCACCATATATTGTTTCATGGTTTGTACCTCAGGCTTCTTCACTTGAAGTTGCGCTAAAATACCTCGATTTTTTCGTAATTTCAAATCCGATTATGCCAGTTTACTTAATTGTCGCTTATACTCTGCATAGGAAATCAGAATTCATGTCTAAGTACGATTACGAAGCTATTTCTCAAGTTTCAGATAACATTACTCATGGAATTGATCCTGATGTCTGTATCAATAGAGCAATTGAAATCTTCAAACAGTTTCCACCTGTTGTCGTACTGAATAATAATCCCAAACTATTCATCTCGAAAAATCTTACACTTTTGAATCCACGCGTTGATTATCCTTTTCCATTCCCTACTTTTCCTAAAGCACAGTTACTTCCACATAATATATATGAAAAGCATCTTTCAGACGAGAAAAGTGATTCCAAACTCATTACAGGAATTCTTTCTGCGTTAACAATTCTTGGAGCAATAGGATTACGAATTCTAGAGCTCTAAATATTACTATATAATTTTGTTTGTAAAAATAAATATAACTCTTCTATCCGGTCTTAAAAAATAGAAATTCAATTTTTATTTTAGGTTTAAAGAAGCTATTGCTGCCTAAGATAAATCTACTTCCATGAATGATAGAATGCTTTTCATAAAACATTCATATATAGCTTCAAAAATATTTTATATAATTTTGAAATTTCGATTTAGAGCCTCATAATAAGCCATACTACTGATGTACTACAGATTGTTAGGTAATTATCAATTTGAATGCTACAATCCTTATGATTCGAAGAATAAATCAAGTATTTCAAATTTTGCGAATAAAAGTGCCAATTTTTGAATTGACCTCATTTTTTATTTTATATTAATTGTCATTTTATGTCAATGCGAAATAGCAATACTACAACCAAAAACCTCAAAATGAAAAAGTGCCAAACAAGACATTCAAAAGATCAAAAATTTAAAATTATATGTCATTTATTCCATACATTTTATATTTTTGATTTATCAAAAAATATTTTCCAAACGATAAATCATTTGAATAAGATGTCTGTCAAAACAAAGGAATTTGGTGCCAAAGAATACTGGGATGAGGAATACCAGAAGCAGAACACAACATTTGAATGGCTTGAAGTATATGATACCTTGAAACCTTTCATAGAAAGGCATATTAAGCGCAACCAGAAAATTTTAATGCCTGGATGCGGTAATTCCACTCTTGGCCCAGATATGTATCAAGATGGATATAAGACTATACATAATTCCGACTTCTCTGAAGTGGTTATTGATCAAATGAAAGAGAGATTTTCTCATCTTGATCAAATGGAATGGTTTGTTGATGATATGCGAAAAATGAACCTTCCTGATAATTCTTATGATACTATTCTCGATAAGGGTGGGCTCGATGCTCTCTACACAATAGATAACGATGGCATTGCTGCTGAAGAAGCTCTCTTCGAATACGCCCGAGTATTGAAACCAGGAGGCAAAGCCTTCATAATTTCATTTGGTCAGCCTGTTGATAGAGAATGCAATTTCGATCGTCCAAATAAGACCTGGAAGTATGACGGATTCGAAATGCTTCCAAGAGAAATTGCTCCAAATACATATCGTCACATCTACGTCTTAACAAAGCCTAGTTAAAATATAAATGTTCTCAAATAAAAGTATAAATATGGTATTGAAACACTATCGAATTATTTAGTTACGATATTAGTGTCGATATGCAGGTGATGTGATGAATATATTAATAAAAATTAACAATTTTGAATTCAAATTTGAAAAGTTGTTCAATAGATAATATATGGTGAGTATTGACAGCATGCTTGTCATATGATAATGATACTCTTGGGTAGAGAAAATAAAGTTTTAAAAAATTGAAAATCGAAAAGTCATTATTTCGAAATGAAAGCAATGTTATTTTATCATTTATAAGTGTTTGTGCTCCAATCTATCCTCAAAATGAAGACCATGAATTAATCAAAGGTGGTAACTGAATTAACCCCCAATAATAAGAAATTCTGAGGTAACGCCTTTACATTTTTATTTATGTCCAAAATCAACTGGGACTATTTAAGAACATATGATAACCCTGAAGACTACGTCAGTGAGCTTTCTAATGCATTCAACCAAATTGGCAATGATTCAGAAACAATTGACCAGTTCTACAGAATTATCATGAAGCATTTCGAAGATACAGTTCCAGAAGACATCGGTATTGCTACACTCAATTCTCTCAAGCGTTTCATCTCATACAAGATCAAGCGCGATGTCTTCGTTCAGAATAAGTACGCAGCAGCTCTTCCTTACAACCAGAAGAACCTTACAGATGATCTTCTTGAAGTTTTATACATCCTCGTCACACGTGCTCCAGAAGCTTTCACACAGGAAGTTGCTGATGGTTTCTCCCGCATGATTGTTCGTCGTCCAAGGAAGGCCCTCCACATTATCTCAATCTACGCCACATACTTCAAAGGCCTCGAGAACGCATGGCCACTTCTCGACGACCTCATCCAAGGTCAACGCCGTTTCTCAGTTGATGAGTGCGCAAAGGAGTACGTTCTCCTTCTTGCCTACCTCGTTACAGAGCACCGTGGCTTCCGTCGTGGCCGCGCTAAAGCTTGCTTCGATTGCGTTGCTCAAAACCTCGAATCCGAAAATGAAGACGTTATCAACGCTACATACAGCGCTCTTGCTTCCATCGTTTCTGTAGAGCAGAACATTATCGTTCCATTCCGCGAAATCCGTGCTCATCTTCGTTTCCCACAATTCGAATCAAAGATCCTCGATTTCTTACTTGTTTGCCCACTCAACTTCGACGGCATGGACAATCCAAAGTTCCTCCAGGCCTTACTCAAGATCGCAGCTCGTGGCGAAGACGAAGCCCAGATTGAGAGACTCAGAAACGAAAATGGAGTTGAATACACAAAGGAAGAATCCCTTGATGTCTCCAACAGAGCCGCTCTCGTCTTAATGAGACTCGCCGAAGACCGCAAAGTTCGAGAAACCCTCATCAACACTCCAAAGTGGCTCAAGGCAGATTTACCAACAACAATCCATACACTCAGACTTTTCCTCGTCATCTTCAAGGATATGCAGTGCCGCGCAGTCCTTGGAAGAAAGCCAGAGTTCATCGACTTCCTTTCAAACCTCAACGAAGTTGGCGATGAGAGTATTCACTCACTTATCTGCACAATCATTCGTCGTATCAACCTCAACGCTGCTCTTGTCAAGGAAATGTCAAAGAATGAATTTATTGCTGCATTCCTCGGCAACGCTGATGAAATTGGCACTGACAACTCTCACTACTCCGCTATTCTCTTTACAGATACACTCTGCAAGATCTGTTTCACAAAGGAATTCATCCCAATGTGCGAAACAGTCTCAAACTTCATCCAAGAGGGAGGTGACAACCTTTCTCCAGCTATCAAACTCGCTACTGACCTCTGCAAACACCAGAGATGCGTAGAAAAGTTCCAGAAACTCAGACTCGCTCCTTACCTCGAACGCAGAATCAGCAAGATGAAGAACAGAGGCCACATCAGAGCTCTCATCAAACTCATCAAGGGCGAAGAAGATATGCCATAAACATTTTTAATTATTTTCGTAAATTTTTCTAAAATTATTTCAAAAATTGGCTAAAAACATAATACAAAAGTCCAGTTGGATCAACATGTTAAGAAACAAATTATATTTTTGCAAATATTCTGCATTATAAAGATATCTATACAAATTTATTTAGTCTCTTATGGTAATGACAATCAAAAAATATCAGAAAGCTACTTGGACAGAAAATTAATACTGTTAACACTATTTCCAAGGAGATCAATTTTCTTTAATTTTTTTATCAATATGATGCTTATAGACATGGGGGTATTATTTAGTTAGTTCCCTATGCATAAATTCTCAAAGAAACACTTTACAATGCATTATTTTATTTTGATCTTTGATGAAAAATGTGTGCATATTGTGAATTGCGGCATTTTAATGAGAAATCATTAATGAATAGCATAATAATGATCTAAATGTTCATTTATTGATCTTTTCTATGCAGCTCCAAAAAAAATTTATGAGTGCGCCAAATCTAGAGATTGGGCAAAAGAAAGTATTAATAGAAAACTTGAAGAACGGCTCAGAATTAGAAGGAATGAGACCCATCATTGATGAAATTAAGAAGAAACTTACAACATTCGTTAATAATTGCGATTCAACTTCAATCTTTTTGTCTGGTCCATCTGGCAGCGGAAAGTCATTCTGTGTAAATCAGGCTATGAAAGAGGCGCTACCAGAAAATATGTGGCGCGTTGTAATCGATTGCAGAATTTTTGATACAGACAAAGCAGCCTGCAAGGAATTTCTTCGTCAAACAAACTCCACTGCTACGGCATCTATTCTTGATGTATTAAGAGAAAAAGGTTCTGGAGTGATTGTTTTTGACCATTTCGATTCATTAAAAATTATCAAACGCCAATTCTTCCTTTATACAATATTTGATTCAATTCATGCAAATACAATTTCAATCTGCTCAATTATTAATACATCTTCTGTTGAACCCCTTTCAAATCTTGAAAAACGTGTTAGATCTCGTTTAACCCCTCAATATATCGACGTTCCAGCTCCAACATTCGATTCGACTAAGGAATTTCTTACTAAAACACTTGTTTTCGATGGTCCAAAGACATCAAACGAAAAATCTTGGAATAAATACGTCAAAAGCTTCTTCGACTCAGACAATCTCGACCAACTTAAGCACTTATTCTCAATATCACCAACACTTCATACAGCACTTGTTTATGGCCAGAAATTTGTACTTTCTGACGATCATAAAACATTAGAAAAGAAATTTATGGATAATTTATCCATTGAAAGGTTCCTTGGTAATCTTTCACAAACAGAGCTTATTATACTCTTCATGGCTGCTTATATGGTTGAAGTTAAAGAAATTCCTGAATATTCTGTAGATACAATTCGCCATGAGTTACATGAGTTATACAGAACACATAACTTCTTATATAGAATCCATAAAGACAACGCAAACCTTGCTTGGGATAAATTAAAATCTTTAGGTTTCATTGTTCCAACAACAAAGGATTCGACAAGATACACGTTTACTTTGTTCGCTGAAGACTTGAAATCAAGTATTTCTTTGATTCCAACTGATTACCAGGTTTGGATCAAAAATTGGTTAACTGTTTAATTTTATTTTCGCATTAAATATATTTTTATTTACTTATTGTAGTCTTAGCTTTTTATATCTTAGCTATTTTAGAAGAGAAATGAAAATATCAAATTATATTTCTTTATTCACTTATTTGCCTGCATATTATGCCATGAAAACTATAGAACTTGTGTTATTGGACTGCCACCAAATGAAACCAAAGCTATAATGCTCTTCAATGCGTAAACGTTTTTGTTACTTATTTAGATAATAAATTATTATAGAAATCTATTGAGTTTTCATTCATCTTATACATTCCCATTCATATTTAGTGTTGCTCCAATTCGATCTCTTCGAATTTTAGTTTTGAAATTCATCATTTCAGGAACATTATTTTTAACTGTCTATTCAATCAATGTATGTTTAACAGAATTAATATGTAATGACACCCATATTCACTAAACTTCACATGGCATCATAAGGAATTCAATTTTTTTTGTCAAAAAAGTGACACAACCAAAAAATTTAAAAGGGAATGTCAAGTTCAGGGCAACAAAAAGAAAATCTATGTGATTTTGGCGATATTAAGCCAATAGAAGTATTCGAATTCCCTAATCAAGCTTCCAAAATTATTTGGGACATCAATTCCAATAATATTTCACAAATCTCTTCTCAAATTATAGAATTCATTACAAATAACAAAATATCTATCAAAATGTCAATATGCTTGATTGATTTTTTTTCACAAATTCGTGTTAAAGATATTAAATTATTTACAGAACTTTATCTCAATATATCAAACAAATTTTCATGCATCTATAAACCGAAGAATGAGAAATTAGCAACATTATTGCATTACAAATGTCTCAAATTTGAAAACTTCGAACAAAAAATGAAAGAAGAAGAAATTCTCAATTTATATCCAGCAGAATCTCCTTTATATTATATTGCATGGGATAAAGTTGATGATCTTAAATCCAAATTCCCAGAATTTGATATTAATCAGACAATCAATAATGAAATTACCTCACTTGATTGTGCAATTAAATACGGATCAGAATCATGTTTCAATCACTTGAAAAAATCAGGAGCCAATTACACAAATAACTCCGAAAAATATGCTGTTCAAGGTGGAAATCAAAACATTTTTAAGCAAATGATAGAAGAAGGTAAAACTTTTGATAAAATGATTAATACAGCATTGGATTATCATAATTTTGAAATTGCTGGATACCTTAAATCAAAATTTGGACAATTTCCAAATTCAGTAACAGGAAGCATGAATTTTGGTAACTTTAACATTGTTTCTTATTTACTTTCTAATGGAGCAGATATCAACAAGATTGAAATTCTTTTTATTTTCACATTTACCATTGTTTTATGGGATTCTCTTTTGTTTTCATATTTGTCAAGGTTTTATAGAATTCTCTATATATAAATGAATGTCCTCTTAGTATTGCAATCAAACAGGATTCAATTGAAATTGTCAAATTCCTAGTTGAACATGGTGCTGATATTAATAAAGAATTTATTCTCTTTCTTTTCAGATTTATCATTGTTTAATAGAATTTTCTTTCTTTTCATATTTTATATTGTTTAATAAGATTCTTTTTCATTTCATATTTATCATTGTTTAAACACATTCTTATTCTTTCCATATTCATTATTGTTTTATAGAATTTTCTTTCTTTTCATGTTCATCATTGATTTATATGATTTTCTTGTATTTAATGTTTATCATTGTTTTATATAATCCTATTACTTGTCACATCTATTATTGTTTAATGAAATTCTGTTGATATTAATGATTCCCCTCTTAGTATTGCAATCAGAGAGGATTCGGTCGAATTTGCCAAATTCCTAATTGAACATGGCGCTAATGTTAACGTGAAACTTATTTTCTTTCTTTCCATATTTATCATTATTTAGTATGATTCTCTTGTATTTAATATTTATCATTATATTATAGAATTCTCTTTCCTTTCACATTTGCTATTGTTTGAGGAAATTCTATCGAAATTAATGAAAGCCCTCTTATTATTGCAATCAAAATGCATTCAATCGAAATTGCCAAAGCCTTATGTGAACATGGTGCTGATGTTAACATAGTCCTTATTCTCTTTCCTTTAATATTTCTCATTGTTTTATGGAATTCTCTTAGTTTTCATGTTTATCATTACTCTATAGCATTATCTTTGTTTTCATGTTTATCATTGTCTTCTTTGATTCTTTTTCATTTCATATTTATCACTGTTTTATCAAATTCTCTTTGTTTTCATATTTATAGTTGTTTCACGGCACTCTACTTCTTTTCATATTTATCATTGTTTCATGGCATTCTTCTTCTTTTCATCTTTATCATTGTTTTATAAAATTTTATATCTTTTAATCTTTATTATTGTTTTATAGAATTCTCTTAGTTTTCACATTTACCACCATTTTACCCAATTCTCATTCTTTTCATATTTATCGTTGCTTTATTTCATTCTTTCAGTTTTTATAAATGTCCTCTTAGTATTGCAATCTTAGCTCATTCAATTGAAATTGTCAAATTCTTAGTTGAACATGGGGCTGATGTTAACATGAAAATTATTATATTTCTTATTCATATTTATCATTATATTATTGGATTCTCTTTGTTTTCATATTTCTCATTGTTTTTTACAGTTCCCTTGTGTTTAATATTTATCATTGTTTTGTGATTTTCTCTTTCTTTTCATATTACTCATTGTTTTACTACATTCCACTTCTTTTTATATTTATTATTATTTAATGAAATTCTCTTTCTTTTCATATTTACCATTGTTTTATGATATTCTACTTCTTTTCATATTTATCATTATTTTTTGACATTCTCTTTGTTTTCATATTTATCAAGGCTTTATGATATTTTCTTTCTTTTCATATTTACCATTGTGATATTATATTTTCTTTCTTTTCATATTTATCATTATTTTATAGAATTCTATTTCTTTTCATATCTATTATTTGTTTATGACATTCTATTTATTTTCATATTTATAATTGGTTTATGTAATTCTATTTATTTTCATATTTATAATTGGTTTATATAATTCTCTTGTATTTAACATTTTTCATTGTTTTATAACATTAACTTTCTTTTCATATTTATCTTTGTTTTATGACATTAACTTTCTTTTCATATTTATCTTTGTTTTATGACATTAACTTTCTTTTCATATTTATCATTGTTTTATGAAATTCTTATTCTTTTTACATTTATCGTTGTTTTATTACATTCTCATTCTTTTCATGTTTATCATAGTTTTATGACATTTTCCTTCTTTTCATATTTACTATTATTTAATGAAATTATCTTTCTTTTCATATTTACCATTGTTTTTTGATGTTCTATTTCTTTTCATATTTATTATTAAGTAATGGCATTCTCATTCTTATCATATTTAATATTGTTTTATAACATACTCTTCCTTTTCATATTTATCATTGTTTTATTACATTCTATTTCTTTTCATATTTATTATTATCTAATGAAATTCTTTTGTTTTTCATGTTTATCATTGTTTCATCCAATTATCATTCTTTTTATATTTCTCATTGTTTAATGAAGTTCTCTTCCTTTTCACATTTTTTATCATTTTATAGATTTCTCTTTCTTTTAATGTTTATCATTGTTTTATCCAATTCTCATTCTTTTTATATTTATCATTGTTTAATGAAGTTCTCATTCTTTTCATGTTTATCATAGTTATATCGCATTCTCTTTCTTTTCATATTTATTATTATTTAATAAAATTCTCTTTCTTTTCATATTTACCAATGTTTTTTGATATTCTATTTCTTTTCATATTTGTTATTAAGTAATGGCATTCTCATTCTTATCATATTTATTATTGTTTTATAGCATCCTCTTTCTTTTCATATTTGTCATTGTTTGATTACATTCTCATTCTTTTTATATTTATCATTGTTTAATACAATTCACTTGTATTTCACATTCATCATTGTTTTATAAATTTCTTTTTCTTTTCAAACTCATCATTGTTTTATTACATTCATTTTTATTCCATCTTTATCATTGTTTTATAGAGTTCTCTTTCTTTTCAAATCTATCATTATTTAATCTAATTTTCTTTATCTTCATACCCTCAATTTTTAACTTTTGCAACTCCAAAAACCAGGTGTTTTTCCAGAACTACCATCTAGGATGAGTCCTAGGAGCTATAATTCTAGGGTTAGATGATACCAACTTAGTACTTTTATTTGTATATGTTTTAGTGGAATTTGGTGAGGGGTCATGAAATTCGTATCTAATTTGCTATCATCTAAGCTGGTAAAAGTTAGAGAAAGCTATTTACTGGTTGTATATTACAAATATACCTTGTAATAGAAAATATAAGTGTTTGTGATTTAAATTCGCTCAATTAGCTCGAAAATTTGTTTTATATCCATGACAAACTAACACAATCCTATTTATGTGATTGCCAATCTGTTCCCAAAATATATCAGCATGAATATATATATATTGATACTATTTGCAATTTCATCATTAAATAGTACTTTTTTTTATTTTTAATTTAGAAATAGTATATTTATATGATAGCGACACAAGATTTTAATTAAAAAATATATGTTATCGATCATCACACTCAAATTGAATTTCAAAAATTTTAGAATTTTTCAATTTCAATATTGAAAATATATTTCTTATATCATAGCGATTCATGTTATAATAATATGGAGAAAAATATTGTTTTAAATCTAAAATTTAAAATGAATGATTGGGCATTACATTAATCCAATTTATTGTTTATTTGTTAATCTAGTGGAAACAATTAATATTTTGGAGAAACAAAAATTTGAAATTTGAAATTTTGAAAAAAATGCATGAATCGGTAATTAAACATTGATTTATTAATTTATTAGCCATGCTTTTGATGTTGGTCTTATTCTTAAGCCGATTTAAAGAATTAATTTTTCCAAATCGTGTTTGACATTAACACATATAGATATATCAGGAAAAAAGGTATCACTTATCAAGTTATTGGTTTTTATGTATCTCCTAACTTTGCCTCGTTCTGAATACAATTCTAGTTAACGAATTTTAAATAACTATATGAAGAATACATCATTTTGGTTTTATTATTATTAAAATGATATATATTAGCTATGTATATGCTTGTAAGAATATTATTCCGTGAATTGGAAACAGAAAAAATAAATTTAGACAGAAAATGCATATCTTTAAAAAATAATATGAAATTTAGCTTTGATATTATTATCCGATAAAATATGCATGATAATTACTCCGCAAATACAATTTAGGAAGCAAGTTGTGACGGTTTGGGCTGTTTTCAATGGCCCACAAGGAAGGAAGTATCGTTTTATCAGGCAACAAGAGGTCTTGAAATGAGTAAAGGACTGATCACCCTTGAAAGGTTCAAACTTGCTTGCGCGCCGCAGTCTTAAAAATGATATGTTTCACTTCTGGTCGAAAATTTCAACCTCTATGACAGTTGTTGGATGAACAATTGTGTAGCGGGATGAAATCTGAGTGCGGCCTGGGGCTGCAGCATCAATCTTCCCGGCATCTTTACCGCAATCATCTCTTAGATTGCACACAAAGTTGCGAACGAGCAGCTTTCTATGCGGTAAAGATGCCGGTAAAAGAGAGCCGTAGTGATTCTCTGCTGCAGCGTCAATCTTCCCGGCATCTTTACCGCAATCATCTCTTAGATTGCACACAAAGTTGCGAACGAGCAGTTTTCTATGCGGTAAAGATGCCGGAAAGAGAGAGTCGATGTGAGGTTCTTTTCGAGGGCTCCTCGAATGAGACACTGTTCCGCATTCATAACTTGAATGCGGAAGTTTGACCGACAAGAGTGTATTTTGCACTCCTGTCGGTCGCAGTGTCTCATTCTGGGAGACATTGCCTCTGCATGTCTCCCAGAATGAGACAATCTTCTGCACTCAGAATGTGATTGCAAAACTTTGACCGACAAGAGTGTATTTTGCACTCCTGTCGGTCGCAGTGTCTCATTCTGGGAGACATTGCCTCTGCATGTCTCCCAGAATGGAACAATGTTCCGCATTCATAACTTGAACGCGGAAGTTTGACCGACAAGAGTGTATTGTGCACTCCTGTCGGTCGCAGTGTCTCATTCTGGGAGACATTTCCTCTGCATATCTCCCAGAATGGAACAATGTTCCGCATTCATAACTTGAACGCGGAAGTTTGACCGACAAGAGTGCATTATCCAATCTTTTTTGTCATATACCTCAACCCACAAAGACAAAACCTTACATAAAATAGGTAAACTTTGGTTTTCACTTAATAATGTTTATTTTTAATTTTTTGTTCTTTATATAACTTTTTCTTCTACTAAACTATTTTACAGACTCTACTGAGCTATCCTCACATATATACCTGTGACAATAACACATATATACTCCCTTCATATTCTGATCTCATGACATATTACAGCACAAACTATAATTATACAACATACCTCATAAAGTCTGATTTTACCCCTATCTAAGCGTTCAAAACCTATTTTCCTTAAAATTTCTCTTCAAGTTCATACTGAAACAACATCTTTTTTTGAAAATACAATTTTTTCAAAAAATGTATGAATTCAAAAGTGCATACTATATCTAGTCATTACCCAACATTAATTTTGTATTTTAGTTTTTAAGATATTAATTTTATTATACGTCTTATTCATCGGCATCTGCTGAACCACATGACTCCAAACATGATTCGTTAAACTCATTTCGACATATTGGGTATTTATTATTGTTTTATAGAATTTTTTGACTTTTCATATTTATCATTGTATTATTGCATCCACTTTCTTTTCATGTTTATCATTGTTTTATTAAATTCTTTCAATATTAATGAAAGCTCCCTTACTATTGCAATCAAAGAGGATTCGTTGGAAATTGTCAAATTCTTAGTTGAACATGGCGCTAATGTTAACATGTTATATATTCTCTTTCTTTTCATATTTATCATTGTGTTATAGAATTTTCTTTCTTTTCATATTCATCATTGTTTTCTTATATTCTCTTTCTTCTCATATTTGTAATTGTTTAATAAAATTCTTTTCCCTTTCAAATTTATCATTGTCTAATCACATTATCTTTCTTTTCATATTTATTATTGTTTTATAGAATTTTCTTTCTTTTCATATTCATCATTGTTTAATATAATTCTCTTGTAGATAATATTTATCACAATGTTATGAAATTCTCTTTCTTTTCATGTTTTTCATTGTTTAATAAAATTCTTTTTCTTTTCATATTTATCATTATTTTATTACATTCTCTTACTTTTCATATTCATAGTTGTTTTATGACATTCTATTTCTTTTCACATTGAGCGTTGTTTTATGGCATTCTCTTTCTTTTCATATTTTTCATTGTTTAATAAAATTCTTTATCTTTTCATATTTTTCATTGCTTTATAACAATTTCCTTTTATTCATTTCCATCATTGTTTTGTTATATTCTCTTTCTTTTCATATTGATCATTGTTTTATACCATTCTAATTCTTTTCACATCTATCATTGTTTCATCGCATTTTCTTTCTATTCATATTTATCATTGTTTTATACCATTCTATTTCTTTTAATATTGATTATTATTTTATTACATTCTCGTTCCTTTCATATTAATCATTGTTTTATCTCATTCTACTTCCTTTCATATTTATTATTGTTTTATAGATTTCTCTTTCTTTTCATATTCATCGATGTTTTATGCAATTCTAATTCTTTTCATATTTGTTATTGTTTTATTACATTCTCATTCTTTTCATATCCATCATTTTTTAATGAAATTCTCTTTCTTCTCATATATATCATTGTTTTATGACATTCTCATTTTTTCCATATTTATAATTCTTTAATGAAATTCTCTCGATATTAATGAATGCCCTCTTAGTGTTGCATTCCTACCCAATTCATACAATATTCTCAAATTCCTTCTTGAGCATGGTGCTAAGAATTTCAAATAATTCCTAATAGCGAGATTTTGTATTGTATAAAGAATAAAAATTCATAATACTAACGTACTCAATATTTCTGGGAGTCATTAATCGTCTTCCAACATATTTCAAAAATATAGCTTTAATTTCTGACAACTAGATCAAATCAAAATTGAAAATTAACCTTAAAGGGTAAAATTGAAGAAACATTTCATAGGGACGTACCTGAATTGAATTTGAAATAATCGTTTTTTGGCGTTTTTTCTAGTCGGGGGCTAAGCTCAATAGTACTCTATTCTGTGTTTTAGAAAGTAGATCTTTAATTCGAAATTCTGCCAACAGAAGTGAAACATCATTGAGAAAAAGTGATCCCCTAAGGGTGTGTGTACCACTTTCTGACGTGCTTGCATAACATTATTAATAACTTTTTCCCGAACATAATTATTAACTTTGAGAGAATGTCAGAAAGTGGTAAATGCACCCTTCAAAACGTTCATTTTTTATGTCAACCTTGTTTTTCAAATCAAAGGAAGATTTTTGAATAAAAAAATACTCATAAAGTAAGGTCGTCAAAAAAGTGCGGAAATTTAAAAACCGCAGTTTGAGTACCCTCTGATAGTCTGTTCGTCAGAAAGTATACATTTGTAAACTTTCTGACACTAAAAAAATTTCAAAGTTTTTAACAATGTCAAATAGTATGCATCGGGCCCTCACTTTTCCTCTCACATGGCGGTTTTTTTAAGGCTGTACTCACGCCCATCTGACTTTAATTCAAATTTTGGCAACTGGCGTGAAGCGCCATTGAAAATTAACCTTAAATATCTGAATTGAAGGCTGTGTCATAGGGGCGTAAGTGCACCCTTAAAAACGCTCAAAGTTTTTGACAATGTCAAATAGTAGTCCCTCAATTTTCCTCTCAACCCAACCTTATACAAAAAAAACCTTTGTATCCCAAATCAAAAAGATGATTTTGAATAAAAAAATATTACTAAAGTATATAATGATCTACAAATAATTTATTCATTCTTAGTATTAGCAACCATGACGCGGAGGAGCTCCAAATCGTTGGGGCCCAATTTAACAATCTCCTCGTACATGTTTGCGAGTTTCCTGTGTCTCTCTATTCTCCGCTTGAGCTCCTTGATCATTCTCTGTGCCATGATTAAGTTGTGGCGCTTAATTGTCCTCTCCATCTCTGCTCCCTCGAGTCTCGTCATGTATCTGAGCGCCATTACGTCCTTCTTTCCGTTCTTGACGAAATACGCGGACACTGACAGGATTCCGTCATCGCCAACAGTGATATTCATGGTGAACTTGGAGTCTGGGATCTCTGGAATGTCGTCAAGCATGAATCTGCCAATTGGATAATTATTTCTCACGTCATCGTTGTCTCCCTGGAAGAACTGGATGCAGGCACGTGGTGTAGGGTTCTTAACGACAAATTCGAACGATCTCTCTTGTGGTAACGGCGAATTTCTCTCGATCAACATTTTGATATTTTGTCTGTTCTCTAAGAAACCAACTGAGTAAGGTAGAACGTCGTGGATTGCGAGTTGTTTTGTGGTCATGAGGTCGTGGCAGACCATGCAAGCGCCTAATGCGATACATCCAGCAGTATCAACGAAAGACATAGGAGATATTCTACCTCCGAAGTAGTGGATGACATCGTTGCAGACCCATGGTGTCTTTGACTGTCCGCAAATGAGGATATGGTTGATATCGCGTTTTGTAAGATTTGCCTCTTCAATGGCTAGGTCTATCTGGTCGGCGATTGTGCAGAAAATGTTGTCGGCGAGGAGGTTCTTCAGATCTTCATGGGTAAGCTTCTCATTCAAAGTAATTCCGTTGAAATAATCTGGGATGTTAATTGTGACTTCCGAACGATCGGATAAGAGTATTTTTGCATTCTCGCATGCTTACCTGAGGAGAGCTAGTGATCTGGGGCTCTTGGATGGATCTAAATCTGGATGTTGTTCAGTAAAGCGATCCATCATTTCTTCCATGATGAATCTGTCGATTTCTGAGCCACCAAGGCTGCTGTCGCCGGCAATTGACTTGACTGTGAATGACTTCTTATTTTCAACTTCAATTACGCAGATATCGAGAGTAGATGCGCCAAAATAGCAGACAAGTATCTTCCCGTTCTGGAAAGGAACTTGGTGAAGTGCGTAGACTGTTGCAGCAACTGGTTCTGTGATGACTTTTAATACGTTGAAGCCAGAAATTTCAGCCACCCGTTTCATGGCTGCCCTCTGAGAGCTTGTCGATTTTGCGGGTACTGTAATAACGCAAGATTTTTCTTTTCCTGCGCGTGAAGTAACCATATTATTTAATTCGCCAAAAATAAAGCTCATCATTTCTTCTGGGCTATACATTTCGACCTTGCCATTCTGTGTGATTTCTACGATTGGCCAGCCATCGGAATCATATGATATTTTGAACGGGCAATTTCTAAATAATTTTTCAATTTCATAATAGCGTCTGCCAAGCATTGGCTTGATCCCATAAATGGCATTTTCTGGCTTATCAGCATAAACCTTTCTTGCCTCTTCTCCTATGAGGATTGAATCATCAGTAAAAGAAACAAGCGTTGGAGTAGTAGATTTTCCGGTCTGATCGTTCAATAACAACTCAAAAGACGGAATTTCATTTGGTCCACTTGTATTGTATGCGATACGTGAATTATTTGTGCCGAGATCTATTCCAATCGCGGTCATTCAAAAATTAAAGACTTAAAAAACCGCTAAAATTTGAAAGTGAGAATATTGCTGATTTTGATGTTGTCTTGATATGAACACTTATGAATTGAAAGGTATTTTTCAAATTTCAGAACCGCTTTAAAGGGATTATTCAAATCAATAAATCAATTATTAGTTGATAATCTATTATACAATAAGAATTAATTTTGAATATAAAATTTGGAAATCAATGGAACAACTGTAATTTAATCATTCGTGAATTAATTAAGGATAAACTGTAATAAAAAAATTCAAAAATAAACGGTTCGACATTAAAATATTGAATGGTATTCAAAAAAATCATGGTATAAAATTGAAGATTGTATGACTTCAATAAGTTGCGGAATTTCTCTTTATTGTAAAAACTCCCAAAAAAAATTTTTGGTTATTGTTTGCGATTATTAATCTTAATATCTGAATTTCGTTGCCTAAAGTAACACCGATCCATTAATTTTGAGATAAGAAGCAACGCTACAAGAAATGAAATTTATCGGCTTTGTGAGAATATGAGATGAATTCAAATAGAAAGATTAATAATCATGTCTATTATCGATTTCAACAAAAATAAACAAATGAAATCCACTTTTTTGAGAGTTTATCTGTCAGAATCATAAAATCATTATTCAAATTATGTTGATCCAATAAACAAGGTGAAATAAAACTCATCTATCGATTTAACATTTTAAAAAACCAAGAATTTGTTTCAATTTTGATCAAAATTTTTTCCAAATTCACAAAAATAAAGTAAATTCCAACATTTTTTTTATTCGTTAATATGGAAACCCCATTTTTTTTGAAAATTAAATCGATACTAACATGTTTGAAACATGATGGACACACTAATTGTTAAAGTTCATCATGAAATTTGATTTATCAATAAGATGGAATGCATATATTCCAATTTTATCTTATGCATTAACCATACAGCAGATATGCCTAATGATATATGTTACATGTTTAATCAAGAACATACTTTGCATTCATTTTCAATCCGAACAAAAACAATCTTTCGCATGAAACTTTCTCCGGGCTAATAAATCATATCATCTCAGCATAATATGATGTTTTATTTGCTTCTTATTTTCTGAAATTTTGACACTTACAAATTCAAGACTTTCAAGTTTTCACTCAAGGATTTAACGATGATGGCGTTGAAACTCCAACATCAGCAGCAATAAAGCAAATGGATTCTGAAATTCAGAAAGTTTTAGCTGAATCAACTCAGTTCCTAAAAGAAAAATTCAGAACTTACGTAATGTCAAGGATGTATTCTTCTATTATCACCATGCGTGATGAGAGTTTTGAACCATGGCAGCCATTCTATGCTCTTTTACCAATTATTATAGCAAATCAAGAAAATCAGATAGATTTAGAAAAATTTATTAAAAATACAATTAAATTGTTGAAAAATCGCGAAAGTGTTTACTGTGGATGGGGTCCATCTAACTATGAAGGCCCCGAGATGGTTCCTTTATACGGAAATTTAATTTTATTAGGATTACTCGGTACAGAAGAAGCATACGAACTTGCCGATCGAAAGAAATTCTATCAGTACATCATGTCATGCAAAAATCCAGATGGTTCATTTTCAAGTTCACCAGGTTCTTCTACTGATCTTAGAACTACATTTTCGGCATTATTTGTCGCATGGATTCTTAATATTATTACACCAGAATTATCCGCAGGCCTTGTTGACCTTGTAAAAAGTTGTCAAACGTATGAAGGCGGATTTTCACCAATGCCAAACGCAGAAACACACGGAGGTTATACATACTGTGCTGTAGGAATCCTATACATCCTCAACAAGCTAAATGAAATCAATATTAATAAAGTTATAAGATTTATTGCTGATCGTCAAGATTCTTTCTCTGGCGGCTTTAATGGTCGTACAGGAAAACTTGTTGACTCGTGCTACTGTTGGTGGGTGGGATCACCTGCTCGAACTCTTGCGAATTATTTAGATATCGGACCATTTTGGGACGATAAAGCAATTTCTCAATTTTTATTACGCATAGTTCAAGGTAAATACGGAGGATTTTGCGACCATCCTCCTGATTTTGCTGATAGTTTCCATACACTTTTTGGATCCGCTGGTTTAGCTGTTGTTGGTAATTTAGAACCCGATTGTTTAAGTGGGGTTCCTACGACAGAAACTATTTCCTCAATTCCTATTGAAAAATTCGAAAAAATCAAGAAGTACTTTGAATCTAAACCTTTTACTCCTTAAACAGTTTAAAATGATATAAATGTTTATTATTTTTTTTGATAATACTACTTGCATCCTATCTTATTCTGCAATCATAATCGTATTGAACGTTTTCGGAATCGGACCAATCACTTTAGATCAATGTTCGGGATTATAGATAGCGAAAATATCATCAATTATGCATGAGTATATTATACGCAAAATAACAATGATTGGAATCGTTCGCTCATTTTTTAACCATTCAAGAAGAATAAGATTTTATTAATACTGTTCAAAATCCATGCAAATTCGTTGAAGGGTAACATTATTTATGAATAGAATCAGGAAGAGAGTGGTTCGTTAGAAATCATACAGAAAATAAAATTGAAATCTGACAATAAACAATACTTTTTAGATATCCATATATCTATCAAAAGAACAAATTTTTGAGGGAAGAAAAAATGAAAAGTTTCGTGAAGTTTATTTTTATAATCAAAAGTTGCAATTGTAATAAACAGAAATTCATCAAAAGTGACAGCTCTCAATTTTTTGACATTTGTAAATTCTAAATTGAATGAGAAAAATGAAATAATACTAAGCATAATACAATATTCTAGATTTAATTATAATTAGGAAAAAGTTAGTTTTGAGAGTACTTTTCATAGGCATATAGAATGAAATCTTCTGAAAAATAATATCACATAAACTCATATTATTTTCTAATATATAACTATTTTATATAAAAATCAAATTCAATGATCTTAAAAGCGAAGGATAAACCTCAAAATTTACGAATATAATGAGTGGGAATATAATGCTTATCTATCATAAAACCATATGAAATATCAATTTTATTTTTCATATTCAAATGGACTGAGTGTTAACATTTAACATTTTTTGCTAATTGTCGTCAAAAATTAGGCGTAAAGCAAAAATTGATATTTCATATGGTTTTATGATAGATAAGCATTATATTCCCACTCATTATATTCGTAAATTTTGAGGTTTATCCTTCGCTTTTAAGATCATTGAATTTGATTTTTATATAAAATAGTTATATATTAGAAAATAATATGAGTTTATGTGATATTATTTTTCAGAAGATTTTGTGTTCTTCTTCAAAATTTTATTTTTTTATTAAAAAGAATCTTTACAAAATATACATTTACTTTAATTAATATTTAAAAACGTGCTCTATCAAAAGTTCCAAAAATTCAATATTTTAGCTTTTCTGAGGTGTCACTTTTGATGAATTTCTGTTTACAACACAATATTCTTTAAATCTATTTAATTATATCTTACGATCAATTGGACTTTCTTTAAAATTGAAATTCATTAAAACATTTTATAAGGCAACAAATAATAGGAGTAGGGGTAATTTTAGCTAAAAGTGACACGCCTGTAAAAAGTGACACACCCATGAAGGGTGTGATTACCGATCGGTAATTTCGACAGTTTAGAATTTAAATTTTTTTATGGAACTGTTGCGAGTTTCATAAAGAATTTAAGGAATATAAGCAAAGATTTGAATCAAAATCTTCGAACTAAGCCGATCGCTTCGCTCGCGGCTTTCTTTATTATTTTAAATTTGCATATTTCCATCAAAAGTTCATAAGGTAAAAAATTTCGTTTATTTTTACTAAGAAAAAAAAAGGTTTTTGATAATAAATTTATTTTATTTCGAAAAAGTAGCAATAATCGTAAAAGGGTATTGATAGGCTTGCTAAAGTAACTAATTTTAGCTGTCAAATACTTTTGTATTTTGAAGTAAATTAGTATAAATTTGTTTTTACTTTTATTTCGAAAAAGTAACAATAATCGTAAAAGGGTATTGATAGGCTTGCTAAAGTAACTAATTTTAGCTGTCAAATACTTTTGTATTTTGAAGTAAATTAGTATAAATTTGTTTTTACTTTTATTTCGAAAAAGTAACAATAATCGTAAAAGGGTATTGATAGGCTTGCTAAAGTAACTAATTTTAGCTGTCAAATACTTTTGTATTTTGAAGTAAATTAGTATAAATTTGATATTATTTTAACTCCCTTTGAAAACCTCAATTTTCCATACAAAGGGAACGGGAATAGCATCCAATATTCCCTGAGAATGGTTGCGCATTCTCAGTTCCCTCTATATTTCGAACGAAGCTCTCATCGGTCTTTTTTTTTAATACTAAACGTTTTTTTTCCCTGTCACTTTTAGCTAAAATTTGGGTTTGCCCAAATAATAGTAAATGAAAATACCGAACTTTTATGTTTGAAACCGAATCACATTGAAATAAATTGTTAAAAACTGGGGTAGAAGAAAATTTGAAATTATATATCATAGCATAGAAAAATAAAATTGCAGAAAACAATCGAAGGAGAAATTGTGTGATCTGGCGAACGGTTTAATTGAATATTTTGAATTCGCGTTCAATAATTTGAGTGTCAAATGTTAAACCGATGAAAGGTTTCCAACCAAACAACACCCAAATTAATTCGGGGAAAAGTTTCGTTACCCCACAGATCAATGGGATATCCATGCAATGTCTTTCGAAGAAGATTACGGGACAACGCCATAAATTCACCAGAGCAGAAGATGAATTACTCAAGTCGCTTGTTCAAGTCTATGGAGAGACCAAATGGGCCTTAATTTCGGAGAAAATGCAAACAAGAAGTCCTAGACAGTGCCGTGAGCGCTATAAAAACTACCTCTCTCCCAAGATCCAAAATTCTCCATGGACTCCTGAAGAAGAGAATCTCCTGATTCAAAAATATCAGCAATTAGGTCCGAAATGGTCCATAATTTCTGTTTTCTTTGCTCCACGTTCAGATGTAAATGTGAAAAATCATTGGGCTGTGATGATGAACCGAAATCAGAGAGAAAAGAATTTAGCTCAGAACACAGAAATGAGTAGTCAGTATTCTTCCCCGACATGCAACTCTCCTGATCCAGAACCGGTCCGAAGGAAGCCAATTCCTTTACCAATGATCAATTCTATTAGAAAAGAACTCGATGATCCATTCTTTGATGCCGATTATCACATTCTTGATGATGATTGCGATCTTGAATTTCAATTTAATTATAATTTATAACTTACAGGTCTTTAACTTGTTTGAAACTATTACGTTGTTGATAAGTAAAACTATTGTTTAATTAATTCTCTCAACTTACAATCGATTATTTTATGCCAACTATTGTTATCACAATATTTCAAAATTTCAAACATAATCTAAACACATTATCGTAAGACCTAATATTATCATCACCGTATTGCTATTTATCCATGCAAATAAATTCGATTTTTTGAGTCATACAGTGATATTAACGATTACATAGAATGAACACAACTGAGACATCCTTTCAAAAAATATTAACAGTACTATAGTATTTATTTGTACAAATGAGAAATCAGAAACAATCAACAAATCAGAATACTGTTGCTAATTATTAGAAACATAGAAATCCTCATATAGTGATAAATACGATCACAAGAAACAATACAAGAACAAATTACAAATTATTTTTCTAATTGTTCTGAAAAACAATAACAAGTCAATAACAAATCTATATAACATGGCTTAGTGATTACAAATAGAATAAATTTTCAATGTAACTCATTGAGCTGATTCCATTCGTTGAAGATTTCTTTGTTTTGAGTAGGATGAAAGTCTTTCATTAAGTTCCCTAAAAATCATCTCGTCGCTGACACCAAATTCTTCAAGAGCTTGCGAATAAAGAACAAATGCATGCGTGAGCCTATTTATCTGGAATTTTTCAAATCTTTCGACCTGATCAATCAAGTAAAGAGTTTCTTCTTTAAGTTGTTCTTTAAATTTAATTAATTCTTCTTTTAATTTGGGGCCATCAAGTGTAGCCTTCTTATTTTCATAGTCGTTTCGTAGTTTTGAATGTTTTTTGTACTTTTCGTCATTAATTTTAGTTAAATTATCAATAACACGTTGTCGTTCATAAATATCACGAATATCTTCAGCGCATCTAACCATTTTTGTTTGATAAACTTTGATAGCATCAATAGATCTGTCATAAACGTTCGTAATTGATTCTGCATTTGGTAGTTCATCTGGAATACGAATGTCAACTAAGTCTAAAAATTTGATTGATAATGAGTTCATCATCATTGTCTTATTATCTAATGCATTACATGCTTGCATCATACTTTTATACACTTTTTGAAGAGGATGTTTGTATAATAAGGATGGCTGCATTTAAAAAAAGTGTTTAAAATTAAATAGATACATTGAAAACAGCATTCATATGTGTTAGTTAATGGAAAAACATGATTTATTTAAAACAAATGTCTGTCAAAATTTCAAAAAATTTCAATTTTTTTTATTTCAATAAACATATATAAAATATAGCGTCACATATAAGTGTCTGAACAATAGTGATAAGATCAAGGCTTGGGGATATCCAAATAATTGGTTGGAATCTCAAATAATCGATGGCTTGGCTTATGAGTAATGACTGTTGTATTATCATTAACACAATGTACAATACAGTCATCGCCAGTCTTTAAAAGTATAGCATCCTGGTAATCATTGAGTAATTTCACAACTTTATCATAGAAACCAGTATCATATAGCCTATCGTAATCAGTATAGTCAGAAACACTAAATTCGAACATATGTGGAGTGAAAAATACCTTTGGCAATTCAACTTCTTCTAAATTAGAAATAAAAGTTGAAAGATAGTCCTTATCGAGGTTGTCTTGAAACTCTTCAATTACTAACTGCATTTCATTAGCCATGGTAGTTAACTGTACTGGAATTGTTTCAATTTGTTTGAATAATTTCAAAATATACTGTTGGATTTGGGTTTCTTTTTCAATATGTACCTGTTCCCATTTAGATAGAAGATACTCCATTTCTATGTTGTAGCGTTGTGTTTCTTCGTTCAAAGTTATCGTAATTTCTGATAAAGAATGTTGAAGTTTTGCGAATTCTTCCTTAAGATTGGAATACTGTTCTTTGAGTTCTGGTGTTGAGTTATCTCCCATTCTTGAATGTAGCTCCTCTATTTGTTCGCATAATTTCAAATAGGATTCTTGCATTGAATTGCACGTATTTGCAACTGACACATATAAGAAATTGTATTGCTTATATGTGTCTTCGATTTCTTTTCCGTCTGCTTCGAATTTATTTTTAATTGAGGAATAATATTCGACATAATTGTTTTGTATTTTGGAGAGCATCTCCAATATCAATCTATTATCCGAAAGCGATTGTAGAATTAATTCAATTAGTTTTTTCAGAGGATTTTTGAATTTTTGTTTATTTTCGTCTTCGTTCTTCTTAAAGATGTTGAACTTCTTTGATTTATTTAAGTTTGGTATATTCTGGAGAAGTTTGGTAACAGAGTCTTGAACACCAGCAAAATGAGAGCAGATATCTGAAATTGCTTTGATAACATCATTCATAATGTCAATGGAGACTTTTATTGAGCCGTTGATGACATCGATATTAGAGCCGTAATCTAAATATTCAGTCATAGTCAGAATCCATACAAAAATGAATTTGACAAATTCGCAAAAAATTGAAAACTAAAAAATTTTAATGGTTGATATTAGTGATGCATTTCAAGATGGCTTTCATTAAAAACATTTCCGCAAAACGTTTGAAATATTCATAATAATTGAATGGAGACGGAAAAATTATTAATCAATCAGTCTTTTTGACATTTGCAACCACATTCCAGAATTTATCATAGTTAGATTGAGATGGATTTGTTATTTTATATTTATCACACCAATTGGAAAATCATCTGAAATTGGATGTCGTTTCATTTATTTCTCTCTATATTCAGAGTTGAAGCACAGAAATTCATGACAAATGGGATGATTTATTATTTATTTTGGAACTGACAATATGTAATCAAGCAAATACAAACATGATCCTGATCAATTGCTTATTTTGCACTATAATGAGTTGGTATTCTAAAATAAAAGGAGGAGGAAGCTGTGAAGACACCTCTCGCTTTCTCTTTCACATAAAAAAATTATGAAATTTCATATAAAAAGGTGTTTCCCCCTAAAATTTGATTTTTCGATTTTGGAAGGAGTAAAACAGAGGGTTTCGGAATCTGGCATTACAGATATTAAGTATCATACTAATGGATATTTACTAGCTATCACTACAGGTGATAATGGATTAATTATTTATAAAATTTCAACAAATGAATTTTTAAACCAAACAAAACTTCCATCACGAATCAATGAAACAGCATGGATCAATGCAGTAGACTTCAAAACAATCAGCGCATGTCAAGATGGCTCCATATATATTACAGAAGTTGTACATCTAACAAATGAAATACAATTTACACATCCATATAGTTCTCCAGCAATATGCATAGCAAGTTCAAACAGAGTACACTTCATTGCCGGCTTTCAAGATGGATCTATCACTATAAGAATGAATTCAAGAACAAAAATTCACACAATCAATCCATGTTCATACGCAATTACCGCAATTTCCATCACACCTACAGAAAACATCTTCGCTGCTGCAGGAGTTGACGGCGTTGTTCGTATTTTTACTCTTTTCGAAGTTGATGGCGTAAATCCTTCAAAATTCACATGTTTGAACACGTGTTTCGTCAGTCCATCTCCAATTACAGATTTATTCTTCGTTTCTGCTACAAACGACTTAGTTGTTTCAAGTTTAGACAATACAATCAGAGTTTTTAAATATCCATCATTCGAAGGACGAATAGTTTCAGAGTCATTCAAAACCGGAGGCCTCCCAACCAAAATTGACTTCTTTAGAGGCGCAGGAACAGCTTATTCTTCTCAATTCGTTTTACATCAAGCGGAAGGAGGCGTTGTAATGTTATATGATATATTAGCTGCTAATTCTGTAAGTAATTTCGGTATTTTCGAGAAATCTGGAATTGCAATTTGTTGTCATCCACAAATTCCTCAATTTGCAGCTGGTGGAGGTCCAAATGATGGTAACTTAATCATAGTAACAATACAGCCGCAGTCATTGACCGAAAGAATAACTGCTGGAGCCATAATGTTACAAAGAATTACCGGATTACCTTCAATTAAACAAATTACACGGCCATTACCAACACAAACCAATACACAGAAGACAATAGAGCTCATGTATCCTATTTACAGTGAAGATTTCCCAGAAGAATATATTCCTCCATCTATTTCGGAACAAATTGCCACAGCTACGATTCCACGAGCTGTGCAAGTTACTCCTCAGCCCATTCATACAGAGCAGAGACCTCCAAAACCTACACAAAACGTTCAGCCACCAAAACCAATTCAATTACCACATTTATCAGCCGAAAACATCGAAAACATACAACTATCACCACAACCATTTGTTACTCCTGCTATTTCTGTCACAACTTCATCACAACAGCCGAAGAGGAGAGGAAGACCACCTAAAACAAACAAAGTTGCCAAAGTCAGTGCAAATGTACAAACTATTTCCACAATTTCAACAATTGCAGTTCAAATCCCTCACATCCACACTGATTCACAGTTCCAACAGATACAAGTTCCTGATTCTCTCCAAGAAGTTTCTTCTGTAAAAGAAACACAAGAAGAAACTAACACAATTAAACAACAAATAACCAATGAAAATAAAGAAGAAACAAATGAAGAAAATAATGAAAAAGAAGAGGAAAATGAAGAAAAAGATGAAGAAGAAAATGAATCAAAAGAAGAGGAAGAAACCAAAGAAGAAAACGAAGAAAGTAATAAGGATGAAAATAATAAAAATGAAGATAATGATGAAGGAAAAGGTGAAGAAGAAGAAACTAAAGAAGGAAACGAAGAAAAAGACGATGAAGAGAAAGAAGCAGAAGATGATAAAAATGATGAATCTAAAGAAGAAGGAAACGAAGAAACTAATGATAGTAAAGATGAATCTAATGATGATGAATCAGAAAAAGAAAGTAAAGAAGATTCGGATAGTTCTGATAAAGAAAAATCTGATTCATCAAGTAATTCAAGTTCTTCTGATTCTTCTGAAGATGATGAAAAGAAATCAGATTCATCAAGTCAAGAAAAGAAATCGAATTCTTCTGATAATGAAGAAAAGAGTTCAGACTCTTCTGATGAAAAGAAATCTGAGTCAGATGATGAAGATAAAAAATCAGATTCATCAGAAGACAAAAAATCATCAGATTCATCAAGTGAAGAGAAGAAATCAGACTCTTCAGAAGATGATGAAAAGAAATCAGATTCAGATTCAAAGAGTTCGAGTAATTCTTCATCAAATAGTCCTTCTAATTCAAGCAATTCTTCTAAAGAAAATAGCTCTGAATCAGAAGATGATGAAAAAGAGAAAGAAAGAGAGGAAAGCAAACCTAAGAGAGGAAGAGGACGTGGTGCTGCTCGTGGACGTGGAAGAGGTAGAAAAAAATAATTTAAAATGAAATTATTGTTTTTTTTTTTGTTATTAATAAATAATAATTGCTATATGATACTTATGTTAATCATTTAACCAACACACAGTTTTGTTTAAGCTAGAAAAGACAAAAAGTATTAGTTGCAAAAATATTTATGTTAGTTCATTTGTTTAAACAAGCGTAACATCGTTCGGATTCCAATACAGACTCTCATTTTTATCACTTCGAGGTAAATTTCTCTTGATAGAATGGATATTTTTATGAATAGGCAAGACCATACCATACTAATATCATTATCTATCTATATTTGTCGTTTCTGATATCAGAGAGAAGAGGCCTTTGCGCCAATAGATGAAGAAAAATTAATAAGTCATAAAAAATACATTTTTAGAAATGGCTTTTGATTCTTAATCGATTGATACCAAATTTCCATATAATCACTAGAAACATATCATCTAGCGGTGCTTCAGGCCGATAGATGAAAGAAAAATAATTATAAAAAATTAATCTATGAATTAAATCTCTAAGAATTTCTTTTTCTCTTCTTTTGTAAACTGTTCTGCTTTTTCTTCGACCTTTTTCGTTCTGAAATAAAGATATACTCCGCCAACTATTATTATTACAAAAATCCAGACTTGCCAGACAATCTGGAATGTTTCTGGTGCATAGTTTTCTATAAATTGAATGTATAAAGCTTCTTCTGTCCAAGAAATATTATCAAATGAAATCGAAACGCGTTGAATTGGTGTTTCCGATGGAATTACTTTGCATTTAAATTCACGCCTAGAAACTTTTTCTGCCTTTGAAATTAATGTTCCTATTCTGCAGTAACCTGCAATTGCAGTGAAATTCGATGAAATTTCATATTCAGCTGTAATTATTGTAGGATTTATCTTTGAAACCTTTGACGGACTTACACTGAGAAGTTTTGGTATTGGAAGATCACAATGTGATTTTCCATCTCCAATTAAACCATCTACGCATTCACATTTTCCTGGAAAAATGCATTTAGCGTTATCATGGCATTGATCGTTGCAAACATAGCATCCTTGCTGTGAATAAGGATCTCCGAAAGGAAAATTTTTCAAACAAGTGCATGTACCATTAACATCTTTATATGTATTGGGTCCTTTGCATTCATCATATTCGCTTTTCTTGAATTGATTCTCAGAAAAGAATAACAAAAACATCAAATTAAATCAATTCTGAAGATTTATAAAGGGGTTCCCCCTGAAATTTTTGTACAAAAACGGAACGATTTTTATTCACTAAGAGTATAAAATAATTCACAGTTTGCCATTGTTAAGCAAAATTTAATGTGAGGTTGTCTGAAAAACATTAAATCTGAAGATTTTTGATCACAAACATTCTCAAAAAGCCAAAAGGAAGATGAATTCTCCCCAAAATTCACATAGTTATAGTTAAATGCTGATGAAAAAGAGAAAAATTAAACTATTTCCAATCAATTATTATCTTTCCTTATGAGTTAAAGGCAACTGCTTAGTATTACCTTTCATGTTTAAAAGTATCTTTATTGAGCGTTTGTTTTCTTTATAATTTTTAATTTTCTATGATTCAACCCAATATCCCATTACCTAACACTTCTGCAATTTTTGCTCCTTTAACACAAGAGGAGTTAAAACTCAGAAAGCAATTAGAAGAAATGGATATTGAAGAAAGACAAAACGCAATTTTATCAAGGCTGATAATTTTAAGACAAATTGCATCAACAATTACAGATCCTAAACCAGCAGGAGAACCTTTAATACATTATTTAGCTGAACAACGAAATTCTTTGACAGAAAGAGAAATTGAATTTCCCAACAAAGCAAAATCATATGTTGCAAATGTAGTACTTGGCTTAAAAGAATTATTTTTCAATCAATACTCAGCACTTAAAATTTTATTAGCAATTCATGCTTCTGGCGGTGATATTGTTGAGGCAATACAGAAACTTATCAAAGGAGATATCAAAGCAGATCCAAACCTTCTTCTTACAACAAAATTACATATTTCAAATGATGCACTTGACCAATATTTAAATATCATTCATAAAGGCAAATAAGATGCTAAATACAAGATGAGATATTATTTAAAAGCATAGTATGTACGTTAAATCGAGAAAATACTTCTTAATAATCATAATTTTCTTAATTTTTTAAAACTCCTTCTTGTTTCATAATTAGAGTAGAAGAATTAATATTAATACAGAAACTACATAGTTTTTATACAATTTCCCAAAGAATATATGCATAATTTATGTATTTTATATATTTTTTATCGAATTGTTTGAAATTTAACATTATAATTGCTAACATATTATTAAATAAATGTTTTTTATTAATAATCGCATCTAATCGTTCTTTTTTTGGGTTAATTTTTACTCCATTGTTAATGAAAGTTGAACAAAACAAAATAAAATTAAAATTTTTATCATTAACAAACCATCTTAATGCTGTTTCTCCAATAATCTAAGAAAGACTATCAAGGAATTTTAACTCTCAACAATATATTTTCCGTTTTAATTCATAAATTGAGAAAGTTTCTGAGTTTAAACGGAAAATAAAATAAATAGATCAGATAAATATCAACAAATCGCCAATTTTATTGGATCTTTGTACAACCAAATGCATCAGAATAACACATTTAGGGATATAAAACTTATCTAGGCCATCATCTTTGAATCCATCGTTAAATTCTCATAAATTTAGGTTCTCAGAATGGGTATTATTCAATTTTAATCTATAGTTTATTGGAATCATTATACAATTCTTAGTAAAATAATAGAATAAAATCAAGCTTTTAAGGGACGATTAAGTATTCAAAATTGAATTGTATTCAAACCAACATTTGATAATTTTTTTAAAATTTATGAATACGAAGCATTACTTACACACTCGATCGAAAAGCGCAAAATAAAGAGTAAAATTCAATTAGATTCTGAAGATATCAATTGAAATGAATAAAAACACGAGAAAAAATTTCCTCGTTATTTTGAATGTTTGCATTATTAGCAATCTCAACATTAGCATACAATGAAGAAGACTTCAATGCTACTATATTAGTTGGTGAAACAGAATTAAAAGTTACAAAATACACATCCAAATACTTAGTAAATTCAGGTTTATTTGTTGTATTCATGCCACATCCAACAGATAAACTAACAGGATATGATTGCAATCAAAAATACAATGTTACTTTATTTAACAACACATATGCAGTCTTATTCAATGAAGATGGATACTTTACAATTGAATCAGAGACAGATGTAACCATCAAAATCCTCGCATATCAACAGTTTGGCTACCCAAGTTGCGACAAGAATGTAATTTTAATTGGAAATCAGGATCAGACATTCGGATGCCAATCATCTTCAAAGATCAACCTTAAGGAAGATTCGACAGTATGCGTTTATGTAGCATTCCAATTAAACACCGGATCAGCAAAGATCACAAATTCTGGCAACTTCAAATACACTGTTTATGATACAAGTGCATTTAAGATCAAGACAAATCTTGTAACACAGCCATTTATGATCAAAATATCTAATGAAAATAAGGCTTCCACAACAGATTTCTTAAATCTTTCTGTTTCAGTCTCAGGAGAAAATCAAATAAATGCCTTGACATTAGAGAATAATGCTAACACAACATATGCCATTGTTGGAGGAGCAAAAGAAGATGAGCCTATTAAACCAGTTATAATAGTTGTCATTGTTATTGCAGTTCTCGCGTTTGTTGTAATCGTAGCTGTTGTTGTAGCTTTAGTCATTAAATGCAAGAAAGGACCTGATGCATCGACAACATCCAAGTCACCCGAGCAATTAGAAGTCGGAATGGTCGATAATAGAAAGGAAGATGAAGGTTATAATCCAATGAAAGCTACAAGCCCATTGGCAGATGCACACAATCATGTACCTGCAAAAATATAATTGTTTTGATAATAAATATATATTATTTTGATAGATCTATTTAAATGATATTCATTTTTTGACAAAATCATAATCGTTAAATCTCTAATCATATCAAACATTCAAAACAGTATAATAGTCATTCAGGAAGATGGAGCGTTCGTCAACAACAAATCAACAGTCTGACGGTTTCTTGTGTGTCAACTAAAGTTTACGAGTAAATCATAAACGAGTCATATTGTTGCATGCTAAGTTCGGTCAACGATAGAAATTGAGTGTAAATTAATCATCGAGGAAGTACGATTATGTAAAGTAAAAAAATGTTGTGGGATTTTTAATATTATATATTATTTTATAATAAAATTTTTTGAGTCATTTTAAGAAGCACATATAATTTTTTGAATTTAAAAATTAAAGTAGTGTCAAACGAATTTATCACTTAATTTAATACTCAGATTTCTTAAAATTAATGAAAAAAGGTTTTCTGAGAACTTTTGAGAATGGTTTTCAAATTCCATTATTGAAAATATATAGGTATTGTATGAAATTCAAACTCTATATTTATTAAAATTCTAAATTTTTAATAAAATAACTTTTCAGAGGAATATGATTTTGAATGGTTGATTAATAAGTATAAAAATGTCTACGATTTTAAGGAGGGAATTGTTCCTTATGAGGTATACATCATAACTATATACCTCATAAGGAACAATTCCCTCTTGATAGCTGGGAAACTTTCTCTGAATAACTTATCATTTGGAGAAAGTTCCCCAGCTATCTATTAGGAACTAAAGGCTATGAGGCACTAATATATAATCAGTGCCTCATAGCCTTTAGTTTCCTATTAAAAACGAGAAAACTTGTTCGAAATGATAAACAATTTCGAACAAGTTTTCTCATTTTAAGGAGGGAATTGTTCCTTATGAGGTATACATCATAACTATATACCTCATAAGGAACAATTCCCTCTTGATATCCTGGATATTTTTGAATATATTTTTTTAATTAAAGTTCTCAAAAGTATTATCAAAAGTGATTTTTTAAAAATATCTCCAATTAATTAACTAATTAAAAGTATTATATTTTTAAAATTAAATGGTTTTTCAATTTTTTTGAAGGAATTAAGATACTTCCCACGACAATAAAATTGAGAGGTTTACATTATGACTGATCTTAGCATGCAACAATATTAGTTTATTCTTTTAATGACATGCATTTTAAATTAAGCGAAATCCAACCATTTTCCGATGAAAGCTTCAATGATTCCTCAAAAACGAATAAAAGTGAGATTTATACCATTTTCATTTATGTGAAATTTTATTTGAACTTATGTATAATTTTGTTTTTATGACAATAGAATAAACTATTCAAAATAACAAAATGTCAGATTATAGGATATTGAATTGAAATACTATGGTATTTGAAAACATATATTCTGCATAATGTATATAGTTATTTATTTACAAATGGTTCTAAATTTTTCGAACTGTTGATTCGAAATTGTTTCTAATTGAACTAGATTACAGCCCAATGAGAACGAACGATTTATATTTATCTTATTCAATAAATTAAATAAATTAATTCTGCGGTCTTTTTGGAGATTTGATTTAAAAAAGACAGATTTTGATCAATTTACTTTTAACATACCAGAACAAAATTAATTGAATTTATTCTTATCGTAATGCGAAATTTCAAAAAAATAGTTCATGTCTGAAGAATATCTACTTGATATCCAATATATGGACTTCGATCCAGAATTCGAGAACAAAATTCTTCAGCGAGCCAAAGAGCAACTTGAGTTTACTGAGACTCTTCAGAAAGCGAGTTTGTTAATGAACCAAATCGGCGAAAATTGCTCAACTATGAACATGCACTTAGGACAGATGAAAGACATATTATCCAAATTCGATAAAGATAATACAATATGCCACCAAATAGAAAAATTTGGCCAGATGATAAAAACTATTGGCACCCAATTCTTATCTCAAGCAAAATTTTCTGTCCAAGCACTTCCGACAGTTATCTTTCCTGCTATCCAAAAGCTTACAGCTGATTTAGGTGAAGCAACAACAAATTATGAGACCGCCCTCGATAATTTCTCTACATTAGAAGTGAAATCCAGTAGAGAAGAATGTCTCCAGTCCGAAAATATATTTGTTAAGTCCGCAATTCGAAAATCCGGAATTTTATTTTCTTTGAATCACCAAGTAGAAATAGCTGAACAAACTGTTACATCATCGATCAAGCTTTCTATGACGCAATTTCTCGTCCTTGCTGGAGAAATGATGGGCGATTATTTGAAAATCAACAGTCCTGCTCTATCTGCTATGAAAACTAACTGCGATTCCCTCAAAACATCGATCAAGGCATGGCTTGGCAGAGATCTCAACCAAAATCCGTCCGACAACTACGCTACAAGGGCTTCAACAAATTATTGGGATATGAGATTTATCCCTAACGCCCGTATCATCAATAGCCTAACGTATCCGAACCAAACGGTCTGGTTGAAAGAGGCCCATCCGATCAGATCATCATCCTGGATCAAAGGAAAACTAATTTTTGAAGATTCTTTACTTAAATTCGAAAGACGCAATGCAGAAACCGACCACGAGACAAAAACATGGCCACTACCACTCGTTACTGTTACAAAGGTTGAGAAAGGAAGGAGATTTGCTCTGAAAATCAGATCTCCTCAAGAAACCATCGAATTCCAAACATTATCGAAGCTCGACCAAGAAGAATGGATGCATATATTCAATAACCACAACCTTTCAGTACTTGGAGAGAACGATGGCCAGAGAAAAGGCCTAATTTGTGCTGATTGCGGCGCAACAGACGCAACATGGGTTTCTCTTAACTGGGCAGCTCCTCTTTGTTTGAGATGTTCAGGGTTCCATCGTCAGATGTCATCAACTAATTCAAAAGTCAGATCTTTCACTCTCGACAAAATTAATCCAATAGCATTACATATGATCGACGAATTGCAAGGCGAATGCAATAAATTATTACTAGACAAGCATCCTGACATATCAATCAATGCAAATTCCGACGAAAAAGATCGCGAAGATTATATTAACCGAAAATACATAAATAACGAATGGTCCATAACCGGAATCGTTCCAGATCCATTCGAAGCCATCAAGAAACGCGATCTGAAGATGCTTTTCTACTCAGTTCATTTCGGACGAATAAATGAAACGAAAGACTCCATTACACCCTTCCATGCCGTATGTTCTCTTGGATGGGAGGACGCTGTAGCCCTTTTGGCCTTCTGCGTCAACGATTTGAACGTAAAAGACAAAGATGGCTGGACTCCTTTATGTTATGCCGTTTTCTACCAGCACGTAAACATCATAGACTTCCTACTTTCAGTAGGGGCAAGAGCCAGGAACCTGGATATCAACCTTTACCAGTTAGCAATTGCGACAAAGAATAAGAAAGTCGCAAAATCAATTATGATGCAGGCCGATCAACTTAGAAACAACGAAACAGAGTTTAAACCCTGTAATTACTTGTTCGCTCCACCTGGAACTCCAGAAAATTACATGATCGCCCTCAAATCTCGTGTATAATCTTTTATACGGAATTACATGAGATATATATTTATTTCACCCCATAATTAAATTATTTACTTATTTAGATGTAAAAAAAGAGTATATTTTTCTATAATTTTGATTATAATCGATTTTTTTTTAAATTGCTTTGATCACATAGAGTAGACAATATTAAAAAACACATTTATAACAAGCACTTAATATAGATAACGATATTATTGAAATTATTTTCCTCCCTTTCAATATAATTAAAAGAACTTTGGACGATTGCAAAAAGTCCATTAGCATATAATATAATGCTTATATTTAGTAACTTATTACTTTGTGGTATAGCTTCCATTAGCAAATTACGCTTTTAAGATAATCATCTGGATGAAAATATTATTGATTTAGACATTCATGTTGTTATTGTGTTATTTCATATCTACAAACTTAATCAAAATACATAAACTCATTTTTCTATGTAAAGTCACCCAATCGTTATTCTGCCTCAATCTTGAGTGAACATCTATCAAAAATATGAATAAGAGACTTTACGAAGGAAAAGGAGTTTAAATGAAATCCGAAATCTTTGTGATCAGTGTTTTTCCACAGATATAATGTAGCATTTATTTTTCCAAATGAATTTTAAAGATGTTTTAAATGATAAAATTGAAATGTACTTATATAAAATTAGCAGTTTTCTTGCACTTTTTGGATTTCAATTTTGAATTGTAATTCAAATGTTGTGCAAGAAAACTGCATTCTCTTGCCTTCAATAATACAATTTTCAATTTTTAAATGAAAATTGTATATTGAATGCAACAGAATTATTAATGTCTGATCAAGACACTCACCCAAATAAGTACAGTGAATTGCGAAGTATGTGTAAAGACTACATCGATTCATATAATGCATTGTATCAGCTGAAAACTGAAAATGAAGAAGAAATAAACAAGATTTACAAAAAGATCAAAACAGAATTGATTGATCCAAAGAAATGTCTTCCTCATACTATTATAAAAGACATTTTATGTATCATTCCGTTTAATAATCGCTATACAAAGGCTTATTTATCTCTCGCCAAACTCATATATGATGATTATCAAATAAAAAAGGAAATCGATGTTCCATTAACTATTGCATACCTATTTTACAAAGAATATGGAATTAAATTAACCAAACCGAACAATTTGGAAACATTTAATTTTGAGAGCCTCAATATCCATTTAGAAGATACAATTTACCGAGCAATTATGTATAATGACTTAGAAAGATTCATCTTCTTCACTGAAAGAGAAGGATTTGATAAAGATCAAAAACTTGAATGCGATTTATATCCATATACTATATGCGGATATTCATTACTTGAATTATGTTGTTACCATGGATCAGTTGATTGTTTCAAGTTATTAAGAACAAAATTCAGCTCAGAAATAACTCAAAAATGTCTAAAATTTTCATTTTTAGGAAGAAACAAAGAGATCATGAGTGAATGTTTGAAATATCAAACACCAAATGAAGAATGCATGAAATATGCAATTATTTCACACAATATTGATTTTGTTACATTCTTGATGAATGAATACAATATAGAGATCCATTTAGAATATTGTATAAATTATAATAATCTTGAATCATTTTCAGTTTATTATGATCAAACCGATGATGTTAACAAATGCTTTTTTTATTCCGCAAGGTTCAATATTCCATCATTAGTCGATTACTTCCTTTCACATGGCGCGAATATCAATGAAAAAGATGAAAAAGGATTCACTGTTCTTCATACTGCAGCAATTATAAATTGTAAAGAATTATTCGAATTTCTTATTTCACATGGTGCAAATATCAATGAAAAAGGTAATGATGGAAAACCCCCCTTCATCTTGCAGCATTGAATAATAGAAAAGAAACAGCTGAACTTCTTATTTCACATGGTGTAAATATCAATGAAAAAGAAAATGATGGAGAAACCGCTCTTCATTATACAGCACGCAGAAATAGCAAAGAAACAGCCGAACTTCTTATTTCACATGGTATAAATATCAATGAAAAAGATAATGATGGAAATACCGCTCTTCATTATGCAGAAGTAAATGATTATAAAGAAATGGCTGAACTTCTTGGATCATATAGTGCAAAGGATGGCAATGATCAAGGCAAATGCAAAATTTACTAAAAAGTGACATTATAAACTTCATTTTTTACTCGTTTAGAATTTTCAAAAAGTGCTAAATTAATGGCTCTCCATGGTGCAAATATCTAAAATTATACTAAAAGGAACAAAGTTTCCTTTATCGTCAGCATCATCTCCATTAGCAGGCTGTGATGTTTGTTCATTTGCTTGGACAGGAGGAATTTGAGGAGGAGGAAGTTGAGAACTGTGAGAAACTGATTTCTTCTTCCTCTTTGAAACTTTCTTCTTCTTGTTGTAATTAATGAACATAAATCTATGTATTACTATTTAAATACTAGGAAATCATGAAATGAAAATAAATCACATTTATAATTAGCCTGAATTGCAGATGTTTATCCAAGTTTGATGCAATTAACGTCGAATTTAACTTGCTGATCTTGACTATTCAACAAATTAGCACCATGTATGAACGAGTATTATGAACAGATATAGAATAACCATTTCCTGTAAATTTCTAATAATTTGGCGGTTTTTCTTTTTGGGAATGACTTCAAACACATTAGAATTTTCACTTGCAGATGCCAAAAAACCAACAGAAGAAACTGAAGCAAAGCCAACAGAAACAAAAGAAGGAGAAACTCCAAAGAAAAGTGTTTTAGATATGTCGTTGGATGAAATATCTCAACAAAAACGTGAAGAAAGAAACAAATTGAGAAGAGAAAAGAGAGAAAGAAATGGTAACGATGACAGAAGAGATCGTGATAGACGCAGAGAACCTCGTCATGAAAAACCTATTTATACAATGCTTGATCTTACTGATAGAGAGGCACGCGACTTCGCAGAAAATGCTGGCATTGATACTGATGGCTATAATGTTCAACTTAGACTTGTTAGAATCAGAAGACACGACAGACGTTAATAAATATATGAATTTATCTGATTACAATACCCCGAGTCGAGTTATTTCTCGATTGCCTTACTATCATTTTTTACTTCAACAATATTTTTTATAATTTATCTATAAGACAACCGTATTAAAACAATGATTTCTATATACCATAGGCACGAAATCCTGAAGTATCAATATATTACCTTATGGTAGCATCATATTTTAAGATAATTTGCTATTTCGGCAGTATAATTCCGCATAAGATTGCAAACAGCTTTTATGCGATTATGAGTTCGATTTTATCTCATCCGCAATGAAAAAACAACAAATGCTCAATTTGCTCAATTTCTGGCCTTCGAATCCTTCTCCCATAATAATGATACATGAGTTTTAGATTTAGTACATTATGGTTAGCATAATATCTTTTCTCCAAATTCCTCAAAATTTTGATAAAACAATAAAAAAATAATTCCTCAAAAAAAGGGACTGAATGGAAGAACTCTTCAGATTCTCGTTTGATGATAGTGGCGTTCGGAAAGTATTGAATGCACACTCAGAAGAATTGAAAAAGCATCAAGAAGAAATTGATGAACTGCGCAGATTGCTTAGAGATCGTCCTTCTTTTACAGATATCGACAAAATGAAAGAAGGCATTCAAAACGATTACGATAAGAAAATATCAGATTTACAAAACTACCTCAATGATCTTGAAGCATCAATGAATAAGAGATTCGAACAATTGCACGATGAAATTAATGGATTGCCAGGAAAATTGCAAGCAAACACCCCAAAGTTTGACTCTGAAGCAATTACAAAGCAACTAGGCCAGCTTGAAGAGAAACTCAAAGTTATTGAAAATAACGTTAATAAAAATTCACAAGATCTTCAGAAATCGAATAACTACCTTGAAATAATGACGTGTGCATATGCAGCAATCAATAATAGAAATGCACCTCTCGATCAAAATCTTCGTGAAAATCTTAATCAGACTACGGCTTACATAGTTAATACGTTTAAACGCCTTAACGAAAAACTAAATGACCATGATCATCTTCTCAGCCAATTACAATCTGATCTTTCAAAGAAAGCAGAAGCCCGCGATTTTGTACCTGAAGAAAACCCACAAGTTGTTAATAATGTAATTAACAATACAAACATTGATCTATCAGGAATCGGTCCACGCCCTAAGTTTAAAGCTAATTGGGAGATGAGGCCAGATTTACCCGAAATTAATAAATTCAATGACGTTGTTGAGGCTGTAGACTACATTTATAAGGTTCTTCCTCCACTTCAAGGATTTCTTTATGCATTACATGATCGTATTGACGATATTACGGAAACTATGCCAGATGTAAGCGGAATTGAAAAACTTTTACAGTCTTTGAGAAACTCTTTGTCATCAATGGATGGGGACTTAAGCCAATTAAAGAATGCATTAAAGAAAGGACTAACAAGACAAGATGTAATGGATATTATTAGCAGTATGATGCAGGATCTTTACACAACATCATCAGTTGGTGCTGTCAAATGTATTGCTTGCAGAAGAGAAGTTACACAAGTTGCTGGTGCAATTACAGAAGTTGATGCACTTAAGACGCTTGGTGCACCACCAAATGCACTTGCAATGATTGGAACTCCAAATAGAGTTGCTAATATGTATAGTAATGATAACGTGCTTGAAAATGGAATGATTGAATCACCTAGATCCACAAGATCATTCAGAAGCACAGCCCGTTCAATCAGCAGGAGAAGAGGACCACTATAAATTCTTGTAACACTACTTAAATTATTATGTTTACGTTATTTCAATTTTAATTTTTTTTTTTAAATATTTTTTTTGAGCTATTATCTTTTAATTCCAAAGGTATATAGCTTTATAAATCCATGGCATCAATTATAATAAGGACCAAAAAAATATTATGCAAAATTTAGTTTTAGAAAATAATAGCTTTTACATATATCGTAATACTTATTAAAGTGACATTTTTTGTTGCAATCAAGACGATAATAAAAAAATCTCAAACATAGAAAATTTAATAACAATATAAAAGAATAAATAATACTCTATATATCACTTTGAACTTATGGACTCCTTGATAGCAGATAGCCATAACTGAATATCATCAGAGTCACAAGTTATTTCATATTTCGCGTTTGTCAAGCCATTAACAAGAACAAGTTCATTTCCTTGGATGGAAACAGATGCGATATTTGATAATGGAATGTTCTTTTTGATTTGCGTCAGGTCTATATTGCAAATTAAAAGTTTTGGAGGTTCTAAAAGGACAAGCATTCTCTGTTTGCTTTCAAAGACGACCATACCTTCTTTGATGACAATTTCAGAGTCAGAAAAGAGCTTTTTGGTCGAATCTTTCTGTTGATTTTCTTTCATTGCTTGAACGGCAGGTTCAAATGATCTAAAACCATCCAGTTTCATACGAGGAAGCTCTTCCCAGTTAATGCCACTAAAGAATGGATGAGATTTGATTGTTTCGTAGCCTTTATCAAAATCGTTGTATCCAATCCTTTCTTCTGGGTTTAATTTAAGTAATTTTGTAATAAGATCTTTAGCATCCGCAGGAACAAAGTCTGGGATGGTATATTTGCCAGATTCTATCTTCTGGAAAGTTTCATAATTTGATGAAGTATGAAAAGGCGCGTAACCTGTAAAAAACTGGTATACGAGACATCCGAATGACCACAGATCAGTTGCAGCGGAAATCGGAGTTTCGTTGAGCGTTTCTGGAGAAACGTAGTCTGGGCTACCAACGAGGCTTCCGTGTTGGCTGTAAAAGGGTTCATCACGTTTGTACATCTTGGCAGTTCCGAAATCTGTAATTTTGACGGAATTGTTATGATCTAACAAAATATTTTCAGGTTTAATATCTCTGTGGATAATTCTGCGCTGGTGCATATGCGCAAGAGCTAAAAGTATCTGTCCGAGTATTTGTTTTGCGATTGGAATATCTAATGAAACGTATTGATTCAGAACATGTTGTAGATCGCCATTATCGGCAAGTTCTACAACGTAATATAGGTTAGAGTTGTCTTGAAATGTCAAATATAGTCGAATTATGTTTGGATGATTTAGAGCATTCATTGCATCTCTTTCTAAGATCACGTAGTTGATTTTTTTCTCTCTGGATATGCGCGACTTTGATAAAACTTTCATAGCATAGTATTTACCTGTTTCTATATCTTGTACCTTCAGAACTTCACCAAATGCGCCTCTTCCTATAACTTTTCCGATATTAAAATCATTCTTTCTTTTCTGCCGCTTCCGAGTTGGTGTTGAAGGGACAGGCTTTGGTTCTGCCTGTTCAATAGGAGAAGGTAATTGAGTTGGAGGAGATGTCATATTCTACACAAATTTTCACAATTCTCAAAATCTCGCACCGATAACATCCCTTCAAAAAAAATCCATTTATGTTACAGCTCGCTAATGACACTTGTATACTGGCCAGGTGTTTCAAATATTAACAATGAATAAGGATGTCAATTTGGAAGAAAAGTGAGAAAATTCCTAAAATGCTAAAAATGAATTTTCCAAACGTACTTTTTTATCTCATTTTTTTGATTTTGAAAAAAATTTGGAGAGAAGAACTCTTCGTTTTTGAATTTTGTCACGATGGGTTTAAAGTATATTAGACACATGTATTGATATTACTATTTTTGTATATTTTGAGAGAAAATCCCTAAAAAGTGAGAAAATCTGAGACGGTTTGAGAAAATATATAAACTATTGAAAATTTGAATTAAACTTCTAATTTGGAAAAAAGAAATTTGGAAAGAAGAAAATTCAAAAATCGAGATTTAGACTCAGTATCAAATGGAGAACAAAATGTTTCTTCATATGAAGGAAAAAAATTTTCTTGAGAAGAAATAGAGTTTTTAAAATTTTATTGTATGTAATAAAATAAACAAATATTAAAATTATTTTTTGATAACAAGAAAATTCCCAACAGAAAATATTTGAGACAAAGAAAAAAAGAAAATTGAAAAATATTACTCTCCTTTACATTTCTTGAGATTTTCAATTTATTTTTATAAAATTGACAATTTTATACGTTTAGATGAAAATAAGTGATTTTGCTTGAAATAAAAATTATTGTTTGTTTACAGCTATCAAATAGATTTTTGCTATTTTGATTAAAATTTGTTAATCAAATTAATAATTTTTTTTCTAAATATCTTAAATATTTGGATCACTCATTGATACGATGAATTAAACGATAAAAATAATACAAACTCAACTAAGTTTCCTGTCTTTCAACCAAAAAATATTATGCAATTTAAATTAAATTGTTTATTCAAATATAAAACAAAGATGAAATAATTACAGTTATCATAAACTTTATGAATAACTCTGTAATTGGTTCAGATTTTCGTAAAAATATTTTTATTAAAATCGATAAGAATATGTTTACCTACTATCATCACATATCTATAAACAAGAGTAGAGTGATTTTTATCATCGAAACTTTTTAAAAGCTGTAAGCTGGAAGGAAAAATCTTGTTTTTTCTGAGTTAGTTGTAGAACTATTGATGCACGAGTTATCATTGTGATGTAGAAGGATGTCAATGTACTGACTGAAGGATATGAAGTGAATTGAATTTCATTGAATTTCAATTTGATCAAATTTGTTGAAATTATATGAATGTGTCAACATCTGTATCACTCTCCTTCACTTCTTCCCTATTTTTTCGAGAACGAAGCTAGCTCAGCTTTCGCTGAGCGAATTGACACTTTTGATGCCCTAAACGTACATACTCTCAAATTTATCGAAAAAATAATACTACCTAAACTCGTATATTCTTATTTTAAATATGATATTATCCTTAGATTCCACACTAGAATATATTTAAATCAACTTTTAAAAAAGTTCGAATCCTGCGCGTCTCACTTTTTAAATTTTCCAAATGGAAAATTATATTCTCCTAAAACGAAAACAATTTTCCGAATTGACATCCTTACAATGAACTATAAAAATACCATTATTATGTACGATATTGACGATTACAATTTTATTTGTTGTTCTTTCAATCACTTTATAAAGTTCTACAATTGGTTTTGCATACATGCGAATCTAAATCTCCTTGTTCTGCTATGCAAAAGTAAAGATTCAAAATATGTTTAAAAAACGTTATTCGTTAACTGTAAAACTCACTGACGAATACCAAAATTCAAGTTAAAATAACATTATTCAGTTTTTCTTTGCAAATCAGAATATAACTTTTAATTTTTACTTTGAAATGCATGTGAAGATGATAGCACATTATTATTACGATAATCCTTTTGCAAATTTATCATTAATCGAACCACGTACCTACTTGGATCTGTTAACATTTTTTATTTCTAAATTTCAAATCATATGATTGTGAAATAAGTAAAAAGTGTCTTAGCTACTCAGTAATTGGAGGAAATAAAGAAATTATCAACGAATGCTTGAAATATAATAGAATGGACATTGATTATCTCAGAAGTATCATAAGAACACACATTCATGAATTGCTTGAATTCGTTTTAAATAGAGAGATATTCACACGTGATGATTTATATGGTAAGGACTGGGATTCAGCTGGAGAAGACAAATGGACATCAAATGAAAAATATAAACCCATTTATGAAGATATTATCACATATCAAAATATCAATGCCGTATTTCTTCAATTCAAATACAACACAAATTGTAATTTTCCATGGTGTGCTGTATTTCCGCAAACAATAGATATTATTAATACATTTTATAAAAAGGATAATTGTACTACTAAAACAAGATTTCAATTTACAGGTGAGTCGCAAAATTGCAATTTTAAAAATCATGATAGCCCTATACAACGTGTAAAAACATTAATGAAACAATAGAACTTCTCCTTTCACATGATGCAAAGATCAATGAAAAAGATAATTGTGGACAAACCGCTCTTTATTATGCAGCACTTTTGAATCGAAAAGTGATTGCCCAACGACTTATTCCTCACGGTGCAAATATCAATGAAAAAGATCAAATTGGAGAAACCCCTTTTCATATAGCTGCTGGAAGAAATCATGAAAATTTAATTGAATTTCTTTTATCAAATTGAGCAGACAATTCAAATTAATAGTGATTTATTTGGCTGTACTTGGAGAATATGATTATCGTGATAATAAATTGTTGAATTTCTTAGTTCTCATGGAATAGATATCAAAATTAAAAATAATAAAATTCGAACTAGTCTTCGTTATGCTGTTTGGGATAATTATAATGAGAAAAAAGATATTCCAGAACATCTAAGAATAGCAATGGGAAAACTCCTCTTGATTTGGCCAAAAGTACTCTATTTTACATGGTTACAAAAGACACAAAAGATATTGACTCTCAAAATTTATTGAAAATATCTTTTAAAAATTATTTTGTTAGTAATGGCCAAAAATACATACAAAAACAGGCCAAAATTTTTATAATACATAAATAAACAAAAAACAAAGTTCAATATCTATAATCGTTAGGCATAATAAACTCAGATTTGGTTGAAAAACCAAATGTTCCTTTCTGCATAGCATATTCATTGGAAACACTTTCCATGACATTTTTATCAAGTGGTTTTCTCAAAGTTGTATTTAATGATTTTGATAAAGGTGGAAGTGTAGATTTGCTTTGTGTAGCTGATGAAGTTCCTTTGAAATCTGCCATATTAAGCTCAACAGGGGCATTTAACTCCAAAGAATTAAATCGATTTGAAAAAGTTCTCAAATCTTGACTCATATGATCTCGCATGTTTTTGAGTTCAACACTTGGTTTAAACTGAAGAGATTTCGATGTTGCTCTTAATCCTGATTTAGGTTTCATTGAAAAATCATATGTATCATTTAAAGAAATCGGATTGACTGATACCACTGGGAAAGGAGACAAGTCTGGTATTCTGGATGGCTGAACAAGACCTTTAAATGATGGAATATTTAGTGGCTGAGTAGAAGGAAATGAAGCTGATTGATTTTGAGATTGCCGGTATTGCGGTGAGTAGTTGCTGGCTTTTGGCCGACTATAATCATATTGTTTTGGCGAATATTGTTGGAGAGGATTTTGAGGAGGCTGATAATTGTAATTTTGGGTGGGTTTTTCTTCTGGAGCATCACCAAATATAGAGGATTGCATTATTCTATTTTTATTTTGTTGCATTCTTGGGGTTGCATTCCCTCTTTTCAGGTTTTCAATCATTTTTAAAATTTTAGTACGTTATTGCCACTTTTATATTTCAAAATTATGAATGAAAAATTTTATTGATTTTATTCTATTTTACAAGCTGTAGAATGCAACACGCCGATATAAATATTTTTTACCAACAATAGAATTCTAAATGGTTTTGATTCAGCTCAATAACCAAGTTCTTCAGAGGATAAATAACTATCAACCTCTTGACAAAGTAATATTGAATATCAACAATGTTGAATTCTTGCTTACCAAGTCTTTTGCAGTTGCAATTTCACAAACATTTTATTCACAATATCTTTTAGACAACGGCATTGAAAGAATTGATATAACAACAGAAGTTAAGTCTGCAGATACATACAATGTATTAAAGGACATTCTTCAGTACAATAAAACCGAAATAGAATGTGATGAAACAATTTTGAATGATATTTTCCATATTGGAATGTCTCTTGACATGCAAGAACTCGTAGATTTATATAAAACTCACGTTATTGGTCAAATGAAAATTGATAAAAATAATTGTGTTAAATTGCTTGAATTTTATTTCGATACTAATTCAAAAGAAAAAATAACAGAATGCATTAAATTTATATCATCGCATTTCCATGTAAATTAATTTCTAAAAAACTTGGATTTGATATTCTTCAGCAGATATTTAGCGATGATGAACTTGAACTTGCAGATGAAGATTCATTAGCAAATTTCATTATATCTTTAACACAAGAAAATGAAGAATTCTATCCATTGATTGAAAATATTCATTTTGAGTTTTGCAGTGAAGAAATTATCAAATCTATCAAAGATTTCACCAATATCAACAACTACCAGAGTATTATTAATTCACTCTCTGATTCATTACTTAGATCACGAAATACTAACTCTAAGAAAAGAAAAAAGCCTCATTATGTACATTTCGTTAATTCAGTTACAAACTATTTCGAAAGCGGAAATGTTGAAATGTCTGCTTCATCTATATCTGAAGGTAATGCAATTAATATGATTAATAGTAACAGAAATGATATTTATTTTTATACCGAAGATAAACCGAATTCATGGATTCAATGGAAGATAAAAGAAAACTATGCAATTCAACCTACAGAATATTTATTAGGTAATACAACAATTGTCAATCGACCACAAACGTGGAGAGTTGAAGGAACTACTATTGATGGAGAAACTAAAATCATTCATGAAATCAATAATTCGCCAATTGGAAATGGAGAAATACGTAAATACCCGCTTTCTACAGAGGATAAATTTATTTCATTCAAAATAATTCAAACTGGAAAAAATAATTATGGTGATGATTTTCTATGTCTGAATGCTTTTGATTTTTCAGGAAAAATATATAGTAATCAATAAATAAATTCGATGTTATTTATTCTTCTAACTTTAATACATTAGTTGAAATGTAAAGAATTATTTTTTCCTTAAATTTGCAAAGAATTGCACATGCATATGAAATGAATGATAAACAATACCAAATAAATCTTTATGTATCTATAATTGATTAATAACAATAAGCAAAAGCACTCATATTGTGCAGATTTACAACCTCACATTGAGTTTTTACAAAGATATCTACTATTAATATTTATACTGCTTCTAATGGTGCACATACCACTTTCTGCCATCTTCTCATGATATCATAAGTACAACAGCCACATTATGCACTATACAACATATTATAATAACTTTTTAATGACTAAAAATATTAACTCTTCACATGAGAAATTGAAACATAAAGTTTTGATGAAAAAAAAAAGATTGCCAGAAAGTTGTAACTGCACCCTTAAGTGAGAAAGTGCTTTGTGCACACAATTGTCAAGTAATTTGTTATATTAAGATCATACAAAAATAAAATTTGGATATATTTTTTTTTTCATGATATAATGTTTTACTTAAGAATATAGATATTAGATCTCGCTTGTTTCGATACCTTTGTAACTATCAGGTTTCTCACATTTGCAACTCTTCTTCTTCGGGATAATTAAAAGAGTGCCCAAAACAACGCATCCAAAGACAGAAATGACGGAGATGATGATCAAAGCCACTTCTATCTTTGTCAACTTCCTCAATCCTGCAATTTCAGTGTAACTGTCAGGAATGACGTTGCTGCAGTCCGTTCTTATGACGTCCTTCTTAAAAGCGAACAAGTAAGGGTACTTTTGAGTGACATATATTTTCACAGCGTTAACTGACGATGTTTGGAATACATCTCCTTCGTAGCAGATGTTGTACAAGAACTGACATCTTTCAAACGCTCTTGGCTCTACATTTTTGACTGAAGAAGGAATAATTACGGTTGTAGTTCCTAATTGAAGTGGATAATCAAGTTCTTCGGCCTTGATTATGTTGGGGTTGATGGATAACTTGCCAATAACTTCAACCGATGATGGAATTGTGTATTCCTGGGGGAGTTTTCCGAATGTCAATATCAATTTCTTTGTTGGCTTGAAGATAAGTGCTTGGCCGTCAACAAAGAAGTTGTTTGTTTGAAGATTGACAATTTCAATCTTTAGTTTGTCAGAAAACTGGAAGGCATCAGATTCAATTGATCTGACAGTATCATAGAGCTTGAATAATGACAAAGATGTGTTGTAGAAGACCTTGGAGTTGATCCTAGTTACTCTAGAAGAGAAATTGCATGTCGTCAAGGCATTGCATCCGTAAAAAGCGTAACTCTCCACTTTCATGCAAGAAATAGGGATGGAAATGGACTTAATACCTGAATTAACAAATGCAGACTCTCCAATAGTCACTAATTGGTCGGAGAGTTTGACAGAAATCAGATTTTTACAGTTTTGGAAAGCGTTGTTGGGGATGCGGTCTATTTTAGAAATATCTATCTCTTTGAGCTTGGTACATCCAGAGAAACAGAATTCGCCAATCATCGAACAAGAAGTAGATAAATTGATATCTTCAAGAGAAATGCAGTTTATGAAGCAGTATCTGCCGAGGGAATAAACAGGAGACATAAACTTAACTGATTTGAGTAATTTGCAGTCAGAAAAAGCGTAATCTCCGAAAGAACTTTGCAATTTCACGGAACTTGGATTAGTTCTGATACCAGATGCTTCAAATTCGAACTTTTCAAGTGAGTGGATGCAAGAGAATGTGTTTTCTGACAATTCTATGAAGTGATTCAAAATAATTTTCTTCAATTTTGTTGAATATGCAAAAGCAAATGAGCAAATCTCAGTTATCTCATTTGGTATTGTATATTCCTCGATGTTTGATGCAGGAGGGAATGCAATAAGCCTGTCATTATCTTTGTATATCAAATTTCCGTTTGAAACATGCATATTTGGATTGTTTTCACATATGAACGTCGCCAATTTAGAGCAATTAACGAATGGTTCGAGTGAAAAATGCTCAACATTCTTACCAATTTCGACAGATTCGAGGTTTGCGCACTCAAAGAAGCATCCAACATCAAAATTGGCATCAACATTGATGGTTAATGATGAAAACGGGCAGTGAGCGAACGCCATCTTTCCGATGTATGTGATTTTGTTGAGGTTTAAGTTATCAGAAAGAGGACATCCAGCGAAAGCGTAGTAGCCAATGCATTTTACGCTATCGCCAAATAGAACTGTCTTCAAATTAGTGCAGTTCATGAAGCTGTATGGGCCAATTTCCGATGGAGAGTTTTGATAATCAAATGAAACAAACCCTAGACTGGAACATCCTGTAAATACACCCTCGGAAAGGCTTGTACAGCTAATAATGATGGATTCTAGACCGGAGCAACCTAAGAATGAGTACTCGTTGATGGAATATGTTGAATAAATTTTTTCAATCTTGAGAGTTGTGCAGTAAGAGAACGAATTTGAGCCAAAAGTGATGTTGTCTGTTGTTGATAGACCATAAAGATATTCTAAAGAAGAACAGAAGGATAACGAATATTCGCCGATGGACAAAACATGGCCGAAAGTGAAAGATGAGAGTTTAGAGCAATTGTAAAAAGCATAAGCTTCAATATGCTCTATACCAGGACCATCAACTTTTGCCAAATTAGAACAATTTGAAAATGCAGCTTCTGGAATTGATTTTATTTCTGCAGGAAGCGTAATTGACTCCAAATTTGTGCATGATTCAAACATGTTACTTCCATGAGGATTAAACTGAACAGAATTTGGTAAAATAACAGTTTTCAAATTCACGCAGTTCTTGCAAATGAATCCCGGTATCAATAGCTCTGTATATCTCGAAGCAAACTCCAATGATTCAAGTTTTGATTGGTAAAAAGAAAAATCGCCTAAAACTGTAACTGTACTATCTATGACGAATGACGTAAGGCCTGTATACTCAAAGGCATTTGTATCGATTGTGTCGAGGATTGCACTTCCTTTGTCGAATGTTTTCAGAAAAATGCAGCCTGAAAAAGCAAAAGAATAAATCTTCTTTATTTTGCTTCCAAGCTTAACAGAGGCAAGTGACAAACAGTCTTGGAATGTACTCATTGCAATACTGTTAAGATTATCATTAAATGTAAACTCAATTAAGGCGCTTTCACTGAAAGCATAGTCAGCGATGTATGTTGCTGAGGATAAATCAACTTTTGTAAGGGAATTGCATGATGAAAACGCTTAGTATCCAATAACTTCAACATTTTCAAGATTGATACTCTTCAATCCTGTGTTTTTGAATGCAGCGTAGTCGATTTTCTTGATACCACTAGATAGCTTAACTGTTTCTAAACATACACAGTTTTCAAAGCTTTGGATGGGAATATTGTAAACATTTGGTGCATCAATATCGACATAAGTAATCATCGGGAATACTGAAATTGTTAGGATCGATGAAATATCATTTCCTTTATAAAAAATTCTTTTAATATTATTCTTCATGATGATATCAAGTGTTGATGGATCATCGATATCTTTTTGTTCTGTAATAGTTATATCATTTCCATCGATTTGTGGGGCGTTGTTAATGAATACTTGGTTTTTAAGTAGTGTATGAATAAAAACAAATCGACAAAACATTATAAAAAAAATTGAAATAAAATTCAGAGTATAAAATTGAAAGGGTGTGTCGATTGCCGATACAGGCGTGACAAATTTTGGATATGACTTTTTTTTAGGTTCGCTCTCGAAGATTAACATCTTAATTTGATTATTGATACGCCCACAGTGGCATTTCACTCCTATTTAGACACACCTATAGGTAAATTTTCCAACTAAAACAATTTTCTGATGACAGAAAATTCAAAAATAGATGATGGTATTTTTTTGTTCTCTAAAAAAGTGACTGATTTTAAAAAAACGACTTGTTGTAAATATTTGTTAAAATGGAATTAAATATATCTTCTTGGATTTTTTATTTCAATGTTGAATTGGGAAAAAAATCATTTTTTTTTTAAATGACCAACAATTATCTTCTTCCTATTTTATATGAGAGTCAGAGCATAAACATAGAATGGGATCAAAATGAAATTACTACTTCCGAAATTAAAAATGAAGTAATTCGTCAATTAAAGTTATTTCCAATAAAAAAATTGCACATTAGATTGGATGACAAAGAATATTCTGACGAAACATCAATTAACATACATTCTTTGGGTAATAAACCTCTTAGAATTATTCCAGAAGTAGGTATTTACCCAAATAATTTAACACCCAAAGACATTATCATGCAGTACTTAAAAATCAACAAATTGGAGTGGGATAACTCAGATAACTACGATATAATCTTCAAGTTTTCCGATAATAACAAAGTCATTTCCGATTTAAGTCCAAAAGAAATTTTATCAGGGTGTTACATTATTCCAAAAGTTACAAATCATCCAATGGAATTCGATAACACGGTATTTGAAAATAAAATCGCACCCGAAATTCCCAAACAAACAGCTAAAAAAGATATACAAGCTAAATTTATTAATTTCGAAGGCGAACCCGAAGAAAAAATCCTCAGAATCAAAAAGGTTATGCAATGGGACGAACTTTCGCAAGTAATACATGATAATTTCGATAAAAAGCCATTCAAAATTTTTTACAAATACGGAAATAAAGTTGAAGAAATAGAACACTGGAAAGCTTACATACTATCAGAGAATGCTGAAATATTGTTTATTGTAAAACAAGCGGCAAAAAATATTCCACAAAACTCTTCACAAAATTCTGTTATTACTATTCCACAAAATTCTTCAAGTATAAAGCCTCAATCTACTTCGCAACAATCAAGTATCCATAAACAAACAGAAATACCAAATAATACCAATAAAAATGGTAGTTTTATTGAACAATTTAAAAAGGAGTTCGGTATGCAACAAAACCCACGTGTTTTATTAGCAGAGTTATATTATTATAAGACATCAGATTTAATGGCAGCTTTTAATATATACAGGAAATCGATTGACTGGAAAATTCAATATGTCAACAAAGAAATTGAAAATATTATTATAGAGGCTTGTAAAAATATTATGGTTAATGACGAAGAAACAATTAAACAATATATTAAAGATTATCTCAAATTGAACAATGGAAATTATCCAAACAGACTGTCAGACTTTTTCGATGTCGACCTCACAAAGATAGATAATCCTCTAGAACTCAAAGATAACGTCAATATATAACAGATTGTTATTGTTATTTGTTTTTTTTTTGCTTGTTTATAAATAAATATTATGTATTATAAAGTATTTTTAAATGCTTTCTTTTAAAGACTAGTCTGATTTTGAAATTTAGATTTGAAATCATCAAAAATATGTTTAAAAGTATGAAAATTGCTTTGAAGAAGCTAAACAAATTCTCCACTTCTTATGAAATACTATCAGAAGCGGTCAAACCTATCGAAGAATTAGAGAAAATCATGATTTTGAATATAGAGTAGAATTGTCACTTTTATATAAAAATTGATTCGTTACAATTCTGGATTGCATTTTCCACATAACTATCTTTGTTACAGTGAAAGAGTTCGCATTTTTCCAAATTAAATGAGTTATCCTAATGGGAATTATTTTTGCATTTTTATTTTGTGTAAATTTCGCTCTGCGAAGGGATCCCTGAAGCATATATAGGCTAAACTGCTCGTTTCATTTCTTATTTCGAAACTCCTAACTAGTGATCGAAAAAGTGTCTTTGAATTAATTTGTAAACTTTATAAAATTTCGATAAATTTTTTTTTATACACCAGGAAAAATGTTCAAAAGAGAAGAATTCCCAATCGAAACTGGCTTTGGGATGTCTAGGACAACTCCAAACTATTCACGCATGACAGAACTAATCAAACATTATACGGATTTAATTTTAAAGTTAAAAAATGAAATTTCAGAATTCCAAAACTTTAACGCCCAGTCAAAAATTCTTAACGCACAATTTACGGATGATTTACAATATATTTATAGCTATAGACAACAATTAAATTCAGCAGTTCAAAAATTAAAAGATATGAATCCAGCATATTCACTTTCTTCAAACCAACAGGCCTCAAATTGGGCCACACAGCTTGGCGATAGCTCATCACTTGCAGCAATTTCACAAAATCAATTACAATTACAGATGCAAAATCAAAATCAACAAGCCAATCAAAATTCTTTACCACCACCAGATTTACAGTATAAGATTGAATCTAAAAATAGTTTCTTTAACAATAGTACAGTAGTAATGCGTTATTTGATAGATGTCAAGTCTGTTATTTGTACTGTTCAATTCGATCCTACGGGAAAGTTATTTGCTTTTTCTAGCTCAAGAAATTTACATATTGTTGATACGTCAAGTGGCCAAGTTTTATGTTCTGTTGAAATTTCGCCAAATATTCCACGCGTAGATTTTCATAGTAGAGATCTTAAGTTTTCACCTGATGGATCGATGATTGCAGTTGCTATTGCACCAGCTTCAATTGGAATTTTTAATTTAGCATCTCGAACCCTGACACACATACTAGAAGAACATGTAAGGAATGTATCATCACTTTTATTCACTAAAGACTCTTCTAAACTTATCTCAGGTGGCTCAGATGGAATACTTTGCGTCTGGGATATGAAAACTATGGCTCCAATAAAGAAACTTCAGAATGGAACTTTAGAACCAGATGCACCAGCAAGTCGAGATGGCCCGGTTTCTTCAATTGTTGCTGGACCTGGAGATGCCTATTTTGCTGTAGGTTTTTCAAATGGAATTGTGATCGTTTTTGATCCAAATATGGATGAAATATATCAATTCCAAGCCCATAATGAGATGATTCTTTCAATGGAACTTACTAAAAATGGAGAATTGTTTACGACATCATCAGATAAGCTAATTAAAATGTGGAAACTCACTTTGAAAGGTGCAACATTCGTTAGAACTATAGAAGAGCATTCAGATTTTGTTACATGTTGTCGTTCTTCTCCAAATAACAAAATTTTATTTTCTGGATCTAAGGATGAAACTATCTGCGCATGGAATTTTGAAAAGAATACAAATATGTTTACAGCAAAAGTGCATACGAATACTGTCCTTGGCCTTGCTCATCATCCAACAGAAAATATTTTCTTATCATCATCTGGTGATGGATATGTAGTTGGTTGGTCATACTTCCTTCCAACAGATTAAGTAATACGAATTTGTTTTTACTTGGAAAATTGTTTTAATATCCCTTATTTTAATTTTGACTATAATTGTTTTGTTACATAAATCATAAATAAAGGTCTATTTTTTGTTACTAATCCATAATTCATAGAAAAAATTTGATTCAGATTCCAAAAAACGCAACATATTGCTCATAAGCATTCATTTTTGTACTGGGAAAGATAGTATAATACCAAATGATATATTCTCTAAGTTCAATTCTTCTTTGAAAGTTCAATAATGCAAATTTCGGAATAAAAAAGAGTTATTTTGCTTCAAAAAGGAGATCAAAGTATTCATATAATATATACATATATTTTAAATACATACAATCTAATTACAATAATATTATATTGATTCCATATGGGAATCAAGATCTACATCATCAAAATTCACTCCGAAGCTAGGATTTTTATCGTCAATATTATCATTTTCAGAATTAATTTCCGTGTTCTTTCTAGTCAATCTGATCCCGATATAAAAAGTTACAACGAAAAATGTTAAGAATCCTTGGATGGTCAGGCCGATCATGAACGGAAATGGAACCGGGCGCATAATAAGCAGCACTAGTTTACAACCAACAGCAAGGCTCCATTGCAACAATAAAAATACCGTGACATATCGAATATTTCGCTTGACAACGACTAATATAAACTGAGGAAGTGTCACAATGCAGTCAATTAAGTTGGAAACAATGCCTATGGATTCGATGATAATTTGGGAATCGAAAAGAGAATGAAGCCCTATTGATAACAATAGAAGAACCAGAGCTATAATAGTTACGTACCCCATAAACTCAAGAAAATTCTTTGCATAAAATTGATCAAAAAAGAGTGTGTTAGGGTTCTGTTCATTAGTTGGGGTTGACTCTTTACCTTCAGGTTTAAAGAAGTAATATAAAAATGCTAATGTGAGCTGTACGCCTATCATCCAGATCGATTGAAATAAAAGATAAGTATCAAATTGTTTCCAATACCAGTATATAATTCTGAGGTAGTTGGATAGCAATAAAACAATACTAGAATCGATTTTGAAGTTTTCTGATGTACGAGTTTTGATGATTTTTGTTAATTGATCTAAATATCCGAAAGAGGGAGAAAATATGCATGAAATATCAATACATAACATTACTAGCCGATGATGAGCTTCAACCCAAAAGAGGAGACTACTCAATAAGTTCATCAAGGGAAAAGAAAGAAATTGTGATAAAGCTTTCAATCTCAATTTTTTTAAAAGCCGCTCATTGGAAAATCACGCTGATTTTATTGATAATGCTAACAAATATAATAATATAGCTGATTGGAATTCCGAACACTTTGAATTTATCTGATCGTATTTTGAGCTCAAATTTGCTAAATATATCAAATATTATCAATCTGTGATCAATAGTTTAAAATTCGTTTTGATGATTTATGATGAATTATTTACTTTTCAGAATTGAATTGATAAATGATCGCGAGTTTCTATGATAATTTAAAATTTTAATAAGGTAAGCATTTAGAAGCATATTATTTGAAATCGCGTAAAAATTTCAAAAAATCGATAATTAAATTTTTGAAATGATATAAATGCTAATTTTAAAATGCCCTAGAGAAAGCTTAATATTTTATTGAAGTTTTATTGATTTTAAAAAAAATTTTCAACCGAAATGTAAGAATACTTTATGAATTCAATTTTCTACAATAATTGGATAACAATGTAATATTTTATAAAAATTATGAAAAAATAATCATTTTTTAGATTTAAATGTTGAGAAAGTTGCTTTTGGAATTAGCTTAGTTTACTACCGTGTTATAATAAGGATACAAAAACTGAAGGAGCTTTAAAAATTAAATGGAAAAAGTTTGATTAGGGTTCATCAATATGATATAAAACGACAACGATAAAAACTGTTTTTGGTTATAAATCAAAGAGTATTCATACTTTGTAACATTAGATCCGATAGAATCCCCTGTCACTGCAAAATCCAACAAAATCATCTCATTAGAAATTTGGTGTCATACAGGTTTCTTTCATTAAATTTTATTTTAATTCGTCAAAATTTGGACATAGTTTCCTTAATATTAACACCATTTATATTTTAAATCTCAAATACTTTTGATGAAGTATGTTCAGAGCTATAGCTGACAATGACTAATATTTTCATATAATTATCCTTTTTATAAATATGAAATTGAACTTATTTTGCTTATTTTCATGTGGAGATAACATATGAGCAATTTAATTCCATAATTGCTAATCTAATTGATGAAATCATTTTTAAAAAAATTAGGAATAATAATTGTTTATTTCTTCAAATGATCGCATTTAAACTTGTGCTCCAGAATCTGAATCTTTCTCAGCTTTCCTTCTGAAAACGGTAAAGAAGAGGACCACAACAATGATTGCGATGATAACAATTGCACTTAATGGAAGTTTACCGTTTTGATTATTATCGCCTCCCTTTGTTGGCTCAGGCTTTGTTGAATCAGATTTAGTTTTAGGTTTTGCAGTAAATGAGCCATCTTCTTTTAGAACACCAGATTCGGATTGAAGCTTATATTCCTGATTTTCTTTGAAGTAACTAACTTGATCTTCATCAGCATTTGCTTCTGGAGCTGGTTCAACTTTAACTATTATTTTTGCATCAATATTAACATGTTCTTGCTTACCACCTGGGAATTCTCCATCACCACCTGGGAATTCTCCATCACCACCTCTATTTAACTTTTTATTCATATAATCGTCAAAGGCCTCTGGAGTATTGTAGAAGAATATTTCATTTGCGACTACTGTTGATGAACCTTAACAGCATTTGAATCAGCTGTTATAGGGAACGTGTAATCTGTTTCAGGAAATGTAATGGTAACTTTCTTTTTAGTATTTCCCATGATATAAAGTTGCTGCATGTTTGCGTCCATAGATGCAGTCATTTCACGCGTAGCCGCATTTATATCGAGCGAAGCCTTAAATTTAATAGGAATCTCCATTGTAAACTGACTCTTTGTGGAAAAAGTTGATGAGGAAACAAAATTATATTTCATATTCATTCCTCCTTCTTTCATATCAGCTTGGGCATCAACTGACATAAAAATGGGAACAATCTGGACTCTGCATGATTTTGATTTATCCTTACACTCAACTTTAGATATTGGCATAAGTAGTTCTTCTTCTGCTTGATATAATTGTTGGAAATTGACTTTAATATTAACCTGGAATGGATTATCAAATGTTTCTGGTTCTCCGTAAGAAAGATCATCAGCAGGAAATGCTACTGTAACTGTATAGTTGGAAAGGCTTGCAATAAGATAAGTACCCTTAATGCAAATTAAGCCATTTTCAGGAATATCGTATTTTGCAGAGGCATTCATTCTCATTGTTTCATAGATGGAACTTCCACACCCTTCAAGTTGAGATTCCAATGAATGAAGCCGAACAGATAAAATGGAAAACATCATATAAATGAATTTAAAAAATTACGGTTTTATTCAAAATTTTTGTTTAGATCTGACAATTTATTGTTCACTGAGTCAAGCCTAAGATACACATTTAAAGTAATAATGATTGTAAAAAAATTGAATGCATTAGTTTTATTATCTCACAAATAATTAAATACTTTTCAAATTATATAAAAATGGAATCTAATCGACATAATTAATTATTCATAGAATTCAAAACTTAAAAATTTATCTCCTAAATTCAAAGGGTATAATAGAAAGAAAGTTGAAGAATATTGCAATAGCTTTGATTTGCGCTAAAAGGCATTAACATATAATGGAATGCATATATTTAATAAAACTATAAAGATTTCTCAATAGTCGCGAGTCAAGATAAAATTGAGATATTAGAAAGTATTATAACCATAGATTGATTATTCATTCTGAAATAACATTTTTCATACTGTCTGATAATAATGTCTCAAATATCTTAGCATTATTTTCAATTCTTTATGAGTTACTTTTTCAAGAGTCATTCCGGAACAATAATCACTAAATTATCAGCAGATTATGATGATTTTTCATTTTTAACAAATTTTTAACGATAAACAGAACACGATATAACAAAAATTGTCAAATATAGTGTGTCTGCAGTTGATGTTGGGACTTACTTTAAAACCGCAAAATTCCCACAATATTGAATTCATTGGCAAAAAAAATTACAGCATATATATAAGATGTATATTAAGATTTTGCAAAGTGTCAATTTTTTTTTGAAAAAAATTTTAGAGAAATGGAAAGTATTGATTGTAAAAAAATGTGAAGATGTTACTCCTGATATCAGAGCGGATACGGATAGTGCTTGTAGGGGCGATATGGTTGGTATGCAAAATTAAGATACAATGTTGAAAATTCCAATTCTTATTTAAAGCATCAATTGTTGATCATTCATAATAATTCGTTTTTAAATCTAAAAAAAAAATATATATATATAAGAATTAAGGTCCAATATTCATTTCAGAATTAAGGTACATATATACATTTCAAAGTCAACTCAGCAAATTTATACATTTCGAGAAATATTGAAATTGAGATTTTTTGAGAAGCAATAATATTTGTGAATATATGTAGTATCCAAATAATTTATTAATGCGATTTCAGAATTTACACTTTTTTCCAAACTTGATATAATATATCACGAAATCAAACAAATACCATTATAGTATTTTTATAAATTGTTACTCTACTTCGCATATCGTGGATAATATGCGATATTTTGGCATGCTTTATGTGATGAAAGGTAACTAAACTCCTTTCGCCGATCCGATTTGCCCCATATTTAAAATATAGCTTGCATATGTAGAAGAAAAGCTAATTTTGAAGTACGCCCCAAATCCACCAACAGGATTTCGAGCTACTAAAAAGGTACTTTTAAATGTGATTTTTTTTATAAAAAATTAAATTTATTTTAAGATCAGACTAAAAACTAATTTTATGGAAAATCTATATCGACAAATTTATTACTTATTGGGTATATAGATTTTTTGATTATGGCGATTATGTCTGATATGCTTCCAATAAGCCAAAACACATTTCATACTGATTTCTATAAAAGGTATCTTTATTATAGAAGTGTAAGCTATATATGTTTGTTTTTATTATAACAAATTCAAAATTCTCTTATAAGGACTAGATGAAATCTGTATTATTAAATCATTAGCTAAATGAAGGTTCAAATAGAAAGTAAATATCAATTTATACGATACTGAAACCAAATAGTTCTTTTAATAAAAGATAACACGCTGAAAATTATTGAGTATTTGCAAATCTCAAAAATCTATTGGTGAATTTGGCTCAACTTTTAAAATTATAACATCCATATCAAATCATAAAAGCAGACAAAAATTAAAGCCAAACCTATCGGCTAATTTTTTTGATATTTTGATTTTTGAGGTATACTTTTAAAAGTGGATTTAAAGCACTGATGAAAAAACATTAACTTCTGTCGTTATGATTATTGATTTAGACAATAATGATTTTAATCTTTGATTATCAAAACACTAAAGTCATCTTTTTAACATTTGCTTGGTAGCATTAACTCAAGTCTAAAGTACTATTTTATGTGGCACTCTTAGAATTTTTGTATTCATTGTACACGCTGAAATAGTACCATTAAAGTTATGGCGGACTTTCAAAAAATAGTTTGGTCACCTTTATGTGATGACTAAATCTTTCTAAATCTTAGGAGATATTAAAAGAATTATAGTCCATCGAATAGGCCTATAAAAATTTCTTTATTCAATTTACGAATAGTATTTAAATTCTGTTCCATTTTATTAATTGGATACCATGCTTGGCAAGCCCATAATGATTAATATTTAATAGTCTTAAGCATTGGCTTCCAAAAGGCATTTTCATTTCAATTGTATTTTTATTCGAAGTAATTTTCAAAAATAACACACGCTCGGGAATTTATTTATTATAATAAGCAATAAAGACCTCAATAGAAGATTCAGCAAAGTTATCCGAAAATTAACAATTTTTGAGAGATTTTTTATTTTTATCAACCACCAACTTTCTTGTCAAATCAATTATAATTTTAAATTAAGAAGAGTTAATTTGGTACTGAAAAAAGCCATATTTAACATAATTCAATGTTTATGAAAGAAAAAACTCTAATCAATTTTATATTAATCAATTAATTCTATTATGGGAAGCATGTAAAAGCTATTACTATTAAAAATAAATAAAGCAGGCTCGTGCACATCTTACTTATAGCAGTTTTCTATCTGAAAGATAAGCATAATATAATGTTCAATTGATTTTTTTTCAAAAAGTCAATTTAATTAATTAAAATGTAGGTATGTTTTAGATAATCTCATTTGGCACAATTGATTGACACCATTTTAATTCGATTAGATTAAGATATAATAATTATTAAAAGATTTCTAAATCAAAATTACTAGAATTAATAAGAAGACTTTAAATCTTATTGCTTGTATAATTTAACACCGTCAAAACTAAAATTAATAAAATACAAATTTTTATCATCAAGAAAATATTACATTTATTTTATTTAAAAATCAATCATGTATATTACGGAAACAACACAATTTCCACTTCAATTTATTAGATTTCAAATTTAAAACTCAACATTGAAATAGTTCATTTTTTGATGATATTTTCTTTTCTGTAATGAGGCCAATATATTGGGTTTATTATTATTTTGACACATTAACTCAACACAAAAATTGAGAATGTTTCAGATCTCCCAATTTTAAATGTATCTGCCACCTCGTTTTTTTCGGTTAAATCCGAGGTTTTGCAAATAGTAAAAATGTCCAACCAAAAATTTTAAACTCGAACAAAAATCAGAATGTCAGATTTAACTTTGAATTGTTGAGGTTCCTTTTTATATTTATCCTTATTCTTGGATAAGTAGCATATTACAAAAAGCAAGCTCAAATTTGAATGATTTGTTTCAAACCATAATTTTACATTTTTTTAACTAAAACACGATGTTTTATTTTATTTCGTATAAGCTATTGTTCTATTACCTTTTCTTTAAAAATTCTATACCATTTCAAATTCTATTATGGTCAATTTTCATCTCTTTAGGTCAAAAATCGCGGTTGTGGCAGAAGTCTGATCTCCTTTTTCATTCAATATTCCTTCATAGTTTTTCGATGCAAGAACATAAATTCAGATTTGATGCAGAGCAATTAATGCAGTACTATCAAATTGCATGCTTAGAAAACCAGGCCGCCAATAAGGACACCAAAATATTCCAAAAGATAGAAACTTTTTCTCCACAAACGATTAGAATTAAGGCTCATAAAAGTTCTGACAAAAAGCAACAGAAAAGAAGGTATAAAGTTGAACCCAGAAAAGCTGTCCTTCACTTTGAAACTAAAGACCAGCCGTTATCTCCTCCACCGGAATCCATTACTGACAAGGTAATAGTTCAAAAACCATTTACTTTAAGCTCATTTGATCACCACATTCCAAGTGCATTCTCGATAATTAGAAGAGGTAATCTGCCAGGTCTTGAACTTCCATTGTAACGACATTTAATAGTTATAGATTAAGTATTGATGAAAATTGTTTGCTTATATATTATTCTTATATAAAAAGTTATCTGTACTATTTTATATTCTTAATTTTTTTGCATTCGCAGAACTATTACAATTTTTTTGGAGTTTTCAATAAATTTATACCTCCAAATATATATATCGATTAGAACTTGATAATAATTGATCAGCCAGATTCATTTTCATTCAGAAAAACAATTTATCACCGAAAAATCAGAGGTGTATCAACTAAAAATTGTAAACCGAAAAGCCACTTTTTCGCACTTTTTCCCTCATTTTCGCCTGACATTATATCGTATTTTTATTTCATTATATAATAACATTATATAATCTTTAATTAGTTGATAGCCTCCCGCCTGACATTTGACACGGCAAATTAGAAAAGTGTAATATTTTTATTATGAATGGGAATGTGAACTTTCATAGAGAAACCTTCTTGAAAGAACTTTTTATAGGCAAAGAATGATTTCAGAATCAAACTATGTTTACTAGTCTTTAATAATAGTCCTTGAAATTGAATTTTTGAATTTCAATTTAGTGGATGAATAGTTTTTTTCCTTTTATCAGTTCATAACCAGAAATAATTTACAATAATATTCACTTTACACCATATAAGATCCATCACAATTGCTAAAATCTATCATTATAATGTTAAAAGCATTGAGGCTATAATTTTGGCATACACTCTTCACAACATGGATTATATAAGTCGAATTTTTCCAAAAAAAATAATTACTGAGCAAATTGCATATTTACCATAAATTATCTTGGTCATTTGATTAAGTTTTTGACAATATAACGCTGAACAGTGCTAATATAGTATTTTGAACTTGTTGAAAATGTTTTTATGCATAAATAAATTTTTATAATTCCAAATTCTAAATAATAAACAATATTTATCTACATAGAGTGCTATTTTGAGAAAATATATTATTATAATCAAACTTTGTAGAATTATTATTCCTTAATATAGGGATATTATTTTCAGGAAATATCAAATATCGATAATCAAAGTTAATACTTATCCTTTTCTATCTATTTATATGCATTATTCAATATATAAACAGGTAGATATTGAAGTATTATATGAAATTTGATCTAATGATCCAGAAAATTATGAGGCAATATATGTGTACAACTGCATTATTAAGGTGCTCTATGGATGAATATTAAATGTTGAAACAAACTTTGCTTAGATATGATGGTTAGAGTTGATGCACTTCTGAAAAATCGCATATCAGAAATTAATGGTAAACAGTCATTTAGACTATAAACGAGATTCATCGTCGAAACAGTTGTAGTAAGGGTTTGTTTTGCGAAAAAAACGTACAATACGCAATTTCGCTAAAAAAACATTTAGCTAGCAATTTCGACCTTTGACTCCACTCAAGACGTCACTTTTTTAATTTTGCGGTATCATATTTTTGGAAAATCTTTATGAATATTATATAAAAGTCTCTTTAATATCTATATTTCATATTTTTATCGATTTTTAAAGTTTTTGCGAAAAGTATTCAATTATTTTTGCTATTTGGTCTGGTAAATGTCAGATTTGCGACATTTTCTGATATGATATTCAGATTCTACGTTGATAATAATGCTTATAGAACCCTCTTGCTATTGTGTCAAAATTGCGAAACCGATAGCAAAAATATCTCGCAATATCAAAATTGAGATATTGAGTGAATTATGCATTATAGAGATTAAAAATCTGATTTGTGAAAACATCTCATCAGTTTCTAGCTAATTCAAAAATCTTTACTATCTTATTCGATTAAAATGAAAAGGGAATAGTTTCATTATGCTTTAAATGACAGCCTTATAATATAATCATAGTTTTCGCTCAATATGCAGCTTTTTTTTTCGAAATCTATGGTCAATATCCTAAATACTGATTGCTTTGCATTCATATCTCTTACATTTTCTATACCCACATCACTATTCATTGCTATTCCTATCTTTTTCATTTTTGTTTGTTTCTTATAATTTCTCAAAAAACATGATAACTTGATATTTGTAAATATCATACTTTATAACGTAAATAAGAACTTGACCTATTAAGAAAAGCAGTAATGAAAAGAAAATCTGAAATTCATAAAAATTACAAGTTTCTGATGACAATTAGCTTAATTAAACCAGGTACAAGATTATATAATTGTATTTTCTATCCAATTATCCATATAATATCTTATCCAGAAAAAATAACTTGATCAATACCAAATGATTTTTTAACTAGTAAATAAAGTATTTTCTTTACACACACATTGTATATCATAGTTTTTTTTTTTTTTTGGTTTCGCAAAACATCCAAAAACAAATATGCTATAAAAGTGACAATTTTAGCAAAACGAAACCCTTAGTTGTAGTTTCCTAAGAAATTTCAGCCAAAAACTTGAATACCCAGATTTTCCTTACTTTTACCACTCCCCATGTAATTTCTGGGGAAAACGATAATTCGTTTTTTTTATGGATGAATAGATCTTTTTCCTAGAAAGGACCTCATATCTCTGGCTAAAAAGAGTGTCAGATCCTAAATAGGTTATTGATCTAGTGTACAAATCCAATAAAAAGCCTATTTTTTTGGCTTTTTTGGTGCTCATTTTTTCGAAGATATACATGAATATGGGGAAACCATCGGATTTTTTTGGTTAACCCACATCTTCATGTAGTCTGGACTATCTTTCCTCGAAGGACCTCTTTACGGGTGTAAAAACTCATAAAGTTCTCAAAAGATTCATTCTCGATCTCCATGCTGAAAGAATTTACAATAAAAAGAGATCTACGCATCAAACTACAGCCATAAATGAACTGAACCCCTAAAGCTCAGCTCTTAGTTTATCAAAAACGTCGAAATCCTTCTCATTGCAATCAAATTTTCTCAATAACTCATAAGAAAAATCGAATTTTGATTAAGCCGATGTTATAGGTATCACAAATACTACAAACTTGAGCAATATCGAAATTGCCAGCAAAAGTTTGAAATTGCATTGCTCATATTTGTTTTGTAAACTAAAAATCTGCTTATATTATTCATTAATTTTTTATATATTATTCATATACTTTAATAAAAACAATACTATTTCACCTTAAAAATGAATTTCATAAGTCAATATTATTTTTTTGAAAATGCATCAATTTTCGATTAAAACAACATGAGAATAAAATTTACGCAAAATTATTTTAAAAAATGGTTTTAAAAATTTACAATTGATTAAGAATAAGATTGCAAAAAGTTTTGAAGTTTAATTTTAAGAAAAAAAATTCGGATATTATTCATGGATCTAAGTAATCTGATATTTGAGTATCGGCACTATGCATAAAACATATATTTATAGTTTTTGGATTTTTATGATTTTAAATATATTCAAATTTGGCAATCCAATAGATTTTTAAAAAATAGGTAAATAAAAATAGATTACATATGCAGCAGATTTAGAACATGAAACAAATCTTATAGTGACCCAAAAAAAAATTCATGATCCAAAAAAGAAAAAAATTAGCTAAATGGGAATAAAACCTTGACATAATGAATCATTATGTCAGATGTTTCCACTAAACTACACCGGCAGTTTGAAAAATACCCTTGGTGGTTCTATTTAATAGCTACTCCCAACGATAGGCGGTGTTCCCAGCTTTAGAGGGGTGGTAAAAGTAAGGAAAATCTGGGTAAATTTTTTTGGATGATGAATTACTGTATCTATGAAGAAAAATCAATATTTGTACACAAATCTATGTTAAATCTAAAAAAAATTCTAAATTTTGCTGGTTAATGGAATTTGAACAATATCAAACATAAAATTTCTTTTCTAGCACACAATAATTTTAATGCCTAATGGGCATACTAATTCCTTTATTTGAGTCAATTTTTTTTTCAGAAATTTTTCATGTCGGATAAAGAATCCACTATTTACTTTGCCTTGAAAAATGATGACTTTGAAACTGTTTTGAAGCTCGTAGTAAATGAAAATAGAGAAAATGACCCACTTCATTTGAATTCTCCAGATATTCCACAATTATTAAAATTTGATCCCTATCCTATTCACGTTGCTGCCTATTTTGGCAGCATTGAATCGTTCAAGATCCTCGAAATGAACCATTGCAACATGAATTCTCAAGATCGGGTTAAAAGATCTTTAATTCATTTTTCATGTTTCGGCCACAACCAAGATTTATTAAATGCAGTCATTAATGTTAGTCAGCATCTAGATATTGTTGACAAAATTGGTCGAAATGCAATTCATTATGCAGCATTTGCTGGAAATAATGATGCATTAAATTTATTTTATATGTCTGGTGTTCCTTTTGATAAAACCGACAAAAAGGGTTTCACACCTCTAATGCTTGCATGCAAAACAAATTGTTTCGAAAATGTTGAAAGCTTAGTCAATTTTGGTGCTGATATTCATGTCACTTTTAATGGTTGCTCACTTTTAATTTTTGCTTGCGAAGGAGGTAATCCACAAACAGTAAATTTACTTCTCGAACATGGATTCGATGTAAACGAGAATTCTCCATATGGTACACCACTTTCTATTGCAGTTATGAACAACAAAACAGAAGTTTCTAAATTATTATTATCGAAAGGTGCAGATGCAAAGTATTTGATCGAGAATCAGAACTCTCTTTGCGAAGTTGCAGCTAAATTCAATAATATAGAACTTCTTGAAGCATTGAAGAGTCATGGAGCTCTGTTTTCTCCAAACCATGATATTTACAAATTCGCAGAAAGTACGATGAATTCAGATACATTGAAATATTTGTTGAAAAACGGCTTTTCTGAAAAAGAAAACAAAAATTTCGCATCTGTATGCTTCCTTATTTATAAGAATGATATCCAATCTATAAAGGAAGTTTTAGATTTAGGTGCTGATATAAATCTTCCTGATGAAACAAATCAAACTCCTCTTCAGATTGCAATAAATATGAAAAGAAATGATTTGTTGCTTTCTCTAATTGATAATGGTGCAAATGTTAATCTTAAGAACAAGGTTGGTATATCACCAATAATTTTTGCTGCACAAAAAGGCTTTATCGAAGGAGTCCAACTTCTTCTATCAAAGAATGCGAATGTAAATGATTGTGACAATTTAAGAATGACTCCTCTTCATTATGCTGTTAAAGGAGGTTATATAGATCTTGTTCATTATTTGCTTCAGGAGGGCGCTGATCCTAAAATATCAGATATCAACAAACAAACATTATTGATGTCAAGTATATTTTTGGAAAACTATGAAATTGCATCATTGTTACTTGAAAAAGGAGTAGATCCAAATGAAGTTGATAAAAATGGCTACTCTGCGATGTTCTATGCAAAGAAGAAGAGCCAATATATCATCAATCTCTTGAAATCCTATGGTGCCGTTATCAAGTGTTAAATAAGAACTTTCATAAAGCATTTTACCTTCTAGTAAATCATATTTTCTTTTTTAATAAAAACAATAATTCTTATAGCTGCAAGGATAGCAGTTTTCTCTCTGGTAACATTTGATGCAACACTATTATATTTGTTTTAACTTGTAAAACTTGATGTAACATAGAATTTTGTTAATTTTTAATGAAAAATAATTTTGATATTTTTATCAATATTCAAAAAGTTATTAAATTAGCATATTCGCTTATATCCAAGGCAATTTCGTAGTATTTCTATTTGTTAGTACAAATTATTAAACAATACCGGATTTATGAGATCATAAGACTGTAAAGAGATTATTACAAGTGCACAGGTGATAAAAAGGACTTAAATATAAGAAAAATACAAACATATTTATTATCAAATGAAAAAAAATTTCAAAATTAGAATTAAATTTTTCTTCTTGAAGATCTTTTCCAGTGAGAAAAGATGAGAACTACATATGATACTGTGGCGGCAATTAAGACTCCCCAAATTAATATCATTGCTGGTAAGAAAAGTAAAATCAAATCTTTTGATTTATTTTTCTGTTTCTCTTTTGGCAAAGGAGTATGTGAAATAAGAGTTGGCATACTAGGTATAGATATGCCAGAAAATTCGATATTTTGCCTATTTTCATTTTTCAATTCAACATTTCCTTTTCCGATGTCTATTCCAACAGGGAAAGCACACCTTTCACATACAAGTAGTGCGGATTGCTCTACAAATATTATTGGACAATGGAATAACTCAAGATCAATAAATTTGGAGTATTGGCACGTAACTCGTGTTGCTCTGCCAAGGAATATGACTGAAGAGTTAATTTGGTTCCGTAGCGGATTTGTAGAGAGTTTACAAAAAGTAGAACCCGAAATTAAAGCAGAAAGAAGGAGTCTGTTAAAGATAATGCCTGTAATTGTTGGAGATATGCAAGAGTACATGATCAAGTTGTCTATGGAGTTTGTAGTTCCTGCACAGTACAACATTGGTAAAGTTTGCGAATTACAGTTCGAAATGTTGATATTATTTAATGAAGCTTTCGATGTTGAAAAATAAGCAACAGATTCGCCTATTGATTCAACTACTGATGCGCAAGAATCTTTAAAAATGAAATTTTCATGATTATCAACATAAATTGTAGCCTCTTTGCTCGTAAGTGTATGTGTGAAGAAACTTTTGTGTATCTCTATCGAATTTTGAGAATAAACAATGCCAATACCTGATTTGCAATTAAAAAACACTGATTGTTGAATATTTGTTGGTGCTGCAGTATATATTGCTGATCCAGCACCTTTTTCGAAATAATGATTAATAAATTGGCAGTTATTAACTTCTAATTTGCCTTCGAAGGTTACAATTTGATTATTATCGAATAATAAGTTATTGTATTCGCTTGAATGAATGCCTTCTCTTAAATTACTTATTCCAAAATGAAAATTGATCGAAATACCGCATTTTTCGAAAAATTTTTGTTTAAATTGACCTAGTAGCTGATGAGAATAATCAATATAGTTGAGTTTTACTAAACCAATCCATCTTGCGTTGATTAATGTCTGAAGGAAAAGCAAGGGGATTGAAATCATAAAAGTTCAATGTAAAAATGAAAGAATTTCAATATAAATTAGAAGAAAATATATTAGTGCAAGGAAAATCTTGCTTGAATTACCATTTTTGAAACAAAATATCAAAATTTTTATCAAAACGTTCTTTGTGAGCTTGAGATCACGAAAATTTAATTAAAAATTCGATAGTTCTATATTTTTCAAGTCTCTAATGCTAGATTACTCAATGATTAGAAAATTAATCATTCAAAATTCGCTTCAAATCAGAATATCTTCATATAAAATCGTTCTCAAATTCGATTACTAACTGAATAATACTAGTAATGGCCATCAATAATTTTTGGCGGGAGTTTATTTTCTTGCACTTGTAGAGAGGAAAAAAAAATGATGAAGCGTTCCTTGACATCTCAACAGCATATGACACAATCCAGATTTACCAACATGGAAAATATATCAACTACTCAAACTACAGTTATTAGCAAAGTTTTTAAGACTGATTCTTCTGATCGAACTCCACTTGCAATGAAAAGGATGAACTTAAAACAAGAAGATACTACAATTCCGCCATATATCATTAGGGAATTAGCTATAACGAGTGAATTGAATTCTCCACATATTGTTCACCCTGCAGTTAATGATATATCATATGAGCCGAAGGATCGAACAATTTCTTACGTTTATGAGTATGGTGCTGCTGATGTCAAAAGAGTTATGTCTACGAAAAAGGTACCTCTAAAAGAAACAACCATAAAATCTATTCTTTTTCAAATTCTGTTAGGCCTTGATTATATGCATTCTAGAGGAATTTCACATTGCAATGTTACTCCATCGAACCTTTTAATTATGCCTACAACATCTCAGACTCCAGGAATTCTTCGTTTTATTGATTTTTCTCTGGCTCGTGTTGCTGAGCCAGTTCAGAAGTTAAAACCATTGAATTCAATTTATTTAGGATATAGAGCTCCTGAAATAGTTTTGGGACAGTCTGATTACAGTTATCCATCTGATATCTGGTCTGCAGGCTGCATATTCGCCGAACTATTAACAGGAACATTATTTGACGTACAGAAGATAAACCCACAGGACCAAATACAAGTTATGCTTCGAAAATACTTTGAAGTTATTGGATCCATGAGCCAAGATGACTTCCCAAGACATGAAAAATACACAAACTGGATGACCTTCCAACAAATGCTATCGTCGAATCAATTACAAATGAGAAACTCAAAAGGCCAATTATATCAGAAAGTAGCTAGCCTAAACCCAGAAATTCAGGATCTCCTGTTTAAGATGCTTACATATAATCCGGATCTCCGAATTACAGCAAAAGATGCTTTGCGCCATCCTTACTTTAATTCAAGACCGTTTCCAGTCATGAATATTGCTAGAACTTTCACTCCTGAAGAGTGGTCTGCTATATCTTCTGGAAATAATAAGGAGTAATGCTCTTATATTTTTTGTGAATTATTTTTTGTGTAAATGTTAAATTTTATTTGTCGATATTAAATCTTCATGCAAAATATTCTTTCAAAATCTTAATTTGCTCCATCAAAACAAAAAAATTAAAAATAATCAAATTATCTCATTTAAAACAGTATATTAATGAAAGAAGCAATCTGATATTGATAATCGCTGTATAGAAGCTTGAAACTGTCTTAAAATTTGTTGAATAAAAGTAAAATAAAGTAAAATATATGTTAAAAAGAAAAGTAATATAGGAGAATATTTACAGCTATTATTTGGGAGTTAAACTAACGCAAACAACAGTGATGTTATCGCCAGATCCTCTCTTGATTGCAGTATCTTTGATTAATCTTGCTGATTTAGATGGATCATTCATCTTCATGTATGTCTCACCAACAACATCATCAGATAACACTTCAAAGACTCCATCACAAGCAATAATTAATTTTTCATTATCATGGCGATCAATTGTAACAATATTTGGTTCACAGGAAATAGAAGAAGCCTGTAAACCATCACCGAATGATCTTGTTAATGATACTACACCATTCACTCTGTCGTTCATGATCGTTCCGCCGCGTTGGATAACTAAATCAACTTCTGCCTTATTTGAAATGTTGTGATCCACTGATAAGCGTGTAACTTTGTTATTTGTATCAAGTAAGAGTATTCTTGTATCACCAACATTTGCTATTGTTATTTTATCTCCAATAATTAAAGCAATCGAAGCAGTTGATCCTGTATTAGGGAAGTCTGCGATCATCTTTTCGTTTATTGTTTGGAACGATTTTGTGATTACTGTTTCAATCGGAATATCAGGTGAATAGTTTTGCTTCAAAACACCGTGTAATTCTTTAGCTAGATACATTGAAACACCATTACCACCATGGCCATCAAATACACCATAGTACTGTGTTTTCGGACCGAAGATTTCTCCAACAACTGTTGCAGCATCCTCCATTGTCTTTCGTTTACCAATGGCATCTGCATGGCTTCCGGGGTAGACTTGTTCACCCTCTATAAAGAAGTGTTTTTCGGTTGCTTTCTGTCTTAAACCACAAGTCATTTTGATTTTTATCACAAAAAAAATTTTTGATTGCTTCACCTTACTTCGTTATTAGTGAATTTTACAGTTTTCATCTAATTGGTGTCGCACATTCTTTTCCATGAAAAATCGTCTCTCATTTCAATTAAGGGTTTCGTTTTGCTAAAATTGTCACTTTTATAGCATATTTGTTTTTGGATGTTTTGCGAAACCAAAAAAAAAACTATGATATACAATGTGTGTGTAAAGAAAATACTTTATTTACTAGTTAAAAAATCATTTGGTATTGATCAAGTTATTTTTTCTGGATAAGATATTATATGGATAATTGGATAGAAAATACAATTATATAATCTTGTACCTGGTTTAATTAAGCTAATTGTCAGAAACTTGTAATTTTTATGAATTTCAGATTTTCTTTTCATTACTGCTTTTCTTAATAGGTCAAGTTCTTATTTACGTTATAAAGTATGATATTTACAAATATCAAGTTATCATGTTTTTTGAGAAATTATAAGAAACAAACAAAAATGAAAAAGATAGGAATAGCAATGAATAGTGATGTGGGTATAGAAAATGTAAGAGATATGAATGCAAAGCAATCAGTATTTAGGATATTGACCATAGATTTCGAAAAAAAAAGCTGCATATTGAGCGAAAACTATGATTATATTATAAGGCTGTCATTTAAAGCATAATGAAACTATTCCCTTTTCATTTTAATCGAATAAGATAGTAAAGATTTTTGAATTAGCTAGAAACTGATGAGATGTTTTCACAAATCAGATTTTTAATCTCTATAATGCATAATTCACTCAATATCTCAATTTTGATATTGCGAGATATTTTTGCTATCGTTTCGCAATTTTGACACAATAGCAAGAGGGTTCTATAAGCATTATTATCAACGTAGAATCTGAATATCATATCAGAAAATGTCGCAAATCTGACATTTACCAGACCAAATAGCAAAAATAATTGAATACTTTTCGCAAAAACTTTAAAAATCGATAAAAATATGAAATATAGATATTAAAGAGACTTTTATATAATATTCATAAAGATTTTCCAAAAATATGATACCGCAAAATTAAAAAAGTGACGTCTTGAGTGGAGTCAAAGGTCGAAATTGCTAGCTAAATGTTTTTTTAGCGAAATTGCGTATTGTACGTTTTTTTCGCAAAACGAAACCCTTATTTCAATAAAAAAAGATCAATTGAATGTTGGAAGATAGCTATAGGAGTAGGGGTAATTTTAGCTAAAAGTGACACACCTGTAAAAAGTGACACACCCGTGAAGGGTGTGATTACCGATCGGTAATTTCGACAGTTTAGAATTTAAAATTTTTTATGGAACTGTTGCGAGTTTCATAAAGAATTTAAGGAATATAAGCAAAGATTTGAATCAAAATCTTAGACCTAAGCCGCTCGATTCGCTCGCGGCTTCCGCGAATTACAGATCAGCAAAGATTTGAATCAAAATCTTCGAACTAAGCCGATCGCTTCGCTCGCGGCTTTCTTTATTATTTTAAATTTGCATATTTCCATCAAAAGTTCATAAGGTAAAAAATTTCGTTTATTTTTACTCAGAAAAAAAAGGTTTTTGATAATAAATTTATTTTATTTCGAAAAAGTAGCAATAATCGTAAAAGGGTATTGATAGGCTTGCTAAAGTAACTAATTTTAGCTGTCAAATACTTTTGTATTTTGAAGTAAATTAGTATAAATTTGTTTTTACTTTTATTTCGAAAAAGTAGCAATAATCGTAAAAGGGTATTGATAGGCTTGCTAAAGTAACTAATTTTAGCTGTCAAATACTTTTGTATTTTGAAGTAAATTAGTATAAATTTGTTTTTACTTTTATTTCGAAAAAGTAACAATAATCGTAAAAGGGTATTGATAGGCTTGCTAAAGTAACTAATTTTAGCTGTCAAATACTTTTGTATTTTGAAGTAAATTAGTATAAATTTGTTTTTACTTTTATTTCGAAAAAGTAACAATAATCGTAAAAGGCTATTGATAGGCTTGCTAAAGTAACTAATTTTAGCTGTCAAATACTTTTGTATTTTGAAGTAAATTAATATAAATTTGATATTATTTTAACTCCCTTTGAAAACCTCAATTTTCCATACAGAGGGAACGGGAATAGCATCCAATATTCCCTGAGAATGGTTGCGCATTCTCAGTTCCCTCTATATTTCGAACGAAGCTCTCATCGGTCTTTTTTTTTAATACTAAACGTTTTTTCCCCTGTCACTTTTAGCTAAAATTTGGGTTTGCCATAGCTATAGCTTCAATTCATACAACGTATCATTTCTTGGAATGAAATTTCCCGAAATCAATGTATAATTCGAATTAATTGATTCCAAAAACGAAGTTAAACGATTGAATTTCGGCTCAATGTTATTTTGCGATTTCAAAATTCTTAAATGCAAAGAATAAATTAATTTTGTTTCTTCCGGATTGGATTTACTCATACTCATATGTAAGGAATTTTCGAAAGTTAATTATTAACTAGCAGAAACAGGTTGTTATTATGAAACTACTAATGTAAAGTGTGGTGGGCTCATAAATTAACTGATGATCATGTTTTTAAATTTTGTTCAAATCTTGTTTCATTATATAGTGAATTTCATTGACTATTCTTATACAAATATGATACTGATGAAAGCAGTATCATTGTTGTATAGTGTCATCATCAAAATTAATTGAGAAATATGTTTCATTATGTTTCTTGTAATTCCTTCTAAACTCTGGCATACATGCACTTTCTAGTTATAAATTCTAGAATAGATGCAAATTATATGTAAATTACAATTGCTATTCCTGTAATTATGTTATAAATATCTTTTGAAATATGCTAATCTCTCAACTTTTCTGATAACTAACTAATTTCAAATCTTGAGAAGTAAAGATCTCTTCTATAATTTAGGATTAAATACGAAATTCATTATAAAACATAACAAAATTGAGAAATTCCATAATACATAAGTAGTCATTCCAACAAGAAATCCAAAGGTTGGTATCCATAAAGCGAAAATGTGCCAGATTCATTTCTTATTTTAAAACTGACATTTGACATCAACAAATTTGAGGTAAAAATAATCAATTTGATTTTTGGCACTTTTTTGCAATAATGGAGGACGTTTCCCCTTTCCTTTGCCCACCAGAGGAGAATAAAAATCCAAAGTGGGACGAAATAGAGGGCGGATTAACAATTTCTGCAAAAACGGAAGTTCAAATTAGCTCTCTTCGCAAGCTTATTCAATATTCAGTTTCTGGAGAAAAAATTCCAGAAGCTGCTCTCATGGGAGTTATCACAAATCTTTCAGCATCCAAAAACCACGACGTTAAGAAACTACTTTACTTATTCTACGAAATCTGCGAGACACGTGATAGAAAAGGCAATCTTAAGCCAGAATTTCGCCTCATTTGTGATGGTATTAGAAAAGATTTAACACATCCAAACGAATATATTCGCGCTGCAGCTCTTAGATTCATGTCCAGATTCCATGAAAAAGAATTAATTAATACACTTGTTCCTTTTGTCACCAAATCTCTTGACCATCATAATGCATACGTAAGGCGTCATGCTGTCGTTGCAATTGGCCGAATTCATCAACGCTGGCCCGAAATCGCACCAGATGCACAAGAAGACATTGCAGAACTCCTCAAGACAGAGAAAGATCCTGCATGCATGCGTGTATCTTTCCTTGTCTTATGCGACATTTCTCGTGATCTTGCAGCTACTTTTCTCAATGAAATTCTTGACGAATCAGTATTACATCTTTCGCAGCCAATGCAACTTACAGCTGTTACTCTCATCAAGAGCCTTTGCAATGACTCACGTAAAGGCGCTTATCTCCCTGCTCTTATCGAACTTCTCGATTCCCCATCAACAGCTGTAAAAATCGAAGCAGCAATTACACTTCTCAATTTATCTACATCAGCTACAGCTTCTCAAACAAGCTTCTCTGTTCTTTGCCAGATTATGCAGACAATTCCTAACTCTACATTGCAGCTTAGCCTTGCAGAACAGATCGAGCGCCTCATCCCAGCCCATCCAAGCATCGCTCAGCTCATGGTTGGTGAACTTATCGTTGCAATGAAGTCAAAAGGCATCAGAGCAACAGTTCTCAACATGATAAAGAAACTTACGAACGCTACGAACGTAAAAACTATCGTTCAAGGCCTCATCAACCACTACAAAACTCAAGAATTATTACGTCAGAAGGAAAACGAAGCCAAAGACGCTTACGAGTTCATGGCTCTCATTCTCACTACATTACGTTCGATCTCATCTACTTATCCTGCAACTTTAAGCATGATTTACGATGCAGTTAAAACAACATTGATAGAAAACAACTTGGCGATATCATACGAGTCATTAATGCTTGTTAGAGATTACATGTTCGCTAATCCTGATCAGGCTGACCGTGTTTGTATCCAAATAGAAAATATCTTACCGTTTGTACAGAGTCCTCGTATACTTAGAGGCCTTTCTTATCTTATATCCCTATCAACAACGCGTCCAGAATCAGCTGAAGCTATTATTGGAGCTTACTTTGCAAGAGAAAAGGCAGCATTAGACCCAGAAACGGAGCAATCAGCACCACAAACATCTACAATGATTGGATCTGATGGAACATACGTAACCGTTGAACAGTCGGCCGCTCCTTCCAAATCTGGTTCAAAGCATTTAATTTGGTTCGAAAAGGGCATTAATATCTTTGTTGGTGCTTCACTTGCTATGGTATTGGCTAGAATATGCATCAGATTCCCAGATCAAGCTCCAATTGAGAAATGTCTCGGATTTATTGAGTCAATTTTACTCAGAAAGAACGCAGTAACACAAGAAAAGCACTTACTTCTTGCCCATGCTGCTATTTTCCACCGCAATGATCCAGAATACAAGATTGCTCTCCTCGATAACGTCAAGCATGCTTTCGCAGACATAATCGACAACGACAAGAAGGAGTTCGAAGATAAGTCACCGAAAGCAAACCAGAAAATCTTCACTTCACCTGACCAAAGATTATCTTTCAGTTCACTTCTCGGTCGCAAATTTGACCAGGCAGGTCCTGCAGCTGCAAATGCCAAGAATGCTTCATTAAAGATCCAAGAAGAGACACAAGAAGAAAAATCGAAGAAATCATTGGTTGTTTTGTCCGGAACATGCGATCCAATCTTCTCCGAATGCACTATGAAGCCAGGCAAGTTCGATATTTTGCTCGAAATCAATCTCCTCAACCAGACATTATCCAATTTATTAAATGTCAAAGTTGAGTTGTATTGCAGTGGCAAACTTGAGCTTGTTGATAAACCAAGTACAATCACATTGCCAGCCCAGCAATCCGATCAAATTATTTGCTCGATCAAAGCTACATCAGCCGAAGCCGGCAGAATTTACGGCAACATCCTCTATGATATCGAAAATGTTGAAGAACGTCAGTTAATTCCACTCTCACCGATCACAATTACTCCAGATAACTACATGATACCACTTAAGGTCGATTCCATCAAGTACAGAGAGAAATGGGAGATGTTTGAGTGGGAAAAGAAGATAACGATCAGTTCAACATTGTCAATTAAAGAGATCATTACAAGATATCAAGAGAAAGGAAAGATGCATCTAATGAACGAGTTCGATGATAATGCTTCTTGGGCAACAGTTAATTTGTGCGCAACTTCGATGTTTGATGAAGACGTTTTACTCAATATCTCTCTCGAAAAGACAGATAACGGAACTACTGAAGGATACATGAGATTGAGATGCGCTTCACAGCCAATGGCTATTGCATTCTCAAGATTATTAATGTCAATTAACTTGAATCAATAAATAAAAAATATTGACGTTTTTTATTTTTTGAAATTTATATTTTATTTTGTCTATATATGACTGACTTATTTGGAATATGTACAGATTTCTCATGAATTTTGAACCTCGTTTCAGTCAAAATGTAGTAAATGATGTTTACATCAATTTTTTGATTTAAAATGTGGAAATCTTAAGGGTGCACTTACCAGTTTCTGGCATGCTCGCATGATATCAATATGTCTTTATTCTAATTGCAAAAAAACATATAACAGCAAAAAAAAGGTACTATGTAGTGATATAAAATAACTTTTTCTCAAAAAAAAAACTTTTTATCATAGAAAATTTGGATAAAAAGCTAGGGTGTCAAAAAAATTGAGAGAATGTCAGAAAGTGGAAAGTGCACCCATGATATATAAAAGAAGAAATTAGTTTGTTTTATGGTGAAATCTACTTTGTAATACAGAAAGTATCAATGTTGAGAGTAATTAGGGCGTAGGAAAGCCAGATCGTTTCACTCAGCTTTTGTTCTCTCGTTTATTGCATTTGTGATTGTTAACGATGGATAACTTATAGGAGTGTGCTTTCGCTCTTTAAACATTGTTTCATATTAATTGGCTTGACACGCAGTTTTTTGTGTCAAATTAAGGGTCAACGGTATATTTTCAATACTATTCAAAAATTGAATCGATTTTTTTGAGCTTCTTGGTTAACGAAATCCAAAAATTATATTAAAAGTGTAATAAACAGAAATTCGTCAAAAGTGACAGCTCTCAATTTTTTGACATTTGTAAATTCTAAATTGAATGAGAAAAATGAAATAATACTAAGCATAATACAATATTCTAGATTTAATTATAATTAGGAAAAGTTCGTTTTGAAAGTACTTTTCATAGGCATATAGAATGAAATCTTCTGAAAAATAATATCACATAAACTCATATTATTTTCTAATATATAACTATTTTATATAAAAATCAAATTCCATGATCTTAAAAGCGAAGGATAAACCTCAAAATTTACGAATATAATGAGTGGGAATATAATGCTTATCTATCATAAAACCATATGAAATATCAATTTTTGCTTTACGCCTAATTTTTGACGACAATTAGCAAAAAATGTTAAATGTTAACACTCAGTCCATTTGAATATGAAAATAAAATTGACTTTGATTAAATGTTTTTATTTATCATGCAATTCTTCTTGCGACCAAAGATTTGAATAAAAGTTCAAAAAATAAGATAGCTTAAAAAATAATATACGGTAGTGTTTACTAATAGATGAATAGTATATAAATTCTATTAAAATGGATTTGATCCAAAAAAATATAAAACCAAAAATAATTGTTATAATTTAAATGAAGAAGTAATTTAAAACGATTTTATTTATGATCAAGTTTTATATATTTTTGGATCAAATCCATTTTAATAGAATTTATATACTATTCATCTATTAGTAAACACTACCGTATATTATTTTTAAGCTATCTTATTTTTGAACTTTTATTCAAATCTTTGGTCGCAAGAAGAATTGCATGATAAATAAAAACATTTAATCAAAGTCAATTTTATTTTTCATATTCAAATGGACTGAGTGTTAACATTTAACATTTTTTGCTAATTGTCGTCAAAAATTAGGCGTAAAGCAAAAATTGATATTTCATATGGTTTTATGATAGATAAGCATTATATTCCCACTCATTATATTCGTAAATTTTGAGGTTTATCCTTCGCTTTTAAGATCATGGAATTTGATTTTTATATAAAATAGTTATATATTAGAAAATAATATGAGTTTATGTGATATTATTTTTCAGAAGATTTTGTGTTCTTCTTCAAAATTTTATTTTTTATTAAAAAGAATCTTTACAAAATATACATTTACTTTAATTAATATTTAAAAACGTGCTCTATCAAAAGTTCCAAAAATTCAATAGTTTAGCTTTTCTGAGGTGTCACTTTTGATGAATTTCTGTTTACAACAAAAGCAGCATGTAAATATGATATCAAATCACAATCTATAATTAGATATGGGTATTACCATATTAATTTTGAACATTAGCGATAGCTTTCGCTTGGCCGGACCGCGGACCTTTCATAAGTCATATCACTTCACTTTTTTTTCTTGATGGAATTTAATTTTTCTCCTCAAGACTTTCAAAATATGCTATATTATAAAACTGATGACTATTGTACAATAGAGAATCAAGGGGTTAAATATACAGTTAGTATGCCTTTTGCAACAATGGCATTTTTCAAAATTTCTGCTGCTTACAGAGCTGATATGGCATGCAGATCTTACCAAATTAATATTCAACTTGAAACTGATGAAGAAAAACAATTCCTCAATTCATTACTTACAAAAGGTACAATAATTTCTCAAAATGCTACTTTAGAACTCCTCTCATCGCTTTCTAATATTGCACTCAAATTGCAATGCAACTCACTAATCAATTATATTATTGATTATACAAATTCGATTCCAACATCCGTATAAATTTTCCAAAAAATCTTTGAATTCACGAGCAGGTTAGGAAATTACTCTCAAGTATTAGATTATTTGCTAAATTCGTTCAATACACATAACGAAGATGACCTTGCAAAAGCTTTAGTTACCTTTGGCCAAAAATTTGCAATGGATCTACTAACTTCTTCAAAATTAACAGTTAACAATGAAAACCAAGTTGCAACAGTTATAATGAAGATGATTGAAGCAGATAAATCATATACAGGCACTTTAGAATGCATCTATCGCGAATGGCTTTCAGAAAATAAGCTGAAAGAGCTCTACGAATTTGTTACAAAAGAAAAACTATATACAAAGTTGTTGCATTTTTATAGAGCATTGGAAGCCATGAAAAACTCAAGACCAATTTATTTCAAAGCGCAATATTTAAGAAATGTTGTGATTCATAAAATTAAATACAATGAATCCATAGTTAATGTTGCTGTAATATCTTCAAATTCTCCTGATGACAGAAGTGAACTTATGAATGGAGGATATTTCCCTCGTACTTGCCTTGTTGGATCAAACTATATATTTATTGGTGCTTATAAAGCAGCAAACAAATCTGATTTAAGTACAGAATATATTCAATATTAATATTCTCTAAAATAAGAATAAAATTTTGATATTTTCTTTTGGTTATATTTTATTTCATCTCCACTTAATTGAATCATAAAATAAGCATTCCCGAATAGATGTTACATATTTTCGGCTATCATAATAGCAAATCCCCTCAAAACCCTATTTGAACCCATCAGATAATTTGAACCCACCCAATTTGGAATCGTTATAACATAAAGGTAATAGACTAATAAGAATGAATTCTTCAACACATGAGTCTGAAATCTAAACATCTTTAAAAATATGCATTATTACAGCAACAGAAACTTGAAAAATGAGAAAATTGAAATCAAAATCTTATAAAATTAGATATAAATCTCAATCCCAGCTATCTTCCTAAATACCTTTTGGTTGTATTACTTATTTTTGATTGTTCAATGTGTGGGTTGTTGATTAGATTGTTATCATAGTAAGAAATGAATTTTAGTCAAAAATTACATTAAAAATCAATGTATTGCTGAATATATAGGAGAACAGCCTAATGGACACAAAAGTTGTGCTCAGCCAGCAACTAAAAAGTGCCAAGATTTTGGTTGAGAAATTTACATAATTCCGATTTCAAGTTTCTAATGAAAGGCTCTGTTCTCCAGCGCCTCTTAACAAAACAGAAACAAGAAAAGTTTGGAACAGCTGTCAATAATGATAAGTGGGATGAGTTAGTCCCAAATATTCTTTCAGGAGTTTCGAAATTTGAAGATGTCATTGTTCCTATCCAAGAAAGAGGAAAAGTTCTGAACTTATTCCAATATATAACAACACTTGAGCCAAACCAGCCAAATCTTGGACTCCTAACTCGCATATTAGCAATTATTCCACCAGAAAACCTTCAAGAAGCAGCTGGATATCTTCGTGAAATGGCGCTTACATTTGCAGCCATATCTGCACCTATAATTGATCTTATTGTAAGAAGTTTCTTAACACAAAATGAATTATACTTTGCCGATGTAATTAACAACCTTATCGATGCTTCTCAGAGCTTCACTCCACTTACATCAGCATCTATTACAAAATATTTCCCTCAAACTACATTTGAAGGCGATCAACAGATTAATTTCTTGAAATCAACTCTTCACGTTTGCCAGCATAGCTACGACGTTACTCTGAAAGTTCTTAGTCGTGTTTTCCAGCATATCGTTGGTCTAGACTGCGAACTCATGATTATGGGAAACAAAGATTCAAATGCCATCGAAATTGATGAAGATGTTGCCGCCCTTCTTACACCGCAGATCATATACGTCCTCGACTTTGTCGAAAACTCTCCACAAACGATATTTACTCTTTTATTACAATTATTTGACATTTATTTGCTCGATCTTCCATCGTCTTCAGCTGTTCAATACATATTCTTCATTGCTTCATCATTCAGCAGCCAGAACTACCAAAATTTCGTTGGTTTCTTACTTGCAAAATTATTTGATGAAAATGTCAACAAAAGAACTCGAGGCAACGCAGCTTTCTATGCTTCAACATTAATAGCGAGAGCCAAATACATTGATGATCAATTTGCATCGTTTGTTCTTGATTATGTTTCAAATTTCGCTGAATGTTACTTAGAACACATAAAAACAACATCTCCACAGTTCATGACACGCAACATCCAAACTCACGCTGTCTATTATTACGCTTTGCAGTGTTTTGCTTACATTTACTGCTGGAGACACTCCGGATTTGAGAAAATGGAGATTGACGTGGAAAGTCGATGGAAAATCAACTTGTTGTTCAATAACGAACTGGACGCGATGACTGCAATTGATCCAAACACTGCGGAGATGTTCAGCAGTCTCGGGAACATCGAGTACGAGCCTGATTCGAGTGTCATTGAGAGAATCTCTGTCTGGTTCCCTTACGATCCATGTCCTTTGGATGAAGTCAGCGAAAGAGTTTCTTCCATTTACATGCAGTGGGGAGAAGTCGCAGAACCAGCTGATGTCGACGCCGCGCTGGAGCTGAGCCTCAATAGAATATGCGCGTCAAGAGGAATTTCACTTGGAGATATCCTCGGACAATGAATTTTAAAATATTTATTTATCTGTTTTGTTTTTTAAAATTATCAGCAACTATTTTTTTTATAAGGATTTCATGTTATATTTTACTCATGAGAAGTGTGTTTCTTTATGCATCTTTGCATAATATGTGTATATTCATTCATTAAACAATACACATGGTATGTGTTTATAATGCTCACTGTACATGTGTTTATTAATTATTTGCTCTATATTATCTCTTTGAGCATGTGTTTATAATTTATTTACATGGAGCAAGTGTTATCAAAATGTGTGTATATAGATACCCTTGAACGGTTACCCTCATTTTGTACATGTATTTACTAGGTTTTGACAAATTTTGGCAGCAAATTAACTTGCAATGGGCAGGTCTTGATCTGGAAACTTATGAGAATTGCAAGGTATGCTTCTCAATGTGGAATAATGAATGAAACTAGAGATGATTATTAATAGGAAATATTTGGTAACTAATCATAGAATTTTGGAGCAATAATAAGTGTATCTTTAATGAAAAAGATTAGTAAATTAATTAAATAAGAGGATTGTGACAGTATACGAAACATTTTTATTTAATTAAAGAAAAACAATCGTGAACTTGCTAAAATATATGTAAAATATATTACTAATTGAAGAAAAAAAGATAAAAGAATAATAAAATTGTAAATTTTTTGGAAAATCTGGTAGTTAAAGATTGACATTAGTCTATAATGGTATTAATTGAAAGTAATGCATTCAAACTATAACCTTGAAAAGCCGATCAAAAATAAATTGCAATTTTTTCTATCTAAGTAAGAATTGAGTATTATATCGTTGGTCCTAATTAATTAGATAGTGAATTATAAGAAATTAACTAAATAATTCAGCAACAACGTAAATCATTGCCAAAAGTAAGATTGTAGATGTGATATATCTGAAAATATTGATACAGTGACTCTGTTGTTCAATTATATTGACATCATTTCCATCTTCTGATGAATTTTCATCAGAGACTTTTTCCTCGTGTAAAATAAGGGGAGAATTTATATCTTCGCCTGCAACATTTTCATTAAATCCGATGGATGTATTGGATTTTGACCCCTGGAATGGAGCAAAGCGTGTTTGTAATTCGGTAATTGTTGTTCTGAGCTGAGTAACATAATTTCGTGCTTCTCTTCTTTGATTCATTTCCCAAATGCTTGATTGAGCAATAATGCTTTGAATTACATTTTCAATTTGGTTAAAAAGAGCAATTAATTGAGAAACCTTGCCTATTTCATTCTTTGTTTGGTTGCTTTCTAATGATTGTAAGTTTTGCTCGATCTTTTCAATAATGGAATCTGCTTCAGCTTGGAATTGAGATAAATCATTCATTTAGACTTTTATGTTATTTAATTTATTGCCCGTGATTATATTTAATTTCTATCAAATTTTGAGAGTATAACGGGCAAATTTATAAATCAACTTTTTATATCATGATAATACAATAAGAACTCAATAAAAAATAGTTTTGTAGGGAATTGAATAAAAGTAAAGCCTTTAAAACAATACGAAATTAAAAGATATTTGAATTAACGAATGTGATTCCTTGTTCCTTCATTTCTTTGAGAGCAGCAATGGAGCTTTCTTTTTGTACTCCTGCAATGCAATCTTCAATTAAGTAAACTTTGTAGCCAAGTTTAACCGCATCGAGAGCGGAGAATTTAACGCAGAAATCAGTGGCAACTCCCAAAATATACAATGTTTTGATGCCTTTGCTGCGAAGTAATTGATCAGCATTTGTTTGTGAAGATTTTATGACATCGAAGAAGCAGCTGTAGGAATCAATCTTCTCGTTAGTTCCTTTATATACTACCATATCACCATCCTTCTTTATTAAATCCTTCTGTAACTCCGCTCCTTTTGAATTTTGAACACAATGTGCTGGGAAAAGCATTTGCTTGACAGATCCTGCATCAACGATATCATATACCTTGTGTCCTGGATGGCTATCAACAAAAGAAACATGATTCTTTGGATGCCAGTCGTAAGTAAATAAAACATTTTGGAATTTTGAACGGATTCTGTTAACTTTTGGAATAATATCCATGGCTCCTTTGACACTAAGTGAGCCTGTTGGCTCGACAAAGTCGTTCTGAAGATCTATAACGACGAGTGCTGTATCTTGCATCTACTGCAAATGATTCAATTGATCTGAAAAAACAGCCATTTTCAATTTTTGTGAGAAATGTTAAATTGAATGATGATTGGCCGAAAATTTTTCAAACAAAAATGAAGTATTTTAATCTGATTTTACTTTTAAAAATTAATTAAAATTTTGAAAATTTTTGTTGGAAAAGAAAAAGAGTCAAAATTCAGTTTAAGCGAATATCAACGTTTGAATAGGCCCTGACATATTTAGCTCAATATCTTAGAAACAAATGAATTATCTATTACTTTTCTTTTCAATTCGGAAGATGTTTGCCAATTTGATATTTCACGTTATCTGGATAAATAAAATCAAACATAATTGAATTTATAAATGTTATATTTATTAAATACAAAAAAATAAGATAAGTTATTGCAAAATCTTAACAAATCCATTCTCTGTTGCAGAGATGAGTCTTCCATTTGCTGGATTCCATTGGAGATATGTAACAGCAGTTCCTCTGAAGTCATCTTTTATTTTCTGGACGCATGTTCCCATTCCGATATCCCAAATTTCAACTCCAAGTCTTTCTGTTCCGATTGCGATGAATCTAGAGTCAGGGCTAATAGAAACGCCTATCTTTGTTGTCCTTGATCCGCAAATGATTGTTCTTTCGCATCTTGCAGATCTTAGATCCCATAATCTGCAAGTTTCATCGAAAGCAGCGGACAAAACGAAAGAAGGAGTATCAGGAAGCCTTGGAGTGAACATTCCGCCATAATTCGCTACAACTGTATGGATAGGACGCTCATGTTGAGTGTCGATTTCAACAGTTTTCTGGCATGTGTAGAAATCAACAGCAGCAACGGTTTTTGCGGTGGTCGCATAGCAGACAACAGGCGATTTAGGAACATTTGAAGCGGCCAATGATACTATTTTCGATGAACCTGTGTTAACAGTCGAAATACATTTATATGTTCCTGTTTGATGCATATTTTGGATATCTTTTGATGAGATATTCGGAAGTTTATAGCCGAATAAGTGGAGATTCTGGCCGCAGGAGGACACAATGAACTTGTCCTGCCATAGAAAACTGCATCCTGTCAGTTCTTCGGGGAATTTCGCTCCTTTTCCATCAGTCTTGATAGTATCTATGGTCAAGAGACTATCTGGACGGTCGATGTCCCATAATTTAATGGTTTTGTCAATAGAGCAAGATGCGAAATTTTTATCAGTTGACCAGCTGAGGCCGGTGACCTGTTGGTGATGTCCGAGATACGCTGGGAATGATGTTCCTTTCATTTTTACAAATACTACTGTTCCGCTTTGGTCAGACGTGATTAATCTTTTTCCATCAGGAGAAACAGCAGCTGTAAGGATTGGAGTATCATGAGGCTGGCTTGTAGATTTAACAGAAGTTGGAGCTTTGCAGATTTTTGGCTCTTTTGGAGCTTCATCTTTTTTGACTGGTTTTTTGGCAGCTGGCTTCTTGGCAAGTCTGTTTGGTGGAGCCTGTGGCTTGGCCGCGTAGCCACTGCTTTTAATTTTCTTGTGAAGAGTTGCAATCGGAGTTGATTGCTTTGTTTTTGGCTGAATTTCAGCATTAAGAGGTGATTCCTCTGGAGGATCTTCTGTTGGAAATAGATCTGTACCAAGTTCTGGTAAAATTCCGAGAGAAAGGCGTTTAACTGTAATATCTTTTGTTAATGCGGATCTGCTAGCAACAATCATATCGCAGAATGAGACAGTATCAACAGCATCATCGAAAGTATGAACTACTGATTTTTCGAGTGTATTTATGTTGAATGAAATAACAGAATTTGCTGTAGCCACTAACATGAACTCTCTTGATCCATTACTGCAAAATCCTGTATTTATGATCGATGGAGATAGCCCCGCAGTGATTGGTTCGTCCTTAGGAATGATGGATTTTGATGGTTTATTTTTAGAAATAACTATTGTCTCTTCTTCCTCTTCTTCAACATCTGTAAGTTCTACTCGTGTCATATTAATTGTTTTTATGAATTTAACTGAAGGTTTTGAGTTCAAAATCGGGGAAGCATCGTATAACCTAACGAATCCATCTTCAAAAGCAAGCGCAAAGTACTGATTTGTCTTGAATGTAACAATTCCTTTAATTAAATTGCTTGATTCGAATGGTGACTCGTAGCAATGGCATCTACGATTTAAATCCCAAACATAGAAGCGATTATCTTCACTACATGTAATGAGAAGATGTTCGTAGCTATCATATGTCATGAATGCGCATTTGACTATGTTTGCTTCATGACCTTCGAGGGCAGCTATTAATGCTTTTTCTAATGGTTTAGATAAATCATATACCAAAGCTACATTTCCAGCAGCAACTGCCATATGAGTATTGAAAGCGTTAAACGAGACAGCAGAAGGTGAGATTGATTCAAGTCCTACTGGGAAGAAGTATTGAATGAGCTTGCCATTGGGTTGAACAATAATAATTGATCCATTGAATCCTATTGTAGGTAGTGGACCCTCTCCAACAAAAGAAATTTGAGTATTTAGATCGTAATTTTGTTTCACCGAAGATTCAACATCTAATATTTGGACATTATTGCGATATGAAGTTATTATTGATCCTTCTTCATCTGCAACTGCAAAATTTGTTGATTTTACTTTAATTACTCTTTTCATTTATCAAATTTAACCATAAAAGTGACGTTTTGATAAAATACATATTTTTAATCAGCAAATATAAAACGCAATATTAATTTCTTTGACTTATATCTCAAAAAATTGAATTGAAAGTTAAATTCTCAAATGTTTTTATTTTGTCTTATTTCGCGAGTGTCAGCAGACCAAGATTCAGGTACTGATTTCTACACAGACTTTAATTTAGTGAAAGACAAGAATTATGATAAAACAATTGAAATTCCATCATATTATTCATCGTATTCATGTGATTTTACCACTATCACGGCTCAAAAAGTCCTTGTGAAGTTTGAGGGAGGTTCTCTCAGACTTTATGTAACAGCTCTTGGATTACCACACTTTGTTTACGTTACATTTATTGCTACGCAACAAGATTATTTAGCAACTTTAATGCAAGCACATCTATATGGAAATGTATTTTTCGAAACCCAGTCTCCCTGTCAAGTATATACTTACTTTGATAATAATTATCCAGATGTGTTGCCTGTTGCTTACTTCACTGCATCTAGTCCTGCCGTTGGATATTTTAATGAAGGAATTGGAAAGCCAGGTCATAATATTTTAACAGATATTCGAGGTGTTGCTCCGGATGAAACGATTTCCAGACCAACTGTAAGTCAAGGTGAAACAATTACAATACTTAATTACAATAATGTTGTTTTTCATCCTTTTGTATCAATTGAAGATGCTCAATATTATAAGCATTCCAGTGCTGCTCCAAAACCTCAGACACCCATTAAAACTCCATTTCCCACCGCATATGAAACTCTATCTTCCACAGCACACGAAACTCCATTTTCTACAGCTCATCAAACTCCATTTTTGACAGCACACGAAACCCCATTTTCTACAGCTCATCAAACTCCATTTTTGACAGCTCATCAAACTCCATTTTTGACAGCTCATCAAACTCCATTTTTGACAGCACAGGAAACTCCAATTTCGGAAGAAGATGAGACTCCATTTTCCACAGCACACGAAACTCCATTTTCTACAGCTCATCAAACTCCATTTTTGACAGCACAGGAAACTCCATTTTCCACAGGACATGAAACTCCATTTTTGACAGCATATGAAACTCCATTTTTGACTGCGCATCAAACTCCGTTTTTGACGGCGCATGAAACTCCTTCTGTTACAGCAGAAGTTCCTCCAACACCAAATATATCCGAATTAACTAATGAAAACGAGACTCAAAAGCGTGAAAATGTTTATGATGGAATGTATTACATCAATTCTCGTCTAGCAGAGATCAAGAAGTACTATAAGAACACTGAGGCAACAATTATTTGTGATGAAGATCGTTTGAACTACAACATCGTCGCAATTAATTCAACAATTGAAGTTAAGTCTGATTCACTCTGTCAAGCCTCTGTTTATGGTAGACACAACAAGATCATCGCTAATGGACCGATCTCATTCTTAATATATGCAGACACTAACTATCTCACAGAAGAATTTGATCTATCTGATCCAAAAAGACATCCCCTTTGGCGAGTGATCGGAAGCAACAATGTTTTTAAGACTAAGTTTACTGGTAAGGCAACAGAAGACTACTCCATTGCATGGTACGGCTTTGATGGAAAAGGAACAGTTTTCCCAGAGCTTGGCAGCAACATGAAATTCGAAAATATTATTTATGGTGATATTATTAATATGGTATCATACGAACAAATTTCAGCAAGCAGAGAACTTGAAATGAAAAACTTTATCATGCTTTCTGTCAAATCAGGAGCTAAACCACCGCAAAAACCCTTGTCATTACTAGTCATTGTCAATATAGTTGGCGCAATCTCTCTTATTTTAACTATAGTTATTATTTTTATTGTGTTTAAATACGGATGTAAAGATTATGAATCCGAATAGAGATTATCGACACATTTTCAATAATGCGAAGGCGTCGGTAATTAAAACTTCTTAAGGAGAAAATCTTTATAACCGTCTACAATAATCTTTCAGCGGAATTAGAAGAAAAATTTCACCAAAAACGATACTTTTTTCAGAAAAGTCATTATCTGGTACTTTTATGTATATCATTCATCAGTAAGTACTCAATATTATTATTTTCCAGCTTGAAGATTAAGTCCAAAGATTATATTAAATTTTGTTATTGATTATTAGATATAAATTATGTTATTTGTCGTTGTGTTGTAAATAATAGTGTGTTTATTATCATTCTATCTTAATTAATTTTTTACATGCTTCATGGAATTATCGAATAATGGTGCAGCAATATGCACTTGAAGATAATACAAGATTAATTTATAAAAATCGTAATTTTTTTAAAAAAAAAATCGATTAAAGATATGTATTTTTGAGGGTCTGACGTCATGACATAAGCCACTTTTTATTGGATAGCTTACAGCATGACGTCGTTGTATGACCGACCAATGTTAAGTTAAATATCTGAGAATGAAAGCTAAATCCTGTTAGCTAGCTTGCCATTTATAAAGATTTTGTTACATTTCCCTCTATGATTTCCTAAATTTGGAAGTGTTTACCATCCTCTCAAAAAACAATTTCATGGAAAAATTTTGTTATTGACTTCAATGAAACATAATGCTTATGCTGGTATAGACAACATATTAAAATTCAATAATATTTTTGACTAAATTTTCATCAAAAAAAAATCGTGCTGTTCTGAAAATTTAAAAACTGCCATTCAATATGTCCTCTGAAGGCGACCCATCTAAGCCAACAACACCTAATTCAGGCGACCAATTGCCTAATCAGAATACTGCAGAGGTCGATGCTGACGGAAACCCAAAGTCTCCAGAAGTTCCATTTAAAGCAGAAGTTACAGAATTAAAGCCAGGAACATTACAACCACAAAACCAAAAAGCATCACCACTTGGTGGCAAATCTGCATCACCTTTTGGTGCTTCAACTGCAAAACCATTCGGATCATCTGCATTTGGTCCAAAGCCAGCAGGATCAAATCCATTTGGAAAACAAGCAGGCTCAAATCCTTTTGGAGGTTCTACATCAACTGGTTTTGGTGGAAAGCAATTAGGCTCAAACCCATTTGCAAAAGCACCCGGAGCTTCATCAAACCCATTCGCAGCAAAAACATCTTCCCCATTTGGTGCAAAATTATCCGGAGAAAAGAAAGATGAAAAAGCAGAGCAAGCTCCAGCTGAAGAAAAGAAAGACGCTGCTCCAACTACACAAACCTCTCCATTTAAATCTGGTGGATCACCAGGTAAATTCGGTGGATCTCCATTTGGCTCTCCAAGTAAATCTCCATTTGGCGGTGCATCCGCAACTACATCTCCATTTGGCGGTCCTAAACAAGCATCTCCATTTGGTGGCTCTGCAACTGGCTCTCCATTTGGCGCAAAGAAGCCAGGAAGTAACGAAGAAAAGAAGGAAGAATCCAAGCCATCAGAACCTGTTGAAAAGAAGGAAGAAAACAAAGAAGAAAAGAAACCAGAAGCCAAACCATCTCCATTTGGTGCTGGTGCTAAACTAGTTTTCAGTGCTAGTACATCAAAGCCATTCGGTGCTGGTACATCTCCATTCAGTACTGCTAAAACAAGTCCATTTGGTGCTTCAGCAGGAGCAAATCCATTTGGCGCAAAGAAGTTAGGAAGTAACGAAGAAAAGAAGGAAGAAGCCAAGCCATCAGAACCTGTTGAAAAGAAGGAAGAAAACAAAGAAGAGAAGAAGCCATCTCCATTTGCTAATCCATTTGGAAAGAACGTAGGTGTTGCTCACAATCCATTTATGAAGATTAAAACAGAACAACCAACTGAACAAAAGAAGGAAGAAGTTCCAGCTAAGGCAGCTGCTCCTCCAATGAGCGCATTCACATCAAAGGCACCAGATGCATCCAAATTCGCAACTCCAGGAACAACATCCAAAGCTGCAGCTCCTCCAATGGGTTCATTCACTTCCAAAGCTCCTGATGCTTCTAAGTTTGCAACTCCAGGAGCTTCATTAGCCAAAGCAGCTGCTCCTCCATTGAGTGCATTCACATCAAAGGCACCAGATGCTTCTAAGTTTGCAACTCCAGGTAAACCAAAGAAAGAGACAAACACATCAGGAGCTCCTCCACTTTCTTCATTCACATCCAAGGCTCCCGATGCAAATAAGTTTGGCACTCCAGCACCTTTAGCCAAGAAGGAAGAGACAGGACACGCCGGACTTCCAGTCAGAGTACAGAGCCAGTTCATCAAACCAGAAGTCCAAGAGAAGAAGGAAGAACCAGCCAAAGCAGCAGCTCCTTCTGGACCAGGAAAGGAACTCAAGGAAGTCCCACCTCCACCAGATTCATCCTTTGTTCCTCAGAAGCCAATTGCAAATGCAAACAAGTCTCCAATCAGTTCCGCTCCTCACCCAGTTGCAGCAAATCCATCTCCAAATACTGCTTCAAAGCCAATCACTTTTGGTTCTGGTGCTGCAAAGCCAAACTCAGGCGCATTCGGTTCAAAGGCAGGAACAACTGCATTTGGTGCTCCAAAACCAACTTCAACATTTTCAGCTGCGGGTTGGGGTAAGGCAGCAGTCGATTTAAAGTCAGCTGAAACTAAACCAGCAGAAAACAAACCTGTTGTTGCAGCTAAACAAGCAGAGAACAAACCAGCTGAAACTAAGCCAGCCGAAAAGGGTGGATTCCGTCCATCAAACGGATTCACACTCGGTGGAGATATCAAGCCAGAAGACTTAAAGCGTGCTTCCGGTGCTAATTGGGGAAAGTTCGAACCACCATCAGCCACAAAGACAACAAACGCTGCTCCAGCTGAAAAACCAGCCCTCGCTACAAAGCCACTATTAGGCAGTGGATTACCTCTTGGAAACAAGCCAGCAGGTACTTTAGCTGGTGGATTAAAGGGATTTGGTAGTAAAGGAAAGCCAGATCTTAGAAGTCTTAACATGAAAGGCGGCGTAGAACCAAAGAAGGAAGAAGAAGAACAGAAGAAAGAAGAGCCAAAGAAGGCTGAAGAAAAGCAGAAGAAGGAAGAGCCAAAGAAGGTTCCATCCAAACAATCTGTCGAGCCAAAGAAGGAAGGAGAAAGAGTTCACCGCCACCGCCATCACAGAGATCAGCCAGTTCCTCCTCCATTCCCACAGCAGATGCCACAGATGCCATACATGTACCCACCAATGCAGATGCCTTACCCACAACTGCCATTCAACATGATGGGAATGCCACAAGCACAGCCACAACAGCTACCTCAGGGAATGCCACAGATCCAGATGCCAATCTCTCCATTCAACCAGCCAATCATGGTCATGATGCAGCCAATCTACATCCCTTATCCACAGATGCCTCCAATGGGTCCAATGGGAATGCCCCCACAAGATTCTTCAGATGTAGAGTACTTGAACGTTCCACAAGACGCGTTCATTGAGGCTCAAAAGATTGCTGGAGAAGGAAAGGAAGTCAAGAAGAAACACATAAAGAAAGCGATGAAGAAACTCGGCTATTCAAAGTAAATTTGTTAAAAAAAAATAGAGTGATCGAAAAAAAGTTTTAAATTCGCTAAATATCGATTAAACAATTTATGTTTTAAGGGTGCACCCGTATGTACGTTTATTTGAGAGGAGGAGGATTACCCTCTCAATTTTGAGGGATTCGTTAGTTTATTTTCTCGATGAATATGCAATAAAATTTGATTTTTACCTTATCAATATACTTCATATAATATACACATGTTCATGTAAAAACTTTTTTCCAAAATCCTCAGGAATTAAGGAATTTTTGAATTTTAAGAATTTTTTTCGAATTTTTTCGAAAAAAAAATATTTTCAGAACAGCCTTAACGGCTAAGATTTAGGAACAATGTTAAGTATCAAAAAGAAAGGAGGTCTGATATAGACAACATATATCGTTGAAGGTTGAAAAAATCTCTAATATTTGAGCCCAAAATTTCAAATTTTAATTTTTTGAAAAAAGAGGCCACCCGTATGTACGTTTATTTGAGAGGAGGAGGATTATATTTTTGAAAGGGTGAAACATTATGAATATGTTAATTATATAATAATATGTATTATTATAAAAAAGAAAAAATAAAGCACGTTAAAATTTTTCTTTCTTGATTTTTTACAAAATCTACTTAGAATTATGCAAAATATGACTAAATAATTATAAATTTCAAGTTAAATTTTAATTTTGATAAATAATTTAAATTTCAAAATATCAAGTTCAGTTCGACTATGTATGTAGTAATTCCTCAATAAAGTGCCAAAACCCTATTAAAATATATGAACATTTTCAACATTTTAATGTTTTTATTTAAAAATTTGATGGAATATGAGCTTCAAACAATTATTATGTAAATAAAAATAATTAAATATATGTATTTATTCGTATTACAACGGTAGTAAGTTGATTCTTCCTTTCTTCTACTGAGTTTTGAATTTGATTTCGAATTGTAAAGAGATTCAAAGGGAAAATACTAGCGGATAAAAACTACCTCCATGAAAGGGTCATAATGGAGTCAAGTTGTATTTTTTGATATTTTTTGCTTTTCGAGCCTAAATAGGTAGCCAAGATAATGCCTAAAAATAAGGTTCTAAATTCTGAAGTTTACATGATCCTCTCGTGTGCACCCTTAAAAAAAAGAACTAATATTTTCCTTGATTCAAATAAAATATTTTACGAAGCTATTTAATTCATTTGAAGTTTTGTGTTAGATAACTGTAATTGTGCTATATTAATGTATTGTACGTGATTGTATTCACGAGATGCATAATTATATGACCGAGATAACTATATCTTTTCCGTTAAGCATTAATTCATAAAAGATAGGTAAGGCAAATCCGATTAAATGAAAACCATGAATTCATTTAGGTTCAAACGCATTGATTTCTAAATATCAGCTTCGATATACTAATTGGTGCAGGTTGTCCAATCTGAAAATTATTCAATTTTGAATGTTCAAAAGCTTGACTGTACGAGCTTGGAATTAGATTTTGTACTTTATTTGCAATCAGAAAATACTAGTTTTGGCCATACTTTTTCATAGACGTAAAATATAATAATGACAGTTTAAATGTATTAAAGAAAATGGTATTTGCTTTTTTTAAATGGGATTTCAAATTGTTAATGTTTTACTCAGTATTTACTGTTGTGGCTTTTCCTCACCATCCTTAGAGTGGGAGTGATGCTTGCGGTGCTTGTGCTCGCCATCCTTAGAGTGGGAGTGGTGCTTGCGGTGCTTGCGCTTCTTGCCTTCTGGATTCTCGCCGCCTTCAGCTGGTGCATCTCCTTCCTTCTCATCAGAAGATGAGGATGATGAGAGAGCATCAGAGATCTTGTCAGCAACCTTCTCGAAGAATCCCTTCTTCTTCTTTTCATCATCAGAGGAGTCCTTCTTTTCCTCAGCTGGTTGTTCCTCCTTCTTCTCCTCTGGCTTTGGTTCCTTCTTGGAGTGATGCTTGTGGTGGTGCTTCTTGCCCTTCTTGACCTTCTGGACGAAGACTGTAGCTGGGATCCACTTCTGCTCTTCCTTGCCATTAACTTCCCAAAGGATGACTGGTGTGCCGTCCTCGAAACGAGCACCCTGGACATCGAGGCAAAGGCCCTTGGAGTTACGGATTGTCTGATCTGGGTAGTAGAACCATCTCTCCTGGCGCTTTGAAACGTGGTCCTGGATGACGATTGAGCCAAGATCTGGGTTCTCTGGCTCAAGGAGGCAGCCAGAAAGGGCGTTGACCATACGCTCCTTGAAGAGGATGAATTGGTTGTGAAGACCTCTTTCGAACTTCCAGATAACAAGCTGGCCATCGCGCTCAGCGCAGCTCTTGTCAGCGATTGTCAAAAGGTATTCTTTATGGGCTGCGTTGATGAAATAGCAGTTCATATCGACAAGTGAGGTTACAAATTAAACGACCTCACTTTTTTATAAATAAAAAAATTTATGCAGCATAAATTGATAAGAATTCCGATCTAGTTATGGTTATGGAACAGATTACGAATTTTAGTTTTTGAAAAATGATAAATGGGTCTCTTGTAAACCATTCAAAATTACAAATATTTTTTTATGTGTTTTATCGTCCTTTATTTGATGGTCTTTTTAAATTAAAATTGGAATTGTCTATAGAAGTGAATTCTAGAATGCGTAAAATATAACTTTTTTTGGCAATCTATTTTTAGCGTTATTGTTTCATATTGACTGCCACTGAATCCTGAGAAACCAGGAAGCTAGTGTTTTGGTAAACTTGATATGGAAATTATAATGCACCAAGAAAAATTAGTTATCTACCCATATAGACCCTATTATACGGATATCTACTATTATTAATTAAATTAACAGATCATTACCCTTTAAATCTTAATGTATTATATGGGTAATATATGAATCCATATAATTTATCCATTTTAATTCAGGTTTTTTATTACGATTCTGTTCGTTGAACTAATTCTCAGTTTCATTTATATGTTTTAATTTGGCTTGCATTATATTACTCACTTTAAATGCCATTCAGGCTATTTAAACATAATTTTCTGCATTTTTACAATTTTCATCAATTTAAAGCAAATTCTTTGCTTATTTGCTTCCTTCTTCCTTATTAATTAATTTATTACTATTTGAGCTATGGTTCTATTGGAATCATTGAACATTGAATTATTCCTTATTAAAGAATGCTATATTCTGTTTCAAAGAATTGGAATTGGACTACAAGTTCAGCTGGAAATATTAATTTTGCCTCAGCAATTCATTTTGAAAATTCGGATTCATATTATAGCAAGTCTATGAGCTTATTAACAAAAATCATATTTGTTTTATTCAGAAATCAGATATTTCTAATATCGTTCATTTTTTTACATGTTAGAGAGATATCTCCGATATTATGTTGAGCATCCTTCTTTTTTTATTGAGTCACTGTTATTGTTTTTCATTTCGTTGCATGCCTGTCCAGTGTCTCCTCTTAATCATTTTTGACAAATTTATTCTCTCTTATACTTCATGAAATACTAATTCAACTATGCAGATATTGCTAACTAAATGGTATTGAATTAAGAGTTACTCAAAAAAAGCTCCAATTTAAGGAACTCTGATTAACCCCTTGATGGAAGCGTATTCAAAGAATGAATTTATGTAATTATAGGTAAAATCCAGTAAAATTATACTTAATTAACCCAATAAAGCATGAGTTATTATAATGCACACACTCTTCTTGAAAATTACATTTAGTTATGCAAAAGTAACAATGCAATTAAAATAATGATTCAAATAGGCTTGCGAATCACATATGAATATGAATGAAGCACTATAATATTTTCTAAAAATCCAATTCATCCAAAGTCTCAGTTTGAAAATTCGGCATGATCCAAAACGAAATACTACATGATAAAAGTTTCAATTGATGGTCGAGGTGGAGCTTTCAAGAAAATTTTTTGATGTGTAAATTAATTTGATCATTATAGTCGATTGCTATTTGAAATTTTTATCCTTCTATACCAACACAGCTATATTTAAAAGTCCATCAAGGGAATACGTAAGATTTAAAAAATGAAGGAGCTCGCTCGATGAAATTTAAATCACAAAAAAATAATAATAAGATACTAATACCTAAGTGATGGGCAAAGAAAAAGTGATTTCTTTCACATGAGAAAATTGCGCAAATCTTGTAATAAACCTCCGAAATTTTTCTGAGAGGGCAAATCATTCTTTCAATTGGCATAATTTAAAATCTAGATCTATGTCATGTTACAATTATATTAAAATGATGATTAGACAAAATGAATTCTGAAATTTGTGGTGTTAGTCAAAATGAAAAATTAGATATCCAAATAACACGGCTTAATATAATTCATTATTGCATTTCATTTTCAATTTGTATGATTGACGATAAGTAAATTATTACCGAGAATTGCATAATAATATAAGCGAAGAACAAAATATCAAAATTTATGAAATTGAAATAAAATATAATTTTCATAAAACTATGATGGAAGTTGACCCAGAGACGTTTCAAGACAATCTACTCAAATTCTTGGGAGAATCACCAACATTTGAGCTTGGCCAGAAGCAGCGCTATATATATTTCCATGATTTATCAAAAAAATTGGAGAAAATGAAGACTGTTTTTTCAAATTACCGAGTTCAATATGCCTCACTTCAACAAAAACTCACCGACATTGAAGAAGCATTAACAGGTGTTTCGGAGTTTTCCGCTCCATTGAGAAATTGCAGATTTCAGGTTGTGACTAATGGAATTAAAGATTCTATAAATGTTTATCTTAAAGTATTTGATGACTATATTCTCAATCCTGTCATCAAGTTCATCAATTCGCTTGAAGACATGGAGTTCTTGAATACAGTTGCAGACGAAAATCACACAAATTTCGAAGATGCTTATGATAAGTTTATGCAAGAGTCTAATACTAATTCCAAAGCATATCTCACAAAACAGTCCAATCTTATCGATGCTCACAAATATGCTTCATCCACATTTGTTAATTTTTATAACAAATTAGAAGAAATTACCATTGATATGAAAACACTCCCTTCACTCATCGTAGCTGGTTTCATCGAAGCTCACAACCAACAAGCTGAATCCCTTAATTCTATCCTTATCAAGAACAATAATAACTTAATTAAACATGCCACTCTCTTAGAAATCATCAAATCCGACAAAGAAAAGCAAAAATCAGACGCTCATAAGCTCGAATCATCAGTTTGCGGCATACTTCCAAATTATTGGAACCGATTTTCAACTCCCTTCAAAGGAACAACAAGATTAACGATACAGGGCTGGTTATACAAACGTGGAAAGCGGTTCAGCAGCTGGCAGCGTCGATTTGTCGTTGTTTCGAATGGTTTCTTATCTTACGGAGCTAATGTCGACGATTACATGCGCGATCCTACAACAATCAACTTAGTATTATGCAGCGTACGATACGAAAAGGATTCCCAGCGTCCAAATTGCTTCTCAATCACTTCACCTGACGAAATTAGAGTTTTCGAATGCGTTTCCCAATACGATCTCGACAGATGGATATCTATTATCGAGTCCAACATCATGTCTGCCATTAATAACAGCGGAAAACGTAAGACCCAAGATGTTGCCAGAAATTCAACAATTCTAATGAAGCCAGCCCACTCATTACGCTTCGAATGTGCTGACTGCAAGTCCTGCGATGCTACATGGATCACTTTGAACTGGTGCCAGCACTTATGCAGCAAATGTTCCGGAGTTCACCGTTCTTTGGGACCAACGATCTCCAGAGTTAGATCCATCGTCTTGGATACAATCCATCCGTGGCCTCTCAAAGTGTTCGAGAAATTGAGCACTTCACCGACCAACCAATTCCTCGAATACAAAGTCGAAGACAGGGACAAAATCACAGCGAGCTCTTCGAACGAGAAACGCGAAGAGTACATCAGAAAGAAGTACGTCGACCTCGCATTCGCTGACGACAGGCCAAAGGACTACAACATCTTCGAAGCGATAGAAGAAGGAGATTTATTCAAAGTTTTCAAATGCGTCGCAACAGGTGACCATAAAACAGGCGGAGATTACTTACCAATACACGCAGCAGCAATCCAAGGCGATGCGCTCGTTTTAACTTTGATCGCGATGAATATGAATAATCTTGACGAGGCTGACAACGGAGGATGGACAGCTTTGATATATGCCGTCTATTACGATAACGAAGAGTGCGTTAATTGCTTGATCGATTTAGGCAGCGATCCAGAAAAATCTTCTGTTCCTCTCTGGAAGTGCGCGAAGGCTATTAAATCGCAGCACATGATGACTAAGTTCCCACCGCCATCACCAGAACTTAATAACGAAGAGAACATCGAGATTACGCCACCTCATGGTCCGAAATCTGCTCCAAGAAAGAGATTTTTGACAAATACTGACTTGGTCCCACCAATGCCATCAAGACCAAGAAGATCAGATAGATTGTCCGCTGTAGAAACACTCCATGAGTTCGCAAAGAAGAGAAGATACTCCTATAATCAAGTTGCTGAGTCAGATTAATAGTTTTTGTATTTTATTTGTTTTTAACAACTGGTAAATCTATTTATATTTTGAATGTTTCACTTATTTTGCTCAATTTGATTTGTTCAATTGAATTAAAGATTGTATTTATGGTGCGAGTCACAAATTACAAATATATTGTCTTACAAAAATGAGTTTTCGATGATTTTTATTTCTTCTAATTGAAAAATAGTCTCATTGAATGAATCGAATGAATCTTGGTTAGTAAATTTGCTCAGTCTAATATACTCAAAGTAATATCTATGTTCAATAGTCATATTTACATGGATCCAAACTCAATAATAGACACACAGTCTCAATGATTCACTACAGAATTTCGATTATGATCGATAAGCAAAGCCCAGAAAGGATGGGAAAAAAGAAGTATTTGATTTTGTTAGTTAAATAGCAAAATTGTTTAGTTTAAAGGTACTTCTCAAGGCGGTGGAAGATATCAGCGCAGCGGCATGAGTACATCCACTCGTTATCGTACCAGGAGAGAACCTTGACGAGTGTGCCCTGGCCTTCTGGGTTTGGAAGAACCTTTGTGGAGAGAGCATCAACGATGGATGAGTACTGGCAGCCGATGATATCGGATGAAACGATTGGGTCTGTGACGTATGTCATGATGCCCTTGAGGGAGCCTTCCTCTGTAGCCTTCTTGAGGGCGGCGTTGACTTCCTCCTTTGTGACCTTGGCGTTAACGTTGACTGTGAGGTCGACGAGGGAGCCTGTGATTGTTGGGACACGGAGAGCGAAGCCATCGAGGGACTTTGGTGGGAGACCGTGGCAAACCTTTGGAAGAGCGATAGCAGCACCTGTGGATGTTGGGATGATGTTCATGCCAGCAGCACGAGCACGGCGGAGATCCTTGTGCATTGTATCAGCGACAACCTGATCGTTTGTGTAGGAGTGGACTGTTGTCATGAAGCCGTTGCGGATTCCGAAGGCGTTGTTGAGTGTCTTAGCAACTGGGCCAAGGCAGTTTGTTGTGCAGGAAGCGTTGGAGATGCACTTTGTCTCTGGCTTGAGATCTTCATCGTTGACACCGAGAACGAGTGTGCATTCGATCTCATCAGCAGATGGGACGGAAAGGACAACCTTCTTAGCACCAGAAACAAGGTGGCCATCATAACCATCCTTTTTGATCTTGCCTTCAGCATCCTTCTCGGCCTTTGTACGGAAGATACCTGTTGACTCGAGGACAACATCGATGCCGAGCTCCTTCCATGGGAGCTGGGATGGGCCAAGGCGGCCACCGATTGACTTAACAACCCACTTGTCAGCGCCTTCACCGACTGTGAATTCCTGCTTAGCCTCATCGACTGTGACTGGCTCTGGGAATGCACGGTGAGCTGTATCGTATTTGAGGAGGTAAACGTTTGTCTTGATGTCACCAAGATCGTGGATAGCGACAACTTGGATATCCTTTGGATAGAGCTTGCGGCAAGCGCGGAAAACGAGACGACCAATTCTGCCGAAACCGTTGATAGCAACTTTAACTACCATGTTAAGTTGAAAGTGATGTGAATTCTTGGCTCACAAATATTGGAAAATTTCCGTCATATATTTCTGAGGTTTACGCGACCACTTACTGTGGAAATTTTCAATACAGAAAAAACAATTATTGTAATTATACTCTATATATCTTGTTAATGAATAAAATCACCTTTTTGGATTTTTAACGATCGATATCTCCCCACAAAAAATTTTTTTCATAGGTATTGTGTTCACTTCACTTTTATGTTTTGAAACACTATTCAAAATAAATGAACAGCTAAAACTGTGATTGGTACTTTTTCTCCATTTTATTGCAGAAAAAAAATTCCCAAATTTTGTTTCCCGAAACTAAGGGATCATGTTAGATTCATTTCCCTAATTTTACAAATATGATCGTATGTCAAATTCGATAAGATACGAATAATTAGTGATCTCATTTTCGGGATTTCTGATAATATAAAGAAGAGAAAACGAATATATAGATTACAACAAGAACATTCGCCGTAAATTTTAGATAATCTGTTGCAATTTATTAATTTTTCCCAAAAATATCAATAAATTGCCACAGGTTCGCATCAATCTTAATAAATAGGACTCATAGATTGATACAATATAACTTTTTCATGATTTTATTCATTCTCGCGCAAAAATAATTCAAATTCAGATTCGTACTCGTTACATTCTCCTATCTTAGAGCTACTGTATTATCATTAACTTTTTTTCTGCTTTTTACGTTCCTACTGAAAATCTCTAAACCATTTTTTTTAATAACTTTTTGATCTTTATTAATATTTCCTTGAGTTTCTTTTTTGCCTATTTTACACTAAAGGCAAACAGTTCATTCTATTCTTTTTACTTGTTTATTGAGATATTATACGAAATGAATTTCCTCCTGCAGTCTATCTCATTGAATTAAATTTAACAACTTTCATTGGAAAGTTTGATCATTTTGTAACACAAAATCTTGATAACTATTAACAATATAAAATATAATTCTAATATTTGATTTAAATGTATTATATATTATAATAAAATCAAAAGAAATCTTTTATTATTTAGCTTTATTGTTCATTGACAAAGAAATCCGCCTCTGGTTCGTTATTATCTTGTGGACCATTATATTCGTCCATCAGAACTTCGTATGGCCAGTGGAAGTACACCATGAGGAAGGAGAAGATATTTTCAACAGCAAATTTAATGACAAATGAAAGGGAGGATTCAGAGAAGAGCTTGAAAGAAGACAATGCCTGGCAAGCTCCCATGATAATAACAGCGATCAGTCCGCTTGATAGGTAGATATTGAACTTGTAACGCTCTGTAACATCAACTCTTGAAGCTGAAATAAGAATTGACAGAATTGTGTACAGCAAGAATGTAAGATAAACGACCATTTCAGCAACAGATGTGATGGCTGTAGTATTGTAGTTCTTGTTATGTTCTGCGATGAGATGAAGTTTATCATAAATTCCATGGATGCTGTAAACGATGAGAATGATAGAGCACATGATGATCTTAGGTATGTAGAAGCAGCGATCTGTCTTTCTGTTCTTATATCTTAAACTATCGAACAAAACTAAAATGAAAAAGCACATGTAGGAATGGAAAATGGAATCCAATATTCTGTCTAATATAACAAATACTGGTGATGGGTTGTAAACATGGAAAATGTAAAATGGATTATTATAGAAAATAAGTAACGCGACAAGTGGAACTGTGAGCTTCTGTTCGAGATGCCAAAGCTTAACTTCGAGGCCACGTAAGAAATAGAGCATCAATGCAAGGAAGATCGCTGAAACAATTGAGAATAAAAATCTGAAATAGATTTGGAAGTAAGCGTGATCAGGCGTACCAATAGAGTATGTGAGAATAAATGACGAGAAGTGAGTGTACGGATGATCAAATGTTAAATCTATTTCGACTTTATTATAATCGAGAATAATATCTGTAAAGAGGGTAATAGATGTTGTCAAATTAGTTCCATTAATTGGGTAAACAATATATTCGTCATGTGGATGTGAAGCCATGAATCTTTGCGTATTATTATGCGTACAACTAATAGAATATCGGAATGTAATAGATAAATTATTAGCTATGGCATCTGAATTTCGCATAAAGGCAATTGAGATAGAATTTTGGCTGTTGATTGGAAGGATTGCGTCAAATGGAATTTTGATATTTGTAATTGGTGAATCTTTAGAGAATGGATATGAATATTTCTTATGAATATTAACAGGTGGACCGTATATGCCGGATAATATAACAAACACGAGAATAACTCCGAAAACTATTAAAGTTAATAAGTCTTCGTTAAAATTTGCACTATCTATAGCCATGAGAGTTTCACGAACAAGTGACTCTTCGATCTGGATATTCACCATATCATCCGAAGATTCCTTTTCGATTGGTTCTAAAGGGGTTTGCAAATCATTCATTTTTTTATTGATAATTGTGAAAATTTTTATTGAATCTTGCATTTGTATTTCCCGTTCACAAAGAATCACGAATTAAAAGTATATTATGATCACTAAAAAATTTTTGGTTTCTTATTATATCCGTTTTCAATACAATATTTCAATGTTTTCATTATAAAATACGGACATATTTTTGAACACATTATTTACTTTTTTACATCACATGTCGGAGAAAAAAACGTTAAATGAAAGCTGTGAACACTAGACTTCTTCCACTTCAGACTCTTTATCCGAAGAAAAAGGAGAAAGAGCCTCAGAAAAAGGTGGTTCCTTTCGTGAAGCCTGGTGTTTCGGCAAAAATTCCTACTGAACAACAAAATTCAGATTCAATTCGATATGTTCAAGCGTCATTGATCAAGAAAAACATCATGGGCCTTGAAGCGAACTTAAAGGAAATTGAAAATGATACTACTTTCGTTGCAAATGCTATGGCAAAAGCATTACAAGTTCCAACAGCTATTGAATCAACATTTAATCGTATTCACGGCAGAATTTATGATATTCAACGCGAAATTGAATACTCTTCCAATTCACTTGATGATCAAGCATTAACAATTCAGTCGAATTTTAGAAGATTTAAGAACCAGATACATTATGAAAAGATTATGAATGCTGTTCATAGAACTATGCAGAGAGATTGTGCTGCAATCCATGAATGTCTTCTTGGTTTCTTACTCTCATATTCTAAAACAGATGATCATCTTAGAATTCTAATGAACAGACGTTTCCTTGTTCGTAACCGTCATGCACTTAGGTTCTGGCGTGAATGGTCCGAGCAAGCAACAATTGAAGACCAAAAAAGAGAAGCACAAATCCCTCAACTCCAAGAATCATGGACAAGACGCCAAGTTGCTCAGTTCTTGAGGAAATGGCGCGATCTTTCCTTCTCAAAACATTCAAGAAAAGCCGTTCGCCAACTTCAACAAAAAATTGCAGCCGAAGCTCAACGAAGACTTGCGGAAACACCTGGCGATCAGAAACTTACGATTCTCGAACAACTAGCCGAGCAGCGTGTCCAAGTCATTCTTGACTTTGCGAAACAAAATTACGTATATCACATGCAAAGCATTACATTTCGCTGGTGGCGTCGTTTCATTGAGCAATGTAAGAACGAGAGCCGCAGCGGTAACGCTATTGCCAGAGAATTCTACGTAACTCGCAAGAAGAAGACGTTTTTCCAAGCATGGTATTCTCTTTCTGTTGGCAGAGTCAATGTTTTTGGCGGCTACTCGAAATGGCAACGCCCTGTCAACAAGCGAATCGCTCTCTACAAAGACGACTGTTCTCTCAAGAGAATTGTTGTTCGCGAGTGGAGATTAATTGTTGTCAGACGCAAAAACATGATTGCGTTTCGCGAAAAGAGCGAAAGGGAGTTTCTCAGGAGATGCCTTGTCCAATTCCATCTTGCAGCCTCTGACAGAAGGAACAGGCTTGCACACATGGTCGAAACATACATTGCGATTCTACACGGCCAGATGCACAGAGTTTTCATCGCTTGGCATCATTGCGTTGTCAAAAACAAAGTCAGACGGCAGCCAAACGATTTCCTCGAGAAGAGATACTTGTTGATGAGGAAATTCCGCAAGAAGAGGACTTTCTTCAGGCGCTGGGCTGTCAGATACACAGAACACTCAACAACACGCTTCGACAACTTCAAGAACGAAGTTTCAACATACGTCGAACACTGGGAATCCGCTGGAAATGAGATGAAGTCTTCGATGGTTTTGATTTCGAGCCTCAACGAGAAACTCACAACGGAACTCGCTGGAAGAAAGACAGATCTCGAGAACAGCAAGAGAACTGTCGAGTTCATGAAGAACGAGCAGTTGTCACTCGCTTTGGCAATGAAAAACGCAAAGGCTGAAATCGAAAGATTGCAAGAATTGATCGGAAAATCGTCAATGAGATACTTCGTCGATATAAAGCCGATCCACGCAAATGTCGTCGAAAATGTTCCTGCAGCACTTGCAGCTTACATCGCGCAGAAGGAAGAGGAGAAGCAGAGATTGGCTGCAGAGAGAGCTGCTCAACAAGCAGCGTTGATCCAGAAGAACCAAAGACCTGTGAATTCTGGAGCAAAAAGGAGAAAAACAACTTTCTCTGGCGTTAAGAATGGCGTTTCGAGAAACAGCCAGAACAGGCCAACAAGAAAGTCGTTGAGTACGGATCAGACAACAGAATGATTTTTATTTTTATATGTTTTTTTGTTTGTAATAAAATAATTTAGTTAAATCTTTTGTTTTTTCAATAAAATTCTGGAAGAATTATATAATTGTCATGTTATATAGAAAGAATTGTTGATAGAATCAAGTTAAATAAGTTAATTTTTGAAGATTTTGAATCAGATATCTTCAAGAATTTAGAATTTGCAAATTTTTTATAAAGAAAATTGTTAAATAGATATGGCATTCCAAACGGGAACCGCGGTTGGTTACCATGGATTTCCGTCACCGGTCACATTTTAAAGATTTTTAAAGCCTTATAAAAATATGCTTTGTAAATCATTTTTTGTAAATCGGCAAAAATTTGGTAATTTTCTTCAACTAATAAATCTGCGAATAGCATTTATAATACAAGAACAATCTTTTAAAATGCGTTTGATTCATTTTTGTATAATTTCATATAGGCACATATATTCTTCCGGGACTTTCCGTGATTTTACCGTAAAATCATTAGTTTACACCAATTTTCCCGTATTTTGAATAGTTTACTGCACTTTTTCCGTAAAATTGAGTTACGGGAATCCGCAAAATTTCCGGACCTCATTTTTCATAGAATATAATAATAATATTTGATAAAAAGATATATTATTTATATTTTTGATTTTTGAATTACGGAAAAAGTGAATTGTTAACTTGATTTTTTTATATGGTTAATTTTTCAAATGATATTATGAAGATCTAAAATATTAAAAGTAAAAAATTGAATTACGGAAAAAGTGAGGTCAAAAGTGAAATAAATTTGCAGAACAATTTTCATTGAAATAAGCTTTATTTTTCATTATTAATAACAATGCTGTAATAAACAGAAATTCATCAAAAGTGACAGCTCTCAATTTTTTGACATTTGTAAATTCTAAATTGAATGAGAAAAATGAAATAATACTAAGCATAATACAATATTCTAGATTTAATTATAATTAGGAAAAAGTTAGTTTTGAGAGTACTTTTCATAGGCATATAGAATGAAATCTTCTGAAAAATAATATCACATAAACTCATATTATTTTCTAATATATAACTATTTTATATAAAAATCAAATTCAATGATCTTAAAAGCGAAGGATAAACCTCAAAATTTACGAATATAATGAGTGGAAATATAATGCTTAATAAATAAGATAATAAAATAAATTTATACGTAATTACTTTCATTTAATATGCTTTATGCTGTATAATATTGATTAAGAGGCATTAAAAGGTTCCATAATCTGCTTTTATATGCAAGATTTTTGATAAAAATTTTAAATTTTGAAAAATGATGAGAAAAGGAAAAAAAAGGTAAATGAGAGCAAGAGGAGGGAAAAAAAGAAAAAGAAAAGGAAGGGAAAAATAAAAGAAAGAAGGACATATAAAAATTTAGATGCGCATTCTTAATGCCGAGGCGGCTTGCCGCCGAGGCGCGATTTTTTTAGGCCTCTACGGTAACCCGGCAATGTTTTTTTAAATCTTGTACAGCCCTATAAATAGATAAAATAATTAAGAACAACCCATTTAATTTTTAGCAAAAATTCCAAATTTTTTCAAAAATGAAAATTTAAATTGAAAATTCTAGAAAATTGAAATTAAATTTTTAATTTTAGAATTTTTTTGGAATCTCGTGAAACAAAGAATCGTGTTCAATCAACTTCATTCATGAAGATTCAAATGTTTTGATACTTAACTCTTTTACTCAACAAATTTCTTGATTAAATAATAGTTTCTGCAAGAAATTATGATATAACTCAAAGTATATAATTGATGAATGATTGAATTAACATGATAATATCAATATCAAGCTCAAATTATTTTTAATCAACAAAATCATTATTAAATAGATTTACATATATACAAATGATGAATTCTTAATCAAGATTGGTAAAATAAATTGATGAGTTTGATTTACTAAACGGTCACAGATTGCAAAATCTGAGGAAATTTTGATTTTTTGAGTGTTTGATGTCTGAGAACTCTTCAATTTCTTCAAAGAAGAAAGGGAAGAGACGTCATCACCACAAAAATACTGAATCAGATACTCAAAATTCTAACGAGATTGAATCATCTACGCAGAAAGATTTCCTTAAAGCACAATGGATTAGTTTTATGTCCAGAATCGTATTGAAAACCAAAATAAACAATATGAAATCGCTGCAATTCTATGATTACTCGACTAGAACGTTCGCAAATTTCAAAATGTCTATTTATTTTAATAAAATGAAACGGAAATACAAATGGCACAAATTAGCAACAGATTTAGTACATAATAATTGCATTAAAACAATTAGATCAATCGAATATACATCACCAGAGAAAAATTGGCCAATTTTGTTACAATCGGCTGTAAATTATATTCACAATACGCAAATAGCTTCAGCTTTCAGTGAAAGGAACGAAAATCGAAAATTACGACTGATTTTGAAAAATTGGAAGCTCGTGACAATAAAACTGAGATTTACAAGGAGCTTCGCCATGGACAGATGGGTAGAGTTTGTTGAGCGAAAAATGAAAGCATATAAACAGAAGATGAAACAAAACGCTTTGATTTCTTACAATATCTATCAAAAATGGCAACAATTCAACTCACATCTCGTTTTAAAAGATACTCACGATACATTAGTTATCTACAAGCGTAAATACGATACAAAAATCGCATTTGATAGATTTGCTTTTAGAGTTCATGAAGCTCACAAGCGAGAAGTATTTAGAGCTGGAAAAAGATGGCTAGAAAAACGAAAATGGTGGTGCAAAATTGCTGTTAGAGTATTAACACTAAATTCAATTCAAAACTGCAGAGTATTAAAACATAGAGACGAAGTTTTAGAAAAATTCAAAGCTCTGAAGGAGTCTTTAGTGGTTTCTCGTAGAAGAAAAGCTTTAATTAACGCTCGTACGAAACTTGATAATATAATCAAGAATGAAACCAGAAAAATGTACTTAAGAAAGTGGAATGAGAGAATGCATATTGTAAAGTATTCAAAGTTATTCGTTAAATCTCATTTCAACGGAATTCTTAGAGATTATTCGAAGCATATACAAAATGAAGCTGCAAAGAAGATCCAGCATACTTTTCTCGATTTCCAACATAGAATGCGTGAAAATGTTCTTATTGTTCGCAAAGCATTTCTCAAATGGCAAGGAATTTCTTCGAAATTGGCGTTACAGACTCTTGAAGTTGTTCCAGAAATGGATTTGAGACTCAAATCACCAATAATTGATACACTTGATATATTCAAACCACAATTATCCATTGGTTTAGATGTCTTTGATGATTTGATTAATATGAAATACGAAAACAACATGATATTGGCAGACAAAGTTGGTCTTGATGCAAGAGAAATGATTGATGATGTATTGTTCATTCCAAGAAAGTATCCTTTTCTTCCAAATATTGATAATTTTGAAAATGTTGAAATTCCTCTCGATACAACAAGTTATGATATCGAATTTGACTTCTCAGATCTTGTCTGCCCACTTCTTAACGTGGATCCATTAATTAGACGAGGAAACAGACCAGAGATTCCTATCAGTGAACAATTCTTGAACAAATGCACACAACAAACTCGCACAAGAAAGCTTTCACTTGATGAATTATTTGATAACGAGGTAAATCCAATTGAGTCATTGGCTCAAACTAAATTACCAAAGGTAATTAAATGCATGACTTTCGATCCAACAGATTTATTAGAAAAACAACCAGAACCACGGTTCGCACCAATATCAAATTACATAAGCGATGCTTTAATTCCATTGCAAGCTGCAAGATTTAACATTATTTTCCAGTTAAATAATAATTCATATAATATCCTTGATAATAGCTTTGAAAATGCCATTATTAATATCGTCAGACATCACTTTGTGTTCAAATTTGATGTTTTGCAAATTGATATGGAATTATTCAACACAAATGTATTGGATTCGATTGCATTTTCTACATCACTTACAGAAACAATCAGACAGGCAACAATAAATTCAATTAATTCCAATTTGCAAGATTTGTCTGAAATTACTAAAATTGCAAAGCCATTGCCTCATATTGAGTTCTCATTTACAGATGGATTCGATGGAAAACCAGTTTCAATGCGCGTTAGAGATGTCGAAGTTGATCCATCTTTCGGAGAAGAATTAAGAATTTCAGCTTTACGAGAATCACTTCGTGCTGCTACCGGACATATCTCTGGAATCGATATTAGGAAGGTTGATCCTATTATAACAACCAATTTCCCTACAAACTTCTGTGAAAATGTTTTTAATGAATTTAATCTTGGCCAAAAACTGTTTGATTTTGATCTTCCATTCGAAATTCCAGAAGACATTCCATCAGATGACCCAGATAAACTCGAAGAAGAGGAAGAAACCGTTTCTAAAGACCAAACAATTGATGATTCTAAACAAGATACAATTGATGACATAAATATTTCAATAAGAGGAGCAAATATTTCCCAGAATTCAACACTTGATCCATCATCTATTAGTAATTTAGAAGAAGAGGACGTTGATTCACCAAAACGAACAAAGATTCCAATTATTAGTTTTATAACTAATGTTCAGAAAGCTAATTTATTATCAGATGGTGAAGAAACTAAGACAAATACAAGTAGTTATGATGATGACTTCAAATCTCATGGATCATCAATTATTTATGACATCAAAGATGAATTGTTTGATCAAAAACGAGATCCAAATGTTCCTGTTGCAGAAGATCTTGATATGCAATGGATATTAAATGGAATTGATTTATCATTAACTGCTGAAGTAATTGCTCGAGCGAATCATGCAGTTTCTAAGACAATTGGATCATTATTCTTCCCAAGTGTTGAAGAAGAAGACTTAAGTTTATCAGATCCTGATTTCCATTTCGAAGAAGAATCAGAGAATGATGATATTTCATTCCCGCCAATAATGAAATCATTGCCTAAATTTGATAGTGCGATTCTTAATCCAGAAGAATCAATTAACGATACAACAACATCTGATCCAACAATTACAAATACAGATGATCATACAACAAGTGACAGTACAATTGCTAATATCAATATACCAACAACAGGACCAGATTCTAGACCACAAATTTCAAAGGAACCAGAAAATCAACAACCAACAAATATCGAACTTCCTCCAATCACTGTTTTCACTCCTCCTTCAAGTCCATTACCAGAAGACCTTCCATCGCCACCTCCATTGCAAAAACCAGATCCTATTCCAGTATTACCACCTAATATCTCTGATAGTTACAGCGACAAAACAATTGAAAACATCAAACAAGAAGAAGAAGAAGAGGAAGAAGGAAAAATCGAAAACAAAGTTGAAGAAAAAATCAAGGAGGAGGAAGAAGAAAAACCGGAAGCTAAACCCGTTGATGTTAAAGTTGAAGAGGAAGAAGAAGAGATACATGAAGACAAGAATGAAGAGGAAGAAGAGGATATTGATTTCGATCAATTCATATTAAATGATCTAACCAATGTTTTGATGGAATCAATGAAACTTGCATTTCCACAAAACCAAGAAAATGAAAAACCAAAACAAAAGAAGGAAGTTATTCCAGAAGAAGAGATCAATGAAGAGGAAGAAGATGAAATGAGACAGTTGTTGATTGATGCTATTGATTTTGATGATTTAATCAATACAGTTGCAAGAAATTACAAAGAAGAAATTAATGAAGAAGAAGAAGAAGAGAATGTTCCAAATTCTGAAATGTTATTGAAAGAGATGAATTTAGATGGAGTGATCATTGATGCATTTGGAAAAGCATTCGATTTAGGTGTTGATTATGAAGAAGAAGAGGATTATGATGAAGATAATGTTCCAAATACAACAGAACTCGAACCATTCATTGAAGAAGATTCTGAAGAGGAAGATGATACTCCATTCGGACCACCACCAAAAACTCATGCAAGTAGTAGCACTGATATAGATATATCTATAGCAGATTCTTACGATAATAATTCAAATGATAATAATCTCAAAGATATGCTCTCAAAAGCCTTGAATGATGCTATCACCGAGGCAACAAGCGATTATGTTTACAGATATAGAGATGTTTTTTCTCAAAAGAAATAAATTTTGTTTGTATTTTTGATTGTAATTCTCCAAATTCTTTTTTAACATATCAAATAGAATATAGACTAACAGACTAAAGGAAAATACAGATACAAAGTGATTTACTGACTCATATAACAAGACATATTTTATATCCAATTAGATAAAATCAAAAAAGGGTTAGTGTTATCGATACTAATGTTATGACGAATAGAAATTGTAATATATGGTAGCTTGTTGATTAAAATATAATGGTCGGACTTATATTGAAGGAATTAATAGCCAAAAACGAGAAAATTGTTGTTACTCATTGTGATAATCATAACTCTAAATCAAAATGTAAAAAATAAGGAAGGAAAAAAAATTCTCTAAATTATTTTTGAATTTTAGGGTGGGTTTAGGAGATCAAAAGCACGAGCAATCAACCGCTGTAACACCCATTTATCTCTGCCTTTCTAAGGGGAAATGGAAAGCCATTACTCCGCTGGTTATAGACAGAGTTCCGAATGACAAAACCGCCGACCAAGCCACGTTCACACAAATCTATTGAAATCTTTGAAAACTCATTATCTAATTAATGTGAAAAACGAGTTTATTTGAGTGAAATCAATTTAAGAGTAATTTTTGAAATTTCAATTGAAAAATCAATTTTGGAGAGAATGAAAGTGAACATCATATTCCAGTAGTTTATTGCATGATCATTAAACCAAAATTTTTCAAAATGGAAGGTGACGCGCTGATTGAGGAAAACAAATTCACGGTTATGGTTTTTTTGAAGAAACTCAAACATAGATTCCAATTCGGTAGTCTACCATTAGAAAATGAACATTATAATGTTCATAATGACTTCTCTGCTTCTTGGGGTTTTCAATATGATTCTCACCCGGGTCCTATTGAAGAAGCTCTTGTAGATGCAAAGAATTTGAATCGCTCATTATTTATCTTCATATACTGTCGTGAAAATTTAGTGACCCAACGCGTAATTAATGTTTTATCTTCAGATTCAGTTTCACAAGAAATGCAACGCAGCTTTTTATTCTTACCTCTTGATGTTACAACACCTGATGGCATTACTGTTGCAAACATGCTTAAATTCCACCAACTTCCTTTAATCGCTTTAGTTCGTCCACGCGGAAATACTCTCGCTTCATCACAGGTATTCGTACAGCATGAGGGATTGATCGGTGAATCGGTTTTACTTTCATATATCAGAATTGAGCATAATGAACCAGACAATAACCAAACAGAAGTCGTAAACGACCAGGATGCTGCCTATCAAAGAGCTCTTGAACGCGAGGACGAAAGAATAAGACAAGAAGAAATGCATCAAGAAGAAGAACAAATGCAAGAAGAGATGAGCCATGTTCTTCAACAATCAGTTGATGACGCCTTTGCAGCTTTACCGCCTCCACCAACGACAGGAGAAAGAGTTATTGTCAAATTCCAGTTTCCAAACGCAGATGCAAATCAAACAAGAGCTTTTCCACGCGATGGACCAATTTCAATGTTATTTACATTCGCTAGAAAGTTTGTTTTCCCAGATGAATTTGTTCTTAAAGCTGGATTTCCACCTGCTGAACTTGAGGAAACAGAAACGCCTATTTCTCAGACTATACAAGAAAAACAATTCGTTTGTTACGTTGAAATTCAATAAATTATTTGTATTGTTCTTATTTTTAAATTAAATCGGAAATAATTTTCTATCAAAAACAATTTCTCACTTTGTTACGAATAAACTTATATATAGCAACTAAAATGGACTTCATTTTAGAACAATATTTCCTGAAATAAAGTTGTAATTTGATTTTAGAAACAAGAACTAACTATTAACTCATAACAGTGATATGATAACAATTTACAGTAATGTGTGGTTGGCTGAATATCATGATATGTTGTTCATCAGTTGATTGATAAATAATGAATTAAATGTTTTCTACTTTAACGCAAAGATCAGATATTGTAAACTATAAATTATATGTTTTATGCTTAATGTTATCAGTAATAGGAATATCTCATACCTAAGATTAGATGTTTCATCAAAAATTTCAAATAAATTAAACACTTTATAGACAGAAAAACAATAATATTAGATTGCATGGCATTGATTATTAAATAGTTCTCTATATTCCTGTTTCCTATTGTATTGATGGATTGCAACAGGTTTATATTGTGCCGAACCTGATGCGAATTTACCAAGTGGCTTTAGAGGCCAAAGATTCGTTGCATTACCAAACAGAAGATTCACTCCAATTGACCTAAAATCTTTATCAATTGTGATATTCAAATCAATTTTCTGCGGGATTTTGCTTCTCAATACGATATTATATAGAGTTTGATCATTAAGTACTGGTTCGCCAGCTATCCATGTACTTGATACTAGAGATAAAACTTTCCAAACAGAATCTTTATCTCCAGCAAACAAACCAAAACAAATCACATTGTTATTGCCAAAATAATTGATATCAAAACCAGGAATTTTCTTTGCCCAGTTGAAATTATATATTTCAGTTCTTAGTATAATACCTTCATCACTGACATGGAGTGATTGATCATCAAAAGTAAAAGGATCTCCTTGGAAGTATGTATCACCTTGATCATAATAAAGAACTCTTCCTATTTCTTCTTTACATCTTTCTATCACATCTTTAATAATAAGTATCCTACTAAACATCAATTGGTGCTTGTATTCATTATTATCCATTCTTTTTCTACAATTCATTTTCGTAGGAATTAAATCAATTCCGCATTTAACAAATTCATTGGATAGCTTTTCATCAGAAAACAACAAAATCTTCCCTTTATATCCTCCCGTTCTTAAACTTACAGCTGAATATGGTATATTATTGGAGCCTATGTTGATAATAAATACAACATCTTTCTCATTCGATGCAATTTCGCTGTTTTTGACTGCTGAAAAATTACAAAAATTGCATTTTGAAAAATCAATTTTCTTTTGAAGAACTTGTTTTACTTTGTTGATATCATATTCCATGAAATTCAATTCTTCTTCAAATGGATATATCTTAACTGATAAATCTGTAATTTTAACAGGAATAATGACTCGAATATCGTTATAAACATAAAATAATAAAATTAAATTTGTTAAGAAAGTTATTCCAAAATACTTGTTCAAATATTTATATGATAGGATGGTTATTAACATACTGATAATTAAAATTATTGAAGTTTTATTTGTTGTATTTTGATCTTCTGAAAAACTTTCTTCATCATGTATAATTTTAATATTAATTTTATCTGTTTCTTCCCAATCAGTGATTGCACGAAATAGATATTTATTTGAAACAAAATCAAATTCTTTAAATTCGTGAGTACGTTTGTTTAATGCATGAGATTTAATAGAATTACTCTTGTATGAATTGACTGCAAACATTTTATAAGGAGAATTAAACTCGGGCGAGATTTCGATTGAATAAATTTGAAATTTTGACTTGCTTGATATCTCAATTACCTGAGACATGTATGAATTTATATTCTGTTTGGTTATGATTGGATTTAGAGTCTGTCGAAATTCAACATACGTGAGAAATAAAAACGCTTGAATCAAATTATTTATTAAACGATTATTATTAATTCAAAAGTTTCTATTCACCAATAAAAAGAAAAAATGATATTGATAATAGAATCTATGATTTCGCATTTTTCTTTTTGAAATAAATTCAATTTCCTTTTCAATTTACTCTTTTTGGGATAACTTCTACTCATATATGAGCTGTTGTAATAATGACGATAATTTACACAACAAAGCCAAATAGATAAATCATGGTTAACTTTGTCAATATTAGGAAAACTAAAAGTGTTTCTAATCATTTTAGATAAGTGCATCACAGGGAACTCACAAAATGATTTCAAAAGCTCGTATAAGAGGACTTTAGTTAAAGATCATATCCATGGATACAACACACATATCAATTGAACTTCATTTTACGGGTGAAAAAGGAAGTTTCATACTCTTTAAATCTTTGATTGAGTGTTACTACAAGAAAGAAACAAAGAAGGAAATAGGATATACTCGGCCAACATATGCATCATGAAAGTTGGATAACGAATGATTCATTCCACTTCTTTCTAAATCATATATAATGGTGAATTACACTCATTTAAGCACCAGAAAATGATCATATTGAAGATGTTAAAAATCATTTATCATTATTCGTTTGAAGAGATGCAAGAAGCGCGAAAGGATGGGTACTAAATAAGAAGTCATCTTGAAGTTGTTCAATATTTAATTTCTATTTAAGATAAGACAAATAGAACAGATTATTTTGTTGTTTTCATTTTCTATAAGATCAAGATATTAATGAAGCAATTACAGACAAATAGCTTTTAATTAAGTAGAAAAAACTTATGAATAGGACGAAACAGGCTGTCTTGCTTTAAATGTGGCCAAGAGATAATTGTACAGATAATATCGGTATTTAAAAATAATTTATAGAAAAATACTTCTATTATGCTATTACATGTCATCCTATGGACTGAAACCATGAAAACAATATAAAAAATGTTTGGTAATTCATAAAAATATGTTCTATTTACTAAGCTGAAGATTATAGTGGATGAAAAATTTATAAATCACTGTTAAGATATCAGGTTCTATATTTGATTTAAGATTTCAAAGTTAAAACTAGATTTCCTTTCACTTCAAAGATATTTATTCAATGAAATCTAAAAACAAATATATTAAATATTACATTTACCTATTTTCTTAACAAAATCATGTTACGACTTTCTGAAAAATCACACTATTGCAAAATTTTGAACCTATCCATCTGAAAAAATTGCGTGCCTGTACAAATTTTGAATATATCGTTACGACTCAAAAAAAACTTAGCATCATGATTGTTGAAACATGACTTGAGTACATTTTTTTTTCATACAATTGTGAAAAAAGTGTGATTTCAGTAATAATTTGAGAAATGAAAAAATTTTGGAATTGAGACAATCCGCTTTTAGGCAAAATCATTTTTCTTGATGTCTGGATACAGCAGAGACGAGTTAAATCGTATGTACTGCGATTCAAGTGTTAGTGCTGAAGAATACAATGCCTACAAGAGACGCCTAGAAGAGTCTGAACGTCTTCAAGAGACAAATGATTACACTGGCGATTGCACAAGAAAGCTTGACCGTGATCATGAAGAAGAATTCAGAAAACCAAGCAAAAATGATGACTGCCGAATTGGGTGAATTTCTTACTTAACTTATTATTTGATTAGTTTTTCTTAGTTAAAATTTGATTGTAAAAATATTTTGATTTTTTTTTCTATTTTAAGATAATAAAATCATGTATAAGATTGGGGTATATTGGAGCAGTTAAAGAAGTAATTGATGAGAACGGGTATACTACAACCATTTGCGCATCAAAAATAATCTTCTTTAAGTTGTAAAATCTTACCTCGGATGAAATATGAATAATTAAGGGAAGTATTTTTTGTGCCAGCGATTTTTTTTAACTCGTATTGAAATCAAATAGTCCAACTTTAACACACCATTGGGAAACAAGCATTAAAAACGATTTGAAAGTTTGCAGAACACATTTTTATTCTTTTTGATGTGTAACAAATAATCTCTCAAAATATTTCACCTTGTTAAAAGCGGAAATATTACCATGATGGACGTTGGCTATTGAAATGTCATGGAAAATAACACAGTGCATGAAAATATCATGTAATATGAGATATTGGATAGTCAACTAGGATCAAGTAATATAAAATCTATTATACAATAGAAGAATGCTGAAAATAGATATGAGTATTCACAATAGTAGACACATTATGAATCCCAAAGCTGTCTAATTGATTTCATTATTAAAATTTAAAAAATAGGAGAACTTCGAGAAAGGGACAGACTAGCCCATTGTCACTTTTTAATTTCGCAAATGAACGCTTATGGAGTGGAGTTTTTGGGTAAATCTGATTTGCTTATAAATGAAATAAAATCAAAAGAAACCATATTGGCATTATATTATGCAAAAATAAATGATCTTACTTAGTACTTTTAAAGTTAATTTCAGAAAAAATTTGACACAATGGTATCCGGCACATACAAGTGGTGTACAACCAAAATATAAGTTGGTTTAAACATATATTGCTATATCTCATGATCTTACTTAGTACTTTTAAAGTTAATTTCAGAAAAAATTTGACACAATGGTATCCGGCACATACAAGTGGTGTACAACCAAAATATAAGTTGGTTTAAACATATATTGCTATATCTCATGATCTTACTTAGTACTTTTAAAGTTAATTTCAGAGTTAGTATACATATCTTGGGTACGGCGGCACTGCGTTCCACCTTACCCAAGATAACGGTTTGACACTTTACAAAACCGCTAATGTATATTTTACAACACAAACACAAACACTAACTTAACCTTAAATATTTACAAAACCACCAACCACTTCACCTCACCAACATTTCGCTAACGACTTCACTAATGAAAAAATAAACGTTCTCACTAACGTTCCCACTAATGTTCTCATTTACAAAAGTATTGCAGCGCTTCCCATTGCTGTGCTTCACACAATAGTTCATATTCTTCAGTATCGCTGCTGTCACTCCAATCGTCAGAGTCAAAGTCACTGTCAAAATAAATGTTAGTAAGTTTTGACAAAGCTAATGAAACACGCTTACCGTTTGTAAGTTAGTATACAAGTCTCGTGTACTGAGGCACTGCGTTCCTCCGTACGCAATACTTGTGAATTTGACACTTTACAAAACCGTTAACGTATATTTTACAACACAAACACAAACATTAACTTAACCTTAAATATTTATAAAGCCGCCAACCACTTCACCTTACTACTGTAAAAATAAACGTTCTCACTTACAAAAGTATTGCAACTCTTCCCATTGCTGTGCTTCACACAATAGTTCATATTCTTCAGTATCGCTGCTGTCGCTCCAATCGTCAGAGTCAAAGTCACTGTCAAAATAAATGTTAGTAAGTTTTGACAAAGCTAATGAAACACGTTTACCGTTTGTATCGTATGCTTGTATAAACTTTCCATTCTTCATTCCTTCATAAACGCTCAAACTAACTTTACCCTTTCTCCCTCGTATCTGATAGAATGTATTTTCACGAGGAACGAAGAACAAATTCTTGAACTCATGACCGTTGTAGTTTGTTATCTCAATAGTTTTCGTCATTTATATAAAAATAAACTTAAAAATAAAATAAAAATTTTCAGTAAAAATATAAAAATAAACTTAAAAATAAATGATATCACCACCCTCACACGTATGAAAACATAGCACAAAAATAAATTTAGGTGAAGTGGTGAGATTTCACCTCTTTTTTCACCTGTTTTTTCACCCACTTGAATTCATTACTTTATAACTCTCTTCCTTTCTCCAACTCTTCTAACTTCTTCTTAAGTTCAGCAATGTTGTCCTCATGAAGTTTAATCTTCCTTAATATACCTTCTCTATCTAATGGTTGCTTTATCTTTCTAAACTGAACTCTACCATCCTTCATAGTATGAACGTAAAAACCTTCTGGAACCGCTCCTGATTTAATGTATTCTACCAAAAACTTTTGTTTCATTGCTTCAGTGACTTTAGTCGTCATTTCAATCAAATAAAAATTTTAATATTAAATAAAAATAACGTTATTTTTTCAGTAAGGAAACGCAGGAGTTTTACGATTTATTTGAGGAGTAGGTTCTGGTTTAAATGTTGGAGTCGGTTTAGGAGTTGACTTTTGAACAGGAGTTTGTACTTTCATAGGTTCAGGAGTCATTGAAGGTGTTGTTTGTGATGGTGTCGGAGTTTGTTTAACTTCAGCTACTTCAGTATTATTTACAACATTTGCTTTATTTCTTTTCAACATCATAACTGCTCCTGCTGTAGCTAGCAAACCTAGTGGGAGACCATATTTTATATAAGGACTTGACCAAATGCTATTTTTGACAGGAGCTGGTGGAACACCTAACCTTGGTGAGACTGCTCTTTGCCATTGTGCAGCTCGTAAGAAATATTCAATAGGTGCTCCATAATCGTTTGGTAAAGTTTGTTTCATAGATGGTGAAGGTTCACGAGAGCTTGATGAAGAACTCATTTATAAGCTTTAAAAATAAACGTTCATCCTTTATTCCTCACTGTCGTCCGTAGCTAAGTTATAGTCATCTAATCTTATTATTGGGATTCCATTAGCACGCACCTGAATGGCAAAGCAACAATCCCTCATAAATCCAATAAGTGGCTTTGGTACATTTTCAGTTGCTAGTTCAATAGGTCCTTTAACAGACAATTTGTATGTTATTGGAGCAGTAGATGTTTGACCTTGCTGGAAGCAAAAGTCCACTTCTGTTGGAAAACCACATAAGAAATGTGTGTTGTCATAGCTATCCCATTTATGTTCCACACTACCATCATCCACCAATGACCTCATAACATCTTCATTAAATCCTATCATATCATTGTTTGTATTGCAAGCGTTCGCAACCATTTCATAAAATACAGGTCCATATGATTTTTCAGGTTCTGCAGGCATATTTCCATAAGCTCCCATGGAAAGCTGAAGATATTTAAACTTAGGGTTCTCAAAATTAACATAATAGTTGTCTTTCTTTCTAAATAGTGCCCAAATACTTTTAACATTAATAGGCGTATAAGCTGCTGTAAATGTTGCACTTGAACTATCTGTATTCTTTGAGAATGAACCGTCCATAGGAATCCAATCCATAACTTTAACAGGAAAACATAAAGCCTCGTTTGTATAATGTTCTACAAGTTCTGTATAAATGTTAGGGTCTAAAGAGAATGACTTTGGATGAATGAAACATTCATTAAAATCCATCTTTGTTCGAAATAGTTGCTGGGTTACAGTTGTAATAGTAACTGTTCCACTAGCTTCTACTGCCTTCGTTATCATAGTGAATGGTTCATTCCATGGAACAAATTTATTTGTCGGTGGATTTGAATCTGAAGCAAATGCAACTTTAAGAGTTGGATTGAAAGCAACGATATCATTTACAGATATAGATGTGCATTGTAAGGCGTCGCTACTGAACTTTACTTTAAGCTGAATGTTTCCTGCAAAAGCTGGAATAAATCGAATAGCTTCTAATGGAAGGAATCTTCTAACAGGAATTCTTAAACGAAGCTTAAAATCAAATGATTTTCCTGCTGTAATTGGACCACTAACAATTTGTCCTGTTCTGCATGTTCCCGAATGACTCCATACATCTTCATGTCGAGTCTTTGAGAAAACATCTACTTTCTTTATTTGTTCGGTAGTTTGTGAGTTTGAAGTTATATATGCTTCTTCTCTTGCGTTGTCTTGAGAATATACGATACGACCATTTGCAAGGATTTGATATCCAGCAACTGCATAGAAAGCGTCATCGAAACCAATCCAAAATCCTGGTGGGTTTGTTTTATTGGAACCTGAACCAATTTCTTTATCTACAATAAATTGACCTTCCATTTTATACGTAATGAATGTATTGTAAAGGTCCAACATATTTTCACCAGGAGGTGAGAGATTGAATGTTACCCATGTGTTATCTTTAGCAGTTCCAGGTTGTGATGGAATCTTTGCGTCAGAATATTTTCTATTAGTGTCACCAATTTGAACTGCATTGTCTATGATATCGAAATATGAGCGAATCTGATGAATATGCTCTGCTGGAGTAAATTCGTTTAGCTGTTCGTTCTGCATGTATTTACTTCAGATAAAAATATCTATTTACTTCATTATTCTCACTCTTCTTCTTGGTATTCGTGGTGGAAGTTGTTTCTTGACATTTTCAATGAACTGTACATTCTCTTTTGTCTCAACTTCTTTCACTGGCGGGTCAGGGTTCTTTGACTCGGTTTGCTTTTCAATGAAATTCACGAACTTTGCAATAAGCTCTTGGTTCGTTATTGAAAGAACATCTGGCTTCTTTTCTTCTTGTTCTATTGACTTTTCAGTTTGAACAGAAGGTTTTATATGGGCTTCGTGGGCTTCGCCCTTGCCATGCACCTTAATGTTGTCGCTCTCTGTATTCGCTAATGGAACCTTTCTTTTTCTTACATATATTTTACCATCTTTACTCTGACTTACATAATAGAAAGGATGTTGTATTCCTCTGGCGTCATTTAATATAATAGACTCTCGTTCTGATTTTGACAAGCTCATTTTACATCGGTTAAAGTTTTAATTTTGTTTTTTATCTACAGTCAAATGACTCAGACAAGCCCTACGGACAAGACCCAAGGGGTCATAGATGTTGAAGCATTGAAGAAAGAAATTCGTGAGCAAATTTTATCCGAACTGAAGGAACAAAAACAAGAACAAAAGCCAGAGAGACCAAAGAGAAAACTTAGTGAAAAACAACTTGCTGCATTAGCTGCTGGAAGACAAAAGAACCCACGTTTGCTGGCAAAGAAAGCTAGAGAAGAAGCTGAAGCAAAAGCTAAAGAAGCTGAAGCAAAGAAAGAGTAAATGGTTTATTTTTATCCGAACTAAATGTATAGACAAATACCTTTATCTGTTGCGTTCAGTAGTGAAAACCCTGACGTCAAAATAAAGGGGAACAGAGTAACGTTTAAGTTTCCAACAGACTGGATTGTGAACATAAATGAAGAGAAGTACATTGGCATAACATCTATGTATATAACACGTGCTTTCAGAAAGGTTGACTTTATACTTCAAGTCGAGATAGAAAATGACGAACAGTCTTTAAGCGCCCAAAACATTCACATATACAAATACTTTAAAGACGATACAACATTGTTGCAATGTATGATTTCATTTAATGAGATGTTCGAGAAAAAGTTCAACATTGAAGTACAAACTTTACAGCCTTTACGTGAGTTTCTTGCACAACTGAAAGAAGAAGGTAGTCAGCCACAACTTATAGACTTTCATTATGAATTTAATGAAAATGAAGATGGAACACATGACTGTCAGTTTGTTATATATTCACCATTCAATGAAGTCGCTAAAGAGAAAAAAAATCCATTACGTATAAGATTTCAAATCTCCGAACCAAGTGATGATTTTAAGAATGTTTTCAATTATGATGCAATGCTTCCGAGGAAAAATGAATTTTCAAAGATTGTAACACCTGGCATTTGGGATAGAAAGCAAGCAATACTTTACTCTAATATAGCCAAAGGCGTTGAAAATGAGTTCATTGGTCATACAAGAACTTCACCACTTCCTAACCCTAAATACTATAAATTAACTGGCTTCAATCGTGAGTTTTGGATAGACATGTTCTCCACTCATGACCATAACTGCCCAGTGTTCTTACCTCCAGATGGGAAGGACTGTCTCTACATTGAAGCACAACTCTTAAACTCTACCATCGCAGTATTGTAAAATCTACGCTAGCTTTATTTTTATCACGAATGACCTCATTGCTGACAAAAATAAATGACCTCAGAACTTCAACTTACGAATAAAGCTTGTTTTAGTCGTTATTGAAAAGTTGAACTTTTCAGCAAAGCAAGGTTGACATGACTTACATAAGTCGAATGCAATCTCTTGACCATCATGAAGTGCTTTGTAAAGTTTCATTAAACTGAACTCAGAGTCTTTGTCATATGTTCCAACAGGTATGTGAATGTTCTTATCTTCATTGTAATAGCATTGTATAGCTTCAGGAAACATTTCATTAGCGGTTAAAGCAATAACATCTTGCTTCACGCCTTTCATTCTGCAGTGAAATGCAACTTCATTTAAATCATTCGTGAGTAAGTCTATGTAGGTCTTCTTTCCACAGAAAATACTTTTATAAGCTAAACTTTGTTTTCCAGGTGTTATTTCTGCAAAGTCGCTATGAAATTGACCAAGGTTCTTTCCTATAAGTTCGCGACCATATCTCTTCTTAAACTCTGCTGCAAGCTTTGGGATGTCTTCATTATATAAGTGCATACTGTCGGTATCCTGGTAAAAGATTTGAAGTCCCATGTCCTCTGCAGTACAGAATACTTCATTCATAATACGTTTTGACATAGACAGAATATTAACACCAAGTGGACAGAAGTTAAAGTGTCTGCAAATGCTTTTCGTTAGCTTGAAAATAGTTTTATCTGAACCATCCAAACCTTCGAACTTCACTATATGGTTGTAATTTCTTATAGCATATCTTATAGCATCTTTGTCATTTACTATGGTTATTTTTGACTCAATAGGAGATAGAATAGTTTTGCCATAAATGCTGTTCAGAATGAGTTTTATAATTTCTTGTAAGGGGTTTCCTTCTTTCTTATACTTTAACCTTAACTCAAACAACTTCTTTACTTCATCTCTTATTCTCATATCTCTGTTTCCATCGTAATAGTATCCTTGCAACACTTCACATTTGACACCTTGATATTTTTATGAGGTCTTGTAATGTTATTATGGTCAACATACATGAGACAGCAAGTGTTTGAACTTCTTGGAACGTTAAGTTCTGGATTTAGTTCAGGGTCGCAACTATTAAATGAAAGTGTCTGGGTATACCAATCTCTGTTATCTTAATGAGAACAAAGAAGCCAGACATAAACTTTTCACCAATGGGTTCCTTTTGGTCATCATCGAATAAATGTCTCATGAGATACTCTGTGCTTAGCATCTCATCCTTCAATACTTTTGGAATTCCTTCTAAAGTATACAATCTTGCTATAGCTGAAGGATATAATGAAACAGTGTCGAAGTCAGCAATGAGTTTCTTTTTGCTCTTTTGTTTCATGTTATCTGACAACATACATCTTCCACCTTGAATGCATCTCGAAATAAATTCTCTTGGTTTATTTGAGAGGTCATAAAGATTTCCATTCGGGAAGTATACTCTGTTCTCAAACAATTTGTTAGCAATAGAACAAATACTAACGTAGTCATAAACGTTTAAATCAAACTCTTTCAATAAGTCATTGCGGAACTTTACAAAACCTTCTCTTAAAATTCTTACATCTTGTTTGCAGTAAAACGTGCTATATTTTTCTAAGTCGAAGTGGTTTTCATCTATTCTGCAACCTTTGATGGAATCTATGTTCTTCATAAATGTATCTGCATCATGGATAAACTTACATGCTTCAGAAATGACACCAGTTCTGTTGTCATTTGCTAACAAAACACTGCTGTAGTAGTTATATGGAAATACTTCTTTCGGTCCTGTTTGTAAGTTAAACATAGCAGGAAATAGTTTAAGCTTCTTATTTATAACACTGTAAGAGTCTTTTATAATAATTGCCCGTCCTTTATATAAGCCAGTTATTTGCATTGTTCGTGAACCTTTAATGATGGGAGTTCCTTTCACTTCTGTCATGTGTCTTAAGATGAAGTTTATGTCATAACTGAGGTTGTGAAAATATATTAAACTCTTGTCAGGAAGTCTTTCCAAAAATTCTGTTGCACAGTTTTGACCCCAAATGCTTTCACTAACTGAACCATCTTCACTGTCATAACAGATGTTAAAAGCTTTATGAAAGCCATCCGTACTACACTCAAAGTCAGCAAAGAAAACGTGCTCAGGTATGAATTTACATTTAGCTTTATTTACTTCTTTTGACTCTGCTTTCTTCTTCAGTTGTACACAATACTTTGGAGCATATGTCAAATCTTTAAATGGTGCAAGGTTCTGTTTATATAAGTCAGTAGTATATGTGAAAAGTTCTCCATAAGAAATAGGTTCGAAATATTTGCACTCCCACAATGTTTTCATAACATCCCATAACGGTGTTGTTCTATCATAACGAACTACATATTTATCTTCTCTCTTTGTATAAATCTTCATCTGTTTCTCAATGTTCATTCCACCACAAGCTTTGAGAATTTCTTTATAGTTTCGAATGAAGTATGTTGTCATTGGTAATCTTTCATTTAGCATGTAGTGGTCTTCAACAAGAAGTAAGTCAATAGTTCTAACAGTTTCGCATTCTTTTGGTATATATCTCTTTATTTCATTATGTCTTGAGTCATTGAAATAACCAATGGTAACATTAAATGATATACCTGTTGCGTCAGAAATTTCTTGTACTTTACTTTGAGGAAAGTCTCTAACACGAATGACTTCTCTCATGTGGTCAATAGTTTCTTCATTTACTCCAGCCTGAATGCAAGCATAAACGAAACAATTGTCCTCTGTCATAAGTGTTGCAGTTCTTTTGTTCAGTTCATTGAAGATTTGGTAGCGTTCAAGATTTATAGGTAATGTGCAAAGATACTTCCATAACTGACCGCTTCTCTTCTTATAAAACTTCTTTTCACCATTATCTTTCCAAAAGCTTTCTATAAGTGCTGGGTTTCCTGTTTGCTTAAGAGCTTCCAAAATGGCTTTCTGGTCATTTGTCAGTGTGCTTTCATCTCTATATGGTCTCTTTTTTGGTTTGCCTTTCTTTACATCTGACATCGTTAAGCCTTCATATTCTGTTAAATCATACATCTTTATTTCGGTAAGATTCTTTATGTTTGTCAAGAAGAAGTCATAGTGCATTTCAACAATACCTGGCATTTGCTTCTATCTCTGATATAAAGTTCTCCTTCAAGAGCTGATGTAGTAATGTTCCAATATTATTGAGGTTTAACGTAGAACATTCATACTTTCCACCAAGTTTATAACATACCATCCATCTCTGTTGGGAGTTTATTTTAATTTTCTCTAAGAGTCTCATGAAAACCTTACCAAAATGTTTGTGTAAGTAGTCTCTGTTTGGTTCATCTAAAGCTTCGATGTTAAAGTCAATGAGTCTATTGCCTGACTTCACATTTCTCTTCCTATTCTCTTCATCTTTCTTTAACCATCTCTCACCTTCTTTTGGTTTGTCGTCAATGGAACGAATGACATCGTTAGCTTTGCGAACTTGTTCTATAGCACTTTTAAACATCTCTCTTCTCTGTTGTTTCAGTGTGTCATCTCTCTTTCGTGTTTCACCAACGTTTGCATTTGTTATGTCAAACATTTCTCTTCTTACTTCATGTGGTACAGCTCTTCTTGTTTCACCAACGTTTGCATTTGTTATGTCAAACATTTCTCTTCTTACTTCATGTGGTACTGAACGTCTATGATATAAGTCAATAGCAATGTCATTTAAAGGAAATGCTCTTGCATGGACTTCGTCCTCGCCGCGTTGCGGCTTTATGAACTCATGAATTCTATCATAACTTATTGCACCATTATAGTCATTGAGGATGTCAGCGAGTGCTTTTTTGTTTGTTGCGTAATGCTTTGCAACATCTATATTAGCTTCTGTAAGAAGTTGTTTTATTTCCGAGTGTTCTAACTTAGACAACTTCCGATACATCTTTAGTAGGAAATAAAAAAATATTTTTGAAAAAATAAACTTAGAAAAATTATTTCTTTCTATATTTGCCATTCCGAACTTCGAAAAGATGTTTTATACCAGCATAGAATTTTTCTCTAGAGCTTGGTCTTATATTGTTTTCATGACAATATTTTCTATATTCTTCATATAAAGCCTTTTTTTCATACATTTCATAAGGACAATCTAACCAGAATAGTGCATATCCAGTTTCGTTATCTAGGTCTCTATATGTTTCTTCTGTTTGTAGAATTTCGCTTTCTTCTATTTGTAGAATTCGTTTCTTTCTCTATTTAGTTCTATGACTATATATTGTGGCTTAAAAAGATGTGGGCAAGAAGGGTCTGGCGCTATGTAAAAAGTTAATTTTTCTGTCATCTTTTCTATCGCGATAAAAAATATTTTTTGAAAAATTAGATTACATTTTTTTAAGTTATTTTTCAAAATAATTTAATATTTTTATTTTAATGAAACACATGCAAGATTGCAAGTTCTTTTCATACAATGCTCTCGCTACTGCCATCAAGAATGAGTTCAATGGTTCTGCAAACGTCAATGTTATCTTTAACAAGAAGTTTGTGAAAGAATCTAAGTTTGGTCAGTATGTCAGACCATTAGCTATCGTCATTGACCGCAAACGTTATACTTCACAAGAGTTAGCAGTAGTTTTGAAACAAAAGGGTTTCTTCGTGAATGTCAAAGATACACACTATACTGTCATAAAGAACTCTAACGTTGACTTCTTCAGTATTGCTTTAAATCTTTCCGAACAGAAAGAATATAAGAAGGGTGAAATAAATGTGAAATATTATCCTTCATCTCTGAAGACAATAACGAACAAAGATGTTATACAAAAGTTCTTACCAAAGGTTGAAGAAGCTTCTATTGACATTGACGAAGGAAGTGAAAATGGTTGAAGAAATTGACCCTGAAGCTATTTAACCAAAAATATATTTTTGGTGAAGAAGGTGAGATTTCACCTGTTTTTTCACCTCATTCTCTCTTCGTTAATGTTGTCGTGACTTCTTCGTTAATGTTGTCGTGACTTCATTCTTCCTCTTTGAAGTTATCGAAATATTCTGTTATTTTTTCCTTCAGTAATGGTAAGTCTTCTTTGAAGGTAAGTATTGTGCAACCTTGATGTCATAGTGTGTTTGAGGAAGAGTATTTTTGACAATTTCTTTATTTGCTCATTCGGTGTCATTGAAATCGGTAAGTTTTCACGATAGAACCAGTTTCTGTCAGATTTGTAAATCTTAGCAAGGTCATAAAAGCTCTTGTTGTTTCTTCTGACTAAATGCAACATAACCATATCTTTATCTTCTTCTTTCTCCAACTCTTCAGTATATATCATATACTTATAACTCTTTTCCTTTCCTTTTGGTACTGAACGTGGTATTCTTTTCTGTATGCTTTTGTCTTTGGATTCAATGACTTCATCTTTTGCTTGAAGTTTCTTTTCCATCTCTCCACGTTCTTGTCTGTGAAGTTCGTCAAGAAGTTTGTAAATATTCAAGCATAACGTGGTGAAGCCCACATTGCAACTGCATTTACTAAAAGTCTATGAACATAATATCCTCTCAAACCGTTTGGCAATTTTTCACGGTTTTCATAGAGTTTTGGCGACTGGGATTTTTTACCTACTCGCTGTTCTTCACTGTTTTCAGAAAAAAGTACGTCTCGCTGTGCTTCACTTAATAGTTCTATGGTGCTTTGGTTCCTAAACCAGTCTTTAGGAAGCTTAGTATCTGGAGCAAAACAAGCCGTCAAAATACTTTGCATTTGGTACATGTCGTCTTTGACAGAACGAATGAGTCTCAATTGTTTGTTATACTGTATGTATTCGTATTCTTCATTTATGACTTCATGAACGATAGCAGTTGTTGTGTTCTCTAATGTTGACATATCTGTCTTTACATTCCGGATAAAAAAATAAATAAAATAAAAACTAACTTTATTTTTTTTGAGATAAACACTATTTCTTCACAACATTAAATTTTATCCTGTATGAAATGACTTTAAAAAGATTATTGACTGACTTCGAATACTATCTCATTGACGCACTGACAGACCCTCAAAACTGTGTTGAAAGTTCTTTAAGCTTTAAGATTGAAGGTACGACGCATTTTGTCTTCACTTACGTATTGAAAGAATATGACCGTTATCATAACGAAGTGAATCAAACACTAATAAAATTTGTAGATAAAAAATTGGTTAACAATGAATATTTTAAACGTGAAGACCCAAACACTGCTGGAGATGATGAAGAATACAGACAAGTTATTGAAAAAAATAACGCAAGATTAGATGCAATAGAAAAGAAGTTTAATGAATGTCTTACAAACACGTATGAATATCTTATGCAGTGGGAAGCCAGATGGAAATAAATTTACGTCAAATATGCAATTTATAAAATCTTATGTCGACAGGCTACGTAGCACAGTGGTCTAAGGTGGTGTTATGGAGGGGTCAGGTCTGTGGTTCGAACCGCGACGGCGCCGTATTTTCTTATTTTCTTTATTTGTCTTGTTTGTCGTGAATAAAAAGTGTCATAAAAGTGCTCTATCTTCCACGGGAATAAATAAAAAATTTACTTTATTTCTTCTTTATTTCTTTGTTCCCGTGGAAGAAGGGTTTTTGCCGTTTTTTCTCAGCCGAAATCAACGATTTTTTCATTTTTGGAATCCTTAGCGAATGAGGAATCTTTTCTCTCGTGGAAGCTTTGACCAAAAATATAATTTAGGTGAAGAGGTGAGATTTCACCTGTTTTCTCACCTGTTTTTTCACCTCTTGAACTTTTTATAACATTCGGTCATAACTTCATCAATTTCATTTAAATCACGATTTAAAAACTCATTGACTTCATCTTCAACCGTGTCATCTTGTAATAAGAATATTTTCTTTAGTTTCATGTCAACATCCCGAACAGCACAAAGGATAAAATCATATTCATTTCTTCCGTTAAACATACTTTTTCTTTCTCGTTATCGTTAAATAAATTATTGAAAATAAACAGCGGTGTAAAAGTTATGTACTGTGTTAAATGTTGAAGCTTCACCTATTTTAGATTTTAGGATTCTTTTAGTAAGTAAATTGTTATCGTTCTTTCTCTTTTCCTTATCGTTCATGTCGAATCTGTCGAACCACATATCCTGTATTTCATCGAATTTACGAACTATAGAATCCGTCATTTCCCTGGTTAATGAGGGGTAATCATTATTAATTTTTTCATATAATTTGTCCATATGATTTTCATCGACGTTTCCGGAAAGCATTTAATTAAAGCAAAAATATAATTTAGGTGAAGAGGTGAGATGTCACCTGTTTTTTCACCTCTTTTTTCACCCCAGTTTTTCACAAGCGTTTTACATGAATTGTACGATGTATATTTTGAAATCCTAAACATTTCGTAGCTTCTATTTTCTGTCAGTATGTCAAAAGTTTTAACAATACCGAAGGTTTCTTTATACTTCTTCTTGACGTCAGATAGAAGGAAATCTTCTGCTGTTGGATAGTTTTTGTTCAGAAATTCTAACATGTTCATTTTATCTTCTGCTGGCTTTTCTGCTTCTTTCTTTAAGTCTGCATAGTCGTTTCGCATTCTTTCTATCTCTTTGACTGAGTAGTTATATTTCCTAATTGCTGCCTTACATTTTGAACATTGCGGGTTCATTTTTGCGTTATACATTGAAATAAAACCAGCTAAAACAACTATGGCGTCAATTGCTCTCTTCATCTCAAACATAGCGGGTCTTATTTGTTCGTTCCATACTTTGCCTCTTCTATCTTTATCTCTTATTTCCCAAACAATTTTGCAACTAATGAAACAAAGTTATCGTAAGTCTTAAACTCCTCAGATTTATATATGTCAGAAATGTTTTTATATACCATGTCGCAATCTTTGTCCATAACCTTATGGTTGCAATGAAAACCAAGGAATTCATAATTTACTTTACGTATGAACTTCTTTATTTCTACTGAGTCAGTTGGTTTCACTTCAATTTCGTCGAATTCAGGAATAGTGAGTTTTTGTTGTTGGATTTCAGGCAATTTGGGTAAATGGTCAATAATGTCCTGCATTTCATAAAGATACTGTTCATTTGTTTCATCTTTCGCACTACAGTCTAAATTATTTGTTAAAAGTTCTTGCTTTATCTTCTGGATTTTTGTTTCGAAAGTAAATGAAGAAGGAATGAAGCTTTTCATCTCTACTAACATAGATGTTGGATTCATGACTAACGAGTTTGGTGAAGTTGTTGTGGACAGAGTCCCGCCGTTCGCGGCTTGAATTGTTGTTGTGCCGATTGTTGAAATCATATCTTTTATACAAAATAAAAAATAAATAAAAATAAAACTAACTTTATTTTTTCTATCTTAAGGAAATTCACGAAAATTCAAGAGGTGAAAAAACAGGTGAGAAAACAGGTGAAATCTCACCTCTTCACCTAAATTATATTTTAGGTCATTTACACTCATTTACGAAGAAGTCATGACAAAGCATTTACGATGAAATCTTGACAAGGCATTTACGAAGAAGTTATGACAAAGCATTTACGAAGAAGTTATGACAAAGCATTTACGATGAAGTTATGACAAAGCATTTACGAAGAAGTTATGACAAATTCAAGAGGTGAAAAAACAGGTGAGAAAACAGGTGAAATCTCACCTCTTCACCTAAATTATATTTTAGGTCATTTACACTCATTTACGAAGAAGTCATGACAAAGCATTTACGATGAAATCTTGACAAGGCATTTACGAAGAAGTTATGACAAAGCATTTACGAAGAAGTTATGACAAAGCATTTACGATGAAATCTTGACAAAGCATTTACGAAGAAGTTATGACAAATTCAAGAGGTGAAAAAACAGGTGAGAAAACAGGTGAAATCTCACCTCTTCACCTAAATTATATTTTTGTCTGATTTACATCCAACGAAAAAGTTTAGAAGAATTTTCTTATTCTTTCTGGCATGTTTTTAT